GTAGAGAAAAAAACTTTGCTAAATAAATTCAAATTTTAGGTTACATTTATCGCAGTACGTGTTTAATTTGACACTTTTTAAACAAGAGTACTCCCAGTTTTTGCAACTTTGAAAAGATCTCGACAGCAGGGTAGATTTTCAAATAAATAATTCGTGTGTACCGCTCTAGATTAGTTAATACATATCGATTGTACCGATACTCTATTTACAATTAACTTTCAAAAAGTCTTATATCAGATAACGAAATAGGCTTAAAAGTGTTTTGGATTTACTGTTGAAATATTTTATGTCTTTCCTGTTAAATGTAAACATAATTACGACTTTTACAAAGTGACGTTATAACAGATATATGGTTTATTCATGAAAAGGGAGGATTTATTACAAATCATAGAAAATCTCGGATATTAAGCGTGGTCTCAGTTGTATGCTATATATCAGTTACCCGTACTAGCCTTACTTTTATTGGATAGATAATGTCTAATTTAAAGTTCAAACTTGGAGTATAGAGTAAAACTTTCGCTTCAAAAAATAGTAAAATGTCTGTTTCAAATGAGGTATTTTGTGTTCAGATAGTATATAAAGATCATGAAAGTGAGCAAGAACGTGTGGTAGACACACCCTCACAAGAAACTGTGTGCGAAAACTCGACCCCTCGGATGTCGAGATCGTCCCCAGCTTCTTCGTACCCGACTTCTCCAAGGAATTATCATCATGTTGTTTTAAGGTCGGTATTTGATTAATTTACAAATTAAGTTTGTCATAGAGACTTCTAATCTTATTGTTGATGTAATATATATGTTATATTTATTACATTTTATCCGTACTCCGTTTTTCACAATAATTCGGTTTCAAGTACTTTATAATACTGAAAAAAATATATATATTATATATAGATATATATATATAAAACCCTGATGATTTGTACAAACTTACAAAAAAAGATATGATCAAAATGTTTTTATTCAAATTCCCTAAATAATAATTATTTTTTTTGTTTTGACTGAATGTATTATACAATGGACATAAACGTGTGCTGGATTATCTATATGAACTCAACAATAAGTTAACCTAGTTAAAACCTAGATCCACCTACAACGTACTGAATTCCTTAAGATTCGTAGACAGTAGAGAGTATTAGAGTCTTCCAATTCCACGAACCGTCCGCAATCAATTTGTTTGAATCTGGATCAACATTATCTTTTTTTGTCCTGAAATTATGTTGAATTTTGTATAACGAATGATATACATGTACATCTCAAAATTGTATCATAGTTTGGGGACCTTTCTGTTGAAAATACGTCAGAGTTAAATCGTATACATATACATGCACAGTGCGTTAACTAGAGTGCAGGTATAAGTTACCCGCACTCCTCAGCACGCCCATTGATTGGTTCATTTTTGCTGGGTACGGCAGAGAAAGGAAACGCATTCAGATGCTCGTTCATTGGTTACTTTTTTCTGGGGTTTCATATTGTGACAACAAGGAATGTGTTTTTATGTTTGACTATGATACAAAAGAGAAAGAACACCAAAACACTCGGCAATCTGGGCTACGCCCCCTCGTACAAATCAGATAGCCTCGTGTTTCGGTGCTCTTTCTATTACTTATTAAATACGTAAGATTTTTATATTCATTTTATATGTTTTCTTTAATTCTTATCAGTCCTAACGATTTAGGTTTTCAGCTAATGAAAATTTAATGAATACAAATTAACCCGATTAATTTACGCAACATGACCGAACCATTACGTTATAAAGGTAAAGAATGGGTTTATAGTCGACTGCGACATCGTGTCTCTAAATGTTTGATTATTCAACATTTCGTCATTAATTCCCTTTGTAAATTGTTGCAATTTAAACTTTCTTTAGCAAATACCTGAATACCAAAAGAAATAAAACATAAATTATTTAACAATGCTGTACGATTAGTTAGGAACCCGACATGTGTACGCTTTATTCAGAGTCTATTTTAGTGATGTTAAATATTAATCAGTTTCTCTGATATCAAAATCATGAAAAATGGGAAAATAATAGCTTTGCGCGAACGAGAAGAGAAAAAAGAGGCACTGCATAAATCAGATATATATATAGATGTACATGTATAATTTTATTTGTCTTTAAGAATACTTAATATAAAGAACAGCGTTCCTTAATTACTGCAATGATAGTATCCTCCGTATCCCAGGCGCACTTGTACCGTGTTCGGAAACAGTCCCGTGGGCTCCTGCGATGTTAGTACTTACATGGACGTACGGAAAACGTATCTCATTTTATGTTTGAAGTTATTGATAGATGCCGAAGTTGCGATTTTAATGTTATACAGATTCGTGTGTGTAATTTTATTTTCTATTAGAATCGTCAACATTATTGAGTATCATCAGCCAGCCATTAAATATGAACGTTTCAATTTTCATTGCCAGTAATGAATTACATTTGTTATGTTTGCGAATCAATATAAAGTATGAAAGGGAGGGTTAATTTGCATGCTGGTTTATATGACTTGTAAACGTTCAGGTACCCTGCAGTAAATACATCATTGTATTGTTTGTATTGTTTTTTATTATGTCAGGTAAAATCGAATATATAGGATTTTTTAACTGTTTTATATAACATATATAAGTTTATTTTTGTTTGATACAAAAGCGTATACAAATATGTGATAGTTACAAACTTTGTTTTTATAAAGCAAATGTAGTACTTTTAACATTTTATCGCATGTACATGGTATATACCATTTCAAAGTTAGGGTTAATATATGCTTGATTTGGAAATTGTGATCATTTTCGGTGCTTATTAAATAACTGAATAATATTGCATAAAAACTATTTATTAGAAACGTTAATTAAAAGTCTATATGTTAAAGCTATTCTTTAGATATTTTTTATATTTCTTTTCATTTCCTGTGAGGCTGAATATGAACCTATTATGTTCTTGTTTCATATTTACTTTTCATTTATTTTAATCTCACATTAAAGTATTTAGCTAATCGTCCACTCTAAGCGACTCAAATCTTTAAATATTATACATGTTAAACCAAACCACTGATTGACTTCAGACATTTATGCTTATCTTAATAATTCAATGTTTTATTGATAAATATTTCTTAATAAGGTCGTATGTAATATAAACTACATGTAGTTAATTGATTTTTATTGAATTTAATTATTCACTTATAGCATCACAGTTTAATTTCGTAATTATGATCTGTTATAATTTGTAATGAGCATTACTGTGTATAATCGTCAAAAATAATGCAATGAGCATTGCTGGGTACACATGAGTCGTCGAAATATTTAATGAGCATTAATTGTGTAGACATGAGTCGTCAAAATATGTAATGAGCATTGTTGTGTTCACATGAGTCGTTGAAATATTAAATGAGCATTTTGTGTACTCATGAGTCATTGAAATATGTAATGAGTATTGTAGTGTACACATGAGTCGTCAAAATATGTAATGAGTATTGTTGTGTACACATGAGTCTTTGAAATATGTAATGAGTATTGTTGTGTACACATGAGTCGTCGAAATATGTAATGAGTATTGTTGTGTACACATGAGTCGTCGAAATATGTAATGAGTATTGGTGTGTACACATGAGTCGTCGAAATATGTAATGAGTATTGGTGTGTACAGATGATTCGTCGAAATATGTAATGAGGATTGTTGTGTACACATGAGTCATTAAATATGTAATGAGGATTGTTGTGTACACATGAGTTGTCGAAATATGTAATGAGTATTGGTGTGTACACATTAGTCGTCAAAATATGTAATGAGGATTGTTGTGTGCACATGATTCGTTGAAATATGTAATGAGAATTGTTGTGTACACATATGAGTCGTTGAAATATTAAATGAGCTTTGTTATGTACACATGAGTCGTTGAAATATGTAATGAGCATTGTTGGGTACACATGAGTCGTTGAAATATTAAATGAGCATTATTATGTACTCATGAGTCGTCAAAATATGTAATAAGCATTATTGGGTTCACATGAGCCGTTAAAATATTTAATGAGCATTATTGGGTTCACATGAGTCGTCGAAATATTAAATGAGCATTGTTGTGTACACATGAGTCGTTGAAATATTAAATGAGCATTGTTGGGTACACATGAGTCGTTGAAATATTAAATGAGCATTGTTGGGTACACATGAGTCGTTGAAATATGTAATGAGCATTGTTGTGTACACATGAGTCGTTGAAATATGTAATGAGCATTGTTATGTACACATGAGTCGTAGAAATATGTAATGAGCTTTGTTATGTACACATGAGTCGTCGAAATATGTAATGAGCTTTGTTATGTACACATGAGTCGTCGAAATATGTAATGAGCTTTGTTATGTACACATGAGTCGTTGAAATATATTTTGAGCTTTGTTATGTTCACATGAGTCGTTGAAATATGTAATGAGCTTTGTTATGTACACATGAGTCGTTGAAATATGTATTGAGCATTGTTTTGTTCATACGAGTCATTGAAATATGTATTGAGCATTGTTGTGTACACGTAAATATTTCTGGGTAAAACATTTGTTGTACATTTGTATAATATTATGTAATATGATCATTGTTAGTACATATGAGTCTAATAGAAATATGTTATAAGATACACGTGAGTCGTCGAAATATGTAATCATCAATTCTGGGTAAAGATGAGTCGTCGAAATATGTAATGAACATTATTTGATAAACATTAGTGTCAAAATTTGTAATATGAGCATACCTGGGTACACATGTGTAATCATATAATGAACATTATTGGGTACACAGGAGTCCTCGAAATATGAAATATTCTGTATATTGTAGTAAACTCTGATTTACACTATATGAACATTTGTACTGTATGGTACTGGCACACTTAAATTATCGTTCGTTCATGGCATGAGATCCAGTCAAACTAAGAACATTTAGGCTACTCAACGAGGTACCCGCTCTGCTAAATTAAATTAATATTTAAGCAAATAACTATATTACAGTACTTTTACTTCAGAAATGCGTCTCGCCTGGCACTTGAATCTCGTGAAGCAATGTTCAGACGAGCTATGTCGTTGCTGTCGGCAAGATGTACTAGCGTAAGACAGGACGGAGGGAGTGACGCCACCATCACGCTTGGAGCCCAGATACCTAAATACTTCTACGTCACTCAAGATAAACCCCTACCAATGGAGCCCTTAAAGGTACAATCTTTATATGTATATACACATTAGCTATTTATTATTTCGAGTTGTGAATGGAGACGATTATACGACGACATGAATTACAAGTAAAATTTCTTTTTTAAAATGACCTCTATACCATTACTGTCCCGGATATGAAAACCGTCAAAATCATAACCGGCGTATGGAAAAAACAGTATGTCTGCGAAAATAAGAATACTAGTGGCAAACTATTTAGTGAGCCCTCTTTCTCTTTCTTATATTTACGAAAATAAAAAATCTTTACTATAATATGCTTTAAAAACGACAACTATAAAATCTTCATCACGGGTCATTAAGTAAAGTATATCGCATTAATGTATTAAGGATATCGTTTGAAATATTTAATGTCGTCTATAGACACAAAAAGGGCTTATATATAACTTTATTGACATGAAATGGTGTATTAATATTCAATTTGAATGAGTGTCATTAAACTATTACATTGATCTTTAATAAAGGTATTTGACAAAATATATTAAGTTATCATGTTAAATGTACAAATATAATGCCGACAACAGGTTAATGTAAAACGGCTTTTCTATTTTCTGTGAATAGCAGTGTATGCTTATTTTTTCCATTTTCACCAAATTCTTAATAGAACATTCATTATGTTAAATCATTACACAATAACTAAGGTTAATTACAAGTAACTTCCATAACATCAGAGTAGAGTCGATTTAAGTCAAAAGGTCTACACATATAGACCGCATAGATTATTAAAATCAATGTATAATTAAGAATACACCTAGAAAATGACACCACTGTTCATGACAAAAATTGAAAATTTTCTTCATCTTAGTTTGAATATGTAATGTTAATGACTCTGTTTAGGATGTCATCATGTTCCAATATCATCTTCGTTGCTGCTTTTCAGGCATGGCGTGGTTACCATGGCAACATATATTTCGAGCCAATCAACATTAATCCAGTGAAAGGTGATATAGAATCCGCACGGGCAAGAACATCTATAACACGTCAGGACCCACAACGTAATGCAAGAACTCGAACTTCTATTCCTAAAGCGAGGGCAAGCCTAGACAATAAAGAGAATAAGCCAATACAAGAGAGCCGGAGTGATTCACGGCAGACTACAAAAAGTTCTGTTGGCAGTCGACGGTCATCTACCAGGCCAATGGCTTATTTAGATAAACAAACTGTTCTAAATAGACTTAATGAAAGTATTCACGAGGATATAGTTTGGTTAGAAGGTACGGAGAACACCGGAAGCCTTGCAGTTCGACCAAAAACATACCCAGAGAGAATGTCGCGTGACAAAGAAAGGGATCTTCAATACAATAAGGACAGGATAAAGAAAGGATCGGTTGCACATAAATTATACATTGATGGTAAATCTAGACAAAAGCCGAAATTAGCGGTCAGTGGCGGGAAGTTTACCCCACCGAACTCTCTGTCACCCTTGTTAAGGACTCAAACCCAATATTCCTTGAGTAGCCAAAGGCTCACAACAAATAGTCCGGATCCATATCACCTAAATGAGTCTAAGTTACCTCCCTTGGACCAGATTCGGGCTAGCCTTAAACACATGGACAGTAAACAGCCGAGTGGAAAATTACCTTATAACAAAACTATGACCCTTACGGAGGGTATGAAACCTTTTGTAAAATATAGCCCCGACGTGGTGGCAAAGTTTGCTCAGCAGGCTAATATATGAGAGGTTTACACACTTTATGAGAAATTAATTGTGAAATGTGGCCTGGTTTAGTCATGTCTAATCAAAGAATAAAATATGAATGTTATAAAACTTCAACTGAAATATTGCTACAATGTAGCATGCTGACATACATCGTTCAAACTTGCAGAGTACCTGTCAGAGTTTTCTTGTAAAAAGAAGTTTACAGTAAAAAATAGTACAGATTCCTTTGGTTTCGAGTAAGGATATTTCTTCTTATCACTTCTAGCAAAGGAATCACAAAAGTTTGATGGGTTAGCAGACCACACGTAAAAACTTTGTCATGGATGATTTAAGTTTACATCAACAAATACTAAGTCTTAACCGTGTATGTTTTCAATCATTTTATATTAACAAATGGCACCTGGGAAAACCTAAGGTCGATAGAGGTCGAAAATGTTAAAGTTAAGTTTTCGTAACTATCGAACTTCGAACGTAATGAATTTCCACCGACGTTTTGGAAGAATATGGAAAAGTTCGTCAAGATCATTTTTCTTACCATATTTTATCCTTGGATGTGATTGTACATGTTCAATAGGATTGTAAGCCCATCAATTGAAACCGAATAATAGTGTGTACTAATTTCGTCAGGAGAAGTCATTTATGCTTTATTTTCGTACTTTTCTTCTTCTTTTGTATTTTTCAAATGGCATGTTACATTGACTACATGTACTTTGAAAGAATTAGAAGTCTATATAAAAACTCCAATGTTATAAAATTAGTACATTTGTGATACGATTATTGTGATTGATTTATCTTTTGGACTATTTCTGTACCCGAGTATTTGTCCTTTTAAATGTTATCTGTGATAAATGTAAAACATTCATTGTATTATTGTTTAAATGTGCCAAACTTTTATATGTATACTAACTTTTTTCCTATCTCGACTGTGATAAGGGTTTTATATTCATTTTAACCAGTCTGTGACGTTCCGAATGGTCAGCATTGTTTTTTCGTCTGCCTTAAAGATATCGCTTCCGATCGATATTAAAATTACCTCCCTTTTTGTATCTTGCAATTATCGTATCAAGGCGATCATCATGTTTTACCATTACTAAGGCAGGAAATTACTGTAGCAAATTATTTTAACGATAAACTCAAGACATCTACGACCAAAATAGCAAGATGTCGCTTCAATTTCGCATGAAGAAAATTATTTTTATGATCAAATATTCAGTTAATTTATACTACATGTCATTTCTTTGCCATTACTGAATTACTAAATAAAAGTCATTTTAGAGGAATTTAATCATCTGTAGAATTATATATGAAATTGTATATTCATCATTGCTGTCAAATAAAATAACACATCACTACAGTAATATCACCAGCCCTGTGATATCAGTTTACAGCGATGGATATCTTAATATGGAATTTTATACTTAGGTTCTCAATATAAAGAAATGATAACAATTAAGGTAATAAATAATACACTATATTTGGTTAGCATTAGTGTATAGATCAGATTTTATTACAATATTTTACCACAAGGCGTCCCAAAGTAGAGAGAAGATTTATAAGATCACCGACTATCTCCCGTACGTCTGCTGTCTATACATTATATCTATTTTCTATTTGATTAGAGAAGATCCTTTAAGTAGGTTTTCTGACACCAGAAAGTATAACTGTCTATATATTTTACAAATATTCCAGAAAGCTTGTTTTTTTTATTTCTCTTTTTTCTGGGACAACATCTTGTTTACTAAGTTTGCATATTTAGGTTTATATATGCTCGACAGTTCATTTATTCCATTTCCTACGGAATTCCATAAACGACAGCCAACTGCTCACTGCCTACTGCTAACTACTTATTGACAGTCTAAGTCTATGTATGGATCAAATAGAAGTATTCCGAATGTACACACATGTGCGCCCGCCATTTTGTTGAAAAAAATCTGCTGAGGTAAACTTTGCGGAAAGCAATGGTAAGTAAATTAAAAAGGATTATTTTATAATTAAGCCTATAATAATTTGTAATTTCGAATTCATTGCAATGACTTGTGTACGTCCCACCATTGCACACTGCTTTGATTATATTATGAAATGGTTCCACGTGCCTCTTGCACAGGTGATTGATAAATTGTCAAATATAGGACTCATTTTAGGGTAAATCAACTTAATAATAAATTATTCACAAAGAATCTGTGTTCAACAATGAAAATGTACGGGCTTGAGCCCACTATTCCTCGGTTGAGAGGCGGAGATCTGGACCATTATGTCAACACTCCCTTATTTTATTTAGAATTTCATAGTTTATTAAACTTTTATTTGACAATGTAATACATTTCTAGAAGAATATCTGTAATATACTGGTGAAATCACTGGTGAAATTTAGGCTGAACATTCTCTCATAATCAAAAATGTGTGAGTTCATTTACGAGATCATTTTGGTTCAGTTTTCATTGGCTGTTAGTAATAGCTTATAAATGTGTAATTCCTTAGATGAGATGTTATGTTATGCATTTTTGTTAAGTTGATTGCACTCTTGATTAGATATGTGCTTTGAAGTTAAATTATAGAATCAATTTTATTCTAGTACAGAGGATGATAAATCTGACAGAAACATTCCAATGGAACAGCCTAAACTTTCATTGACTTCACAGACAAATAACAGAACCAATACAGCTGTATGAAAATATTGAAATTACAATGGAAGAGGAAAAGGACTACATAAATGTTTTAGTTCTTATATACGAGTTTAACTCGCCTTCCTTCTGAAAGCATAAACAAAAACAAACTTGGCAAAAACGTTCAATATTTCAATGACAAAGAGTGCAAACATGAAGTGATAAATTACAGTTTGGATCAGATTATTTTACTTTTATGAAAAGCCATCGTTATTCTAGTGTTTAAATTCAATTGTGCTATTGAACAACTCTGAGAAATAATAGATTCTTAACTATTTAAATTTACTTAAAAATTTCTGATAGATAAAATGATCATGTTAATGTTACAATATATTTTTTGACGTGTTTGGTTAAAATCCATCCTTTATATAATTTTTATAATTATCTTGTTAACGAACATACTTAAAAGTGAACTTTTATGTTGGTTTTCTATTTCTTTTTGCAATTACCGCAAATAAAACCAATGAGCAAATCTGCCCTAGTATTTGCCAGAATCATCCAATGAAAGTCATTACTATTTGTATCAGGGTTCTAGAGGTTTGACAACTAAGGTAAACAGTTCTAAGACATCGTGATAGTGTAGAGCTTCTATGGTATAATATGAAGCATTTTTAAGTTACATTTCTTACAACGTGTATATCACTTTATATTGCAGAGTATATTTAAATTAATATAATCTCATAACAATTATATAATTCATAACAGAACTTTTAATTATAATTCTGCTTTGATATTAATTACTTTCCCCGAAACTTTACAAATATTTTACACAGATTTTGATTTTTTACAGGCGTGTCCTAATTTTTATTTTTAAATAACGGTGTATACAAGAAAATATTAGCTTACTGGTCTCATTATTGTGACAAAACATACGTTTCATGTGGTGTTATAATCAATAAGTGTATTTTGTTTTTTTCGTTTTAATTGTAAATAAAAAAGTTCTTTACAAATAAAATATCATTATCTTCTTATAATTTTGTTTATGTTTTGCTACCCGGAAAACAAAATTATGACAAAATAAATTGAAATTGGTTATAAATATGTTAACCATAAAGCAAAGTTTGTTAACATGACCAAGTTGGAAAAAAACAATATTCAACATTGTCCACATTTAAATAGTGCCTTAGTCCATCAATTTTAAATGCATATATGTATTAGGAAGATGAATATTGCGTTATAGTATTAGTTCCATAAGAAATACATCTGAAGCTCCAATTGCTGACAAGTTTACTGAATATTTCCTCAAAACAGCTTTACAAGTTAACCTAAACACTCTTTTCTTAAGACAATGAAATAAAAAGACGGCCGTACAGCAATATATTGATTAATCTGTTTTCTATCCTGTGGTTTTAATGCCTTTATCATAAGTTATAAAAATCAGAAAGTAACACAGGCAATACTGCAAAAACTAAGAAATTACATGCGGAAGGCATTACATTGACTCAAATTTAGGATACCGCAGTTCATTATATCGTTAAACAAATACTAACATTCCTTTGTATTAAATAATAATGCCCGCGTAACTCAAAGATATTTCAATGATTTTGAATCGACTTTTTCCAATAATAACACAATAATTGACATGTTAGTCAACATGCTGTAAATAAAATGTAAAAACAACGACGTTCATGACATTACAAGGCCTCCGTTTAAAAATATCATTAAACTCTATAGTTATAGGGTAAGGTCAATATCATTTAAATTAATGAACAAATATTATAACATGCATGTTATATGGTAGATGTATCTAAATGACTGTCTTTTACAAGCTTGAACAGGGATATACATGTATAAATAATTAAGCAAGCAGTTATATTTGGTAGCTCAAAATTACCGAACAAGATTTAATGACAGAAAAAACGTGTAATATTTGGTTTGATAACATTTTTGTAATAGAAAAAGCATCGAAACACGAGGCTTTCTGATTTGTACGAGGGGGCGTAGCGTTTCTCTTTTCTTTGTCGTCACAATAAGTAAACTCCAGCAAAAATGAGCCAATCAATGGACATGCTCTGGAGTGCGGGTAACTAATACCTGCACTCCAGTAAACGCACTGTGCATGTATATGCATACGATTTAACTCTGAGACATTTTCAGCAGAAAGGTCCCCAAACTATGATACAAATAAAGTTTACAAGTCTATGATTTGGAAAAGTTCCAGATGCCTGCAAAGATATATACTTGTTTTTCTGTTTAGTAAAACGAGAATTATACATGTACATGTATAAATGTAAGGTTTCAGTCAAAGTCTTCATAAATGATACAGAGTAATTCTTTTACCAATACTGTTTCAAACGGCCTCATTGTAACATATAAACACAATGGAAGAAGTACGTAAAAAGCCAACATTTACTTTCAGGCAATTAATCGGGTATTTGACAGGTGTAACAGTTGGCATTTATCAATGAACAGTAGCTTTAAGCATTAAGCAGTTGAAGGTAAGCAGTTGACAGTAGGCAGTTGACAGTAAGCAGTTGACAGTAGGCAGTTGACAGTAAACAGTAGGCTGTCGTTTATGGAATTCCGTAATTTCCAGAACTCTAGTATGTATTAAATTGTTATCCTACGGTTGAGTTCACAATTTATTTTGATAACATTTTACGAATAGGTTGTTCATACTCTTAAAAGTGCCTTTAAACTAGGTAAACCTCTTCATATACTTTCTGTAAAGCTGTTAAGGCCTACCGAGTGACTGTAATTAGTCTTTTTTTATTTGAAATGTTATTGTTACAATGTTTAGTATTTAGTCATACAAGAATAGTTGCAAAATGTATTTAGTTTTAATTTATATTTTCACAATGTTTCAAAAATAAATAGTTTATGTTTAAACATGATTCGTTTCATTTGTTTTCGTTGTCAAGCTGCTACAGGATGTTCATTATGTGTAATGTTATCTATCTTTCAATCATGTGGTCGTGGGTTGGGTTCCACTTACTGTTTTCCTCATACTACACTATGGCAGGCTTGTTCAAGATGCCGAACCTTTTTTTACAGCGAATGTAATCGTTAACTACATGTATTTACAAGAAAGCCCTTTGCGATTTAATAACCGATTTTATCCATTCATAACACTTTATATAAATACAATAACAAGAGCTGTCCGTAAGACAGCGCGCTCGACTTTTTTATTGCTTGCCAATAAAAAAAGTTTTTGCAGTAAAAGGCAATACAAGAATCTCTGTATTTTTAAAGTGAACAATGGCCATGAGCATTAAGATATTTAGTGAAGAATTATTTTACTGAATTGTGTGATACCCTTGAACACTGCAGCAAAGTTTGAAATGTTTAAGTCAAAAGAGGGCTGGTAAGAAAGAAAAAAAAACTGAGTTGAGCCTTAAATAAATTTAATAGTATTAAACCCACTTTGAGAGAATAAGGTATTTTTACGTCACTCAGAACACCTTGGTAAATGACATAATAACATAATTTTTCAAGAAATCTATGCCAAGGAAGCAGTATATTTTTGTACAATCAGCATAATATATAGATTTGACTTTGTATGTGAAAGTATTATAGTTACCTTATAATACAAAACATTGACAGTTAAGGGCCATAATTCAAATAAAATCTTTGACAGAATTACCTTCTCCTGGACATGTTTGGGAATCATGATTGTAAACAAGTATTCCAACTTTCAAATTAATATCTCAAACAGTTCAGTCAAAAAGTGGACTGGTACTAAAAACTTAACCAAGATTCTAAGTCGATAAAAGGCCTTAATTTTTAAAACAAATCCTTGACAGAGTTACCTTCTCTTGCGTACAGATGGGGGTAATGATGTGAAATAGCATTAAAAGTTTCAAAGCAATATCTCAAAGGGTTAAGGCAATAAGTGGATTTTACCCATATTCAATGTATTTTCTAAGTCAAAAAGGGGCATAATTCTGTCAAAAACCTTGACAGAGTTATGTCCTCTTGTCTGTTGATGAAGGTCGTGATGGTAAACAAGTATGGTCAGTTCCAAAGCAATACCTCCAATGGTTTTGAAATAAAGTGAGGTGGTACAAAAAACTTAACCAAGCTCAATACACTTTCTAAGTCAAAAAAGGGCCATAATTCTGTCAAAAACCTTGACAGAGTTATGTACTCTTGTCTGTAGATGGAGGTTATGATGGTGAACAAGTATGGTAAGTTTCAAAGCCATACTTGTAATACTTCTGAAATAAAGTGGGGTGGTACGAAAAACTTAACCAAGGTGTGACGCCAACGCCGACGCCGGGGCGAGTAGGATAGCTCCCCTTTTCATAGAAAAGTCGAGCTAAAAAATGTACAGGTTGTAATAGCGGATGACTTTTTGAAAATAGTTCAATTAAGTTTTAATGCTTAGTACATAATTAGTGTTTGTGTCGAAATTTACGAAAATGTAATCTTGAAGGTATGTGCTCTGTTGGAGTTCGATCCACCCATCAAACATATGTACAATATTCTACCATCCTCAGACCATAAATACTATTTCTGTATCTCAAGTAAAGCATGTGTGAAATGTACGAAAATCGTTGTTTCTACATTATGAAGTCTGTTGGCTAAAGTTCAGCTTTAATGCACGTTATCATTTTCCAAATACATGGCAATACTTGCACCTTTTTTTTTTTGAAAAGTGTCTCTTAAAAACCTAATACTCGTATGTCGTTATTTTAACAACTTATTTTAATAATGACACCAGTTGTGGTTAGTTCAGGTAGGTGGACTTAAAATAATTAAATAATAACTCATTAAACAATCTGTTTTCTGAATAAACTGTATGTAAGATAAACCAAACACTCAATATATTGTCAAGATATGTTTATTTAAAAAAAAGAGAAAAGAATATCATGTTTGATGACATTTACGTTGTTATTTTCTTTAACTTTTTTCACTTCAAATATTTTTCAGTAAAACTATAAGAAAAGGTTGTCTTTACATGATTGCTTTATCATTTACAATGCCAGGTGTTTCATGCGTGTTTAAACAAAGTATTATTATTAAAATTTAAAAAATCATATAACTTGATTATAAATTCAGTAAGATAAATATATAATTATATTAATCAAAAGGCCAACATAACAAACAAAATATGAATTCTTATCTATATGAATAATTATGTCATATATATAAATCAATTAAATTTAGATTAAAGTTAAGTATGGACGGACAGGAAAAAGTCACTTGTAGAAATATCACAGTAATATCCAATAACAGACATAAGTCATGTCATGAAGGACATAATATAAGTCCTATCACACACAATGTAAATAGAAATAGAGTTAAAATCACAAACACTTGAAACAAAACTGTAACACTGAAACTACATATAACAATCATTTAACAATTAAATACTATATCTCATATATAAATATCACAAGTCAATCAATAAATCAACACTATGTCTTAAATCACTGCCAACATTTCTCAATGTTCAAATTTGAATATTCTAAATAAAAACGCATGGTTTTTGGTTTAAAAAAAAAAAGAATTTAATCTAAACCTAATGGTCTTTTCCCTCAGTTTTATAGAATGTCAAGTGAGTCACTCATAGAAGACCTGGAACTTCAGCATGATTTAATCTTCCTAATGATGTTTAATGGGCTTTAAGGAAGAGGGCAGCTCCACATTGTACCCACTGAGATCTGTTACCCCCACATGGTACGTTCAGCTTGGTTATAATACGATCCCTATCTGCACTGTAGTAAATAGGAATGGAGATTGTCTCATCCATACCGTATGGATCAGGGGTGTCATCCTGTAATTATCAAAATATCATTTATTAAGCTCATTAATAATTTGCAGTTACACTTTTAAACAAAAGGGCCATGATGGCCCTGAGGTCGCTCACCTGTATATAGGCCCCCCCACCCCCCAACCCCCCCCCCCAAACGTTGCAGGGCCAATTTAACCCAAGGGCTTTTATTTGCACAATCTTGGTAGACACCCATAAGAAGATGTTTCATGCTGAACATCTAAGCTCTAGCTCATTGGGCTTTTTAAAAGAAGATTTTTTTAAAGTTTTTACTATATACATATAGTTAAAAACAATGACACCCCTGGGGCCGGGCCAGTTTTGACCCCAGGGCTTTTATTTGAACAAACTTTGTAGACACTTACTAGAAGATGTTTCATGCTTAATATCTAAACTCTAGCTATTAGGGTTTTTTCAAAGAAGATTTTAAGTTTTTGCTATACACATATAAAGAAAATCAATGACCCCCGGGGCGGGGCCAATTTTGACCCCAGGTCTTTTATTTGAACAAACTTTGTAGACACTCACTAAAAGATGTTTCATGCTTAATATCTTAACTCTAGCTATTTGGGTTTTTTTCAAAGAAGATTTTTTAAGTTTGCTATACACATATAAGGAAAATCAATGACCCCCGGGGCGGTGCCAATTTTGACCCCAGGGCTTTTATTTGAACAAACTTGGTAGACACCTATTAGAACATGTTTGATGCTAAATATCTTAGCCATAGCTCTTTGATTTCTTTAAAAGAAGATTTTTTAAGGTTTTACTTAAATATGCATATAGGGAAAATCAATGACCCCCCGGGGCGGGGCCAATTTTAACCCCAGGGCTTTTATTTGAACAAACTTGGTAGACACTTATTAGAACATGTTTCATGCTAAATATCTTAGCTCTAACTCTTTTGGATCTTTAAAAGAAGATTTTTTAAGTTTTTAATATATGCATATAGGGAAAATCAATGACCCCCTGGGGCGGGGCCAATTTTGACCCCAGGGCTTTTATTTGAACAAACTTGGTAGACACCTATTAGAACATGTTTGATGCTAAATATCTTAGCCATAGCTCTTTGATTTCTTTAAAAGAAGATTTTTTTTTAAGTTGTTACTATATGCATATAGGGAAAATCAATGACCCCCCGGGGCGGGGCCAATTTTAACCCCAGGGCTTTTATTTGAACAAACTTGGTAGACACTTATTAGAACATGTTTCATGCTAAATATCTTAGCTCTAACTCTTTTAGATCTTTAAAAGAAGATTTTTTAAGTTTTTACTATATGCATATAGGGAAAATCAATGACCCCCTGGGGCGGGGCCAATTTTGACCCCAGGGCTTTTATTTGAACAAACTTGGTAGACACCTATTAGAACATGTTTGATGCTCAATATCTTAAAAAGCCATAGCTCTTTGAGTTCTTTAAAAGAAGATTTTTTAAGTTTTTACTATATGCATATAGGGAAAATCAATGACCCCCTGGGGCGGGGCCAATTTTGACCCCAGGGCTTTTATTTGAACAAACTTGGTAGACACCCATTAGAACATGTTTCATGCTAAATATCTTAGCTCTAGCTCTTTGTGTTCTTTAAAAGAAGATTTTTAAGTTTTACTATATGCATATAGGGAAAATCAATGACCCCCTGGGGCGGGGCCAATTTTGACCCCAGGGCTTTTATTTGAACAAACTTGGTAGACACTCACTAGAAGATGTTTCATGCCAAATATCTAAGCTCTACCTCTTATGTGTTTTTGAAAAGAAGATATTTAAAGTTTTTAAAGTTGCCATGGCAACCAGAGTTCTGCATGGAATTAAATTCTTTGAACAATTTTTAAAGGTGACCACCAAAGGAACATTCCTGTGAAGTTTGGATGAAATTTGCATAGTGGTTTAAGAGGAGATGTCATTTAAAGTAAAAGTTTACGGACAGACGACGGACGGACGGACGCCGGACGAAAAGCGATCACAAAAGCTCACCCTGTCACTTTGTGACAGGTGAGCTAATAAAAGAAATAAAAAAAATACTACAATAAACCCATATTTGATAAACACAAGATCAACTGTCACAACATATATTAATGTTATGTTATGCATTTAACAGATTTATTTTCAATTTAATATCTTAAGTGGTTATAAGAATAAAATTTAAATCCTTCACCAAGAATTCCTAAGGTTCACAAAAAAGTGCATTAAGCAAAAATCCATGCTATAGAGGTTTGGTCCTGCATAATTACCTACAATTATGAACTCAAAATAGTCATGCTAAAATACATGTCATTACTTCAAAAACATAACTTATCTGATTTTCTTTCAAAAGAGGGAGATTTTAGAATTTTCAATAAATAAAGAAGGAAGTTCTAACGTCAAAAAGGGAGATATCTTTAATTTGTGAAAATTCCCCTTATTTTAAGAAAAATCTTTGAAAATATGGCTGCAAAAAGTGGGAGTCTCCCACTAAAAGTGGGAGAGTTCACATGTATGAAAGTCCCCACATAAACAATAGCAGTGAGATTCAATAACATTAGAACAGAAAAGTATAGAAAACGTACCTTGATCCAGGCTACCATACATGGTGGTATACCAGATATACTTGGTGAATCACGCTGGTTCTCTGACAGTCTTGAACCATCAAAACTACAACCCTCTAGTTGTAGCCCTCCTATCTTAACATTAAATTTAGCTCCTTGTAGAGACCCCTTCCAGCTACAGCAGAATTTCAAATTATCCATAGAACAGCCAAGCTCCCTGTAAAGGTCATTAAACAAACGATATAAAAAAATTAAAATATCATATAAATATAAAACATGATTTTATTTAAAATGATATATAATGGATTTTTATTCTATGGTATAAGATATTCTGATTATACTGTACTGAATATAAACACCTATTGTTGAAACTGTAATATTATCTCATCAAGATATAAATGGTAACTGTATTACCTAGCAGTTTGCTGTCGTAAAGCATTCAGGAATGTATCTGGTCTAAACAGCTCAGAGAGGTCAAGTGTATCACGTAGGAGAGAATTATTCTGTGCCTTGTCTACCCAGCTGTTTACAGCTACAGCACGGGACACCAGACCTCTTAGGTACTGTACCGGATCTTCTGGCCCATCCCACTTCGCTTGCCAGCTAAGAGGAGTCTATAAAACAACAAAATATCAAATTATTCAAAACTATAAATGTGTAAAGTTGATCAACTACAAAACTTTATACTGTCAAATTATAACTCTTCCTTCCCATTATCTTCATAAACAAGCCCAAAAAAAACTCAAACAACTTGATATTTGGGTGTGTGCCTTCTATGGTCACATCTTTGTACAGTCATTTGTATTTAGTAAAGAATGCAGACTTTACTCGGGTTTTATTTCAAATACTTCTCATCTAGACAAAACTCAAATTACTATGCTAATTAAACCTTATTTACTACGTCCATATGCATTTTTTACTTTATTTCTTATGGCTCACTTCATTTATGAAAGTCGACTTAAAAAATATCACAATAATTAACAAAATAAATCCAAAACAATAATTAAACTTACAGACTGATTGAGAAGTGCAGCAGCAAGATCTTGAACATCTTTACTAAGAAGCTGTGTTCCTCGTATAACTTTACTCAATGATGCTAAAGACTGGTGAACACTCTGTACTAGTTTTATAGCATTATAACGTTCTAGTAGAATGAATGAAGTTATAGGAGATTCATTACCAGCCTTCTCTACAGGTGCCGTCACCTTAGTTTGTATCAAGTTAATACCCTGAAAATCAAATAGGACTTTTAGTTAAGAAATGCGCTTTATTTCAACACGTTAATTCCACACAATAAATTTCTGAAAGTTCTTTTGTGTAATCTAAAATTCTTCTGTCAAAGATAAATCAATAGGATTAATCAATAGCATTTGTCAATTATTAACTAATTTATAAATATCATTGAATATTCTTTATTCTGAAATTAATGATAAAAAGTAATACTAAATATTTTGCTTCACCATTCAGTAGATTATGCCTCTAGTGGTACTGTATTTTGAGAGAATGACCAGTTTAAAAAGAAGGTAAAACTGAAGCAAACCTGATTTATTTTATAATCATACAAACAGAAATATCATTCCATTAACAAAGAATCTTAAAATCATCAGTTAAATATTATAAACAAAATCAACATCAAGAACAAATACAACTATCAACAACCAGCAGACTTGCTGACTCAAACAGATAAAATAATAACTTTGAAACATTTTAATTTACCAAAGGTTCCAATACATCTTTCAAAAGTGTCTAAAAAATGATTATATAGCTGTCACAATGAAACAAACTCATTTTCATATCAAAATGATCACTGTATATATATCTATGTTTAATGTAAGACTATAATTTTTCCATATATTTTCAAACTGTTTAACAGAAACAGGAACATGAAAGATGAAATGCAGTACATGTACAAAAGTTTTTTATTAAAACTTCTTCATTATCTACATTTTGCTTATTTTTTTTGTTTTACTTTTTTTTCTAAATAACTTGTTAATATTTTATTTACTCCTCTAAAGTCAAAACATCAATTAATTCAGAGACATTCAACAATGTCTGATAATACCTGAATCCCGCTCAGCGATGAGAAATGTTTAATAATGCTTAACTTGTGTCAATAATGACAAATGTTTTTTTCTTCATTAAGATAAAAGACTTGAATGTACTTACAGTATTAAGTTTCTTCCACTGGTTAAGTATGGGACCAAGTTCTGTTGCCCAGATCTCCTTGTCAAACTTGCTAGCCTTGACGTCGGCACGTTGGAGGACCTTGAGTTGTGAGATAACCTGACTACTGATGATACGCTGTGCTGACCTCTCTATATTCTCTGGTAAACCAAAATATGATGGTTTGTCAAACTCCGGTAAACCATTAATCACTTCCATATAATCCTATATAATACAAATATGATTCATTTGCAGTAAGAGATAACAATGTCAAACAATATCTTATAAAAAAAAACAAATTTTATCTTTCCACTTTAAAAATGTTCAAATATACATGTATAACATATACAAATAATTAAAGTCAACATTTTATACATACATGACATGTAGCAAGACACATAAACAATTTATTTATTTATATGATTTGCTTCAACATAAATTGTCAAACAGAATTTCAAACTGATTGCCTCTGTTGTGCCATGTTTTCTTCCTCCTGCTGAACATTGTCTTGACAGAAAATATTAAAGCACATTGTCCCAAATCACACATCAAAATGTATCAGACAGCCTCAAATAAATATTTTCATCAATACTTGAATTATCTTGACACTTGCTTGACCATAATACTACTACAAAAGTAGTTTTTTATTGAATAAAACATGATATTTACCCTGTAATTAGTTGATGTAGGAAGTCTGAGTGGACCAAGGCGTTTATTTTTAGATCCAGGGGAGAGTACTGCTGGATCAAAGAACTGTAACACATATGCCTTCATCACATTTATATCAAATGGATTATCTACCCTGCCACCATATATAGCTAACTCGTAAAGTCCATGGATAAACTGCCATTGTACATCTTGGGCTGTAGAAGAATGGTACATGTGTAAGTCTATATTCTTATAACAAATTCCTTTATTTTTTTTCACACAAAATATAAAACAAATTAACATCTTCCATGTGCATTTATATGGTTTTATTATTTGATCTGTATGTGATGCTTTTTGTAAAGTTGAGTAAGCAGACTAGTGTACATAGACAAACTTACTGATGAGAACTCACCAAAGTTTGACATAAAACCTGTCTGTCTATATCATGATTTCAAACTAAACATCTTCAGAAACAGTTATAAACTTTAATAAAAGTTATGATTAAGCTCCATTATAAAACTTTATTAAACAGCTATTTCATGTAAAAAGCCTACAGATTTTTTTTTAATCTGACATAGTACACATATCATCCCAAGTTTCTGATATAGTAAAGAATTATAGCACATGTATAAACATCATAATCTTGTTGTTCAGTACTTATTTGCATCAATAATACCATATTGTTTACATCATCACATAGTTCATATGGTTAAATTAAGAAAGAAGACTTACACCCGATGCATAGTCTATCAATGATATCAGCACCAGCACGCAGGTCAGACAAGGAAAACTCATAGAATTTAGTCCAGCCCTAAAATATCAACAATATATCTTTAAAAAACAACTTTTATAACCCACTTTCTGTTTTCTTAGTAAATCACAAGGATGATAGAAAACAATGTGGGGGTGCAAAAAAGCAATTTCAATCAATTTTCAGTTAAGATAAATTACTTAATTACATATAAATGTATATATAGCATACTGAATGAGTTTAGGTTCCATTCCAAAGTGGAAAAGCATTAATAATTTGAGCCGTGTCACGACAAAACCAACATAATGGGTTTGCGACCAGCATGGATCCTGACCAGCCTGCGCATCTGCGCAGTCTGATCAGGATCCATGCTGTTTGCTATCAGTTTCCCTATTTGTTAGAGGGTTTGTAAGCGAACAGCATGGATCCTGATCAGACTGCACGGATGCACAGGTTGGTCTTGATCCATGCTGATGGGCAAACCCTTTATTTATTTTTTGGTTTTTTTGTGGGGGGGCCCCAGGGCTATTTTTTGGGAACTTTTTTAAACAAAATTTTTTAAAAAAAATTTTTTTGCTTTAAACATATTTTTTTAAAAATAAAAAATTTTAAAAAAAACCCAAGGGTTTCCAAAAAAAAATTTAAAATTTAAATATAAAAGACTCGGGAAAAAGGCCGGGGAAAAAAATTTTTTTTTTATTTAAATAATTTTAAAATTAAAATTTAATTTTATAACCAACTTTTTCCCAAAATATAAAAAAACTACCCCCTTTTTTATTTTTTTTAAAAAGTTAATTATAAATTTTTCAAAAATTAAATTCAAAAGTATGAAAAACCAAAAAAACCCCAAATTTTTTTCAAAGGAAAGAATCAGAAAATATAACATTAAAATTTTAAACCCAAATCACACATTTTTAAATTTAAATATCTTATGGGGGAAAAAACTATAGAAAAATTTTCCCTTGTGGTATATAAAATTCCCCTCCCCTTTGAAACCCACTGCATGGAACCAGGCCAAGAGCAAATAATCCCTGGGAACGTAAAAAATTTTTCCCCCTTAGTTTTACAAAAAACCCCCCGGGGGAAAGGAAAACCGGGAAAAATTTTTCATATTTTTTGGGAAAAGTAAAATTTCCCCCTTTTCCCCACAAAAGGTTTTTGGAAAACCCCCTTTGGGGAAAAATAAAAATTGGGAAAAACCCCTTTATTTTATTTTTTGTAACACTTTCATTTTATTTTTTTTGGGTTTTTTTATTTTTCATTTTTTGAAACCCAATTTAAAACTGGTTTATTTTCATTTTTTTTTATGAATCCTTTGAAAAGATTTTTCTATTTTTGCTGGTGTTCCAAAATTATTGCAGGGTTTTTAAACTTTTTCCTTTTAACAATTTTAAAAAAAACCCAAATCTTTTGATTTTTTTTTTAAAAGTAAAAACCCTCTTTAGTTTTGGGGGTTATCCTTAAAGGGCATCTTTCATTTCCCCCCTTCTCAAAAAAAATAAGAAGAAAGGAAAATTTTTAAAAATTTTCCCCCCTTTATATTACCAAAATTTAAGGGAAAATTTAAAAAATTTTTACTAAAAAAACGGGAAAAAAACCTACCAAACCTCAAAAAGTTTTTTTTTTCAACCCCTTTAAAAATTGGGAAGAAGGATTGGGGGGGAAAATTTGGGGAAGGGAACCTCTGGGGGGCCCCCCCCAAATTCCCCCAAAACCCCCCCGGGGAAAAAAACCCCCCCTTTAAATTGGGGCCCTTTAATGGGGTTAAATCTCCTAAAAATTCAGTTATATTTCTTTTTTAAAATACTTTTTAAGGTTTTCCCCCTTAAAAAACTTACCATTTCCAAAAAAAAAATTTTTGGAAAAACTAAATCTACAGCATGTGTTTTCAGATTTTTTGTTTATACAAAGCTGTAAATAGAGTAAGGATTCATCCCAAGCCATTTCCACATCCCTTTATAAGTGGTTATTTGCTTCAAGTTCAACACCATTACATGTAAAATCAAACTGCTATTTGGACTTTGTTTCATTTTTGTATGGATTACTTCCAACGTTTTTTTTTATGAATAAAATCAAAAGAAAAGACAATTAAAAAATAGAAATGGTAACAATGTGATTTCAGTCAAGGATTGGTTGGTCATTTAAAGCGGCAACATTCGCTGCTGCGGCAGCGAGTATTTCTGGGTGTGACTTATCAGTGATGTAAAACTGTCTGTTATAAACCATGAGCTAAAAATAGAATGCAGTGTTAACCTACAGAGAGAATATAAACAAAACAGCTGATTTTACACAGGAGAGGTTTAATGGATGTTTTATATAACTCACAGATTAATCAGATTAATTAAAAGACATTATCAAGCCATCTTGTCCAGATATTATTTTTGAAGTCAGTTTTTTTTCATCAAGTCAGACAACTATATCCAAATCCAAAGGGTGTGCCTTACATGGGACATTTCTTTTAAGAAAAACTGCTAAAAATGATCTTGACAGGAATTTAAAATATTTTTAAACTATTGATATATAAAAATTTTATACAAATGATAAACATTTGTGAAATGTAATTTTGACTACAAGATACTTACAACAAAATATAGTGTAAATGAAATATACCTGGAAGTTACTTTTACTGTGTTCATGAAGTTTAAACCATTTAAATACAAGTTTAATCAGTACTTTGAAATTAAAAAAAATCATAGATTAATGGATTATTGTAAATTTGTTGGATATAAATACTTTTTGATAAAGTAAGATCAGTAAAAGTTATTGTTTTTTCTTATCATGTATTCAGCATACGAATGTGTCGTCTGCTGAAAATTTCCCTCCCTGAAATATATATCGTCTGCTACAAATCTCTCTCACTGAAATAAACACTGCCACGTGCATCTGTTTACTACTGAAGGTTCATGACCTGTAATGATCAGTTGGCTCCTCCCATGGAAATTCAAATTTCAAATTTGACAGCCAGTATTTTTTTCCAGAAACATACTTAACAAAGTTTATTTTGAATAATTTTGGTCAATCTATATCAAGAATATCTATGTCTACATACATGCCAAGTGTTGTTTAAATGCATTTGGTAATTAATCTTAAATCTTTGAAAAAGGGTCCCTGAAGTGAAGCATGCATACAATTAACAAGAAACCTGCCCTAGCGCCATCTGCTGGCTTTTATAGTCCAGTTGGGCCTTTAAGAACACCTTAATCCTCAGTGGCAACATTTCTTAGAATCCTGGCCAGTGTGCTATGTGTAGTTTAACAAGACTGCTGGCTGCTTCTAACTGATGAGTGTCAATCCAAATTCAATGTAAAGTAATACAATTACTAAATTTATGAGATAATGGTTTAAGATCAAATAATTCAAAGAAACCTACCAATTTGTAATTAACAAATATAACTAAACTTTGTAAATAAAAGTGACAGAATACCTTTTCTAAGACTGGTAACCAGGCTGTAACAAGATGAAGATTTTTCAGACACAGCCAGTCTCCATTTTGTGAACAATCTCGTAATAACTGCATGGCAATCTCTGCCTGACCTTGACCCATAGCAACCTACAATCATAGTAGTAATTACACGTAAAGTTTACATACAGTTCTGGAGAAATATGGATATATTCTGCATTAAAGAACATTGATTTCTGTGTGTTTTCTATTTGCATTCTATTCCAAGGTAATTTTTGTAACAGTTTAACAACATATACAAACCTGTCTTAACTATTCTAACTAACACACTGTGAGCAATGCAAATTTAACAGAGAAATTTAAATTTTATTTACATATTATGCTATCCTGAAACATAATAGATGCTATAAAAATATTTTTTTTTAATTCTAAAAATATTTTTTTTTAATTCCAATTTCTTTTTCTTGAATGTAAATAATCATAGTCTGCATATATTTAACTGTTTAAAACTAATCAGGGGCTGAATCATTCATAAAATATTATTCTCATGCTCACTTTATGGAAATAAAATGATTACAAACAAGTCTATGGTTTTACAGACATTAATATTTCTGATCTGTTTTGGTTGTCATCTATCAGGATGGGAAACAAATTCTTTATTTTACTGGTCTCAAAAATTGAAATAGACTTTTGAATCACATTGATAAATATCGGCATCAAAACTATGAGTAGTTTTACCTGGTGATATCGGTCATGTCCAACAATCTCATCAGCAAGTTCCTTCAACTCCTGTGAGGGATCAGCACCAGGGGAGATTACTATCAATACTGGCTCCTCCGGTAAAGTCTCAGATTCATACAACTTCTTCAGGTTAACAGAGGGAGGAGATAACTCTTGCATACCTGAATAGTGTTATAATAACAAACATTAAATATGAAAGCAGGATCTGTTTGTAAAACTTGTATTACTTAATGTCAGGAATAAATCATCACATTTTTAGATTTGACTATTTTATTTTCACTTACTAATGTAAAGCACATTATATTGACATGAACACATTGAATATCTTCTTATTACGAAATACAATTGTTAAGTTTTTAAAAGAAAGAAATATTTCTAAAATAGGAATCCCACATTTTTGCAAGTGGCATTTTTACTTCATAATATATATAATTTAAAAATAGTTTGAACTGCAATGGCTGCTTTCTCCTTCTATATGAAAAACAGAAAAATAGAAATAACAAATAGGTATACCACATGGCACCTACACTTTCCCACTAACATGATGGAAAGTTAGCATTTGAACTTTACAAAAAATTGACAAAGCCTGAAAAGAACATCCATCACCATCCCCTGAAGATTATTAAAAAGTTTTTATCCCCACCTATTAAATGAAAGGAAAGTGTAGCAATAAACTTACCAAGAGCTCTACAAGCAAACAGTCCCATAGCACTCTGTAGTCTATCCGGTCTTATAGCCTGTACTAACAACACTTGCTGGAACAGAGAAATTCTCTTCTCTATACCTGATGGTACCTCCTGTTCACACTGGCTACTACGAGCAAAGTTTGACCACGTTCCTCCATCATCAAGATTCAGTGCGTTGTACAACTTGCTTAAGTTTGACTGAAACATTGTTGAAATGTTAATGCAATATAAGATCACACAAGGTATTTATTTGTTCATCAAAGAGAGACCAATGCCCGTACGAAAAAGATAGCAGGATTCCGCCTAATATAAGCAGGAAAACGCTTAAAATTTCCGTGTATATAAGATTTTCCTGCTAATTTAAGACGGACACGGAATTTTGTAAAAAATCCTGCTAAGCAATTTCATATTCCGCCTAAGGCTTAGGCGGAAAATATGGGATGAGCAATAATTTAGGCGGGTTTTAGGACTTAGAATTTTGTCAGTTATTTGTTAACAGGAATTATGTACTTAGACTTTTTTGTTAACCAGAAATTGAACTTAGAAATTTTTACTAGACAGATTTTCTGAATTAAGAGAAATTAAGAAGACAGGTAAATTATAAATCGAATAAGTGATCAACAATTATTTTGCTGCTTTTATTCATTGTTAATTTTCAAAACTAAAATATTGTTTGTACAAACATAAATATACATAATCATTAATTGATAAAAAAAAAACTCCACTACAAAACTAAAACTTAGAACATAATATAATGATTTTGTGGTGACTTTTGCATAGAATATATTTCACTGTGTTAAATTTGGGTATGAAACTAAACTCATATATTAAGCTTTTTAATGTAATATAATTAAATGAGTAATATCCCAGAAAATTTCTTATCAACAGGATAAATAAATAAATACTGCCTCTAGTAACCACTCTACTATGATTTTACACCACAGACCTGATAACACACAGATCAGATCGTAAATTCTGCTACAGTCCAGACTGTTCCATGTGATTTATTTTGGGGGAAGCAACAGTTACTTAGTACATTTTATATGAAGAGTCTGTTAAGAAGGACTTTGCAAAGTTTTTTTTAAAAATATTTATTATGAATTTTGGATTCTTTTTCCATTTATTTTCTGGTATGTTTATATAATTGTGAAAATAAAACGATGGGTTGGATTATCCCTGTTTACCATCATATCATGGACTTGTCCATAATTTGAAATCTAGCTAGGAAATATGGGTCAGCAGAAGCTGAGACAGTGGAAATAAAGCAAATAACAAAGGATTTTATTGATAGTTAAAAATTGTGGTGATAATATATAAGCAATTTTTGAGATAATATTTTGTTTAAAGTGTAAGGATTGAATATTTTTGAATTTTTCAAAGAAAAAAAATTAAGACTTAGCCTTGTGAATGAAAATGACAATAATCTTGATATGCTCAGTTGTAAAGGAATTTTGAATGCTACATTATGACCTTGGACAAGAAGATAAATACCAATATCATAAAAATTCAGGTAAGTAACTTTTGGATACATTTAAACAATAAAAATATATTTCAAATATATTAAATAATTTTGCATTAAGTTTGAGAGTAAATTTGTAACACTAAGGTTGGTTGTAATGAATTATAGTTTAAATGCATGTATAATTATAACTGCATACAATGACAAGAAACAATAATATAAGATATTAGTGGTGGCAGTGTTTTACTGATGACTGTTTGTGTTTCAGGATATGTCTCAAACTGGTGTAAAAAGAATGGGAGAGGAGGAGACAAGGATATTAACGATGCCGCATAACTCAAAGCAGATCAGTTATGCTTGGAATAAAAATGAAAACAACTGGCTGAACAGAAAACATTTACAGTGAAATAAAATGAAATAATTTGCCATGGATTAAAACAATACAATAGCAGTGCAATAAAAATATATCTCGTGTTTCTGTTTTTTTGTGTGTGACTCTTTTACGTACTGTACATGCACCCTATTTTAGAAAAGATATGGTAAAGCTCACAAAGATAACTTAAAAGCTTTGTAATTGTGATCACCTATTGTCTGTCTGTACATTTTGGATTCCAATTATTCTTATGCAGCTAAATAATAATGTTGTATCCATCCATAATTCAGCTTTATTAGTGTACTGGTCATCACAAAATTGAATAACTTCATTTCCTTAGGCGGATTTTTTTCTAGTATTCCTTAGAAAGAATTTTATCCTGCTAGTGATTTTTATAAATAGGTATTTTTTTCCTGGTTAAAATGTTTTAGGCGGAATTTTTTCCGGCTAAGAATTTTCCTAAGGCAGAATTTTCTCCTGCTAGTGCTTTCCTTAAGCTGAATTTTTTCCTGGTTAAATTTTCCTAGGCGGATTTTTTTCCCTCTACCCTAACTGTTTTCCTCCTAAGGAAATTTGCATATTTCGCAGCGTATTCCTGCTTATAGGAGGAATCTGTGATATGTAAACCTGAAATGCCTTAGACGGATTACGCCTAGTAGCTAGGAGAAATTTCTGCTTTTTTCAGGGCGGAAGTTTTCGTACGGGTAGTTACCATATTACTCTAGTTTAGGATTATTTCAAATCATTGCATATTTTTCTAGTATTGTTGGGTACGATTTAAAGAACTGATAATAGAAACAAACATGAACAGTGACAGAATTACAGATTGTTTATGTTAATGAATAAGAATGCATGATGCCTGATCATAAATTGTTTACCTCAAGCCACCCACTTGAAGACATTGTTATAGCTAGAAGTTGCTTAAAAGCCCTGTACTTTAATGAGATGGACAAATATTACAAATTTTCTGAAATTTAATCCTTATATTATAGTAAAAAGATGAAAACTTGTCAGAACAATATTCACATATTTTTGTGAAACAATTTTCAGTACAATTTAAGATGTATGGCAGTTATAGTTTTACCCTGAGATTGGCCACAGCATGAGCTCTCTCTGGTTCTACCCAATGTGGTACACTCTTTGATGGGTCAGACTTCACATCTGCTACCATCATACCATTAAATGTTTCCCATTCCTGTAATATAAACAATACATCTTTCATCTAAATATTAGAACTGATAATAATAAGAACTGATAATAATGAAATTATGATTCTAAAAATTATGAATCTACATGCTTAATATGGGAAAGCCAAATATTTTTCTTACAGATTAAGCATAGGCACAATACATTTTGTATAATATTATATTACATGTATTATTACATATTAGAATGTCAAACATGTAAAGAGAATGGAATTATAAGGATACAAAATGGCAGACGAAACTAGACTTATTCATGCTGTATGTAAAATATAAACAAACATTCAGATTGAATACCCTTTAAAACATGGATATACTGAAAGACTTGTGACCATGAATATCAAACTTACATTTTCTTCAAACATGTCTGGTTTCATTCCATGTACCATATGCATTGCAAACATAAGTCTGTCAGCCTTGAATAGTGACCTGCACACATACTCATACACCAGATGCTGTAGGTGTCCAACCAGAGTCTTGATCCTGTGGTCCATACCACCACCGTCCTGACGTGTGTCGAGGGCACGTTGGAACAGTCGCAAGAAGGCAGCCAGACTGAACCTGTACATATTGTTTATCTTTGCCAGATCACTGATAACAAAATACAATGCACTTCCATTCTCTGCCAGGGGGAGGTAAATATTACGCTCCTGAAAGGTAATTTATCACATTATTCTATATATATCTTGCTTTTAAATTTATCATATTTTAAATAATACAAACAAGACATAGATTTCACATTTTTTATTGTTAAATTGCAGGCACAAAAAAAATATGACTTAGCTCTTTAACATTGTTATTCAAATTAATATTACATTTTCAAAATAAGATTTTAAACTCTAGTATTTTAGATAAGCCTATATTATAAACTTATATTGCAACAGTACTATACCTGATCCAGGGAGGCTTGAAGCCTGACTGACTCGGCAAGGGAGTCTGCTATAGTGATACTGCTGGCTTTTGTCTTGTTCAGGGAGTCAAGAAGCTCTTTGTTCTCCAAAATGTTACCTTTAGCATTGGCTAGCTCCTGTACAATAACAAAGTTGATGACATGATTGTATTTTTCACTCAAATATTTCTTAAGCTAATTCAGTTATAAACTTCATGATTTGAAAACACAAATGATACAACATCTGCAACCTTACCACATAAAACCCTTAGCTAAAGTATTACTGTGAAATTCTGTGTACTTTAAAGAACTAAAATGGTCCCTACTTTAAATCTAGATTGTTACAATACAAACCTATAGTGTAAAAGTTTCATCAAGTTGATGAATAGGCTACTTGTATATGCACTTTCTATTTTAACTTTGCTGAAACTGATATTCAACAAGCCTTTGCAAGGCTCAATACTGTTGATTAATCCATTTTTGTATTTTGATATCTAAATCCCCAAACATTTGAAAGGATTTTGAAGCTGGACCAATCCACTACATAAATTCAGCAGGTTAAGAAAATTCACAAACAACAACAACAACAAACTATGACATTCCGGCTTATATTAATGTACACTGGGTTTTACCTCTAGGAGAGATTCCTCTAGTTTTGCAAGTTCTATCTTCAGATCTTCTTCTTGTTTTAATAAAGATGTTTTCTTCTCTTCTAGCTCAGGTTTCTCATGTTGAATGGTAGCAGCCAATAACTATCAAATAAAGAACAACACTCACATCATTATAAAAACTCTACGTTCAACAAGTTTGCTAACGGTAATTTATTGTGTTGTTTGAAGTAAATAGTACTTGCTATATTTATGACATAAATACATTGGTAATAAAAGACATTTTTGTATAAGGATTAAAGATTTGTTCTTTTGATGCTGTTGACTGAAATGTTTCAGTTATTTTTTAAGAATTTAGTAATCTTTATAACACAAGCTGACATAAATATTTGATATTATACCTGTCCAGTAAGACCAGCTTTTGTTGTGGTAAAGTTCACCTCTGTAATGACTGATGCAGCATCAGGTGGTATCTCTGGGGCCGGGTTACGTGTTGTCAGGAATAAACGGAACTCCTCGTTATAATCTATTGTCTTCTCTCCTATCTGTACCACATGACGAGGACCTGGTCAAAATAACGCAAGATTAGATACAAATGTAGCTTCAGTTATTGATCATATGGTAAAATTTATACCCAAAAATTATCTAAAACAAACATTTCTACAGATACCATTTTGATGATAATTGACACTGAATATACTTCAACTCATTATTGCCATTTCTTGGTCTAGCAAGATCAAAACCTGCTCTTATGTAAAGATTTTTTATAGAATGACTAGTAATAGTATATCTTAGTAGCTTACCTTGAGAAACGAGATCTCCTCTCAGCAGAGGGTACAGAACTGGCTCCACACCATCTACTTCCTGTATAATCAATGTCTTGCCAAATCTAACAGCCAATTCTAAAGCTGTACTGAAGTTAGCATCCTAGAAAATAAGATAACTATTGGTCAAATCTTTTCTGAAAAATTAAATCATTTCTTTGTTATTGATTTGACATGTTTAAGTATAATTAAGACAAGAACTTTTAAACTTATAAAAATAAAAAAAGTCTGCTTTGTTAGCCAACAATTTCTGCATTCACCGGAAAACACTGTCATAATCACAGTTAGGCTAGCCTATTACCTCAGTGGAACTAATGACAACAGTAAGGTAGCCTATGACCACAATTACTCTCACATAAGATCAAAGTAAGGTAGCCTATGACCACAGAGGGTATTATAAGCCTATGAACACAGTAAACAGTGAACATAGTAGTAACCTAGGACAACAAAGAAGCTAGCCAATGTTTATAGATAAACCTATGACAACAGTGGGGACATCTTATGATAACAGTGGGGCCAGAGTAAAAGGTTTGATAAAAATTTTGGATAAGAATTACTATCATTAGAAATGGTCCTGATATCTCTTTTAAAACTCCAAGTGAACTAGGATCTTTGGCTAAAAGGTCAATCATTGTTACATTGATAGGCCCTATTCTTTTTGTCTGGGTTTAAGTTTTATTTCTTGCAAAATTTAAAATAATTCTTAACAAGGTTCAAAGTTTTAAAATGATAAATGTACCTGTTGATTGATCACTTCAAGTCGAGATTCTTTTAGATGAGTTTTCAACCAATCTGTTGCCCTTGATGATGGATCTACCAAGAATGGTCTCAAAGTACTCTGTTAAAATATGTATATTAACTTATTACTATAATGCACACAATAATGTACTATACGGAATATTATGTTGTAGTAGCTTTCTGATGCTTTGTATTTTTCTACGAGCAGCGGTGGAAAATTGATATCTCGCGAGACCGAAGGTCGAGCGAGATATCAATTTTCCAACGTTGCGAGTAGAAAAATACATAGTCTCAGAAAGCTACTATAACATAATTTTCCTTTTATTATATACCTTTTCGTTTTATTCAGAAAATGAAATGCATTTGTCAAGAAACAAATTCATGACTGACGGATGAATACGTAATTCTTGCAAACTGGCCACGCCTTTAATAATTTTGGTTTCCGTTTCCAAATGCAACGTTATACAAAGCTAAAATCGGAACCAACGTCAAAAATAGTCCGGCACTTCCATATATGGTACCGTATTTGTCACTAACATAATACGGAAATTTCTATCCGCTGAAGCGTATTTGCGCCTCAATATTTGCGTGTATTTTAGCGAGAAAATGTATAGGTATATAATAAAAGTTTATATTTGTAATTTTTCTATTCCAGTATTGTTTTCTGACTATAAGCATTATATTGGTAATGATTGGGGTTCGTCATGCAAAAAAACAGAATTTAAAATCCAATTTCCAACAACAACTGCTTTACTTGGCTCATGCTAACATTTATACCCTAAAATGTGAACAATGTTACAAATAAAAACATATTGTTAAACTATAAAGCATATTTATTATTCTGTATGATAACAACAACTGAATATTATGACAACATCATTAAAAGAAAATTTTCTATATAACAATTATTGAGAAAGGTGACATGTTAATGTATACATGTATATACATCATTAAAATTTTAGGTAGAACACATGATGTTGTAAAAGCTAGAACTGCCAGAATTGCCACAATTCTGGCACAAATACCTGTCTGACATGCTACTTTGTCTGTAGATTATTATCAAGTTTCATTCTGATATATCATAATGACTTAAAGTAATGCTCTTTAACAAAATTAAGTACATGTTTTAGAAATACAAAGGGCAATAACTCTGAAATAAAACATGATTATTGTTGTTCTTGAAAATTGCAAATCTCCGCAACAAGCTTTATCTATCCAGAAGGTTACATGTTGATACCTTCTAGAGTTATGCCCTGGACAAAATTCATGAAAATATTTCTGGACAAAAATCATGAAAAATATTTCTTGACAATAAATAAAAATTTTAAGGACAAATGTTACAAAAGAGAGTAATGGTATTTGGGCACTGCCTCTCTATTCTATCTATTATGATAAAAGTTTCAATGTGATACCTTCAATTTTTTAAGTTATGTCCCAGATAAACACAACCAGATGGACAGACGGACAAAGTTGATTCCAGTATACCCCTTATAATGTTGTTGTACAAGAGGTATAATAAAAAACAAACAACCAAACCAACCTAAAAGCATGATGCCTGATCTTATAACTGGTAATGATAAAAATATTTAAATCTGCACTGTTCAATATCAGTCAATACATATTATGATATTCTCCCTAAAAATGATAAATGACCAGATTGAAAGATTCATTTAAAATATTTAGCGTGGCCAGGGATAAAAACATGCTATGGTGTGCAAATGATCCAAACAGCTAAAATGCATGCAAAAATGAAATTGTGAGATATAGTGAAATTAAGAAAATCTTCATGCCAATAAAAAGTAAAATAAAGTTTGAAATGTTGATGTCATAAGTTGAACACCCTATTTGACCTACTTGTATTTGTTGTTATGTGTATCTAATATTGTTTCATTTTATTGACCTGTCAATTGCATACAGTGCACACTTCTATAAATTTTCAGTAAGCTTTGTCAGATGTACCCAGTGAGGTGTGTTAAAATTTAATTTTGTCTATACAATAATTATACTGAGCCTTACAGCATAATATATTAAAGTACAGTTTTGTAATTTTACAAACTTTGTGAGATCAAGATTGTGCAGATCCATTTTTTTTTATTATTAATTATATTTTCAAAATTATTAAAGGTGTAATTATTTTTACATTGTTTGCACATATTTTGCCAAAGTCTATTCTCTTTTTAAAAAGCATCATTAAGAATAAATATCTAAAAAATCAATAAATGTTGTTTAAATTCAATATAATACAAAACAAGGCAAAACAGTATTTGTGTTTTTGTGTTGCTCCACACCTGGGTGTACATGTTTGAAAGAAATCAACTATTTCCATTAAAATATATCCAAAAAAAAATAAATAAAAAAAATAGCAATAATAAGGCTCGAACCATAGAGCTCTCTCTTTAACCAACTGTGCTACTGGTGATGTGATGGCAGTATACTTTAAGCTAGTGTGACATTTTTAAACATTTAATTTACCCGTAGTTATATACTAAATATTAAATCTCGTAAATTTAACGGACAGGACCGAAGTGGATCAAATATTTAAATGATAGCTAAAATCATAATGTATTCATAATCAATAGGTCAATAAAATGGTACTATAACACTTGTATATTTGCAGTAATAGACTTGACAACTGTTAACTTTTTATATTTACTACAGAAGATAGTGGTAAATTATAAGCAGCTGTAAGTTGATATAACCTAAGTCCTTCGGAGTGGAAACAATCATTTATATAAACAAAGTGTACATATTTATTTAATCTATATAATACTGTTCAATTAAAAGATATTGATGATAAAAATATATATAATAGGGTTTAGAGAAAAAAAGGAGTATATATGGACATATGAAATGATTTGCTTTTGCCTTGCAAACATAAATTTTTTTGTTCAAACCTTGAGGTGAATTGCCTATAAAATAAAAAAACAAAACATAGTGAGTTCACCTCTAGTAAATTAAATGATGTCTGTAAACAACATAAAAATCTGAAAGTACAACATATACATGTAAACAATATTTGTCAAGAATAGGGAACACATTCAAGAAATATGCAAAGCTCTGGAGTTGAAGCTGTAAGCTGGGATGAACTGTCACAACAAACAACAAAATGGAGTGGGGTATCGCAGTAAGACTTGAAGAATGCAATGTCAATTATTCCGTTATATTTGATACCACCATAACTGCAAATTTATAGCATTACAAATCATTTTTAAATATTTCTTCTACATTTTTAATGCTCAGACCCACTTTGTTTTCCAATCAATATTCATTACATAATATCTGATTAAGGAAAACTTTCAAATTTCACATCATTCAAAATTTGTACCATTCTTTAATAATATATAGCAACACACATTAATTGTAAAACATCACACCATATATACCTGTATGTTTTGTTTAAGCACTAGTTCTTTTACCATAAAAATTTAAAAAAGCATTACAGTTGGGCAGTTCCTTTATGAATAGATAGATACCAACCCATTTACTTGCCAACACTATCTTTTATACGATAAATTTGTTGTAAAATAAAGACATATATATACAAATAAAATCACACACACACACAAAATCTGAAATTAAAACAAGCAGTGAGGTGAAAGAACAAGAAGTGCTGGTGGCAGTATGTGGGATTCAAACATTGTTTGTCTTACCCCTGGAGATATATCAGTAACCTGCATGCACAGTAATTTCTCAAATATAATCACTTATTACACAATTACAGTTACAAAGTACAGTTTTCTACTGTCATGCATTGTTCCCTATATATTCATTTATTACATGCACATGAAATATTTTAATTTATTTCATACATCATTAAATGTCACCAATGAGCTTCCAGTATTTGCACTTCATGATTTTCCAATGCAAATCATAATTGAAACAAATCTTTTCAGTTTTAGACTTGTTTTCAGTTGATTTACAGTCAAAATTTGTCAACCCGGCCCCAAAATTTGTCAATCCTGTCCTACAGTATTTCTGGCTGGGTCAATGCAGTCCAAAAAATGGCCAATCTGGACCAAAGATTGGTTAATTTGGCCCCAAAATTGGTTAATTTGGCTCAAAAATAGATTTTCAAAATATATAAACATTATGTCATTTCATTTTTTGCAATAAATGAATCTTTACTAATTGAAGACAATGAACCATACAAACATAGTTAAAAGACATTAACTGGCTTTTTAAGGTAAAGTTATTTAAGCCAATTAAGGCTTTAATGCTTTCAGAGTCCAAAAGTTCTGTATTAAATTTATATTGTACTCCATTGAGACTTGTTTTCTTTTCAGAGTCCAAAAACCAATATAAAATCAATATCTAAGTAAACATACTTCTTATATACAAAACATTGTTGATTTTCAGTATTTTCAATAATGTAAAGTGTTGTCTTCTAAAGAACTGGTATGAAACAGGTAGACAGTTACATTGTTGAAAACAATACTGTTTCATGTTGGACACAGCTGCAAAAATTAATATAGGCAAGGCGTTTTTAAACCTTTGTACTTGTCCAATAAAATTCAGTATTTATGAAATTTCAAGAATTCTAAAATCATGCCCAACAATTTTTGTATATATTCATGAAATATTTCCACATTTTTAAGCCGAACAAGGATATTTTTATCAAATGTTCAGTCTTTTTGGTTTGAGTTTAAAAGTCGCATTCACACAGCTTAAATGGCACTTTTCATACTTCAGGATGAGAACCTTAAGTATTCGATAAAGAATACATCTTTTTCATAATAACACAAATATCACCCCAGGGAGCACAATAATTTCATTACACATGTATAAACACTAACTACATAATCATTTTCATGCATGTACATATATCTTATATCATACACAGTAATTGCCTTAAATATTTTCCAAATTTTGCCGTCATTCTAGTTAATAACTGTTGCATATACACTCATATTAAATATTTTTTTTATTAACACATTAACATTTCCATTACAAGCTGAGTAATTGTGAATACCCTACTTGTGCATTGCTTTATGATAGTACACCAATAGCACAGTCATGACTATATAAAAAGTCAGCTCAGAAAAATTTAACATGTACATTCATTTTACTTTACATTGTTTATTTACAACAAATTGTAAATGCACATAGTTCCTGTTCAAATATCACCTTCATCATTATTCTTCTATAGTAAAAGTTGACTGTGTAATAATATTGTATTATATCAAAGTTATTTATACATGTATTACATAAGCATATAAAGTGAAAGCTGTAAAATGAAAAACAAATGCTTTAAGACTTATATGTAAGAGCAATATGCAACTGAAGAACTCACAATTAATTATTATAATTCAAGCTTTATCTGTGATTAAAATATTAATTATACTTCAGCTATATCAAAGATTTATTCAAGGCTTTTATCTCTTCTTTATTTCACAGGAGTCAAACACATTTAACATATCATCTACATAATATATAATTCAAAAGTTATTCATGATAAGAGATAGAAATGTGTATATGTAAGTATTAGAAAACCATTATATATTTAGTATTTACATGACTAGACTTGTACATGATTTATCTGACTAACCTGTAGAATAACTATAGCATTCTCTACAGAGAGGTCATCTGATGGCAGACCTTCACTCTTCCATATAAGTTGTTCACTCTCTGTACATAGGAAACGTCTCATCTCAAACGCACCAATGCCGAGGGCTTCACGCCAGTTGACGAGGCATGTATGGCGAACATCTTCTGGGGCTTGTGACAGGTATGCTACAAACCCTGCTGCAAGCAAGACTTTCTTTGGAAGTTCCTTTAACTCAATGTCTAACTCTCCAACCTAGGATATCAATACAATCATAATTTAAAAGTTAAAGATATAATTGTCAATATGTACTGAAAAGATCTTGAATCTATAAATTACAAGATGTTAAAATATTCACATAAATCATGAATATTTTTGTTATTGTAAAAAAATTGTTACTTGACAGGTCATTGCAATTTAAGGAAATTGAAAAATATTTAATCACCAATAATAGTTAATCAAAGTTAATCAAGACTTTGGCTTCAAAAAAAGGACCACCGAAAGTATGTTCCATCCAAATATGAAAAACATTAGTGAAAAACTAAAGGCTATATAAGCAATAGTGTAAAAAATCTATTGTTGGCATTTGTGGCCTTGTCCTTTAGTGACTCCTTACTCTGGTGTTCCTTCCAAATATGAAACACACCTGTCAATAAATAAAGGCTGTATGAACAAATATGTGAAAACCTATTTTTTAGCACCCTTGGATCTTGACCCCACTCCACAAAACTGAAGAGGACCACCTGCTATGTTCCTACCAAATATGAAATATATCTGTCAATAAATAAAGTAAGAAGACTATCCAATTTATGTTCCTACTAAATATAAAAGACAAAAAACATGAAAGATATCAGTTTATAATGAGCAAAAGTGTAAAAATTTATTTTCTTTACACCAGTGATCTTGAACTTGACCCTATCAATAATATAAAGTTTAGCATAATAACCTGATTGTTCCAGCGAGTATACTCTCCATCTAGCTTGGAAACCAATGTCTCTGCAGCAAGAATAGTTTCATTCTCTTTATCCAGTTTAATCTTCAGCTCTGCAGCTTCTTTAGTGAGAGTTTCAAATCTGTTTCTGTATTGAGCCACCTTCTGGTCTACCTCATCCAGGGCGCGACTAAGTTTTTCCATTCTAGACTCAGCTTTATGTAAATTTCTACAAAACCAGACAATAATCAATCATGTATCTTTATATAAAGTCTCATTTTATGTTGTTTTTTCAGGTTTTTCAATAAATTATGATAAAAATGTATAAGATCTAAATTCTTAAGACTCTGAGGTGGAAGAATTCAATTTTGAGGCAAAGAAATTAAATTAGAGACTGCAAGTCTAATTTTTTCCTTACAAGATTATGTATATCTAGGAAGCCTTCAATAAACAGATAGATTTCTCTGCTAAAAACTATGTAAAGGTATATTAAAGAGCAAAAATTTTCTATAAAAAAAATATTTCTTACTTTTTGAGTTCATTTTGTTCCTTCTCTAGAGGTTCAATCTTTTCCAGGACATAGGAGTACTGTACATTAGCTCTAACCCAGGCTGCCAGAGGCTCAGCTGCAACTGAGGCCCTTCTTGCACTCTGAAATATAAATTAAAAATGATTTGTTGAAAAATTCTAGAAATGGGAGTTCCCATGAAAGCAATGAAAACAACAAAAATACAAGAAAATTGCAAACTCACCTTAAACTTTAAATTAAAAGGAAATATCAAACATATTAGTTATATTATATATTTAGCTAAACTGTAATATGCAGAGTCATGTTCTGTCAAAACATTTTTTCATACCTTTGGATCAAAAGAATCCTTGTTTTTCTTCAACAGATCTTCAACATCTTCTCTAATCTTCGGGTTGATAGCTCTCGCATCAAATGTCTGAATTTCATCCTTCACACCTCTCTTTGCAAGGAAACTATATAATAAATTCAGAAAAAAATTAGATAAAACTATATATTTTTGAGATAGCAATGTCTTAAGCACAACACAATACAGATAAATATCCCTCTTTAAAGGGGCCTGTAGTTGACAAATTATGCTTAAAATGTTAAAGGATTAGATGCCATGCAAGCTATTTGTGTATTTATTAGGTGGTATTCCACAGCACAGGTTCTTTCTATACACTCATCTAAGTCTGAAATTTTCATATTAGGAAAACACAATAATTAATACCGCAAAATTAAATGCATCTTAAAATTCATCTCAGCATTATATTTTATGAAGTTCATTACCTTTTCATGCTAACCCATGATGTATCATAGATTCCCATGAGTCTAAGAACACCCTCAAGAATGTCTCTGATAACTGGTGGTGGTGCACGGAGAGATCTGATCTCAGACAATGATTCTGTCTTGATGTTACCTACAGCTGAACGTGCTGCCTGTACAAGAGGTTCTACCTCAGCTAACTCCTTGTCAATGGCTCTCTTACGTTTATCCAGTATCTTGTTCTCCTCAGCTGCTTGTTGTTTCAACACTTCCATCTCATTCTTCTGCTCATTAGCATTCTAAAATTACACAGAAAACTGTGATACATCTCTTCACAAATGCAATCTTAACCAAGTTTTTATGAAATTTCAAGTGTTTGTATATGTCCCTGTGACATCTGAGCATGTAACATCTATATTTAACTCATAGAAAACAATTATCTACCTGCATGCTCTCTGTGATATGTGAGAGGGCCTGGTCAGCTTCATTCTGTTTCTCTGCTAGTAGTACACTCTGTTCTCCTGCCTTCCTCTTCAGCTCATCTACTAACTGTTTAGCTTCATTCAACTTAGATACACCAGCCTATAACAGATAACATATATAATATCTTACATTCTAACTTCTGCATCTTTATCATGACGGTAGTTTTACTGATGTTATGAATTTAAAATGGTGTAAATACATGTAATATGAGCAATTTAAAAAAGTTATAACTCTAAAAAAATGATAACAAATACGTGCTCTAAGCTGTTTAGTTTCTGATAGTGAAATCATTTAAAATGATCTAGATTTACAGCAGGACAAATAGCTGTCACATTTATTAAGTGGGAGTAAAGATTTATAGATAACATTCCTTAGGAAGGAGTAATATATACCTGCAGATGGTGTTGTCTTGTCTCAATACCTTTTTTCTTGTTACTATACACTTGTTGGTAGGTATTAAGGAAGGCAATGTATCTTCTAGGAGTGGCACCAAGGTTAGTCTGGGCAGCAGACTCATGTACATGTAGAAAACCTTTCAGTAGATCTTCACCACCAGATAGTTTACGTTTATGTTGTTTGGTCTCTCCGATGGTAGCTCCCTCTATCTTTGGTGGTTTGGTCAGCAACATGTATGGGATCTTAATATATAAAAAAATACAAAGGCTTCATACAGTCCATACATCAAACAAAAATTGTTTGCAAAAGACATCCATACAATTGTTTGCCACTGTAATCACATTATATGCAACTCTCCAAGTTTTATGCTTCAGCAGATAAAGTAAAATATAGAGATTATCTATTGTAAAAAAATAATGACTTGGTTTTCTAGTAGCAGCATATCAAAATCATAACCCAATAATTAGAAAATCTGCTTTCTATTTATGTACATGGAATCACAACAAAATAGCACCAAAAGAGAATTGCCCAATGTAAATTTTCAACTTATTTTGCTACACATATAAATTATAGAACAATTAAGTCCTTCATGAAAGTTAAAATGACAAAGATTATGAATTTCTGGGACCAAAAAAGTCAATAACATTTCATATATTTGGATCAATATATAGAATATATATATTTCTTCGATTTGGATACTATTTATGGACAGTTATTATTAAGACATTGAAGTAGTGGACTTATTTATACATGTATTAAGAATCATTATCATAGTTAATTTGTTTCATACATGTATATAATGTATTTATTGGGTGGGGGGGAATATGACAACAAAATTCAGCAAAAAATAAATGAGCTACCATACAATATATGAATATTTACCTTAATCATACTGTCTCTACTCCAGCCTTCCATCCACTGTACAGCACACTCCTTATATAAAGCAGGGTTACTCTCACAGTTCAATATAAATTTATCATTTGTACAGTCCATGATGAGAGCAATATGAAGATTAGTCTTGATTCCTATAAATACACACAAATAATGTATTACAAAATATATGATTCTTAAAACATAAACAACCAGTCACAATAGTCAATAGGCAGCAAACACATGTACATGTAGAAAACAGTAGTAAGCTGCAACATAGTTTTTTATGAATCTTTCAGTAACTAAATATGATCGTTATTTCAATTCGCTTGATAAAAACAAAATAGGTTGTGCTTACTCTGAGCAAAGAAGTTGATGAGAGTTCCCCTAAAGCCGGCCTCTGACGCCATGTCTCTGAGAGGGTTCAGTATAGGTTCAAGCTCCTCTGGTGTGTAAAGTCCTGGTACCTCACCAGCTGACAGAAGACTATTGACAAGCTCAAGGAAAGTTGGGTCCACAAAATGGTGATCCTCTAACAGCAATACTACCTGCTCCCCTTCTATACCAGCTTGTTGCATCGCCTGTATATATCATTACATTAATATACAATAATAACACTAACTTTATCTATTTTACTATCTTTCTAAAGTTCATGAGCTTCTTACACAAAATCCTTTTATGCCACTTAAAAAAGTCTATATACATTTGTATTATATAAAGGATCTAATAATTGAGTTGCCATATCATATAAAGTTTTATTTCACATTTCAAGAAATTTTATAAAGCGAGCCTCGGACAACAGCTCAGACATTTATAAATATTTAATACTGAATTATCTAATATTCAGGTATCTTATATTCAAATAAGATAAATAATTCACAAGAATACAATTATGGAAATGACACATTTTCTATGTAAAGCACTCACAGCTTTAAGGTCATTCTTGAAGTTTTTGATTGAATATCCACGAGATATTTTTGGTGTGAATAGCTGCATTTGGTGCATATTTGTGACCAGTGATACGGCTGTCCTACGTCCGACTCCACTACGTCCAGCCATCAAGAGTGAGCCACCAGGTTTGGTGAGTACACGATCTACACGAGCCATTGTATCCAATACCTCATTAAATATGAGGATGTCAAGGTCACGGTTGTCTCGTTCTAATATGGAGAAAAGTATAACATAGAATAAAGTAAAGGCTATCTTAATTATTGTCTAAATATAGTGTTATACAGAAAACAACTCCTCAAATCAGAAAGATATGTCCGACTTTTTCAATTACCAATGTGGATAGACAAGATATACGTTATACAAAGAAATAAAAAAATATCTGTATAATAAGAAAAACAAAGTGTTCTGGTCATATATAATTACCAAAAAGACTTCAAAAATCAACAGAGACAATATGATTTTACATAAATTTTCTATGTAAATGAAAAGCATAAAGAAATAAGATGTGACATCACATTTGCCCTGATGATCATAAGAGAAACCGGTTGGCAAATAATTAAATAAGTTAACTCATGGACTGTGTTTTTTGTTTTATATGTGACTTTTTTCCGGCACTTGTTTTCATTTTTTGTATATATATATATACAATTTTTTAAAAGTGATGCTTTACCATAGAATCTGATTCCTTTCTCAATAATGGCTTTCAGGTCTTCAGCATTGAGTTTACCAAGATGTTTGCCACTAGGAGGTAGTGGTGCACCAGCAGCTGATGGAGCGGAGGAATCTCTACGTGCTCCCCATGTCACAAAAAACTCCTCTGTAATACAAATTAAATATAGATGTGACCTAAATAGTCTTATACTTTTAAATACTATGTCAGTTCAACAGATGTTAATTAATATTACAATTTTCTAGCAGGAAGATCAGGAAGCTATTGTTTCGAGTGTTGTTTCAGGAAAGAGTGTTTACATGGGTAGACTGCAGGCCAGCTTAACAGAAATGAACAACTAGCATATATGATGAATAAGAAATCAGAAACACAGCTTTTGTGTTGTCTTTTTCATAAAATTAAAATCTATTTGAGTTCTTTAGTTGAAGACTGCAAAGTTGACTTAACCACTTATCATCATGAGATGACGGGAAAAAGAAATCCAAGATTTTTTGTGTTTTTTTTTTATGCACAACAAACTTTTTTTGCCAGGGTCATAGAAAAAGTCAGAGGTCACTTACTATCTAGGTCATCAAATATGTTTGCAGACCAGTCACCCCTGACAACATTCATGAGAACATTGTCAAACTTGTCTTCTCCTTCAGAACCAACTATCCTATCTCTAAACAATCTCCGTGCCTCATAGGCAAATATCTCCAGTACATGATCACTGGTGTTCTCCTTTGCTCCTCCTGTCAGGTCATACCTCAAGAAACTTAGCACCCAGTTTGTGAGGTCACGAGGGGTAAACAGATAGTGACTGTAGTCATCCACAGTAAACCTTGACCTTAACTGTAAAATATAACAAGAATCAATGTTTAATTTCTCTGTTATAAGTATGTATCTATTACCAACATAATCAGTTAGGACATCAACACATATGCAAATGACTGATATTTACATGTATTTGTTTTTTGTTAAGCACTTATAAACTGGGTAATAGTTGCATAATAGTTGGAGCACCAAATGTCATACAAGTAAAATCATGTATCTTCTGTAAGCTAGATACAGATCTTCTTTCACAATGTTTTCTATGATAGTCTATTTTATTTGTATACCTCATCATAAAGTTGCACCATGGATCCAGCAAGGGCATGAATCTTGGAGTTATTACTCCAGACTGGGTGACGTGAGAGCTGGCGGTGTAATATAGGTTTCAGATATGAGCTGTAGATAGATTGTAGCTGCTCCCTGTCTGGGTACCTGGTGTAATATAACAAGTAAGAACAAACTAATTATTCTTATATAAAAAATGTAATATGCATTGAGGAGTTATCAGCACTAAATTGAAACATTAAAGCAATCCATTACAAATTTCTCATAATCTAATTTATAAAGTTTTTGTTATTCAGTGAGTTGTTTTGTCCAGCTACAATTATAACTGACAAACACCCGTTTTTAGTTTAAGAGATTTTACAACAGACACTAAAACTTGACTGTTATTATAAATTTGTATTTACCCAATACAGCAGATCCTGACAACAGATGTGAATCTAGGTGTAAGTTTATGTCGTCCTAGTGATGTACCAGCATTCATACTGGCAACAATCTGAACACCTTCTAGCCCCACCCACTCCAAGTTGCTGTCATAGAAACCATTGTATGTCACAACCTGGTAGTAGAAATAGAATTATTGTTATCAAATGTTGTCTATACTGCAGAACTACACTCAACAAAGATAAAAGTGAACAGTTTGGTTGTTCTTCATAAATGCTAAACATTCCTTTTTCTTTTGATAAATTGTGCTAGTACATAATTTTCTATATTTTTAATATTGTATCTTACTACATGTATTTCTGTCATTTTATTTTTAACAGTTATCAGTTACTAACCTGTTGTAGGAAAGCTATGAGTTGACAGGTTCCCCACTTGTCAGGTTTAGGAAGGTTTATATCTTTTAGGTAGAGAACTAGTCTCTCACAATCCTTGGGTCTATACACCCTGCCAGTGTTAGTGTTGAGAACCATACATGTCTGGCTCAGCTTCTGCAGCACATGGGTAGGACTGGTTTGAGCACTACAGTGCACTATGGCAACAGAGGTGGAACGCAGTTGTTCAAAACAGTGCTTCAACATCATACTATAAATTTAAATATGTGGTATAAAGTACAAGTCTTAAAACAGTAGCCACTAGAGTGTTAACAAGATTTTTCTATTTTTAGCTCCAGTGACCTAGTTTTTCATCCGAGATGACCAATGTTCAAACTCATCCAAGCTATCAACTAGACAAACATCCTGACCAAGTTTGATGATGATTGAGGCAAAATTGTGACCGCTAGAGTGTTAACAAGGTTTTTCTATTTTTAGCTCTTGTGACCTAGTTTTTCATCCGAGATGACAAATGTTCGAACTCATCCGAGCTATCAAATAGATAAGCATCCTGACCAAGTTTGATGATGATTGAGGCAAAAATGTGACCGCTTGAGTGTTAACAAGGTTTTTCTATTTTTAGCTCCGGTGACCTAGTTTTTCATCTGAGATGACCCATGTTCGAACTCATGCAAGCTATCACCTAGACAAGCATCCTGACCAAGTTTGATGATGATTGAGGCAAAAATGTGACCGCTAGTGTGTTAATAAAGTTTTTCTATTTTTAGCTCTGGTGACCTACTTTTTCATCTGAGATGCATATGTACGAACTCATCCAAGCTATCCCCTAGACAAGCATCCTGACCAAGTTTGATGATGATTGATGCAAAAATGTGACCGCTAGAGTGTTAACAAGGTTTTTCTATTTTTATCTCCAGTGACCTACTTTTTCATCAGAGATGACCCATGTTCGAACTCATCCGAGCTATCACCTAGACAAGCTTCCTGACCAAGTTTGATGATGATTGATGCAAAAATGTGACCGCTAGAGTGTTAACAAGGTTTTTCTATTTTTAGCTCCGGTGACCTACTTTTTCATCCGAGATGACCCATGTTCGAAGTCATCCAAGCTATCACCTAGACAAACATCCTGACCAAGTTTGATGATGATTGAGGCAAAAATGTGACCTCTAGAGTGTTAACAAGGTTTTTCTATTTTTAGCTCTTGTGACCTAGTTTTTCATCCGAGATGACCCATGTTCGAACTCATCCGAGCTATCAACTAGATAAGCATCCTGACCAAGTTTGATGATGATTGAGGCAAAAATGTGACCGCTGGAGTGTTAACAAGGTTTTTCTATTTTTAGCTCCGGTGACCTACTTTTTCATCCGAGATGACCTATGTTCGAACTCATCCGAGCTATCACCTAGACAAACATCCTGACCAAGTTTGATGATGATTGAGGCAAAAATGTGACCTCTAGAGTGTTAACAAGGTTTTTCTATTTTTAGCTCTTGTGACCTAGTTTTTCATCCGAGATGACCCATGTTCGAACTCATCCAAGCTATCAACTAGATTAGCATCCTGACCAAGTTTGATGATGATTGAGGCAAAAATGCGACAGCTAGAGTGTTAACAACAAAATGTGAACGGACGGACGACTGACAATCATCGATCCTAAAAGCTCACCCTGAACATGCTCAGGTGAGCTAATAAATTAACAGAAGTTAGCTATACAAGAAATATTAAACCTAGATTTAACTTTAACTGCTTATATAAGAAACTAAATGATGGAATGATGATTATTTAGAAAAAATAAATATACCCTTTTCCACATCCCTCGGGTCCGACCAGTATAAATGGCTGTTTATTGTCAGGGGCGAGCCATGGCGAGAAGAAGTCCATTCCTCTCTGTACATCAGATGTTCTGATAACTGGTAGAGATGTACTGTTGTTGAAATGGTCAGGTGATAGGTCAACTGCAGACTGTAAAGTAAAATCAACTTTTGTGTTAGTTTTATAACAAATGAGAGCAAACAAAACTGGGTGTTTGAGTTTAGAGCCAGTATAGAACAGTTATAGTGTCAGCTGGTAGTGTGTAACATAACTAATATTCCCATGTGGTATACCAGCATAATCTTGCTTATTCTTTAAATCACTTTTATTCATATATCTCATTTAAATTGTATACATGTAGGTCTTTAATGGTAATATCTCACATTCACATAATTCAAGAAAGTAAAGATAATTTCAAGTAACAATAGCATTACACTGTACATACATAATTTTGTAAGTACAGTTACTAAATTAATCTAACGAACCATTCTTAATAAATCTTTTTTAAATGTAAGGCCTCTTTAAAAAAAATTTCAAGTTTACTACCAATGCTTTTCAGCATTTTTCTTCATGTCTGACATTAATGCAAGATAAACAAGTTAAAGGTAACATAGATTATAAGCCTACATCTTCTTTTTTACCTATAAATGCTTGAAATAAATAGATAAAATTTACAAAAAGTTTCAGGGTTAAAAAATTTAAAACAAAACCGGGCCCTCTTCAATGTGCATCTTAAAATTCAGTCTTATTATATTTAAAGCTAAAAAACTGTTGTTTGAAACCCTTTTAAAACTACAAGGAATATTTAAAAATACAATGCAGGGAAAGTCTATAATACAGTCAGTATAGTAAGCCATAACATACAGCTACACTGCTTATAACATATAACATACAAATATATTGTACATATAATGAAATTCTAGCAATGTCTATTATGTTTTAAGCATTCTATTATATGTATATTAGTCCATTTCAACAGTCTTAAACCTTTTTTTATAGATATTATGCATTAAAATATAACCAATAGCTTATTTGAAAAAATAAACATACTGATTAAAAAGCGAAATAATTTATGTGATAATCACCAACATAAAGTAACATTAGTTAAAATGTATAATAAAAATTTAATGTTCATTTCCTTGAACGAGTTTCTTAGGAACATTCACTGAAACTCACTTGCTTCCCAGGAAAAATAAAATTATATTTTTATAACTTTAACTTTTAGTTAAAGACACCTAAATGACCTGTCCAATAGGCCCTTCAAAAATTGTTGATTGCCCTTTAAAAATATCAAAACTGTAATTTCTATATGGGCTTACAATGGAATAGCAACGAAATGACTAGATTGTAATAGGGGAGGAAAGCAAAATTATGTTATACATTTCTTTCATTTGAATGTCTACTGTTAAGAAAACCAGTAACACAGTGCATGCTGTCACCTTCTAACATTCAAATTCAAGTGAAGATGCAATACAACAATTAAACTGGACACTTCCATCAGTCACACTTCATGTAACATATGTGTTCAACCTTTACCTATATGTTTGTATATAACATGTAAAATAAATTATATATACATTGTTGCTGTCTCTCTTGTTCATGATCCTACAGTCACTATTTTCTGATGGAATACCTCTCCATGCATTATTACATGCATCTGAGGGGGCTCCACAGTAGAGCAGTCCACAGATCTTTTATAAACTTGCCTAATAGCTTACCTTTTTTTCATAACATTTGAGATCCTTTACACGATATGAACCTTAAGTAATAAACATTTGTTTGTTTTAACTCTAATTTTTGCTTTTGGTATATTGGTTCAATTCACCCAACCGCTTTCTGATAACTAACCCGTAATTTTAAATTTCTGTTGTGAAAAATACAAACTAAATAAAATCGTATAAGTGGGAGAGACAAAAAATATAAATCTAATCACCTATCTCTAATATAATAAAATAATGTATCAATGGATATTTCATCAGGTTAGGTGAAATATTACCTGATGGAATAGTCACTGTAGGACCATACTATCAACTTTCTTGTTTAAGTTATTGACACTTATTGAAATATAAATCTGATTAAAAATATAATACATTTATTGCACTTTAGTCAATGTAATAAAAAAAACCTGTTATCACCAACATTTAATTAAAATGAAATAATTGTTTTTATCATACTATATAAAATACTACCATTAGAAAAGACTTTACAGTTACAGTTATCATTCCTATTAGATTGTAATTATGCATTCTTCCAATTTAGTTTCTTATCTTTCCTATTAGATTGTAATTATGCATTTTTCCTAAAGCATTAATCTTTCCTATTAGATTGTAATTATGCATTCTTCCTTAAGCATCAATCTTTCCTATTAGATTGTAATTATGCATTCTTCCTTAAGCATTAATCTTTCCTATTAGATTGTAATTATGCATTCTTCCTTAAGAATCAATCTTTCCTATTAGATTGTAATTATGCATTCTTCCTAAAGCATTAATCTTTCCTATTAGATTGTAATTATGCATTCTTCCTTAAGCATCAATCTTTCCTATTAGATTGTAATTATGCATTCTTCCTAAAGCATTAATCTTTCCTATTAGATTGTAATTATGCATTCTTCCTTAAGCATCAATCTTTCCCTATTAGATTGTAATTATGCATTTTTCCTAAAGCATTAATCTTTCCTATTAGATTGTAATTATGCATTCTTCCTTAAGCATTAATCTTTCCTATTAGATTGTAGTTATGCATTCTTCCTTAAGCATCAATCTTTCCTATTAGATTGTAATTATGCATTCTTCCTTAAGCATTAATCTTTCCTATTAGATTGTAATTATGCATTCTTCCTAAAGCATTAATCTTTCCTATTAGATTGTAATTATGCATTCTTCCTAAAGCATTAATCTTTCCTATTAGATTGTAATTATGCATTCTTCCTAAAGCATTAATCTTTCCTATTAGATTGTAATTATGCATTCTTCCTTAAGCATTAATCTTTCCTATTAGATTGTAATTATGCATTCTTCCTAAAGCATTAATCTTTCCTATTAGATTGTAATTATGCATTCTTCCTAAAGCATTAATCTTTCCTATTAGATTGTAATTATGCATTTTTCCTAAAGCATTAATCTTTCCTATTAGATTGTAATTATGCATTCTTCCTAAAGCATTAATCTTTCCTATTAGATTGTAATTATGCATTCTTCCTAAATCATTAATCTTTCCTATTAGATTGTAATTATGCATTCTTCCTAAATCATTATAATCTGAGCTTCATTGTCATCAAACAAATGCAACAAAAACAAAGAAACAATAAGTCCTGAAAATTTGCTTCAAATACAATTTCAAAAACAAAGTGGCATGGTATTTCATTAACATTTTTTACATGAAATAATTTCTGTAATTTACTAGTACCTACGAATACCTATGAATACGGTTATTGGCAACAAGTTTATATAATGACATTAATTCTATAAAGTCAATTCCTTACAGCAAGTATATAATAAAACTAGAACTGCCACTATCATGGCGTGAATTCCCCGCATACCACTTTGTCAGAATCAACAGTGGCCATTTAGAGCTCAAGGACAACCTCCCTGCCAAATCTGAGGTTACTAAGCCAGTGCATTGCTAAGTTATGTATTCTACATGCTTCAAGTGTGAAAATGTCAAAATCAATACATTGCGGACAGGACATTCTTTAGCAATTGAGAAGAAAAGCTCTTTTTTGTCAAGGTCCCTGTGACCTTGACCTTTGACCCAGTGACCTCAAAATCAATAGGGGTCACCTTATAGTCATGATCAACATCCATGCCAAATATGAAGACTGTGGGTCAAAGGAATCTTAAGTTAATGGGTGGACAAACTTTTTGAAGTCAAAGTCCCTATGACCTTGACCTTTGATCCAGTGACCTCAAAATCAAAAGGGCATCTACTAATCATGATCAACATCCATGCCAAATATGAAGACTGTGGGTCAAAGGAATCTAAAGTTATTGGGCAGACAAACTTTTTGAAGTCAAAGTCCCTGTGACCTTGACCTTTGACCTGGTGACCTCAAAATCAATAGGGGTCATCTACTAATCATGACTAAACCTCCATTCCAAATATGAAGACTGTGGGTCAAAGGAATCTTAAGTTATTGGGCGGACAAGCTTTTTGAAGTCAAGGCCCCTGTGACCTTGACCTTTGACCTGGTGACCTCAAAATCAATAGGGGTCATCTAATAATCATGACTAACCTCCATGCCAAATATGAAGACTGTGGGTGAAAGGAATCTTAAGTTATTGGGCGGACAAGCTTTTTGAAGTCAAGGCCCCTGTGACCTTGACCTTTGACCTGGTGACCTCAAAGTCAATAGGGGTCATCTACTAATCATGACTAACCTCAATGCCAAATATGAAGACTATGGGTCAAAGGAATCTTAAGTTATTGGGCGGACAAGCTTTTTGAAGTCAAGGCCCCTGTGACCTTGACCTTTGACCTGGTGACCTCAAAATCAATAGGGGGCATCTACTAATCATGACTAACCTCCATGCCAAATATGACGACTGTAGAAGGAATCTTAAGTTATTGGGCGGACAAGCTTTTTGAAGTCAAGGCCCCTGTGACCTTGACCTTTGACCTGGTGACCTCAAAATCAATAGGGGTCATCTACTAATCATGACTAACCTCCATGCCAAATATGAAGACTAAGGGTCAAAGGAATCTTAAGTTATTGGGCGGACAAGAAAAAACCGACGGACGAACGGCCGGACAGCCGGACGGACGGATGGACAAGCTGATTCCAGTATACCCCCCTTACAACTTTGTTGTGCGGGGGTATAACTACCAATTTTATCTTGTTTCTGACTTTTTTACAATGAATAGAATCTCAATCACACAATAAACTTTTTCATGTAAAATATTCATGTAAATGAAATAAAACCAACTAGCCACAACTAATGAATATAAAACTACATTACAAATATATACATAATAAACTATGCAGTCCTAGCAGTAATGCAGTGTATTTAAACATACCCCATGAAAGAAAGTTGAAATCTGAAACAAAGTTGGCAGCAAGTTTCACAATATAGTCTAAAGCCTTGAGAGTGAAATAACTTATGGGAGAGCATATACTAGTATTTGTTTATTTGTAAGATTAAAATATATTTCATCAAGTGAACACCAGCTACAAGACATAGATGTATTATCTTTATGTATGGCATAGTAACATATGAAAATGTTACTGCAAGTGTTTATAAGTGGAAAGTAATTTAATCTGAAACAATTGTTCTATTCTATTCACAAAATTCTAATAATTTTGATTATTGATTTCTGACATGTAATGTCATTCACTCTCTATCATGACTAAAGTCATCTCTTATTATAACAGCTAAAATATAGGATTTTTTTTTTCTTTCCTGAACACCTTGTGAAGCTATATACTAAAATTCTAAAGCTAAGAAAATAAAATAAAGTCATTATATATGCATGTTTAAATACAATACTTATTACAACATTTAAAGCTATCACAAATGAGGAAGTTCAGATGAGACAAGAATTATATGTAATTAGGAATTTAAGTTTTATCATTGTAAAGTGTATCAAAGAAATACGCTAACCTTTCAAAAGAGTTTGTAAAATGCATTTATGGTTTCCATAAAATTACTCAATTTGTAAGGCAATTCTTTTCACATTCCTGACTAAAATAAATAACATATCAAGTTGCACATGAAAGCATCTTTTTTTCTTCATAAGTACACCTAACATAAAATGAAAATAACCAATGAAATTGTGTACATGTAAACTCAAGCTGACACAACTATATCAAAATGGGTGATAATATGTGTATACATAAATACCTCTAAACTGTATGTCTGTAAACGTCCCATATCCTCATCATAGAATGTATCTAGAGGTCTGCGAGAATCTGGTGGCATTTCTTGGCACATGTGGAACACCTATTATATGTAACATAAGACAAACCTTCATAAAAGGTAGTTCTGATTGTAAAAGTAACAAAGTGTTTCAGTGCACTATACTGAAAATAGTTGTTTAAAGCAATATTCAAAGATGTAATATTTATAAGTTATATAGCTGCCTCTTTAAGCAAGTCTGCCTGTATTCTTTATTTTCTATCTAAACTAAAGAAAATGTCTGTAATGTTTAAATTTAATAATCACTGATAAACTGAATAGTAGTAAAATAATATTAAATTAAAAAACAACAAAAAAATTCATTTTTTAAAATTATTTGTTTGTTTCTTGGTTTGTGTATTCACTACTAAGGTTGTATGGCATTTTTTTAGCTTTAATTGAAGAGAAAAAGAGCAGATACCCAAGTAAAACCATCAATCTTCTATAATCTAGTATGATAAAAGTAATATATTTGAAAGATAGTCATATTTACTTTAATAGTCAACTTCTTTTAATTAATTGTTCCTTTGACAAATCAACACAGAAGCTTGTATGATACAGGGTTTAAAGAAATAGAGGATCACTTTCCATGTCTTATATATATCTTTTATAAACTATCAAGAAGATCCTACTAAGCAAGTAATATAAATTAAGTGAAAAAAGCAGAAAAAAACAAAGACCTCCTTAGCAAAATTCTCTCTTGTAGCCTCGTTCAAGTTGCCTCCAAGTCCTCGGATAAGACAGATGGCAAAATGTGATTTGTTCCGTACATGACTGAGATGTGACAATCCATTTAGCACCACACCTACCAAACTTGTCTCAACAACAAAGTCATTCTGTAATGTACAAAAATTTATTAACAAATAATCATATAATCTATGTACCAAAATCATAGTAACCATTTATACTCACATGGAATAGAATCATTGGGGCTCTTAAGGGGCTCTTAAAATAAAGCCTTTTTTAAGTGACATTATGCAAATATAAGTGAAAATTGAAGGTTTACAAGTAAAAGTCAAAATAACTTTAGACTTTGCCACAATTATTTTCAATCTTATAGTAAAGTTCATGGGTGTAAACCAATGTGACTCACACAGAAAATTCTATAAATATTCTTCTGAATGTATCATTAACAGTCATTTGATAAAAAAAGACTGAGGCTGTGAGTCTTTTTATAATTTAGTCGGTTTGTAATTTTTATCCTTAAAATTTGTAATTATCAATTAATGTTCAATGACTATCGTACAAGTCAATCTTTTTGAATATATAGCTAATATACCTCAACTTGACATACAAGTATATATTCAATTTTGATAACAATTTGTTTTCTCTATAAATACATCAATGACAATTTAAAATTTGCTCTTATACAATGTTTATGTATTACATTATACTGCCTATCAAATCAAATATTCTCCACTTTTTACTGGCTTTATTATTTAACAACATTAAATTTGCCAAATCAAATTCATACTAGAACCAATTAAACTATCAATTTGTAATGTATAAATAATACAAAATTGCTGTAAATTTCCAAAAAGTATGCTTAAAGAAATGTGAGCAAAATAAAAGAATAAGCAAAACTTATAGTAGTCTTTACAATATTGTATTTATACAGAATGGTGATAACATTAGTGATCATATGTATTATCTTGGTGAAATGTGAAATATACATTTAATAGTGAAGAAACAGTATTTTTTAAATGATGATGTCTTCATCAAAAATATAGCAATCCAGCATGCAACACAGTCCAAGTTCTAAGGTTATGAATCTCTTGTATTATACCTCATTTGCAAGAAAGCATTTGATTGGTTTATTTTAAACATGACCATTTCCCTATCAAAGTCTAAAATTAACATGTCTTCTGACAAAATGTATTTTATTTATAACATAGACCTTTGACAATCATTACTTTACTTTGTAAATGAATACTTTATGTACTTCTACAATATTATAGCCTTGAACTTGGCAATTGTTTAACAATATAAAATGTTTTATTTTTATACAGTCATTGCTCACCAATGTCTATCAGTTATGAAGAAAAGAAGTATTACATAACTTAAGATAAACTTTATCTTAAAGATAGTGAAATCATGAGACTACTGATTATTTTAGTTATTAATGTTGACATCACTTACAGCATCAATTAATCACTATCAGAACAAATCTCTCACACTCATAGTTTACTATATAAAATATCACACAATAAAAACACTACTGTTTGATCAACTCTTTCCAAGGTTTATACAAACATGATATAAGTTATAGTTTATAATATTTTACTGTCACTTTAGGTTAGACTAAGCAGAATCAATTTCTGACTTATGTTCCTAATCTAAGAAACATTAGAATAATCTTACAAATTTTTAAATAACATTAACATATAACTTTCAACAAATATGGCAAATCTAATTAAAAATAGAAAAGTGTTTCTTATTTATAAAGTTTCAATTACTATTTATCTTTGAGATTATTTAACTTATAGGTATTTAACTTATAGGGCTCACATTACACTTTGTCCAATAAAACTAGGAAATAATTTCTGTAGACCTCCAGCAGGGAAGAGTTGATCAAACAGATGATACAATATAACACAAGCATCAGACAGATGACTCAATTAGATCTCACTCTTCATAAAAAAAAAACATTCTCATATATATGTATAGATCAGTGTTAGGAAAGTGGACAACGCTTTATACATGAAGACAAAGCAAACACTTTGTATGATACTTGTTTATATAGTTTATTTTCTGCATCATTATTATTATTTTACCCATTTACATTATTTTCATCAGTCAGCAACCTGATACTATATTTATTATGACCTTGTAGCTTTGAAAGGAGAAAACTTGTTAAAGCCCCACAGTTTATATCATCATCATCATCACTTTACTTCATTAGACCTCCATATCAGGATTTTAATGCCTTTGAAAATAGAATAATTATCTTCCTTCATCTGCCCCTACCTGTCCTTTTATCCCACATTTTGTCAAAACTTAAATAACATGCTTCTAATAAGCCTATGATTTAACAGCAAACCAATTTTTTTCCACTCCATTTTTGTTGAACCAGATTAAAGTATTTCTGTTTACAATGTGTATACATTGCCTATCTAAACCAATATCATACATAGCACATTTTTCTTTCTATTTATTTGTTCTGCAAGCTAAGAAATAAACTCAATTCACTCCTTACTTTACTTTTCTTAAGAAAACAAAAAATAATCAGCATAGTTAATATACAAAACTTTTATTATTGGTATCACATAAAAGATACAATAAATTTGAAAATTTGACACACCTAATAAAATTCAAAGATATGAAGTTTCAATAACTATCAATAACTGTCTTTCCTTACTTTATTAAAACAACAGTCTTACTTAAACTTAATAACTGTAATTGTATCATTTGAAATCAGAAGCAGTTATATACAAAATTGATCAACAACATTTTCTTCCATATGAATCAATATCTAGCTTTAATGCAAACATTGCTGTAAATATTTTGCCATTAGGTATAGAGCAAGGTCAGCCTGCACGCTATGTCCAGTCTAACTTGGCACTATATTGTTGGCTCACAACTTTAATTTTTTAGTATGATAATAGACATCTTCTAAATTACAAGCCAAAGACATTCAGGAACTTTAGCAAGATAAAGGTTAAGAAGTCAGATATATTTAATATTCCTATGAAAAAGACTCATGCTTATTGACAATTACAGTGGATAAAAAACAACAAGTTATAGAGAATTATACCTCACTGATCATATACTGTTTTTTATTAATCAACTCAAACATGACTTTGTATTGTATGAGAGGAATTGTAAACATGAGATAAGATGGGTATGTATATATACCTGTTTGAGGACCCAGTCTAGGGCCTTGTAGAAATAATCTTCTATATAACCAGCTAACACTTGCTGTTCTGTCTCAGGTACGTTACTGATCCATGAATGTATCAATGCCTTCACATCTGTATCTTCATCACTGTATATATATATACAATATGATAAATCCTCACATAACTAACTGCTTATTTCTAAAAATCTATATAATAGCATCATTACAGCCATGCATCCTGTTAGATCATATTTCATTTGGTTTTAAGTCGAAATGACAAGGTTAATTTCATATAAAAATCCTAAGCACCTTTTCTGTATTCTTTCAACAACTGTTTGTAAGCTATATAGATAGATTATGTCACAATGTAACGGATATAATTGATATGCATGTATGTAAATAGTATGTGATAAATACCCAACCTGTCTTGGTATTGTCCTTACTTTCTATTCACCTTATTGAAGTCAATCTGTATCTAACCCTTAACATAGTTAACTACAAAATGTACATACATCTCAGTAATGAATATAATTAATTTCATCCAATAACCTGATAATGTAAGAATGTTTGAATATAGAAATTTATATTATAAAAAGATATGAACCTCAGGAAGATCATTCCCATTCTGGATATAGTAGCTGGAGAGGCACAGCTGAGATCATGAGTCTCAAACAGGAAGTTAACATTTGGTCCAAACTGGATACGCTCCCCAGATGGCATGGTAAGAAGACGGTTATCATCAAGGACAGAGTTCAGGGATTCTATCCATTCTGGGTCAATATCTCCATCACAAATGATCCATGACTGTACCTCTATAAATCATAGTCAAATAAACATATATACAAGATCTATAAATTATGAATTAATATCATACAAATATTTTATTAAAACCAATCCATTTTGATATGTATATAGGTATTTTTGAACTTCCAATTGATATAAAAGATTTTGCATATATTCACAAATGTCACTCAGTGATCTTAACAACAGAATGAAAGTGGCTATACCTCTATACAGTATTCATACAGCAAAATAGGCAATGAATAGGGCCCAAATTCTTATAAACATTAATTGGAATACAGAATGAATTATAAATATATACTCACAATAACACTCATGTCATGATAATGAAACGAAACAGACATTTCCTATAATTACCTTGTGGTTCTTTTACAACTTGTCTGGCACTGTATGTAAGAACACCATCTGTCCATTCTCTTGTATCCATATCTATCTGACCTAACAACTGAGTTCTTGGCATTGCTTTAGGGTTCATGGTGTAATACTTCACTGTCTTGTTGAGTTTATGAAGTCCGAGCTTCAATATGCGCCATAAAGTTGACTTGCCCGAGCCACTTGGTCCAACCACCACTACTCCAGTTCTCTGTCTCAGCTGCTCATACAACTCCAACGCTTTCTTAATCTATAAATATATGTTAATATATATTACATTTACTGCTCACTTTAACTGACAGATACCTGCCATATGTTTGATAAAATAATCATCAAAAACTATTGTTATTTTCTAATGTTCCTTAAACTGTATCACACATTCTCTGTGATACATTTCAACATATATCATATAATTCTGAGGTTAAGAACAATCTCCCAGACAACTTCTTAAACTGTATAAGTATTCACACATTCTCTGTGATACATTTCAACATACTGTATGTGTATTTAAATTCGCGGAAGCAAATTTTTGCGGAATGGTCCACTTTGGGGGTATATACAAATATTCGCGCTATTTTGAATTCGCGGAGGTGACTGCCGAAAATCATAAATTCGCGCACACCCATTAGGTTAAAAAATAAGAGAATAAGGCAATGGTTTTGCAAGCAGTCTTCTTTAATTTTACTGTAATCGTTGTGGTACTTCACAGTTATTTTCAACACCTGGTGTCAAACAATACGCTATTGAACAGAACAAAGACATTCAATTTGTCTCGCGGACAGATTATGGCAAACAAAAAAATGTCTGTTAAAGTGTGTGTTTTTTCACAGTTTTAAACAGCATTGAATAAGACCATAATCATAATTCTTAAACTGTATAAGTATTCACACATTCTCTGTGATACATTTCAACATACTGTATGTGTATTTAAATTCGCGGAAGCAAATTTTTGCGGAATGGTCCACTTTGGGGGTATATACAAATATTCGCGCTATTTTGAATTCGCGGAGGTAACTGCCGAAAATCATAAATTCGCGCACACCCATTAGGTTAAAAAATAAGAGAATAAGGCAATGGTTTTGCAAGCAGTCTTCTTTAATTTTACTGTATTGTGTGTGTTTTTTCACAGTTTTAAACAGCCATAATCTTTTCACCGATTTTGTTAAAATGTTGACTGAGTAATAGTGTTTTGTTTTCCATCAGTTAAAATCGTTAATGTTTGTGTTGTTTGTATAGTTTGTTTAGAAAAACAAAATATAATCTGATCAGATGTCAAGACGTTTATAACTCAGACTATAAAATAAAATATTGAATTGAATATAAAATAAATAGCGTGATTCAATGGTATTGTTCAAACATGTATATACATATACAAGAATCCTATAATCATATCAGACAAACAATAATACTGTAGCAAACTGGTGTATATACAGAGCTGAATGTTACATGTACAGTTAATACAAAAGTAAAAGCACTCTTTGAAAGCGCCACGGATACCAGACGTGTGGCAGCCGCGAACACCCTGACATACATTGTTCTATAGATGCGCGAAAATATGACTATTAAGAAATTATTGGTGTAGAAATATTCGCGTTGAACAAGAATTCGCGGGTCGAATGTCACCACGAAGATCGCGAAAATTTGAAGCCCGCAAATATTTCTACACATACAGTATATCATATAATTCCGAGGTTAATCTCCCAGACAACTTATTAAGTAACATACGAGGGTTGTCCCAAAATGTTGTAGACTACATTATTTTCTCTTCAACCTGACGTCATAACTTATTAAAATTTACCAGATATCTTCCTTGGTCATTTGTTAATTTACCTACTGAAAGTCAATAGCCAATATATTAGGTAAGCTTTTTATTAGGGTTTTATATTTAACAGTACAACATACCCGGAGCACGATAAAATATTAGTCAGTGTTGAGAGCATGCTTCTTAAAATAATGCCTTTAACTTCCAGCATAATAATAATTATGGGAAATACATTCATGTGAAATTACCTCATTCATATTTACGTCATATCACCAACAGACGTTTATGTAACGTTAATTTGAAAAAGTCTGTAGCAAAATACGTAACAGCAGTGCTATTTTGAAAACGCCCAAAATGGCGACGTCAGCTGAAAATGCGGCGCAACGCAATGTCACTGAATACTATGTTAAGTTGAAGAAGCGTCCAGCGTTAATTGACAACATGGAGAACATTATATTTTATCAAGATAATGCACCTTGCGATAGATCTAAGGAGACACAGATTGAACTTGATGTGATAGGTTTTCAGAGACTTCCGTACGCCCTAAGACTTTGCAGTGTTTCTTTATTTGAAATCACAATTACGAGGTCACATGTTCGAAAACTTCAGCGAACTCCGCCAGGAAACTCAACTCTGCGAGTGTTGAGTACATTGAAGCAGGACTGTTTTGAAAACGTTTATGATAAAATTGGGTTACCCCACACTGTCAGTGCATCGCGAAACACGGTGAATACTTTGAATTTTTAAAAAAAAAATGTTATTACGTCATGACGTTTATGACGGCATGCGCCGGGTATGTATAGGTAGCATTCTTTAAATTTTGATAACTTGGTCAATTTTGGAGGTATTTTGATTTTATTTTGCATAGACACACATAAAAGGTGTATTGACTTTTTCCTAGCTGGAGGACTCAATTGTATTATAATTGATTGAGTAACAGGCTTTGTCTACGATATTTTGGGACAACCCTCGTACTTAATGCATATTAAAAGTGCCATACACCATGCACATTCAAACTAAAAAGCCCAATGGTTTACAGACAAACATTATTCATTATACAACTATGCAGCCTCAGATAAACATACCAAATACTCCAACATTTTGTTACAGTATTATATAGACCAGTGCAAATTGAGAATTAGGACTAAAGTATAGTCTAATGTCTTTATTATTGAAGATACAAAAGTAAAGAATATATACCTGCATTTCATTGGCTACAAGATTTGTTTCCTTACATACATTTCTAATTGCCTCAGCTAAAGTCTCATACTCTATGTCCTTAAACTCTATGTTGGGGAATACATCTCTCACTAGAGCATCAAACCTATAATAATACAAGGCGTTAATAATTACATTTAGTTTTATATCAATTATTAACATTATGCTAAACTTAAGACAATAAAATAAAATCATCCAATTTGCAACATTTTTGTTACTCATAAATAATAAAATTCAAGATATATCATCAGTGAACATTAAATATCTGATATGAACACATGTTTTAATACAAGAGCTGTAAAATGGTGTCATTATAAATACATTAAAATTTCTTTATAAACAAAAGAATTTAAAAAGTTTTAAAACATTTTGTAAACTAACAAGACAACATGATAATCAAAACACTATTCAAGAACCTCCAGTAATCAGTTTTATTTCTGTATCATCAAAGATTTATACCTGACACTATCAGAGAAGGTCAGCTTGGAGATGGTATTGATCCTCAATGCCTGTACAACCAGCTTCGCTTCTGTACCACCATCTATCTTCCCTGTAATAACATATCTTACTAATTAGTGTCTGTTAGAAAATATGCATACAACTAGGAGTGAAAAATATATCTACACATTAGGACATCAGTTAATTGTTACATCATTTCCAAAAATTTGTTTTCCTTTTCATAATATCTTCATTCTTTCTCAATTGTCAAATTTCTACAATTAATGAATTTATTTTTTCTGTTGGACATTAGCAGTCATTCACCCTGAACATGCTGGCACCAAAAGTGTTATTCTTACCACAAAAGAGCGGGTTGAGCATGCACCTTTTTTAAGGTCTGGCAAGGCTCTGTATGCTAGTAGCTACTGTAAAGTTACGTATTTTGATATTGAAATCTCTTAAACTCCAAATGGATTGTTCCAAAGTCAAAGCTGTGTAAATCTATTACATTAATGTAGCAGGTTCATGGTTAAATATGTAGAAATATGTACCAGACTGTGCTTTCTTCTTCATCTGTAAGAGGTTACCACAACCACGTAGAACAGTTTTCAGAGCTCTCAGACCCCAATCATAATGTTGCTGGGGGGACAACAACTCTCTGGAATACATATTACTTTAGCCTGTATATTTGTCAACTATTCAGAATACAATAAGTTATCTAATACAATGTAAATGTATTTGATTGCAGACATCTTATTTAAACATGTTGACTAACCATTTGATTAAATGTTGTAAATAGAACATTATATAAGTTGACAAATACTGAACATGACATGAATTCTTTCTTCTATTTTTTGTTTAGTTAATATTTAATAAATGTATAAAAAATGAATATTTCTACAAAGATTATTAGTGTTTCACATTAAAACAAGAGCCTAATTAAAGTAGATGCAGAGATAATGCAAGTATATGTCTTGTGTAATACACAGTATGCTAACAGAATGTAGTTCTCACCTTGATAGGTTAAAAATGGCCACCAGTTTTCTACCAAGACTTTTGGCTTGTTTGAAGCCCTCAGAAAACAGGATGACTTCACCGATCTGTTCATTATCTGGTTTAGACATGGCCACAGGTCGGAACAGTTGTTTCAAGTTGTCAGGTAGCTTTTGTCTACCTCCATAACCTTTACCTGCCGGGTTCATTGTGATGAAAATACCAGAATTGTGATCTATGTTCACCTGTAACAAAATTACACACAATGACACAAGTGTATCTTAAAATTTCTTTCTATTTAAAGATATACTATGCTCAAATTTGATATCAGAAAATATTGATAATTGCTATACAGTCTCTTTGTAAATATGAAATAAACATGTTTTGACTTTACACAAAGTTGATATGTCATGTTTAAAACTCTACACACTACAGGTCGTCACAGTATGAATATATAGTGTCGTTAAAAAAACTGGCAGTTTTTTTTTAAGGAAAGACCAACTTTACCAGTCCTATAAACAGACAAATTCTTTTTCTCAAGCTGATTAAAGCCAAGTTTAAAAACTTTTCAGCAGTACAAAAGACAAAAAGTTAATGGCCAAACATTTTCCCTCTATGTGTGACCTTGACCTTGGGGTTAGCAACCTGAATGTTTCTATCTGCATAATGTGACATGGTGGTAATCACTTGTGCTGAGTTACTTTATAACCTTCCTAAAAGATGATTATGAAAAGGTCATGAAACATCGACTTTTTAACTTTTGAAGTGTTACCTTGAATCTGGAGAGGAGGAACCTGTTTGTTTTGTTCTGCATCATTATTAAGTGTGATCTGTTGTTGCAGTATTAACACCATGTCATAACAATGATCATTTGTGACAAGTGTAGCAGTAGTTTATTAGTTTTTTGTTTTTTTTGGGTTTAACGTCACATCAACACAGTTTAGGTCATATCGCGACGTTCCAGCTTTACTGGTGGAGGAAGACCTCAGGTGCCCGTCCGTGCATTATTTCAGGCACGAACGGGCACCTGAGTAGAACCACCGACGTTCCGTAAGCTAGCTGGATAGCTTCCTCACATGAAAGAATCCAAAGTCCCTGTCGGGATTCGAACCCACAGTGGTGAGGGGCAAGTGGTTTGAAGTCAAGGACCTTAACCACTCGGCCACGGACGCCCCAGCAGTAGTTTAAGAATTATACAGTGGACAGGACAATGTGAGGTAGAGACAGACTTAGATCCTTTCTATAGCCCCCCCCCCACACACACACTTTTGAGGCAAAGGATTTCACAATAATGTGACCAAATAAGCCCACAGTTTTAAACAAAACATATACATCCTTCAATTCTGTTAGAAATCTAAATTATAATTGTTCCTATATTTTTTTTTTATTATCAATGAATTTTCATCTTACGTTTCTGCCCAGAAGTTCAGCTTGTGGTAGTCTGTTTTTGATAGCATCTTGTATAACTTGGATCTGCATGGACACTGCTGACAAGACAGCCTCCTCTAATCTGTTAAACTCATCAAAACATCCCCAGGCACCACACTTAACCAAACCAATGAAGATACGACCCATTGACTTTACATCTATACCCTACAAAAATAAATACATATACTTTTTTATAAAACTGAAGAGAAATAATTGCTTTATCACATTGACCAGTACATGCGATATTTTACATGACACTTTTTCTTCTTGTTTTGTAAGTTTTTGCTGACTTTCGAGTCACAAGAAACTGTGAAGTTCACAATGAAACTTCCCAGCTTTACTGAAAGAGGCAAACTTCAGGTGGCCCACTAAGTAATATTTCAAGCAAGCACAGTCACAATAATCTAAAACATTCTATGCTTGTTTTTGTTTTTTTGGGTTTTTTTTACTTTTGGATATTACTAAACATACATTAATGACCAATCCTCTTACATAACAATAGCTATACTTGGCCTACAGTCTCTTTTATTATGTTAATTTCATAATGTCTTGAATAGTTTACCTCATCACAGTTGAAGACAAGAACTTGTCTACCAAAGAGTCCACCTAGAGCTTTCACAGACTCTGTCTTTCCTGTACCAGCTGGGCCATATGGGTTACCACCAAGACCCATGTGCATACCTGTAATATTTAATATCAAACAATTACTTATCTCAAACTTCTTCACTCCTGATATTTTCTCCATTTCAGACATTGTGTAGTGTAAACTATAGCAATTAAAATAAGAATTTCTTTATACTTTAATTTTCAATTCTCCAAATTTTACATAATTTTGTTCACAAACAGAACAATGGTTTCATATTAAAGCTGAAAGCTTTGAAAATTTTTACAAGATTAAGATATAATTTTGGGCTATCAAGTGACTTCAAAAGTTGCCTTGGACAGCAAAGCTTGGCACAGAAAGTCTACTCTCTATATTGATGTGCATCATTCATTCAAAGTTGGCTAATGGTCTACTAGTAGACTACATCAGTGATTATTGGTAATAAATATCAGAATTATACATAAAACCTGGTACAAACCTTGTGTTAATGTAAGATAACACTTGTCAGTAAGGGGAGTATGTACAAGTTTCTGGGCATTTCCCTGGTACTCATACGTGTATTCAAACTCTGAATCTACCATCCTCATAATACAGATATTATCTCTCCTCATGTAGAACCTGTCAATAAATTAACCTTTCTCTTTAAACTATTTAAATAATGAATTTATTCTCCTTTATATTAGATCTATTCATTGTCAATATAACAATTTTAAAGTGACTGACAGCATAGAGGCTGGTCAGAATATAAAGGTAGTAAAAGCCATAAATTAGTATCACAACACACTTACTTAGAACTCTGTATGAAATGCTAAATTACTTTACTGGAAACCCTATCCTACAAATGAATAACTGGTGAAGTCCCTCAATGCAAAATATCTCAACTATCAATCAATAAACAGACTAAGAAGCCATAAGGCAGTATAACAAAAGGCAAGACGGATTATGACATAATTTCTATACAAATAGTGATAAATGACCAAGTAAGTCATTAAGTATAATTCAGTTTCTAACATATCTTACTAACCTAAGTTGTTTCTGCCATATCCACTCTCCAGGATTTTTTACATTAGCCTTCAGTAGTTCATGTATCACATCCATGTTGTGTATAGTGTCTAGGATCAGTGCCTTCAACTTGAGGTCTAGTACCTGAGCCTCATCATCTCCTTCAGCCTCGCCCAGGTCAACACTAGTGTATGACTCCAGCTGTCCTTCCACATCACGTCCAAAGTTCATCAGATTTCCACTCTTAATAGCCACTTCACAATTCTCACTGAATCTAATCTGTTCTGCTAGGCACAGGATCTATCATGGCACAAAATAAAGGTTTTGGGGTAATAACGATTTATCATAACTAAATACAGCAATTGAACTGTGTTAATGCTGTCACCAATAAATGAAAACAAAAGTAGAAATCAAGGCTCAAACAATTAAATTTAACACTGAAAGAGTAAAGGTATAAGTTGCAAACAAATCTAAATAAAGCTATGTGTCAAATTAATATCGTCACTTTCTTTAAATTTGCTTTATTATGGTTAGGCTTATCTTTTGCAAAAGGCGCTATACCACTATACCAATAAAACTTGAATAATTTATAATGTTTGATTTCATAGACAAACTATAAATATAGACAGTCCTGCACTGCTGAAATATAAAACATAATATATACCTGAGATGGGTATTTGTTTGGATCTAAACCACCCTTGCTCTGTTTAGCATCTTTAAGACATTCATTCAACAGTTCCTTCAATGTATCCTTCATTTCTTCTGATAATCTACCCAACCATGACTAAAATATATATATATAGACCATATATATCAGTATGTATAAGAAATAAAAAGAATGTGCACATATTATATACATATTAAAAGCATTAAAAGCACATATTTTATTATCACACCTACATGTAAAGTGAAATATCATATATTATACTACTTTCTTCTCAGACTGAATAACTGAAACAAATGAAATCAAACACCAGAAACACAAACTAACAATACTATCACAATAACTGATTATACGTCAGCACAGAAACATATTGAATCATCAAATGAAACAGTGTCCTACCTCAACTTCTGGAACAATCTGAATCTTTCTCTTCAGAGGAACAACTTCACCTTGTAGTGACTTCATAGCAATGATATGTTTACTGTCAGCATCAAAGTTAACACTGTGTATACCAGCAAACAATTTCTTCAGATGTGTCTGAATCACATTAGGATTTGTAGATTGTCCAAGAATCTCCAATAAATCATCATCTCCAATGAAGTAGAATCTTGGGAACAGCGATCTCTTCTCCTATAAAGATTAGCACTTTTTGTGAATCTAGTTTTCTGTTTACTGATTAACTGAGGATATGGTAAAAAAAAGGATAAAAACATGTCAAGTTTTTTACATAGAAAGTTCTTGCATGCTAAAAGAAAACAATAGAAAAGTAATAATTTTCAATAAATTCACCCTCTGTAACAAATCAAATCTAAATTGTTATGTTTTTTTGCCTGTCATGAATGTTTATTTCATATTGCTATGCTATGCAGCAGACAGATAACAAAAACTGTTCAAACCTCAAGGAATTCATTGAGTGATTTCTGGCATCTCTGTAACTGATCTAACATGGTGGTCAACTGATTCCTGAGGCCAGCTTTATTCACAAGGGACAAAACTCTATTGTCTCTTCTTACATCTTTCATAATGGATCTGAAAACAAGCCATTCATTACAATATCATATTGAGATATTTTATATTCTAGACTATTAAATCATCATAAGAAATAGTAATGAATTGTAGCAGAAGCATGTTTGACTCTCTCAACTGCCTGAAGACGACAGTAAAGAATAGTACACTTGTTTATCCATCATATATATGTAATATCCTATAAAGAGAAAGAAATTTTTCAACATTCACTTCACTTGGAGTGGGTATCTATTTACAACAATACAAAAATACTCTCAAATATATGCTGTTCTAAGTGTCCAAGAATTTTAAAACTCAAATCTTTGAGATAAACTTAGCAAAATAACTTATGACTAAAATAAGTATAATGGCTGTGATAAAATAAAACAATCAATACCTATAATCATCATCCACCCTCTTAAATCTTCCCTGTTCCTTAGGTAGTGCCCCACGGCCAAAAATAGGCTCCAAGTAGACCCATTTTCTCTGTATCTGGTTGAGATTGTGCAGGTATTCATCCAGGTCTGCAAGTCTCTGTTCCCACACTGATGCTTTGTCCTCAAAACTCTTGTAGTAGGGGGAATCTTTCAATGACTGAAGCAAGCTCTGGTTATCTCCCACCTAAAATGTTTTAAATACATAGATTTGCATATATAGTTAAAATTGATTTTGGTTATGGTTGCAATAGAATAGAAAATAAAATGTAGAATGTTTTTTTTTCTTTTCAAACTGCATGTCCCTTGCACTTAATAAGAATCAAGCTATCTAAATAAGAAATAAAAACAGGAATTGACCTGTAAGAGTGAATTTGTTTTAAATTTGAATCAGGAAAAAACTAAATCAATCCAAATTTTAAAGACCTGGTTAACAAGATCTTTCCAATCTTTGATGAGATGTATCACATTCTTGTTACTGTCCTCATACTCTGTCAGTGTAAATTGTGCAGCTGCACCCCACAAGTCCAACTCTCTAATAGCCTCTCTTATTGTCACTTCACCTTGAGCTCTCTGGTTCAACTCCTACAACCACAGAAAATAGCAAATTAATATCATTAAACCAGTCATTAGTATATGTATATCATATATTCAGCTCCAAAATGTAAGCATTCATGTAACTTAATTTTGTTTCATTACAAAAATAAGTAAAACAAAACACTATATAATGCACTATATATATTGAACAATACAGAAATAAATCCTGATACATCTGCAACAATAAACTATGATTGGACATATTTCACTTAATTCAGTCCCTTTTTTATATAGTTAAAACTGCTTACATACAAGAATTGAAAGTGCATTTCATATTAATCAGTCTCATTTTTTACAGAAGGAAATATGCTCATTAAAATGAACTCTGCAACATATAACTGATGCGCAAAACAGAAATAAAAGATTCATTAATAGTAAACAATACTAATCACATGACTATATCTTTAAGTTAAGAATCACAAAATAACCTTGAGTGCATCAGCATTTGTTATGATATTATCACTGGCATTGAGAACGTGGCCAAATGTCAGCTTCTCAAGTGTTGTACCACGTGGCATCTTCAACATCCTGAACAACTCCAGCCAGTGATCCTGCGACAGTGGCTCACCCCTTACCCACTTCAACACTGGCATTACATTCTACAGTAAAAAAAACATGACAATGTATGGAAATAGGCTTAATACAATGTATGGAAGTGTTTAATATAACCATCTACTTAGATTTAGGATTTTTGTACTCTTTAGTAAAAAATATTGTTTTTTTGTTTTTGTTTACAACTTTAATTGTATTAGCTTTAATATTTCCTTGTATACAGTATAAATATGTTGTTTTTTTCAATAATTATGCTAAAATTGAAAAACTTTTAAGCATAGTTAATTTTAAGCTATTGAAAAACTTCTATAAATAGATATCACATTAATCAATTTGAATCTGAATGAAAAGTCATCATTGTAGTACAGGTTATAAACTAAAATGATACCTTGTATGTTTCAATGTCTTTATGTAATCTGACAGTCATAGTGGTGGCCTCCCTTTCCTTCAACTTCTCATACCATCCACTGAGGAACTCTTCAAACATGTATGTCTTACTCCTGTTATATAAATAATACAAGTATAAGGAACTCTTCAAACATGTATGTCTTACTCCTGCTATATAAATAATACAAATATAAGGAACTCTTCAAATATTTACATTCTGACTCCTGTTATGTAAACAATACTAACACAGTTGTTGACTTTTGTTGTTACTGTCTTATGTGATTTTCCTATTCAAAATTTAAAACCAAACAAAAACATACCTAAATGAGATCCAATCTTCCTTTGCAAGCTCCTGTAGGCCACTGTTGAACTCTTCCAGTAGGAACCACATGGCCTCAAACTCAGACAGATCTTTATTGATCTCTTCAGCAAGCTCAAAGGTTGGTACTGTCATCTCAAAATGTTCCAGATCAGTCCTGAAAACATAATACATGAATGTGTGAAATGAGGTTTTAAATCGTTTTATTTTCTTCTTTTTGTTTTATTACAGTTGTTGAATGAAATTTATAGTACATTGTTGGACGTTTTTGACAAAAACAATATTTCAAGACTTTTTTATTAAAAAAAAGTAACAAACAATTTAATTTCTAAAGTGTATCAAAATACATTGTAAGACAAACATATTGTTACACAAGGTTACATAATTTTCAAAGGATTGTTAAACTGAAATATTAATTTGTAGACACATCTTAAATTTAAATGCTTTAGTTTAAAGCCATACTTTCTTGTTAAGGGTTTAAATATGTCAATTTATAATACTGTAATACTGCTATCATCTGGTATTACATGTTTACATAAACTATGCTACATGCCATCGGCACTATTCTTAAGGCTTTCATCCACTAAATTATTAAACATTCTAGTATGTATATATATAAAATACATACACAATCTTCTTCCTGTTTTCTTCGAGTTCATTGAATTCTTGTCTTTTCTCCTTAATTAACTCTATAGCCTTCTTGGTTTTCTCCTTGTCACCCTCTAGTGCATCATCTCCTGGCTTTAACTGATGCCAGCGAGCAGCAAACTTGTCTATGTCTTGTTGGAATGCTTTCACCCTAGAGTCTACATTGCCCTTCATCACTTCAACCTGAAAGATATAACTTGTACCATAAATATAAAGCCTGCTAGAAGGGATTTCTTTAAATACTTTTTATTCAGGTACAAAGCAGAGACAAACCAAAAAGCATACCAGGGTTTTGTTTTATGTTGTTCAATGGCAAATTAAATCAAAAGACAATTATTTTGCTCTCTACACTGTTTATAAAATATACTGACATGAAAATTATCTATAAACTTTAGATAGTGTTATAAATGTAAGGGCATTTTTGTTAAATAATCACTACATTTATGTTGACTATAATTCAAAATATATGTGTGTCAAATGTATTTAAATATGTAAGTAATTATAATAAGAATAGATATACACATGACCATAAAGGTTCAATATCTGTAAGTCCTGATCTGATTGTTCTAAAGATGGTAAAGTTAAAAGATTATAATTCCTCATATCTATAATGTACTATGTTTATATATTTTACATTTGTTTTGTCTTCCTTGGCTTCAAACCCTCTTGGAATAAAATAGAACGTCTACATATATCAACCCAATTAAAACAAGCCTGTTTTATTTTACCTGTTCTTTGACCATAAGTTGATGACTTTCCATCATAAGCTCAAACTTGTCCCATCTAGCCAGGAGATGATTGAGCGAGTCTACACCACCACCAGCTACTGTACGTAGTAACTTGTTCTTGGATTCTGCTTTATCAAACAATGGCTTGATCTGTTATGTAAAAGGAATTTTCTCATATAACCTTTTCTTTGTAAAACAACAAAAAATAAAATATGGGAAATAATTTTAAATATAATTTTAAATATATGTTTATTTATATGTTGATATTAATTCACATGAAAACTTGAATTTATGTCTTTAAACTGATAAAGTTTTAGCATTTAACATGTATCAAACAAATTTTATCATTACAATTTTCAAGTTGCATTAAAAAATTCTAAATCAATATCTCATTTAATAAAATAAACTTAATGGAATAACAATTTGCTAATTTGACTAACCTGTTTCTTAGTTTTGGCAAACTCAGCATGTTTAGCATTAGCCTCACCAATCTCTTCAGTAGTTTGTGGACGTTTTGACAATGTCTCCATGGACATGTTGAGGAAAGATTCTATCTCTGTTACCTCCTTGCTGATAGCTTTCCTTAATGAGTTCATCAAAGCATCAAACAATCTCTGTATATGGTCATCTATCACTGCCTTCACTGGCATAGTGTTTACTACAATACAGTCTACCTTGATCTCACTGTAAAATAACACAGTAAATTTATCATCTAGTAAATTATTATATCTCAACTTGATTTCAATAAAAATACAGGATCTCATTAACTACTTGTACATTAGGTAAATAACAAAGATCTCAAATCCTATAGCATTATATTAGCATTACAAGATATAACCTATTCTAAATGTCATATTTAAATGTGATGTATAAATGCACATAAACTTACTTTGGCAATTTTTCAGCATTCTTGCCTCTCATTTTAAGAGCCTTGAAGTTTCTCTCCCAGTCTGACAGGTCCTTCAAGTTCTCATCTATAAACTCATCTAAGCCAACAGATCCTAGAACTACCCATTCCTGTTATAATCAAGTATTTCATAGTAAATTTACTACCAACTTTTTGTTTTTTCCCTTTTTAAAAAGAAATATTTGTTTATAGATAATTCTATGATAATCAATTTAAGTTTGTCATTTCTTTAATAAAAAAAAACGCTACAATTTAGCCTTCAAAACAGTAATCAATCAAACCTTGAACTTTTCCAGCACCCTACTAAGTCTTGTGAAGAGAGCCTCCCCCTTCTGGTAACAGCCAATAAATCCCTCAGCATTCCTGTCTATAATGGCTGAAAAAATTGTCCTCTCTGACCCATCTCCCACTCCACGAAACATGTTTGGAATGGCAATAAATTTCTTCAACTCACGGAAGTATTTTGCCTTGACCTCTTCAAAAGCTGGATTAAACTGAAGATGTCTCTGCCTGTAAATTGATTAATTAAATAATTGAATTCACAGATCTATGATCTATAAACATAATAATGAGCAGACTGAATATAAAGAAAAATCATCTCTACACTCTTACAACATATTATAGTCTCTAAAGTAAATTAAACCTTTCATTCCACATATATAATGATCTTTTTATAAGTATTAAAAGTTATACAAAATCAACTGAAAAATCTTGATAGCATGTTGATAACCATTCAGTAAACTAAAATAAACCAAAATACAATAACAGTGAACAAACATACAGTAATATCTTGTAATAGTGTTTACTTCAATATCAAATTGATGGTACATGTAATTTTACCTTTTTTAATTTAAATTTACAGTTAAGAATTTGTTAAAAGTAACAAGAGAGTATTTTTCCAAATAAAACTTGCAGTAGTAACAATTTTCAGCAGCAATATAAATAACTTAACACTTACTGTTCATAAATTTTATTATTATTCTACAATTCATGATATCAACTAAATCTAACACTGAAGTAACCTAATTTGTAAATTTCCAGAAAATATTTAAGTGAAACAATTAAAACTAAAGCATGGTATGAACCCACCCTCTAACAAACTTCATTTTAATGTGATTATTGCTATAAAATGACAAAAAATCATACATATCAAAAACTGTCATCGGCAAATATTATATTATTTAACATAAAAAATACCCTTATGATTTGAATATTAAAATAGTCTGTTTTCTAACTCACTTTTTTTTCAAGAGAATAAAAATTACCTGTATGTAAGATCTACTCTGATCTCGGGCAGGTTTTCATTAAGGGATTCAAGCCCCATCTTATACTGGAACTCTAGGGCTTTGTACAGCTGTCTATCCCAATGAGACTTCCATGGCGCCATATGTTCTGGAGGGATGTTTTGCTACAAAATTTATAAATGTTTTACTGTTACTCATGTCTACCAAGACTAACTCAGTATATTGTTAAGTTTACAGACTTAACGACTGATGAACATTTCTTGTCAGCTAAGATATTGTAAAGTCTATAAAACAGAATATTCAAATTCCTGCTTCCTCTTTCAACATGACATAACTTGTACAGCAAATATTTCATTAAGTTTAAAAGAGCTAAAAGTCCTACATCTGATATATTGGCATCTGATATCTTGCATAAACAGGCTTTATTCTGACATATAGAATAGACATAAAGTATAAGTTACAATATTGCACTAACCTTGGCTGTAATTTCAGTCATAGTGTATCTGATATCTGTCAAGATCTCCTTCCATTTCTTGTCTTGTCTTAACAAATCCACACTCATCAGTTGCTGTACCTATACATATAACATTTATACATGATGACTGATGACACAAGTTTAGTATAGTTCTCTATAAAATGTCTTCAGATGATTTTTATTGCATAACTAGGCTAAAAAATGCACATCCTGACTAACATTCAGTAGACCTCTCATATAATAAATGATACATCTTCTTAATTTATAGAGTCTAATATTTTAACATGTTTTTCTTGAGTTTCACTGAATGATATCTTCTTTAGATTTAGAAATACAATACTAATACCTTTTCAGATATATCAAAGTGAGACTTTCTCAGTTTTCTATTCATGGTTGTAAGTCTCTCAGCTGAAGTTTGTAGTTTTCTTATATATATCTCCAGTTCTTCAGGATTATCCCATGTCACAAGTACATCTTCTCCCTTAACCTTGGCCCCTGAAAATATTACACAAACATTAATACAATTAAATATTATCATTATACAATTTAAAATTACCACTGTATTGAAATATGGATCCATTATACATGTAAAAATTACTAATTAGATAAAATAACTGTATGTACACATAACTGAGTATAACAAAAATTAAACATGTTTACTGAAGAAGTAACTATCTTTAAATCAATGTCAATACCAACTACTGCTAGCAGATACTTGATTATCTATAAGTTCATAAAACTATACCATTTAATTCTGTTATAACTATGTTCGAAAAAAAAACTTTGATGTATATTCTACAACTAAAACTGTATGTACATGTATGTTTTATAATGATTATTTTATTTACCAGTTTTGGGGTTCTTTGCAAGTTTTTCAAACTGTAAAGCAGCTTCAAGCATCATTGTTTTCTGACTGGGTATCATCTGCTGGTCTATAGTGTTATAGAAATGAGCAACCTGAAATATATCATATACTATATCTATATATTATATTATAAAACTAACACATGGCCATAAGGGTAATAGAGAATATTGTCAACCCAAGAGCTGGTGTATTACCTCAAGACGCAGTCGCGTAATTTTTTTTATTAAACCGAAAGCCCTACAAGCATTCAAGGAAATAAATAGAATACATATCAACATTTTTACAATTTAATTTTCCTCAAAACAATAAACTGAACAAAAACAGTTTGAGAATGATTTTATACATTTCTACATTGAGAAACAACATACATGTACATTTCTTTAAATATGCGACTAAAAATTGAAAAATTAGTCAAAGGGAATTAACTAGTATAATATTAAATACGGATATATGTAGGTGTTATCTCCCTTACACCCAAATGTTATGCAAGAGTTATGTGCCCAAGGATGATATAAGAAATACTCCCTGGGTGAATATTTCCTTGGAGGGTGATATTCAATCAGAACACATAATAGACCTATGGGAGTTTTACATTGAAGGACTGAGGTTTAATAAATTTAAATACTACCGGTACATTTAAATATCATATATTATATGCTATATTCAACAAATTTCTACCCCAAACTGCTTTGGAAACATTACAAACAAACATACAAGAAGTTTTAAATCTAAATCCCTATTCCAGCAACTGCTGATTATTAATCAAAACAAATCCAAAAATTATCAATTTATATTCTAAATTCAAATTATTAGATAAACTAATCTTGTCAGAGAAGAATTGGCATACCTGTTTCAGGATACATCCATGTCTGTAGAATTTCTGAGCTGTGGCAGATACATGTTGTATCTTAGCAGGAACAGCAAATCCAAGAGCAGACAACTGCCTTACTTCCCTCATCAGTGTCACCAATCTATCACCATAGTTCACTCGTAACTCTCCACTCTTAGTGTCCAACTCCATCAATCTACCATTAGTCTCTAAACTGTAGATAAAAAACAAAACAATCCATTTATATATATTTCTCCCCAACAGTTTGTATCACATAACACTATACAGTACATGTACATCAACCACTTGGTAATTTATGAGTATTTCATGCTTTAATTTGAAAAATACAATTTTTTTAAGGTCTAGTGTGAAGAAATAATATATCTTAGTTTCTACTCCATAAAATTAACATGATAAAAGCTAAACCATGTTTGTCTTAACTGTTTTTTTAACAATTATGTATATCCTATAATTCCTATCATATAGTTGATAGTTGTTATTGTTTATTTTAACTTTAGATTTATCTAACAAGTTCCTGAATGTCATGACAGTTTTATATACATTATACAATCTTATGTATGCTAGAAACAAATTTTGAATTTTGGCAGAAACTGCATTACTACTACAATATTGGAAGATTTCAGCATACCTTAGAGGTTTTTTGGTATCATCAATGAGAGCCTGAATGTCACGTGACCATTCATCAAATGCCTCCTGTCTCCAGTTGACCATCTCATCGAGGAACTCTGTTGCATCCTTCCTGAATCTCTGAAACCCACTCAGATCACTGAGTAAACTTTCCGCAGTCTTTATGTTCTCCTCAAGCTGAAAAGTAATGACAATAAAATTAAATTAACCGTCACACATTGCAATATAAATTTAGGGAGAAAATGCAGTAGCCCCCAAGTAAATTGTGTCTTGTTTAGTGATGAAATATCCATTAACAATGGGGCAATGTTTTCCTATTCTGTATTATAAATCTATATTATTTTTTTTTAGGTAGGGGGTATTGGATATTTTTTCACACTATGTCATTAATCATTACTGAATACTTACATTATATAGACAGGAATATAAGCCAATTGTCATACCCACTTTTTAAGCTTACTGTGGCTACAAAAACAGACTTATTTTGTAGTTAAAGAGAAAAAAGTACAATCCAAATTAAATGTAAAACATTTTACTATTCCAACACATAAAATACACAATCTGTTAACTTGTCTCTTAATTTTATCATTTTTACAGCACAAACAGCTTACCTTGGCTTCTATCTGTCTAACATAGACTATGGTGTTAACAAACTCTGGTAAGTTCTTTCCTTTGGGAGCCTTACCACCACTTGCATCAGTAAAGTTCTGTTGTAAAGACTTCTGATGAACAATTAACTGACCAAGCAATGACTCCCTGTATAAAAACACAACAGAACTATGTATATTACTTGAACAAATAATTCATTTTAAATGAAATTCAACCATATTTCAATACTTAGAGAAAAAGAACTAAGAATTTCCTGTTTATTGTTATTTATTTATGTACCCCAAAGAAGGCGGTATAACAAGGGGAATTATAGAATTTTCGGTTGACTACTTATTTTTTACTATTTATGTAAAAGAACTTCAAATTCATAACACCCTGGATAAATTCTTTCTGTCCAAGTGACAAGTTCTAATTTTTAATCTTTATTAAAATAATCCATCCTGTATACTTGTATTTCTAGATAATATATTTCTTACTTTTCAAATACAATAAAATGTTACACAGATGTTGAAAGTTCTTCAGATAGATGTTACAATGGACCTTTCTGGTTTTTCATAGCAGAACATTTAGTCACACCTTTTCCATTCATTGCTAGGTCAACTGCTCACAAACAGTATCACAAACAAAACCATGTGTTCTTTTGTGCAAACCAGGTCAACTAGTGACTATGTATTATCTCAGTGTAGCAATTGGATAACAAGTTAGCCAATTTACATAAATCGGTAAACACTGGAAAGGTCCATAAAGGTAGGGACAATCAAGCAAGATTGATACACATGTCTTCATAAAAGATTTGTTTCTCTCCAATTTTCTTTATACTATAATGCAACATGATGAAAACATTTACTATCATACATGTACCGTATATTGAAAAAACCTAGCCAAGATATGTCACAGTATAGATTTGCTTGTACAAATATATTCAAATGAAACTGTAAACAATAAATAACCTTTCAGCGACCATTTCTTTACTTATACCAGGCCTCTTGATGAGTGACTTGTATCTCTGAAATTCTCTCAACAACTGAAAGGGAGAAAATATTTTATATCCAATAACACTGAAATAATGTTATTAGCAACACTGACATTAAAATCTTATGCTTTATATAAGTCAGAAAAATGGCTAATAATTAAAGTTTCCAAATCTTCAAATATTCATAAATTAATTTGTACCTTAAAACCGGTTAACAATACAGTAAATATAACACCAAACATACTTGTTGGGAATTCCCCTCCATCTGCCTGAACTGACTCCTTAGTTTAGCAACAGTTTTCTGTTCAGCTGGAGCCATACTTCTCTCATACTGGCTCACAGCTGCGGCCCACAGCGGGGCAGTGTATGGGTTATACTGGAGTGGATTGAGGCCCATAAAGGGGGTAAATGCATCATCTACTCTTAGTTCTTTCTGCTCCTGAGACGTCATTAACCTTAATTGTTGGTCATGAACTGTACGTAGCTCAAGTATCTGTAAAAATTAATTAAATTCTGGCAATCTCACCTCCCAGTATCTATTTTCATAATTCTTAGTAATTAAAAGCTTTTATTTTCATTATTTGTAATTTTTTATAAATAAAGTAATATGAAAAGATTCCTTTATGACTTTTTTGGTCTTTGTCTAAATATCTATTTAAAAGAAACCTACATGTATCAATATGTCTTATAAAACAACATAAAAAAAGCAAATTTGTTAAAAATTTAGAATTTTTTAAGTAACAAATGGCCATAAATCAACTGATTATAGCACTTTGACTTTTGCCCTTACAATGCTAAATATCTTAAATGAACTTGTAAAGATTCCTGGACAAACCATTTATCATTTTCAGGGACATTTTTAATATAAGTTAAATAGTTGACAGATTATGATCTGACAGCATAGATGTGATCTTGGTCAGTACTGGTCACATAGGTACAATCTATTGCTACAAGCATAACATAACATGACTTGACTTGGCAAATTTTTAACCAGATGATTATATCTCTACCTCTTCTATTCTTGCACCAAGTTTTTTCAGTCCCTCTGGTGAACATTTCTCACCCTTCCATGGGTGTAAGTTATAACGTTTCCAGAACTGAGTAGTCAATGTCTCACAAGAAGCTATCCATCTCTCACAGATCAGTTGTCCTGAACGCAGGGCTTCCTTAATAGTGCCAAACTGTCCCGACCAGAGATTCTCCTCAGATAACTTTCTCTGTACATAACGACCAAGAGAACCACCTGTTCATGTAACACATATAACAGATGATTTATTTTACAAGCAGTGTCTAAAGAAATGTTGACACACACAACAATAACTAAATATAAACAAAAGGTGACATTGACACTTGTTGAAGATTATTCATGTGAAATATTCATGAGAATTATGAAATAAAATTTTTTAGCTGGTTAGTGACGTATATTTTCTTCTTGTTGACCTTTTATTGTTTGTTACGCCGGAGAATGCATAGCGTCACGGATTTACAGTAGTCGAGGATATATTATGTAAATCACCTTTATTGTTATATTAAGTCATTTGTAATGCAATATACTATATATGTAACTATCATTGTAAAATATCTACAAGTAACAGAAATCACTGACCAATACACTCCATTAAATGTCTCATTCTATTCTCTGGATAGGGATCAAACTCGGATTGTCTCCACACATCATCTAGTGTGTCCTGTGTAATGTCCACAATCTCCATGGCATCTTGTAAAGACATGGCATCCAGTCCTCCATAATCCTTCGATATAGGCTTGAACAATTCCACAAAATGTTCTGCCCTCTCTCTAGCGTCACCCTTGCCAACTCGTGCATTGTCAGCCCAGTATTCAAACTCATCAACAGGGGTTAATATACCTGCATGAATGGGATATAAATAAGATTAACTCCCAAAGTTTATGTATACATATTGTAATAATGTTACATTTAAAAACATGTATTGATCAATATACAAGAGCGATCAGTAATCACATGTGTCGCCTCATGATGGCCAATTTTCTGTTGGGACAAATTTTGTGACAGACGGACAGACAGACAGACAGTGCACAACTAGACTTGGTACTGATCATTCCTGTAAAGTTTGGATAAAATTGCACCAGTAGTTTATGAGGAGTAGTCTGGACAAGCTTTTGCGTATCTGGCAACACACAGAAAAAAAACACCTTTTTATCAAAGGGCCATAACTCGGCCAAAAATCATTCAACCAGAAAACCTGGCAATATGCGCAAGGACTTGAGCTACAGATCAATCCTGTAAAGTTTCATTGAAATTGCATAGGTGGTATAAGAGAAGTAGTTCCGACAAACTTTAAAAATAAAAATTATTAAAGGGCCATAACTCTTGACAAAAATCATTGAACCGGAAATGCTGACAATATGCACAACAAGACTTGGTACTGATCATTCCTGTAAAGTTTGGATGAAATTGCACCAGTAGTTTATGAGTATCTGGCAACACACAGAAAAAAAACACCTTTTTATCAAAGGGCCATAACTCGGCCAAATATCATTCAACCGTAAAACCCGCGCAATATGCGCAGGGACTTGAGCTACAGATCAATCCTGTAAAGTTTCATTGAAATTGCATTAGTGGTATAAGAGAAGTAGTCCGGACAAACTTTAAAATTAACAAGAGGGCCATGATGGCCCTGAGGTCGCTCACCTGTATATAGGCCCCCCCCAACCCCCCCCCCCCAACGTTGCAGAGCCAATTTAACGTAAGGGCTTTTATTTGCACAAACTTGGTAGACACCCATAAGAAGATGTTTCATGCTAAACATTTAAGCTCTAGTTCATTGGGCTTTTTAAAAGATTTTTTTTTAAGTTTTTACTATACACATATAGTTAAAAACAATGACACCCCTGGGGCCGGGCCAGTTTTGACGCCAGGGCTTTTATTTGAATAACCTTTGTAGACACTTACTAGAAGATGTTTCATGCTTAATATCTAAACTCTAGCTATTTGGGTTTTTTCAAAGAAGATTTAAAGCTTTAATGCTAAACACATATAAAGAAAATCAATGACCCCCGGGGCGGGGCCAATTTTGACCCCAGGGCTTGTATCTGAACAAACTTGGTAGACACCTATTAGAACATGTTTAATGCTCAATATCTTAGCCATAGCTCTTTGAGTTCTTTAAAAGAAGATTTTTTAAGTTTTTACTATATGCATATAGGGAAAATCAATGACCCCCCAGGGCGGGGCCAATTTTCACACCACGGCTTTTATTTGAACAAACTTGGTAGACACCCATTAGAACATGTTTCATGCTAAATATCTTAGCTCTAGCTCTTTGGGTTCTTTAAAAGAAGATTTTTTAAGTTTTTACTATATGCATATAGGAAAAATCAATGACCCCCCGGGGCGGGGCCAATTTTGACCCCAGGGCTTTTATTTGAACAAACTTGGTAGACACACACTAGAAGATGTTTCATGCCAAATATCTAAGCTCTAGCTCTATGAGTTCTTTAAAAGAAGATTTTTAAGTTTTTACTATATGCATATAGGGAAAATCAATGACCCCCGGGGCGGGGCCAATTTTCACCCCAGGGCTTTTATTTGAACAAACTTGGTAGACACCCATTAGAACATGTTTCATGCTAAATATCTTAGCTCTAGCTCTTTGTGTTCTTTAAAAGAAGATTTTTTAAGTTTTTACTATATGCATATAAGGAAAATCAATGACCCCCCGGGGCCGGGCCAATTTTGACCCCAGGGCTTTTATTTGAACAAACTTGGTAGACACTCATTAGAAGATGTTTCATGCCAAATATCTAAGCTCTAGCTCTTTGAGTTCTTTAAAAGAAGATTTTTTAAGTTTTTACTATATGCATAAAGGGAAAATCAATGACCCCCAGGGCGGGGCCAATTTTCACCCCAAGGCTTTTATTTGAACAAACTTGGTAGACACCCATTAGAACATGTTTCATGCTAAATATCTTAGCTCTAGCTCTTTGGGTTCTTTAAAAGAAGATTTTTTAAGTTTTTACTATATGCATATAGGGAAAATCAATGACCCCCCGGGGCGGGGCCAATTTTGACCCCACGGCTTTTATTTGAACAAACTTGGTAGACACCCATTAGAACATGTTTCATGCTAAATATCTTAGCTCTAGCTCTTATGGTTTTTTAAAAGAAGATATTTAAAGTTTTTTCTTTCGGTTGCCATGGCAACCAGAGTTTTGCATGGAATTAAATTCTTTGAACAATTTTTAAAGGTGACCACCAAAGGAACATTCCTGTGAAGTTTGGATGAAATTGGCTTAGTGGTTTATGAGGAGATGTCATTTAAAGTAAAAGTTTACGGACGGACGGACGGACGGACGACTTTGTGACAGGTGAGCTAAAAATTATTAAAGGGCCATAACTCTGACAAAAATCATTGAACCGGAAAATGCTGACAATATGCACAACTAGACTTGGTACTGATCATTCCTGTAAAGTTTGGATGAAATTGCACCAGTAGTTTATGAGGAGTAGTCTGGACAAGTTTTGTGACGGACGGACGGACAGACAGACGACGGAGAAGTGATCCCTATATGTCGCCACTACTCCGTAGAGGCGACACAATAATTGAAGCTAATACATGTATAATAGTTTATCAAATTACACATAATGGTTGTTTACAATATTATTTTAATAATATCCAAATTATTTATTAAAATTTAACTAAAGAACAGTGAAAAAAGAATCAATTAATATATAATGATGGTTAGCATTACAAACTGTGCTTGTACTTGTATTGTTCTATTAACATTAAATCAAAACTATCTGACAAGTTAAGAATACAAACACATAATCTTGTTGAAAATGAAACCAAGAAACATCAGCAACTTTACACCTGCAGTACCTAGCTTGACAGTTTACTTAACAACCCGAGCAGAACTAAAACCTGCAGCAATGAGGGGCAAATGGTATCAGCACATGAATGAGCAAAAGTCAGAACTGTGTACCATCTGACTAAGAAATTGACCATATTAAAGCTAAAGATAAATTGCAGAGATACTTTCTAACTGCAATTAAAAGATTTGATAAAATTTAAAATATTGCTCATACTTCCTAGGTTTTCCTCTCCTCCATCTTTTCCCCTGAATGTTGGATCCTGTTTCCTTAAAGCACTGCCAAGTCCAGCCTCAAGTTCTCCTAGAAGACTCTGTAACTTTGGATCTATATTCTTGCTCCATTTTCCATCCTCACACAGCAGTGGGGCATAAACCTGTATTGCATGTTGAAAAACATTTTTTAAAACACTTCTTTTTGAATTTTAAATGTGTAATTCCAAAGACATACATATAGTTTTTGCAATACATGTAAATTGTGTGTGAAATTAGATTGATATACATGTATGAACAACATTTTCAGTCTTATTTTATAATAAAATCCTGTATATTGTAATTCACGTTGTTACTAGTGTGTGTGTTTGGGTTTGTTTACCCTCACCACCGGAAAGAGACCATATGGGCGTGCAAGGTTGTTACCACACTTAAGTGAAATTTTATATATGTATATAATTAAATTTCTAAAACAATTTTCAAACATCGAAGAATATGTAAGATATGTACTGAAAATATTTGTTCACAGTATATGTAAATCATAACAAGAGCTGTCGGTAGGACTATTCTTAGTGCTTGACAGTAAAAAAGCCTTGATAATGTAAAAAATTTTAAGTTAACAAAAGGGCAATTTTTTTTTTAAAACCATGTTACAGTTATAGGCCTTGAAGAGAGTCCTATTATGCTCTCAAAGAAGAGTATAAAATTTCAACTTGTTTCAAAGCCATATGTCAATAGAATATGAAAATATCTGAGGTGGTATGCAAACTTAAATGTAAATTCTAAGTCATAAAAGGGGCATAATTCTATCAAAATGCTTGATACAGTTACCTCCTCCTGTCTACAGGTTGGGGTCATGATGGTGAACAAGTGTGCAAAGTTTCAAAGCCATATGTCAATGGACTTTGAAAATATTTGAGGTATTACAAAAACTTTAACGAAAATTCTAAGTCGAAAAAGGGGCATAATTCTGTCAAAATGCTTGATACAGTTACCTCCTCCTGTCTACAGGTTGGGGTCATGATGGTTAACAAGTGTGCAAAGTTTCAAAGCCATATGTCAATGGACTTTGAAAATATTTGAGGTATTACAAAAACTTTAACATAAGTGGTTACGCCGACGACGCTCGGGTGACTACAATAGCTCTACTTATTCTTATCGAATAGTCAAGCTAAAAATATATGCATTCATCATTTCTTACTGAAAAATTTGACTTAGACTTTACAGAAAATAAATTTCTAATTACCTCCCTATATAAAATGAAATGTCAATTCAGTAAAATCTTTACAAATAATGCATTTTGGAACTTACAATATTGATAAATCTTCATTTGACCATAAAATTTATGATATTAAACCATAAAAAAAATTATGTTACAGGATCTTTAAGACATTTAGAACTCCTTGTGATCAAGCTAACAAGACATTCCCATTTCATCAAGTTAACCTTAATTTCAATTATTTTGAAAAGTTCTATAAAACTTGTCTATAGAAATAAAGGTCAATGGACCACCATGTTTTAAGATATTTGGAGTCTACTGTAGGTCTTAGGTGCTCTCTATATTAAAATCTAATTGTTCAAACTTTTCAATACTTGGATTCTTTTTAAAGGACAGCCATCTTCAAGATAGAGCTTAACATCTGGTATTTTGAATAGAAACAGTGCTTAAATAACACAGAAAATCATATTTTAATTGATACAAATGTTACCAAATTACTGTAAAGGAATGGAAAATCTTAACTTGTTTGCGAGTTTTGTGGGAGTCCTTGGGTTGAAATCGTGATAAAAAATGGCCATCCAGGGAATAAAATTTGAATCAGGTATGCAGAAAACCTGCATCAGGGTATACAGTCAATACTAAGATGTTGATCTACCTATTTACTAGTGTGCTTTCTAAATGATAAATGACAAACCATTTTTATATCATTACTGAAATTATCAAAGGCCAAGCTACTGTTTGTCTTAACAATACATTTTCTTAAAAACTAAATAAGTGTAAGCAATAACCTTTTGCATAACATGATACAGGGTATTAAGTGGGGAATCCACCATAGTTGATACAACAATATTAGAAAGAACATTGTCTGGTGTGATCACATCTGGCCGTATTTTGAAAAACACAATCACTCTATCCTTACTGTCTCCTGGTTCAATCTTCAAAAGAAAAACATTGTGAAAAATTGGCTAAATCTATATAACGTTTATTAGTAAGATCTAATATATATATACCTGAATTACAAATGAAAATTGTAACTAAATCAACCATAACATAACATTAAAGGCAGGTTGGTTTGACAAGTATTTTGATTTATCAAAAACTGTAAAAAAAAAATTGATATATCAATGTATTAAACTTAGCATAATATTTCATGTATTAAGTAATAAAAAAAGGCTAGCAAGTGAAGGATATTGTAAAAAAAATAAAAAATAATATTCTGCCATTATTACATCTAACAAAAAAAAAACCAAAGCTCCAAAGTTCTGCCTAAAATGATCAAAAGACAAAATTATAATTATGCATCAGTGCATTTGATTATAATTATTCTGAAATCCTTCAGAGATCTGCCAAGAATTTGAAAGTACTGGGCCCTGGGCCCACTTGGTCTTAAAATGATGGGCCATTTTTACCAAAGTATGGGCCTTGGGAAAATAAGTAAACATTGACCAAAATAACTGTTAAAAAGTTTGTAGATAATTGAATTTCCCTGGTAATAAAACTTAAATCATATTTTATGACAAGTGGTTCACTTATAATTCAGTACTTAACCAATAATTAAAAATTATGCCTACATGGCAACTTTCTAACTAATATTAATTGCAGGCAAAATATTTTTTAAATGGCTGCTCAAAAATTTGATATGCAAATTTATTCACATAATTGCTGGTTCTTACTTGTAATGTCTTATATTGTGCATTATCCATTTAATTGTTCCTACTTTGCACCAAATGTCCCTTACCACTGTATATTGACGAATTTTATTGCCCCTTGTATGCCTCTGTGTAGACAGCATACATCAAAGACATTTGCCGACAGACCTTTTGATCATGAAAAAAATCATGCACAATGTTTCTCAATCTCTGATTGGTTAATCAACCTGTCAAATATTCTGATGACGAAATATACATCTTTTTTTACACTTCATCAGCCAAAACTTGCGTGAACTTGAGTGACCTTAGGGTTGATCAAGTTGAACACCTGTCAGATTATACTGTAACTTACAGCATTTCTTAAAATAGCAACACTTTTTTTTCAGTTACCGATAATCATTTTAAATATTAAGTAGTTGTATAATTTGTTTGTTTGTTTTATTGGATTAAATTTATGGTAGTAGAAATGAGTATCTGTGTGGGAAAGGGATTATGAGAAGAAATGCGGTAAGTAGATAACATGGACAAAAGCTATAGGGGAATGGATAAACTCAAGAATATGCGTAATTACAGGAGCATGGGTAACATGTTGCTGTTGGTACCAGTTTTGACTGGATGACTAAATAACCCAGCAGACAGTTTTGTTTTCTTATAAGTCTGGCACAGATTTTAGATGCGCCCATGGCCCTTTGCTGCCAATTTTCCTGCGCCATTCTCATTTTTTTAGCGCCAAGGCCCCAAAAAATAGTCCTCGGCAGATCTCTGAATCCTTATAGTGATAACACAGGGAGAATACTGTGTATACCCAACTACCTGGTCATTAAAATTCATCAATATAATATGGATAAAAATCTAGTGAAATACCTTATTAGAGAACATCAAGAGTTTAATTCTACTTTTTGGATCAAGTCTCCCAGAAAGAACACTAGCATTTCCATCATCAAGGAAGCTGTTGAGAGCTGGGGAGTCAGGTAGGTTCTTTAATGAGGCATCATTAACCTGCACACCAAAATGATTGGCTGTTGTTGCCAATACAAAATCTTTCCTTGAATCTCCTGACATCTTACAATTAGATTTTCATCTGAAATAAACAAAAACAAATTGTACATTATGACAAGAACAAAAGCTGTCAGTGGGACAGCACGCTTGACTATTCTTAGTGCTGGATAATGAGCCTTGATAATGTAAAAAATTTTAAGTTCACAAAAGGACCAAAATTTGTTTTCAAATCCATCTTACAGTTATATGCCTTGAATAGAGTCCGATTATGCTCTCAAGGAAGTGTATAAAATTTCCAATTGTTTCAAAGCCAGATGTCAATTATTCCGCCCGAATATGAAAATATTTGTGGTGGTACGCAAACTTTAACATAAATTCTAAGTAAAAAAGGGGCATAATTCTGTCAAGATACTTAACTGAGTAACCTCCTCCTGTCTATAGGTTGGGGGCATGATGGTGAACAAATGTGCAAAGTTTCAAAAACATATGTCAATGGACTTTGAAAATATTTGAATTGGTTTGCAAACTTTAACGTAAATTCTAAGTAAAACAAGAGGGCCATGATGGCCCTTGATCGCTCACCTGACGCATCGAACTCATTCGAAATATTACCTAGACAAGCATTTTGACCAAGTTTTATGACAGGTGAGTCAAAAATGTGACCACTAGAGTGTTAACAAATATTATCCATATTTGAACAGTGTGACCTCATTATTGACCACAAGTGGCACATATTCGAACTTGACCTTAAAATCATCAAAACAAACTTTCAGACCAATTTTCAGGATATTTGAAACAAAACAGTAGCCACTTAAGTGTTAACAATATTTTTCTATTTTTAGTTCTCGTGACCTAGTTTTCATCCAAGATTACCCATGTTCGAACTCATCTAAGCAATTACCTAGCCAAGCATCCTGGTCAAGTTTGATGATAATTGAGTCAAAAATGTGACGAATACAGTGTTAACAAGGTTTTTCCATATTTGGACAGTGAAACCTAGTTTTTCAATTGAGTCAAAAATTTGACCACTAGAGTGTTAACAAGATTTTTCTATTTTTAGCTCCTGTGACCAAGTTTTACATCCGAGATGACCCATGTTCAAACTCATCAGAGCTATCAAGCAGATAAGCATCCTGACCAAGTTTGATGACACTTGCGTCAATAATGTGACCGCTAGAGTGTTAACAAGATTTTTCTATTTTTAGCTCCTGTGAGCTAGTTTTTCATCCGAGATGACCCATGTTCAAACTCATTAGATCTATCACCTAGACAAGCATCCTGACCAATTTTGATGATGATTGAGGCAAAAATGTGACCGCTAAAGTGTTAACAAGGTTTTTCTATTTTTAGCTCTGGTGACCTAGTGTTACATCCGAGATGACCCATGTTCAAACTCATCCGAGCTTATGATCAAGCAGATAAGCATCCTGACTAAGTTTGATTATGATTGAGGCAAAAATGTGACCACTAGAGTGTTCACAAGGTTTTTCTATTTTAAGCTCCTGTGACCTAGTTTTACATCCAAGATGACCCATGTTCGAAACTTATCGAAGCTATCACCTAGACAAGCATCCTGACCAAGTTTGATGATGATTGAGGCAAAAATGTGACTGCTAGAGTGGTAACAAGGTTTTTCTATTTTTAGCTCCTGTGACCTAGTTTTTCATCCAAGATGACTTATGTTTGAACTCATCCGAGCTATCAACTAGATAAGCATCCTGACCAAGTTTGATGATGATTGAGGCAAAAATGTGACCGCTACAGTGTTAACAATCAAATGTGGATGGACGACAGATGACGGACATTCAACGATCCTAAAAGCTCACCCTGAGCTAAAAAGGGGCATTATGTAAAAATGCTTGATAGAGGTACCTCCTCCTGTCTACAAGGTGATTCGGTTAACAAGGTTACAAAGTTTCAAAGCCATATGTCAATGGACTTTGAAAATATTTGAGGTGGTAAACAAACTTCAACATAAGTGGTTATGCTGACACTCAGGTGACTTGGATAGCTCTACTTATTCTTATTGAATAGTTGAGCTAAAAAAAGTTTCATACATATGGGGATAGAAAGATGAAAAATCATAACTAACTATATAACAGTCATTTTAGAAAAACAGTAAAGCCGTCATTTTCTTGACAATATAACCTAGATGAATGACAAATATTGAGGATACATTGATATACCAGGCCAAAAATGAAGTTCTGTATGCCCATTTTTACAGGATTTCAGTATAATAAATTAAGTTGTTAGTGTGCATAAAATTATGATGTTTTTCAATAACATCAGTCTGCATATTTTGACTAACCAGCATTTGTCATTACTTCATGAAACAAGCACATTTTCAAGATATATTGTGTAATAATCAATGATTTTCTGAGGCCTCAAACAGTGAAAAATGCCCTATTTAGGCCCCAAACACTGTTTTTCCTTTGAGAAGTGTTGTTAAAAAAAGTGACCACTTTTTGGGCGAGTCCCCCCATCAAAATGATACATCAGGGGGTTGCCAGAAGGAGGATGTGTCCCCTTCTGTTTGGGGGGGTTGAAGGGGGGCAGTAAGTCCCCTCATTGCCAAGAAAATTTTGGACATGTGACAGGCTAAAAATGGCCTCAGGTCCATCTTAAGGTGAGGTGTTGCCAACGCTGAAAAGCCTTTTACTCTATCTCATTGCATTGAGAAGTTGCAGTAGGGGTGTCATCGATTCAATCGATATCGGTGTATCAACGATCTTTGTTATCCGATTCAATATCGATTCCATTTTTTAAATATCGGATATCAAATGCACATATATTTCTAGCTAAAGAGACTTCAGCGAACAGTTTTTATAGAACTGATAGACATGTTTACTGTTGCAAAACGTCAAAATAAAAGCGACATATAAAGTTATGGAAGCCAGAAACAATTTTTTTTTTAAATGAAAACGGAAATCAATGCCAAAGTTACCTCCCAGTGTCTCTAACAAATGCTGCCTAATTTCGTTGTAATCTCACACACTTGCTAAGTGAATGTGAAGACCCCTCAATTCAAATTTCAAAAGGGAAAATGCCAAGAAAAATTTGTCAGTGTTTCTTGGTAAAAATTATGACTACAAAATGTTCAACTTTAATAATTAATCAGGTTCTAAACACTATAATTTGCCAATTAAACCTGGCTTAATTGGAACGGCAAGGACGGGATTTAGCATTATCAGTAACTACGTAATAGCAACAACAACAACTAAAGTAAAATGGAAAAGGCTTTAAACTTTCTAGTTACTAATCATTAGTTTTTATTTATAGCTACAGTCGACATTGTATTAAGAGGCCACTCAAGGGACTGCCAAAAAGTGGTCTCTTAATAAAGTGGTCTCTCAATAGAATTCTGGAACATTCGAGACATTTTATTACAAGTCATAGATATAATAACATCTTTTTTAATAAAAACAAAAAATATACAATATTATGTATGTATTACAGTTTTATAAATTACATTTAATATGCCTTTTTTTAAAAAATAGTCATCAATATTGTTTGTTTTTGTTTTTTAGTAGAAATTTGTGTACAAATGTGATCTACGCTCATAATACTGTCAACAGGTCATTTTGACCATGAAACAAAGCATGTTGTCTTATATTTTTAATATGTTCATACACATCTCCTGCTGAACATACTTTACAATCATCAGCAAGAGCTCCAGATAATTTTTTTATGCAATGAGTTTTAAACTTCTTAATTTTTAATAAACTTCTTAATTTTTAATAATTAGTTTTCACACTACCCCGATTTCAAATTCAATAAGATTTTTAGAGATCTAGGATTTTTTGTCTTTTTTTGTCGAAGGGTCATATTTATTGGGATACTACATGTATTTTATAAGGCATCAGATGAGCACCTACACCATCAGCAATGAAAGGCTCGGTTCTGTAATGTTTAGTCCACTACGTTTCACGATTTTATTTCGACTACAATCGATGACATTTGCTATTTACTCAGACTCAATTTCATGCACGATTTCCTCATAAAATTTATCCGGTCTTATTAGTTGTCTGTCTTTTTTTCGCTCGATCCGACGTCATTTTCGATAAGGGAGGTCACTCTGAGCACATGACAAAACTATGCAAATGCGGTGTTGTGATACGTTATTGCTCTGACAAAATATGTCACAATAAATATTACGATCGGAAAATCGATTTTGAAACGATTGCAATTGTTATTCATTTCGTTTTTAAACGACAATTATTTGTGACCATTGACCATGAAAAATATTTGTTTGTTTGCTTGTACACATCTAACCTACTCGCTAATTACACAGGTGAGAATGCCCGCAGGGACGATTGTTTGTCACGGCCGTTTAATAGATACTTTAACACTTAATTTTGTACATTTGGGCCGACATTCAGTGGCCGCTGGCCGCGATATGAAATAGTCGTTTAATGGAATTAAATTAAATAGTAAAAATCATCGGGAGGGATTTTATGCGGCCGCTTAATAAAAAAGTCGCTTAATAAAGGTGGACGCAAGTACGATGCCGACTGTATATGATAAAAAAAAAACAAATTGTTCAGTTTTCATAGTTAATCATTTTTGCATTTGTCTAAATATAACTGCTTTGTCAGAGTCCTTAGGAAACATTTAAAAACACTTGAAAGCTAAAATTTAGCCTGGCAATCGATATATCGCTGTATCGCCGATAATTCATTACCGATTTATCGATACAAAAGTATTGAAGCATTTTTCATAGTTTCATAGCAGTTTGAACTTGTAACAGGAGGCTTTTCAATGAAAACAGCCATTTTTCACAATATGCTCATGGGGTAAAAGGTTAATACTGGTAGGTACTTTGCATTGTTTTTTTCAATCAAAACTGATTTCAAAGTGCTGCAACTTCTCAATGAATAGAGATAAGAGTAAAAGGCTTTTCAGTGTCAGTTCCTAGTTACCCTAAGGTTGACCTGAGGCTTTTTTAGCTTGTCTCATGACCAAACTTTTCTTGCCGATGAGGGGGACTACCGCCCGCTTCAAACCCCCCAAACAGAAGGGGGCACATCCCCCTTCTGGCATCCCCCCATGTACAATTTTGTTGGGGGGAGGTGCAAAAAAAGTGGTCACTTTCTTACATTTCTCAAACGAAAAACAGTGTTTCTAAATAGGACTTTTTTCACTTTTCGTGGACTCAAAAGCGGGGGGGGGGGGGGGGGGGGGGGGGGGGGGGGGGGGGCAAAAGCCGTCAAACACGTCTATATGAGGGAAAAGGTTAAGTAGCCCGGGGTTCTATGATATCACCATACTTAAAATAAATATCATACATGAATGAGATTTTTCTTCTGTCTAATAAGTGAACCATTTCCAGAACTATTTCCAATGTTGGCCATTTTGAGTAATTTCTGAGGAGGTTATTATGGTATCACGGCAGTCCCCAAAAATACAAGTATGGAAGGATAAATGGGTCAAAATCTTCAAGTTATGTTATGAAAAACTTCCGACAGTTAACTTGCTATAAAATTCAAACTATATGAGCAGATGATATGTCAGTATATGTGATTATAACATATTTTTATTGACTGTGTAAAAACATTTAAGGAAAAAAGTAGTAAAATATGAAGATTTTATCAAATATTTTTCTTGTCACAAATACATTCATTACTTACAAAATTGAATTTATTGGCAGATGAAAATGAATTGAGTGTGCCAGTTTTAAAAATATTAGCATCATTGTGTGTTGCTTTTACTAGCAGTCACAGAAAAAATAAATTTGTTTGTTTGTTTTGGGTTTTACGTCACATCGACACAATAAAGGTCATATCGCGACGTTCCAGCTTTGCTGGTGGAGGAAGGCCTCAGGTGCCCTTCCGTGCATTATTTCAGGCACGAACGGGCACCCGAGTAGAACCACCGACGTTCCGTAAGCTAGCTGGATAGCTTCCTCAAATGAAAGAATCCAAGACGATATAAGAACAAATGTCAATGGCATTTTCAATTAACTACTGTAAGTAATCTATAATTATACTTGATATAATTTTACTGCAACTATTTTAAAGTTACTTAAAGTTGATTTCTAACATTGTAATCGTTCAGCGGTTGCCAAATATAAACAAATATGGCTGATGTAAAATCTTACTACGATCTGAAAACGTCACCTAAATTTGGCGTTTCTGATTGTTTGCAGTAAATTTTTAATTTTGGCGGGATTATGACGTAGTATGTTGACCTAGATCGGCAGTAAAAATAGTAAGATAACAGACAGCGACTGTCAAATTACTTTAAGCAACAATATCAATCAAATAGAGTAAAGTATAAATAAACTTGAAATTGCATCAGGTAAAACACACAATTTTCTCCATGTCATATACAATTTTTCATGTTTACCAGCCGTATCTCAATCTTTAGCGCATAAAATCACTCGAGTAGTATAATTAGACCGTGGGACATAAACATGATTGACCTTCACCTCTGAAATCTCGCTTAAATGACGAAAAACAAAACATCACCGAATTTAGGAGAACGCCGAATTTGGGTCACGGTAGGATATACCTTGAGGATATTTAGTCAACTGCTTCATGAGGGTCCATCCCCTAGTTATGTTGAGCTGAAAGAAGGTTTCTGTACAGTGGGTCAATGAGCACTTAAACATACAGTAATCAGTGACAATAATGGAGGTTAACCCTGAAAAGTGCTGTTTGTCACAAATTGTGTCAGCAAAGGGCCACACTGTTCAAGCTGTCTCTATGTAAATGGGGATCACGCACACGAGTAACCTACCTACACAGAGAATAAGTCCTACCTGCAAGTTAATAAATACTGGAAAGAGGGCAATGGGTTTAACAATAAATCATTTATCAGTACCCCACCCACTTAGTATATATGATTTCAATATCTAACAAAAAAATCAAATTTGTTGGCGCAACAAACGATTGTCCCTGCAAAGTAAAAGGCTTATGAAAATATTGAACATTGAATTCATTCTAAAAGTATTTTAATTGTTTTCACACGTCTTACTACCTTGAAATAAAATAAAATGAAAACAATTTCTGTCTGCTTCTCCTGAAAGTTCAGGAATTCAACAAATCGTTTGTAAAATTGAATTTGATTGGTTGTTGCAGACGCTCTACGTATCATCCAACCAAAAATGGGCTATTAAAATTTACTCTTTGTATACTTAGCGACACAGCTGTCTGGGTACAGGCACAGGCACGATCGAGTATCGGACCTGGGACACATTGATAAAAAAACCCTCTGTGTTCATCTCAAATGTGTCAAAAAACAAAAAAGAAAGTGAAATATGAGCCCCCGCCTTAAAAATATACTATAAGTTAATATACTCTTAACTCAAAGTTGAACAGCCAATTTCAACCGAATGAATGAAAGTTATAGCTGGCTAAGTCATATTATTTGGTAAATATTAATTCATTTTCTCATTATAATCTATATTGTATACAAACCAAAATGAATATTGTTATATTTGAATATTTGGGTATTTTTGGGTATTTCGTGCATTTTTTCTTTGTGTCGCCCTTCTGTATTTTTTATAGATAAATTGTGTTAAGAACCTTGGATACTTACCAATTTTTATCCAAAACGTTATGCATATAACATTGACGCAATACATGTTAAGTTTATTTCAATGTCGACCGATCGGTATAATTGATTTTATTAAATATGACTCTTTATCACATACACGCGGTATTGCATGGACGTGCATATATTTTGATTTGACGTCATTTGCGTTATACAAACATAGTGTAAAGACCGCTTAATAATGCTAACGGTATAATATAGGTGCGTCAATAATTTCAATACTAAATTTATAAAATAATATAACGCCCGCCAGAGGCTCCACAATATAACTTTATTCAACTTACTCAATAAATTCAGTATTGAACTTACACTCATTCAATATGCTCTAGAACGTGTATCTCTTGAAGGAGGGGGAATGAAAGTGAATTCTGTCCGATTGAAATAAGTGCAAGAAATTTCGTGCGAATACAATTTGCCCACACCTTGCACTACCAACAGCTTATAGGGCATGTAAATATTTTCTTTATTTTTATATTTTCAACAAGATCTATACTGAGTATATTATTAAATGCGTCTATTATTTTACTGTTCTTTACGCTTAATCATCGTTTAAGTACTCGTATTTTCTTCAAAAGTGCCTTCTTACAGACGTGAAGAAGAAAGTTCGTTAGGACAAACAACAATTTATACTAAACATTTGTAAACGTGCGGTTTTTACTCTACTGATTTTAATACTGCATGGATTTCTTTTAAAAATGTTTTTACTAGTGTTTTAGACTCTGTGGTCCCAGTAAAGGAAGTAAGACTACGTAACCAGTCAGAGCCTTGGATTAACTCCGAAATACTAGATAGTATCAAACAAAGAGACTCGTATTTATATAGATACAAAAAGTATGGTGAAAGAGGGGATTATAAGATTTTTTGTAAGTTAAGGAATCAAATTCAAGAGATATAAAGACCGCTAAGTCAAATATTTTACTAACAAAATAGAGGAAAACAAATTAAATCCTAGCAAATTCTGGCAAAACTTAAAGACTTTGGATATAAAAATGACAAGAAGAAATCTTCAAATATTGTATTATCAATTAATGGGGAAAACTGCCATGACGCTGATACTGTTTCAAATTATTTTAACGATTTTTTTACAAGTGTTGCTTCTAAACTTGTTGAGAAAATTACCTTCAAGTAAAAAATTGTATGATTTAGGGTCTGAAAAGCTTTTTCAATTTTTATAGTAAACAGAAATCCTGATAGTAAATATTTTAAATCTACAACATGTAATCTGAAAATTTTGTTTTTAAGGAACTATGCAACTTAAATGTTAGTACAAGCACAGGATTAGATGGTATTCCTGCCCGATTTTTGAAGGATGGTTCTAGTGTTTTGAAAATACCAAATACTTACATTGTTAATCTATCTTTTTTCTGAAGGTAAAGTACCAGATGAAATGAAGTTGGCTAGAGTAAAACCACTTTACAAGAAGAAAGTGTTCTAGAAGTTGGTAATTATAGGCCTGTCAGTATTTTAAGTGTAGTTTCAAAAATTTTGGAGAAAGCTGCTTATGTTCAACTTGAAACATTTTTGGTTTCCAATAATTTACTGTATGAACACCAGTCTGGTTTTAGAAGGTGTTAATTCTACAGATAGCTGTCTTATTCACTTACATGATGTTATATAGAATTAATACTAGTAAAGGGCTATACACAGGGTATGGTGATGCTTGACTTCAAAAGGCGTTTGACACCGTAGACCATGATATTCTTAGTGGAAAGTTAGAATTAATGGGTGTTCAGTCTATTTCCTGGTTCAGATCATATCTTTCAGAACGTTCACAAATTGTTAATATAGGAAATACTTACTCTAAATCAAACAGTGTGACCTGTGGCGTCCCCCAAGGTAGTATTCTAGGGCCGTTGCTTTTTCTGTGCTACGTAAATGATATGATTTTAAGTATCGATAATGATTGCAAGTTTAATACTGTATGCAGATGACAGCACTATTTATTCTCACATAAAGACCCGAATTTCATCTCAGAAAAACTTGGGACACTCCTAGAAATCTGTTCAGAATGGCTCGGTAGACAATAAGCTGTCACTCCACCTTGGTAAGACAGAATGTATGCTGTTTGGCCCCAAAAGAAAATTACAAAAGCAAGAACAATTTACTGTTACATGTAATGGTCATAGCATAAAGGGTACTAATTTAGTCAAGTATCTTGGTCTATATATCAATAGTGATTTATCTGGGGAAACTATTGTTAATAACATTATTTCTAAAGTGAATGCCAAGCTCAAATTTTTATAAAGGCAGAGCAGACTTTTAGATACTAAAACAAAACAGCTTTTATGTTCAGCCCTGATTCAGTGTCATTTTGACTACTCTTGTTCTCTTGTATGAAGGTTTATCAAAACATTTGAAAAGAAAGTTACAAATTACTCAGAATAAGGTATTAAGATTTGTCCAAAAACTTAACGCCCAGAACTTCTGTAACAGTGTATGAGTTTGAAAAATTAAATTGGTTAAATGTAGAAAACAGAGTCAAACAGTTAAGACTCAATCATATGTATAATATTTTTTACAAAAAGAGTCCATCATACCTAGAGCCGACTTTAGATGTTGTGCTGATTCAAGATTTTACAATACTAGATCAAGCAATTTTTAATTTTATTGTCCCCAGTGAAATTCCTGTGATGAATCAGACCTTTTATTATAATGGAATGAAAGACTGCGAATGATCTGCCAGAATATATAAAATCCATTAATAATTTGTGCAATACAAAAAATCTGTTAAAAAGTACCCTACTAGAAAGTTATAAAAGTCTTTCAGAAGATATATATGTGTAAAACTAATGTGTTAGGCACTGTGATCAAATATTTCTGTGATAGTAATACTAGGCTTATTTTAAAAAGGGCATACTTTTATAAATATATTTCCTTTTTCAACCAAAATTTTGACCAAAGTTAGTTAGTTTAGTTTTTTATCTTGTTGTTGTTTTTTTTTTTTAGGGGGGAAAAGGGTTAAAATTATGTTGTATTTTTTTTATTTCCATGGACCCCATTGGAAATAATCATTTAGCTTAATGGGCTATCCATAGGTGCATATAGTATCTCTTAATTTTATTTTTTTGTGACAAAAGTGTGCTCTTTTATGCTGTTTTATGATCTCATTATATATATATGATTTATATATGTTATCTCTTAACTGTATGATTTTATATTTTGTATCAATGTGCTATGTTCCTAAAATGTATAAATAAAAATAAAATAAAATATTTATTGTAATATTCGCGGGTCTCTGCCGGTCAAAAGAGACCGGAAGAGGCCGGGAAAAACTGCTGAGAAGAGATCCCCAAGAACGCATGCGTAGTTACCGTTTCCGGGGAAAAGTTACTTACTGCGGAAAATTCAGCGCAGTAGGTATTTGTAACGGTTTTTGCAGATATATGGAGGGTAATCGGATGTTTTGTTATTAAAAAAATGACTTCTAACAGAATATCGCCTCTTTATGTTTCAGCTTTACATAATCCTGCAAGTTAAATCGACATCAGAACAAAGTTCGTACTCAAGAATTTACGACCACAGTCACAGAAAGACAAATAACAGACGCTTGCATTATTCGGATTATCCTTGTACACCTGAAAATTATAATTTAACAAGGTGGGGTCAAAAGAACAATTCATATATAATCGTTTGAAATAATCGTTCAATTTTCATTTTACATTTTCTGTTTTAAAACTGTCATTCGATTAAGCCTTATACACAGCTTCCGTTATTCTGGTTCCCTGTCCAATTATGGTTCCCATAGAAGTGCGCTGGTTACCACATCCGTTTTCAGTCAGAATTACTCAGTTTTTATCGTTATCTTTAAATTCGAAATGTTGCGATGTGTCATATCAGTACTTCGGACGAAAGTTTTCAAAACCATCACTTAGCAGGTACTCGCGTTACCGTAAAGCTCGCTTTAACATGTTAACAAATTTGTTAACAACTCTCCAGTCAGTGTTCTCGTTGACGCATCATCCAGAGTTCTGGTATGCATTAGTGCTATAAATATGACGTTGCTTTGAGATATGTTTGCTTCTGCCCCAGGGCAAAGCAACGTCATATCGAAATTGCTCAAAAACACATAGCGCATTCAACACAAAAATATCTGGCAAAACGAAAAAAAAATAGATACCTTTCAACATAATTAAACTGTCACATCCGAAAAATCTTGATTAAAGCATGTACGATATATATTTTTCCGTTCAAAGATTTGGAAACCATCTGTAAAGCGCTTTAGTTAACCAGTATGGCAAATTAACAAAAATAGATGCAGGCCTTGATGAATTTTTTAAGAACCACTCGTCCTAGTGACCCTCCAAATTTACTCGCCCTTCATAAAATGCAATAGCCGTGCATTTTGACAGACAAAATTTGTAAATTCAAACACAAAACTCAAATTTACTAATGACAGGTCTATATCGGTAGAATTGGCTTTGTTCAATTACATATTGTTCAATAATGTTAATAATACTTTTATTCTTTTATTATATAATCTTCAACATAGCTTGAATAAGTATTCCATTCAAATTTTAACACACTCAGCTAAAATATTGACCTCATGGCTAAGTATAAAACATTAACAAATGCGTTTCTATAAAACATTAATAATCCATTGCTGCTGTCGTTATGGAATCGTTTCCTCATACACATTCGGTAAAGTTTTATACTTAGTCATAAGGTCACTTTCCGGTTTTTGGTCGACAGTATTACAGTCTCACTCTGCTGTTTGACTTTTTGACAGAATAACTTCATTTATATTAAATATTTAGAAAAACATCATTTGGATCTGGAGAATCTTACTCTAACTAGAAGGTCAGTTATAGTCTGATTCAGAAAAAAAACTTCACAAAGCTGTCAACGGAGTATATTACGTAAATTCCATTTATAACATGTTCACAGACATCAATTTTAATGTGTAGCAATTAACTGTTTTTTAGTTATTACGCAAGAAGCTAAATCTTTTTGCAGATTGATGCACATACTTATTAAGTAGCGCATGTAGTATAACTTATTGTACTATGAGTCAAGTTATTGTGATATCTTTCTCATGGGCAATACTGAGTTTCTCCTACATTCTGACCCAGCAGAATCTTACTGAGTGCGTCAAAATATTTTGACAAGAAAGGAATGGTAGAGTTAATCAAGTATTTTTGTTGGCTTTATGTGTTGACCACATACAAAAAAGTTTGGGGGAAAGAAAGGAAATTTTTCTATTTTCAGGGCTAAACCCGGCAATTCCAACCTTTTTTGGAAAAAGCAAAAACCTTGTTTTGGAAAAAATTTTTAACTTTTTTATATAATTATAATAAAATTTAAAATTAAATTTTAATTTTTTCCAAAAATTAAATTTATAGAAAAGTATGGGGGGGGCAAAAAGTTTTCCCTTTTTTAAAAAAATTTTGCGAATTAAGGGCCCGTAAAAATACAATTTTTTTTTTTTCTTTTTTCAGTAAAAGGGTTGGGGAAGAATCTTTTAAACATCCGGGAGGAGAAAAAACCGGGCAACTGGCTACCTTTTTTAAAAATTTAAAATTCTTTAGTAAGTTTTTTATTAACTAAGTTTAAAAAAAATTTGTTTACTTTGCATTTTTTTTAATTTCTCCCTTTCAAGTCCCGGAAAAATTGTATCGAAGAAAAGCAGGACTATTCAGTATTCTAAATTATCAAGGTTTTTGGTTTAACAATTTGGTTTTAGTATTTACAAACTTGACAATAACCATCAATATCTCAATCAACAATCAATAATTTTGCTGACTTTCCACACTTGGTTTGAGAACACTTAGAAAGAAGGTACGTAAATCTAGCATGGATTTTGACAAGTAAAATGGCCCCTTTAAAGTGAACGAGAAAAGTGCTGCTTAAAATTTTTTACTTGACCCCATCAATCAAGTACTAAAGTACCAAAAACACTACAATGATTCAATTACTAAAGCAATGTCGAACAATGAACGACTGAAACTGACTGAAATTTTGTCCTTGTTTATCGTTGGGAAAAATTTCTAGAAAAAGTTTTTTGCAGTATGCAGTGCTTATAAAGGGCCCAAATTTGGGGCTTGATATTTTGGTCCCCTATCATCCCCTTTTCAAAAAGAATATTTCCCTATTTCTGAAAACCATGGCCATGATATTTCAACATAAGGCCAGCCTTAAAATTATCTTTGTTGCCCTCCAGCGACCCATGCCAGTTTGTGTATAGTAGGTAGGTCAATAAAATACTTTTTTATGCCCGTGAAGGGCGGCATATTAAAATCGTATTGTCCCTCTGTCTGTGTGTCCCCACTTCATGTGTGTCCAGACTGTAACTTTGTCATATATTGAGGGATTTTGAAATAGCACAAATGTCAACTTCATCAAGACGATGTGTAGTGTCCAAGAACCATTTCCCTGCCTCAAAGGTCAAGGTCACACTAACATTTTGAAGTTTCACATTATCACAATTACAGTTAATAGGTACACACAATCATGTCCAGGCTGTAACTTTGTCATGCATCGGAGGATTTTAGAATAACTTGGCATAAATGTCTACCACATCAAGATGGTGTGTTGTGTGTAAGACCCATGTTCCTACCTCCAACGTCAAGGTCACTCTAATAGTTTGAAGGTACTTATGCTCATGTTCCTACCTCCAAGGTCAAGGTCACTCTAAAAGTTTGAAGGTACTTATGCTCATAAGAAGTGTTTGAAGGTACACATTAGTTTCCAAACTGTAACATTGTTGTGCATTGAAGCCAAGGATTTTAAAATAACTTGGCCTAAATGTCTACCACATGAAGATGATGTGTCGCATTCAAGACCCTTGTCCCAAGGTGTTGAGTTTGCTATTTATAAATAGCATTTCATTTCACAAGAACAATATTAAGCAATTAGTTACTTTCATTCTCTTTTCTTTTCATAATACCTGCATGATTAAAAAAACGGGGGTATTCGTCACTTGTGTGATAGCTCTTGTTTGTTATCCAAAATGTACATCATATTTTTCTATCAAGATTTTATGGAGTTGTGAATGTTAAGGATCTGTTTAAAGATTAAAACTATATTTTCAGTTTAATTCAACTTGTATCCCAATTTGTATATTTACAATTAAAAAAACATGAGACAGATATGAAGATGTGACACTCTCAGCTTCTATGTTTAGTAAGAGTTTAAGAAAAATAAAAATTTTCTTTCTTTGGCAATAAAACTTTTTGGGTAGCTGTGATTTTTTGGGGTAGGTTTGGGAGGGGAAATAAACAATATTATATTTTAGGCCTAACAGTCGTGTTTCATTGCATAATAAACAGAAATAAGAACTTTGACTACACAAAATTTTAATTTATATTTTTTCTTCTCTTAATAAATTGAATTCCCCACTTGAAACCTCAGTTACTTTTTATGGTACATGTTGATGGCCAAATTTTTCTCATTGTAAACCCAACCAGAAATATGATGGTTTTTCCTAATTGGTTGGATGACCTCAAACACATAAAAACATTGCTGTAAATAATTACGATAAAAAATTGAATCAAAATTATTTTTTTTTTGACTAAACAATATTTTTCTTTTTAGACTCTACAAGACCATTCTGGTTTCCAGTGTAGTAGTAGCAGTGGTTCCCAGGAAGACAAAATGCCCATAAGACGGAAAAGATCCTCACCTACTATGGAGGAATCCAAGTCAAAGAGAGCAAAATATTCACAGTAAGATTTGATTTATTCTTATCATTACACTTGTGTGAATATGGTTACATGTAGATACAAATTGGATCTTTAAGTTTAATGTAAAATGATGAATAATCAAAATTTCAATTGGATCATGTTAGAGATAATTGAAATTCTATCAGTAATTTGAGTCATTGATGTCTGATACTATTGAAAATTACTCATTAGCATAATGTTTTATTGCTATTCAAAAAGAAATTTCACTTCCATAACTGAAACAAGAATATCCAGTAGTTGTTCTCACTTTATTTAGGAAATAGATATCAATTCTGAGTGCATTGTTGTAGAATAATGCACGGTTTGAGTTCAAATGTGTAGTAATATAATCACGAAGGCCGATAGGCCTGAGTGATTAATTACAAAGCATTTGAACGAAAAACGTGCATTATTATACAATAATGCACGAAGAATTAATATCTGTTTCCATTCTAACACGTCAAGAAAAAATATAATTATTATTTTAAAGTTGGACTTTATGTTTGGCGGTTAAATTTGTTTTCGCCTCAGAGTTGCCAATAGAAACGTTCTTTAAAGGCCGTTCCAGTGGGTTGAAAAAACTGTCGTTAAATCTACCGTGTGTAGAAACATTTTGAGAATAACGAATTTTGAAAACGTTGATAAAACTTTGTTTGGTTATTTTATTTCAGTCTATAATTTTCCAAGCGAAATACAAATTATCAAAAGTGAAATAAATGTAAAACTTAACTCGTCTGTGACGTTAAAATAGCGTACTTGATTTTGATTGTTTTGCACGTGCTGTTTGGCGCTACATTGTGACGTCACGTAAACAACACTTTAAACGTCTGTACAGCGTTAACGACTGAATTAAAGATATTGGTGTTCGGATTTATTTTCTTAGTTAGACCATTTTCTTTCATTCTAGATAGTTTTCACAACAAAATTCGACAAAAAATTGTTTTAATTTACCAGATTTTTCAAACAAAATGGCGCCCTTAATGTGAAAATACACAGGGAGATAATAAGAACGGCGAGTGCATTGTTGCAGAATAATGCGCACTTCGGGCCTTCTTTGTTTATATAGAAAAATTTCAGATAGTGTTAGAATGTGCACTTCCTCTACAGCAGTGTGAAGTTTCATTGAGATATCATTGATAGTTTAGAAGTTATACTCTGTACAATCTAATGACATTTTGATGACAATCATTTCGAATAAACAAACCTTGCATCAACAAATTGTTTAAACTTGACAGCATTCATAATGTAATGAATTGGTTAGGTTAACTATAAAGTTACGGTGAATTTTAGACAATGTCAATGATCTATCATGCACTTTGGTATATTATAAAAGTTGAAGTGTCAGTTTGTCTGTGCTGATGATGGTACTAGGCAACATTAAATATATCATATTTTATGCTTTATTAGATGAAACATTGACTTTTACACAGGTATAAATTAGTAAGGACAACATATAAATTGTCAGATTTATGAACAAATTGTGGGTAATTCACTTGTACAGCTGTTTTTCTTTCATATCAGATCAAGACGTGGACAGACAAGTTCTGCAGATACATTTAGTCACAAACAGTGTATATCATGGTTTCATGAATACACAGGTACAGTGTACATTTATTAACTCGTAAAAATAGCATTTAGATATAACTATCCGGGCATCCATGGCTTAGTGGTTAAGGTTGTGAGTGTTTATGGTCATTGACTTCTAACCACTTGCCCCTCACTGCTGTGGGTTTGAATCCCACAAGGGACTTGCGTTATGTGAGGAGGCTATCCAGCTTTTTACAGAGCATCTATTGTTCTACTCAGGTGCCCACTTAAGCCTGAAATAAAACATGAAGTGGCACCAGGGGTCTTCCTCCACCAGTAAAGCAGGAAAGTCTCCATATAGTCATTAAAGTGTTGGTGTGATTTAAAGTCCAATAAAAAAATCCTTATGTAATCATTCATTTGTGTATAATTTTAATGTTTGAATATAGAATCAAATGAAAATAGTTCATTTATGTTACAGAAAGTTCATGGTTATATAATATTTACAACTGCCTTGGCCAAGATTTTGATGTCACTATTAGGAACACTTCTGTTCCTCACTGTTGTAGGTTTGTGACTTGACATAGATTTTTAAATGAGAGGAATCTGTCAAGTTAGCTTACAGTGGATGATTAGTTCTACATACTCATGAAGTAATAGAATAGGTTTTATATCCTCCACCAGTAAGTAAAGTCAACAAATGACCCAGATAAATGTAAACTTAAATGATTTAAAGCTTTAGTAAAACAGAAAGTGATATATCAGATGTTTGTACAATACAGGTCCTGATGAAGATGTTTTGGGGCCAGAAGGTATGGAGAAGTTTTGTGAAGATATAGGAGTAGAACCAGAAAATGTAAGTTTTACAAATTTGTAGATTTGTTTGTTTTTTTCAGGTTTAAATACTGATTATAAGACATTTTTGGTCAAATTTGGCAGTCAGTTCATCTAACCAGCATTCAGTAAAATCTTCACAAGTGACCAACTACTAATCCCAGATAATTTCTGAATCATATGTGAAAGACAAATGACCATTAGTCTAATTGTCTAATTACTAATTGCATATTTGAGCTAAATGTTGTTACAGTGTAACTTCCGAATTCCGGAACTTCTGAAATCCGGAAACTTCTAAAAACCGAACAATTTTTTCGGTCCCGATTTTTCCCTTCTATTTTCTATTAATATAATACTTCTGAATTCCGGAACTTCTAAATTCTGAATTCCGGACGATATTTTCGAAAAATTAGAGTCAAATCAATGCAATTTTACCTCCAAAAACCGGAAATATCCAAAGGTGTGAAATACATTGTAAACCCTGCAGGAAGATATAATCTCCCTATCGATTGTTTACTAATTAGCGGTGATCGTGTAATTTGACACGCGTTAAAATCACAAACTGAAATGGTATGTTTGAAGTGATGCGGTTAGTCAAAGTAATTTACGGCGGTCAGTTAATTTGAAGTGTTTATTAGCGGATTAAATGACAATTAATGGAACAATGTATGCATCAAACGTCTTTAGGGATTTTATTGCATTTGATGTAATAATTAATTAACTAGCATCGGACGATATGTAAGTTTATGCAATTAACAACATTTTTACAAACTGATATGATATTACAGTAATGGCCACATCGTCCTTGACATTTAGTGATATTAAGTGGCTTAGTCTTGTCCACATTATCATAAACCTCTGAATTCCGGAAACCTCTGAAATCCGAACTTTTTGACAAGTCCCATGGGTGTTCGGTTTTCGGAAGTTACACTGTATTATTAAGCTAAGCATAGATCTGGGGTCTATGAGTATTAATTATGAACTTGTTTGTGGAGACTTACTTTGCCAAAAGTTTAAGATTTTCATATACATTATTGTCCATAGACATGTACTTCGTTCTTTAAAAAGCAAAAAGGAATGTCATATCTTCACCTCCAGATTTTGCTTTGTCTGACAATTTCAATTTTTTCCTGAAACACATTGCTCTCAAGTGTTAAGTAGCCTATCTATCTAGGGATTGTAAGAGAAAGACTTCAATTTATGAACTTATTTCTTGATATGAAACTGTTTCTATATACAGTAAAGGAAGTAGCTTAGAAAGATTTTTAAATGGTATCACAACTTATTTCACAATTTAGTTCAGAGGAATATTTTAATCTAAACTGGAATATTGTTTTTTCAGATTGTTATGTTGTCATTAGCCTACAAATTAGATGCTAAATCCATGGGCTTTTTTACATTAGCAGAATGGCTTAAAGGAATGTCAGAATTACAGTAAGTCATTTTATCACTGAATGCTTTTACAAATATTTGGTTTGTGTTTTCATTACACAAGGGTTTTTGGGTTGTTTGACTGTTCTTTATTTGTCACTAGTATGTCTGAAAGGATATATCAATTCTTTACCATTATTAACTTTAAGTAAGGTGTTCATCTTTCAGATTCCTTGAACAAATTTTAGTACCCTATGTTTACCATGTTATTAAAGGTAAGAATAGAATGAACTTTCTCTGTACTTGAAACAACAAATTCACTCAACCTCTCGCAATTTGATCAGATTGATCAAACTCGCCAAACAGGGCGAGCAAGATTCTCTCAATCCAAATGATATTTCTCTAAACATTTATAAATAAAGTTATTCGATAAAACAAACTGCAGAAGCCTTTTCATTTGTAATGTCTATCAAATAAAGTATGGAAATCGACCTCATGGCTAAGTATAAAACTTCACCGAATGGGTATGGTAAATAAAAAACACCTCTCCCTTAGGTAATGACAGCAGCATTCAACATACATAAGCATTCGGTAAAGTTTTATACTTACCAATAAAGTCGATTAGCAGAGTGTGTTAGAATTTGAATGAACTAAAGTATAGAGGCTTGTCAAAGATTATATATAAAAAGTATGAAAAGAAGAATTTATTATAACTGGTACCATTGGCCGAGTGGTTAAGGGGATCTCCTTCGCATCAGGAGGTCAAAGGTTCTAGCCCCACGGGGAGCATTAATTTAAGGATGAATGTTTCTCATGGGACTCCTTCCGAAATGGCCGCTTTGTGAGCTGCAAGGTAGTTAAAATGAATGGTTTCTAACCGCCTTTCACCTTGCATAGTGGTAGGAGTTGGGAGGTACATAGTATGCAAGCAAAAGGTGTCTCATAAGTCAGAAATGGCTGGCCCTTTCAGTAGGGGTGACACTGTAATAAACAAGATTTTTACCTTTTATAAACAATATGTAATTGAATTATACTGACATAAACCGGCAAATAGTAAATTTGGGTCATGTGTTAACTAATAAACGGGACAAATCCATTTCCCTTAATAAAACACATAATCGGTTTTTCAAAAATCTATTTACAGGGCAGATTGTACAAACAAAGTTCAACAGAAATTAGAATATTTAAGAAATTTGTTAGAAGATCCTGTACAGTTTAAAAATATCTACAGATATGCATTTGATTTTGCAAGGGTAAGTGCTGGTAGTTAGTCTCTTTGAAAAATAAGTACATTGCTAATATATATTGGCATTGGTTTTATATTAAATGTTTTATGTGCATGTAGAATGAAAGCTATTTATTACATGCTTTTCGGTGGTTTAAAGAAATATATCAGTGATATAAAACTGGTAATTTCACTGTTTGAAACAGTGAAATTACCACTTTGATAATTTCACTGTTTTGAATTTAAGCCCCTTACGTTGTTTCAGTGAAATACCAGCGTGCACAGAACTGGGTACCAACTTAATGACGTGACGTCGTAAATGACCTCACGTTGTATTATAATTTGGCGCGCTTTTCATTCAGTATTAGGTTAAATGTCTTTTTAAAACGCTTCTTTGCATATAATAAAAAGAAAATTTGTTTAGTTTAGTGTAAGATCGAAATATATTTCACCTTGTGAACACCAAAAGTTCATATTTTACTCGTGGCTGTGTCACTCGTGAAATATACCTTCTGGTGCTCACTCGGTGAAATATATTCCGATCTTACACTGAACTAAACAAATATCCTTGATGTCTTAATAATTAAGACGAGCATCTCGTAACTATTTACAATAATCAAACTTAGACAGACAGAATTAAATCTAATTAAATAATTCTGGTTGGTTGCATAAGTAGGTTACAGGGCCAAAGATGGGTTTTTAAAATGCAAATTTAAAAAATCTTTTTGCCTGGAAGTACAAGCCCAAAACTTTAAGATTAAGCATGCTGTTACAGAGGCTATGGTCCAGTCAACATTTGTGCCAAGTTTCATAAGTATTGAAGCATTTTTCATAGCAGTTTGGACTTGTAACAGGAGGCTTTTCTATGCAAAAACTGCCATATTCACAAAATGCTCATGAAGTAAAGGGTTAAAGATCATCTAATGGATCTCTACCAAGATTGTTTATATTATGGCTGGTGTGGTGGTCATTGTTTCTGCTTGTATGTGTAATTATAGATAAAACTGCTAAAGCTAGAAAAATCAAAATGTTAAAATTGGCCCATTGCAGGAGGTCATGGCTTTTTTCCCGTAATGGACATAGTAAACCTTCTCTTAAACATGATGAGTCCTAAGATTTGGTGTAAAGGTTAGTCATGACTAGCAGATTACCCCTATTGATTTTGAGGTCAGAGGTCAAGATCACTGTGGTCATTACTGTTAGAACCTTCTCCAACTTATGTTGTACTATTCTGTCCTCTGGTGGGTGCCTGGGGGATTTTCCGGATTATTGCACCCTTATTAGACATTGATGTCATATTATACATTGATGTCATATAACCATGATCCATATCTGTAGACAGTGTTACATGTAGTAAAAATTGATTTCTATTGAAAATGGACAATCAGAATGAGTGCATAAGAAAATCTACTTAATTAAGGATGTGAATATATGCATGTACTTGATGGTATCTTAACCCTTTAACTCGTATATACGCGAAACAACGCACTTTCGACCCCATCCCCAACCACCACCACCCCCCCCCCCCTCTTTTGGGCTTCAAATAGTGAAAAAATGTCCTATTTGGGCCCCAAACACATGTTTTCGTTTGAGAAATGTTGCTAAAAGAGTAAGCACTTTTTTGGGGTGGGGTTTGAAGGGGGGCAGTAGCCCCCCTCATCGCCAAGAAAATTTTGGACTTGTGAGAGGCTAAAAATAACCCCAGGTCGATCATAAGGTAACGTGTAACCAACGCTGAAAAGTCTTTGACTCTATCTCAATCCCTGAAGAAGTTGCAGCACTTTGAAATAAATTTTGATGGAAAAAATCAAGGCAAAATAGTGATTTTTGGAAATTTTGAGATGTCCCCTTGTTGCTATGGTAACAGGAAATTTAAGACTGAGCATGTCGTTACAAAGGCAGATTACAAATCGTTACAAATGGTCCAGTCAACATTTGTGCAAAGTTTGATTAGTATTGAAGCATTTTTCATAGTTTCATAGCAGTTTGAACTTGTAACAGGAGGCTTTTCAGTGAAAACGGCCAGTTTTCAAAATATGCTCATGAGGTGTTAACATGCTGTAAGATTTATTTAAGTTTTGTGTTATTTAAGACTCTTTTTGATAAACAAAGTTATTGGAGAGATTGGTATAAATTATTATTACATGCTTTTTAGACAGTTAAATAATTTCTGAATGAAGTTATAAAATATATAATTTTCACAGTAGCCTGACTATTTGAATGTGCATGTTAAGCAATTATCATTGTAAAAAATGGAAATATCATAGGGATACACTTATTTGTAAGTAAAATGTAATTGATAAGGAGAAGCACATAATTCTTTATAATTTTAAAAATTAAACAATTTTATTTCATGCTGTTCGGTGGTTTATAGAAATGTATCAGTGAAATAAAAATCTGATAATTAACAGTGAAATTATCAATTTGATAATTTCACTGTTTTGAATTTAAGCCTGTTACATTGAAATACCAGCGTGCACAGTATTGGAAACCAACTTAATGATGATTTACGACGTCACATTGTATTATAATTTGGCGCGCTTTTCGTTTAGTATTAAGACATTAAACGCTTTTTTGCATATAATAAAAAGAACATTTGTTTAGTTCAGCTTAAGATCGAAATATAATTCACCTTGTGAACACCATTTCCAAAAGTTCATATTTCACTCTTGGCTGCGCCACTTGTGAAATATACCTTTTGGTACTCACTCAGTGAAATATATTCCGATCTTACACTGAACTAAACAAATATCCCCTACTTTTTTAAAGTATGAGCATTGTATAGTCATGATTTGATGATGTCATGAAGGAGGGCACATGACGTTTACACAGAAAAAATTAGTCAAAATTTCTTAAAACCACTAAAACGCATGATATAAATAGAAGATTTGTTTCTTTTACATGTAAGATCAAATTATATTTCACTCGTGCACACCAGCTGTTATATTTTCACTTGTGGCTATGCCACTCATGAAAATATTGCATCCTGTGTTCTTTCTGGGAAATAAATTTTAATCTTACATGTGAAACAAACAGATATCCACTACCTCATAAAGTCAGTAGTTAAACAGATAGTATAAGATACATGTAAACACTGTATTTATGAAATAATATATCCCAAACAGTGATTTTATGGCTCAAAAACATCACTGTTTTGAGTTTGGGTGCGACAAATTATATCGCGTAGCGTAGTTAAACAGTTAGTATAAGATATATGTATACATTGTATTATAGGATAAAGACCAAAGAAGTATGGATATGGATACAGCAAAGGCCATGTTAACATTATTATTGGGTAAAAAATGGCCTCTCTTTCCAAACTTTCATCAATATTTAGACGTAAGTATGACACTAGTTTTGGAACAATGTTATATGAATGTACAGAACTTTGGGGCATTGCATCCAGCTGATTTTTAGGCAGTATAGAAATAGGTTTAGAGAAAGCTCAATATAAGATTGAAAATAAATAAACATTGAAACTTTTTGTTATGAAAGAAATGTAAACCTAACCTAAGAAGGAAAAATTAAGTACTGAAAGTAGGAATATATTTAATTGTACCTGATATTATTTTCAGCAATCAAAGTATAAAGTGATCAACAAAGACCAATGGTGTAATATACTGGAGTTTAGTAGAAGTATATTTCCTGATCTAACTAATTATGATGAAGATGGTGCTTGTAAGTAAATACAATAATAAAACTTTGTTCCTTGTACATGTATTTGTTAAAACATAATTTATTTTAGTTTGATTGTACTGGAAGCTATAAGTTTAAAAACACACTCTAGAATCCTTTCCATCAACAAAGCAGTACTAAAACAAGGACACTTTACTGACTTTTCAATCTATGTGGCTAGCATTCCTTACATTACAAGTCTGACATGTTTAACACTCGGCCGTACCACTACAAACTTTTCTAATGCTTTTGGAATTTGGATATAGGAGTTAAATAATTAATGCAACAAGATTACTAAAGGGTGATTATTACACTCGGGTGATGTTATAAAGTAATAATCATATACCATAGATATTATATAAGTACAGCAATAAAAAAAACATAATTGTTTCTAAAGAAAGAAATTAATGCAATCTAAACATACTATGATTTAACAAAGGTATTTTAAAAGTTATGATTAGGGCTAATGCCCATAATACTTTTATAATTTGTTACAAGATACTTGAAATATTTTAACGATCTAAAATGTTAAAAACCTGTGATAGATATTTTGATTTGGTTGTTTAGGGCCAGTGTTGCTAGATGAGTTTGTTGATTGGTTCAAAGATCAGAGACAGATGAATAGCTGATGGTTTAATATGGACCAAGAAATGAATGATTGAAACAACACACACATTTAACCACATATTGTGAACCTGAAAACTTGTCACACAGATGGAGACAGAAAAACAACAACAGCTATGAGATATAAAGCAAACACTTACATAGTGATATTACGTAGGCAATCTGCAACAAGAAATCCTCTGTAGATCAAAATATGTAGATAGATCTGGTTCTGTATTTATCAACCTTTGAGGTCATATTTGTATATATATATATATATGATAAAATTTGCTACATACATTGATTTCTTTCTCTCTAAATTAAATATGCTTATATTGTTATAAAACATTATTGAAATTTAAATGTAACTGCAGAACTTTAGAAAAATTGTCAAAATTGGCTTTCATTGAAACTAATAATGGTCAAATATGAATAATCTGGGATATGAATTCCTGCCTAACAGACTGGAGTCTCTATTATATTCACCCATGCTGGAAATTTAGTCTGGCATGGGGGTGTCACATTGTTCACTTCCTTTAAAATGACATCATTTTAGCACATTTTATGGGAGAGCTGCCTTTAAATCATGTAATTTCGGGACACTTTAGAATGAAACTGTGTGCCTGAGTTGATGTCATTTCCCAATTATGAATGAAGTTGTAAAATCATTTGCCAAGGAAAAGGACATTATTTTCCATGGAAAATTATTGTATTGATGTAAACTATTTAAAATATCATAGAATTATCACAATGGCAATGGATATTCCGATCCAAATTGCAACATAAGACAGATGTTATTGGTTTCATTTCCAAACATCAAATGTTGATAAATACAGAGGCAAATTTAATAGGTATCAAAGTAAATGTTTAGGTACATGTGATAAGTTGTCTTTCCATTTCTTTTATTCATGCCAGTAAAAAAGATTGTGTATTTTTTGACCACGGGTTTTATATGACATATGTCTTTCATAGATATATAGTTAAGATGTGCTTATTACTTACAGGTTCATGTGTTCATCTTTACTTCTGATCCTTGTGAAATATTCTGTGAAATATCATGTATTTGACTGAAAATCTATATATACATGTATGTATTACTAAACTTATTTTGACATGTTTCTTAATGGCAGATAGAGGGAATTACAAGCAGGTGTGAAAAAATTATCACATTTTTTACTGATCAATAGTTGTTAAAGTATTCAAATATTAATTACCTACTAGTAAAGCCATTCTTGTTGAAATAAATACAGACACCATATACAATGGCTTGGTAAATTTCCATGAATCTTATGTCTACTGATGTACTACACAGTGCTGTTTGAGGCACCCAATGGTTTGTCTAAATGATTATCATATATACATGGTTTATTTCTTCAATTTTACATCAAAAAGAGTCAGTGAAAAAAAATCAGTGTTATAAATTCATTGTGCAAGTTGGATAATAATGGAGAATATAATGCTCTTGAGATTTATGTAACAGTTTACTAGAGCTTTATTTCAAATAGTACCCATACAAAATTAAACGATAGTATAAGATCCATTAATGACCAACAGCAATGTGTATATTTAACATAAATATATGTAGAACAGTGATCATTTGGGTTCGAATATTTGTTGAGAATAGTACATAAGCTAGTGTGAGGGATGTAGAGAGATGTTACACGTTTAGAGACTTGTGAACAGATCCAGTAAAACCTATTAAGTCTGTGATTTTCAAAAAGATTTGCTTTTGTTTTCATCACTCTTGAGGGACCTCCTCTGTTAAGAAATTTTATTTGACAAAGCTTTTCATTATTTGTATACCTGTCTCAAGAATGCTGGCTTTTGATTGGTATATTTAATAAATGTGCTAGAAATCAACCAATCCAGAGCAATGTCAACTTGATTTGAGATAAGTCTCATATTGATGGGTTTCAAAAGAAGTTGACTTATGGCTAATGGACACACTGATTTTCAATGTAAATTTATCCTAGATAAATGTGCCATTTTACCTTGTGATAAAAGCATGTCTTGGTCAATATATTTAGTTTTATGTCGAGTTTTTATCATGTACAATATATCAAGCATTTTTTTGAAACAAAGATTAGGTTTTCAGGCATTTTCTTCTGATAGCATGAAAAAATATGACATACTTTTTTTTAGTCTGACTGAGCGCAAAATGCTCAAGGTGAACTATTGTAATCTGTTGTTCATGTTTTAAACCCATTTGCCTGTAGTGATGAAGTTATGCAGGAATGGTCCTCTAAAAATTGCGCAGATGGTTCTTGTCCTTCAACAAGATGGTCAATATCAGAGATAAATATAGCAAATCTTGCATCTATAGAATTGTTGGAGGTAAATTCTGATTTAATTCAATACAAATTATTTCTTAATTAATTCAATCATTGTAGTCCGCATAATAAGATGGCTGACTATATTCTAAATATAGAAATGACAACTTCTTAACCACTTGGCTGATTTTGATGAAACTTGATAAAAATGATGAATATGTTAAAAATTTGTCCATGTGAACCATATTTACAGGTGAACAATTAAGGCCCATCACGGTCCTCTTGTTTCAGTGTAAGGTTGATTTTTTGCTTATCATTAATTAATATTCATGTTAATTTTGAATTCTGATATTTCGTGCAAAGGAGATGAAACTCCAGGTTAGGGTTGGAAAGACTAACTTCACATTTTCGTCTGATATTTGAAGTTAATGTCTGAAAATTTGTTCTTTGTGTTGGACTTTGTTTATAGAATGTTACCTAATGTATTGATTTTTCTGAAGTGCTATTTTTAATTATTAAATTAAATTGTTCTATTATTAATACACTGTGGGTTTTACGTGATGTATATGCTGATTTTATTTGTTTGTTTGTGAAACTTGTATTGTGTTTGTCCAGTCCTAATTGACAAATTTGTTCAGTGTATTTCAGTGTATGTACATTAATATTAGATTTAAGTGTATTTTGAAATAAACCTGTTATAGGGGAAATATTTTGGATGTTTTGTAAGATTTGATGTTTTGGAAATATTATAGTGACCTTTATATTGCAATAGCTGAAATTTTTCTGCTAGTCATTTAGGTCACTTTGAATGCATTTAGTTTAGTATTTACATGTCGGCATTTATTGATACTCAAAACAAAAGTAAAATGCACTGGTCAAGAATATTAACATAATATGTTTTTATTAAGATTAAGATTTTGTGAAAACGAAACAACACTGTACAGAAACTTGTACTTGGCCATAATAGATTTGTCGGTGATTTTTTCACCTTATATAACAGAAGCCTATAAAAGGCCTCTTCCTAAGAGAAATTTTCTTTTAATTCAAGTTTTTTTCATCTTCCAAAATCTGAGCTTACACCAGCTTTTTTACTTTTTAGCCATATTTTTCCAGAATTAATTAACCTAGGAGAACCACTGTAAAGTCTGTTCTACTGGGATCTTGAAAAACATTGATGGAAGTTACACATGTTCAAAAGTCACTTGAATTAGGCTATGTTTTTTATGACTGAGTAAATGATATGTACGTTATTATTTAATAGAATTATATGTTAGAATATATTAAATTCTTTACTATTACACATATAAACATATATGAAAGAAATCTTCCATAATTATGATATAAATCTTGTAGTTATGCTGTTTTTAAGATACATTCAGTCACATCTGTATATAGATACATCATTAGTCATCTGTAACCATCTTGTTAATAATGGATAAAACACCAACAATATGTAATAAATGATATTACAAGAACTTCAAGCCTAGTTATGTATTTAAATCTCCCCTCAACACTGACAAATTGACTTGTGTTGTTTAGTTTCTTTAAGCAACAATTAAATGTATATGGGCCATGATTTATAATTTGGTCCATCAGCATAGCTATACCATAGAAAACATGTTAAGCTTTAGAAGGGTAAGTAGAAACATGTATAACTTGTTCCATCTTACTATACACCAAAACGCCTTCGGGATGTGTTGTTCTCTTCCCCCATGACATTTATTTCAGTACTATTTTGTCTGGATTTCAATGAAACTTGACCGGAACAAGTCAATAGCCGCAGGATATTTGCATCCATGTATCCTCGACGTGTTTCAACACAGTTATGACCCCTGAATACATTTAAAGTATACAACTCAAAATTTGCTGAGGATCACCTTTTTGACATATTTCAGTCCTATTATCATACTAAAATCATTTCCCTTTTTACAATGTGTCGGTAATCATCAGCACATTACAATGGGGTTTCCTATTGGTGAATAAATGTTTTACAACAAATAATTTTAAATGCGCCTGCTTGCAACCAAATAAATCGGAACAAAATATTTATTCTGTTATATAATTTATAATTATTTCCAATCCTGATTTTTATATCAATATTTGAAATGTTGATTTTGTTATTGTTTAGTTGGTTTAATATTGGCTAATCTTTCGCTATTGCTTCGGCCTCGGCTGCTGCAGCCTCAGCAGCACATTTCTCCCAGTTCTCCTTACATGTAACACATCCATCTAGAAGAGGCTTGGCGGCCGGGATTAGGGCAGTCAGGGTTGTGTACATAGGCTTGCAAATGAAGCCAATAAATCCAACCTGTATAATTCAATAAAACAAATCATAGATGATTAGTGTACTGATTTATAAGGTAAGAACATATAGATCTAGAAATTGAAGACACTCTTGCTTGGAAATTTAACAGGTGCACGAAATGAAAACTTATCAATCAATTAATGGCAGATATATTCAGCTTACAAAATGTTGGTAACAGTTTAATTGAAGTAATTGTTTGTGTATAGTTATGTGACAATGTATTATTCACGAGACATGCAAACTACCTGCATTTGTTATCATTTGTATCAACAGTTACATATCAAACATAATACAAGGTATTGCTGACCAAATAAAGTATGAATTGAAGGTCAACATAAAAAAGTTCCTCTCATTTTTATGATTGGAATTCTGTTAAAGCATAAGTATTACCTGCATTTTGGGAATATCTTTTTCATTTATTCTGTCCATCATTGGAATAGGTTGTATTCCTCGCTTTTTCTCCTCATCTCCCTGGGTAAACAAACAAAAACTCATGAAGCAGAATTTCATATACATGTAGAATTAACTTATAACAGGTGACTTCAAGTTGACTTAGTTTTAATGTGTACGATTTTGGTGGATCCGTCAAAAGCACTTATTTATACGTTAGATATTCATAAATAGTATTATTATATAATGAAATCTTGATGAAATGAAATGGGTATTTTAATTTCCCGATTTTTACCGTAAAATTAATTTTTCACTGCAGTGAAACATATTTTTCGTATTTTCACTGATATCTTGGCGGACTACTAAATTCAGCCATTACACATAATTAAAGTCTTTCGAATCGTAAGGTCAAAAGATAGAAAAAGAAAATAATAAACAGAAAATTCAAGTTTTTCCTATAGATACAGGCTTATTTTATCTTATGGTATCCAGTCTAGTTTGGGGGTACGTTATATTGAAACAAGAGCCGGTTTTGGACACAGAAAAGTATATCTTTTGTAGTTTCAGAGTTATGTCCCAGACAAAGTTCAAAGTGTGATAATTTCAAACTTAGGCAAGGCAGAGTCACTGTTATTTGCACTGCACCTCTACTCAATGAGATTTAACTACCGACTTGCGCGCGACACGTCGTCTCAATATGGTGATCATTTCTGTGAAATAGTTGTAAAATCCGACTTCAAATGAAGTTAGGGGCCGGATACGATTTTGCTACAAAGTCATGCTGAGACATTGACCTTCAAGGTAGCGACCCAAATGTTTTGCGCGACACGTCGTCTCAATATGGTGATCATTTCTATGAAATAGTTGTAAAATCCGACCTCAAATAATGAAGTTAATGGGCCGGACACGCTTTTACTGCAAGGTCATGCTGTGACATTGACCTTTAAGGTAGCGACCCAAATTTTGTGCGCGACACGTCGTCTCAATATGGTGATCATTTCTGTGAAAAAGTTGTAAAATTCGACTTCAAATTACGAAGTTCTGGACCGGACACGAATTCGTGACGGACGGACTGACGGACGGACAACCCGGCGACTATATCCTCCCCCAAATTTTTTCGGGGATCATAAAAGAACTTATTATAAACCTGCACGTAAAACTCCTCGTATATCAGCTTTGCAGTTTTCTTTTGAGTTTCCCACGGTTTGCAAATGGCACATAAATCACTACTGGTCATCATGAGAGAAAGAAGTCCATCACGGTGACTCATAACCTCGAAGTCAAATTCGTTCTTTTCTATCAAACCGGTCAAGAACTTCTGGTTTGGAAAATACAACGCCAAATCTGTTGCTATAATGAACTTCCTGTTAAAAATGATTTATTTAATATAGGAATACATATATTTAGTATTTCTTATCATCGGCCAAAGTAGATCTAGAAGCATTCGATGTCACACAATGTTTCTGAGATTTCATGCCTTCAAAGCAAATAGCCGGGTGTATTTGTGTCATTGAAATAACGGACAATAAATGTTATCACATCTTTTCGGTCTTTTCCAGCATAGTTCCCTAATTATCATGCTCGGAAAAATCCTAAATCTAAAACAACAACAACAACAACAACACAGCTACAACAATTTCTCTAAGAAGTCTATATCAAAAGAAAATAATGGATATACTCCTTGTTCGCCAGACCTTGCCCCTTATGACTTTTGCTCAAAAACACCTTGCTGAACGCGAAAAAATGTCGGTTCGGCTATTTTCCAGTGTCTTAACAGTATACCTTGAAAAGATTATGAAAAACGCATTAAGAAATTGGATTAAAAGTCTAAATTTGTATATCAGATGGTTAAGAGTATTATGAAGGATTGAGTACTGGTTACTAAGACTGGTTACTAAGCACTTTTGAAAATTGACCCAGTTGCATTCATATTTGAATAGTCATAGTCATATTTCATAGTCTTACCTTATCAAATCGAGAACATCTTTATGTTCACTTGATGATAGGTGCGCGAAGATATCCTGTCCCTCCGAATGTAGAATGGTAATAGTCTGTTTATAATGATGTTGTTCCATCACTGACGTCGTGTATAAATTGGCTAGAGGTAAATTCAACTTCTTAAAGAAATCATTGTTATATCCCCGGTGATCTACGTCATGACAAATACCGCCAACAATCAACGCCATTTTTTCCAGTCTCGTTAAATTCAAACCAGACGACTCTATGATTCTCCAAATACAATGTGCAACGTGGAAGCCATGCTGCCAGTTGTGATACAACACTGGCCTATAGTTTTTTCTTATCGTCAACACAAACCGGCATAGTTTTTGAACATCAAACGAATGTTCACCTGTACGCGAAAAAACAACATGAAAATATTAACGAGAATACGGAAATTTCAAGCACATTAATCGTACACATGCCTGATTTATCAATGCAAACATACTCCTGTCACGGGATGAAAACTTGTTGTTGTTTCTGGTAAAGCGTTTGTTTCCCTGTATATTGGCATATTCTTTTAATGTAATGTAAATATGAATAGACAAGCTTATTCTGGAGGAATTATTCATAATGTTTCTCTTTATCAACTGTCCATAACAGATAATGATATATAATTTATAAAGAAAACAAGTTTAGATAAACTGTTTGTATGGACTAATACGATGAACACCTGCACATATTACATACAAGTTTGATCTGGTATGACGTTGCTGACATTATGACCACGTTTCTAACGAACGAACATAAAAACTTAAAAAAAATATACATGTACATGTATAACATTGTGTCATTTCAAGAGAAGCTTTATCTAGACTTGCATTTAGGTCTCATGGATTACACTTGATCAGATCACACTCCGCTTTGCCCATGAACTAGCAAACTCCTCTATAATATAGTACTGGACCCTTGATGTAAAGATTCTCATAAAGTAGCCTATAGTAAATAAATTTCATAAGGGTTATAAGATAAGGGTTACCAAATGTAGTCTCCATCATTCTGATAAAAAGTTTGGGAAGAACTTCCTCATGTCCAAAGCAGGAGAATTTATATTTGTCGAAATTTGGGGGCACTTCATCCGGTTTGAGATATGGATTTACAATAAGTGAATGCGCTTCTTCTTCGCTGCACGAAAGGTGGAAATGTAGCACTTCCATTGCTACCTGTTTGGGGGAAAAGTCTTGTTTTTATTTTTTTTATTTTTTGGAATAGAGATAAATTTTGTCGTACATTCAAATTTAAACGTCCCAAGTGATGTAGTGCTGTGTTTGGCTATGGTGAGTTTGGTAGTAGTGAACGCCATTGTACAACAAAAATACTCGTATACAATCAATGTTTCTAAATGACGTCTCAAATTTAGACTTCTAAATAAATCATTAAATTCTAAACTAGATCAATACAACCAATGCTTCTTATTTTAAATAATGTATTAAATTCTAAACTAGATCTATACAATCAATGGTTCTAAATGACGCATTAAAGTCAGGACTAGACCTATTTTATTATACTTTGACCAATAATAATACAAATTAAAGTAAGATAACACACCTTGTATTTCATTTGTTGATGGGCAAGCATGTTATATAACCTAGAATAGTGTAATGCAAGGGCACAGTAGACAGCAAATAGTTTGAAAGCACTGACATCTTCGTTTGTGAAGTAATCGCCATTTTTCCTAAAAGTAAATAACTCATTCATTTAGAATCAAATCAAAATCCCTCGACTTGTTTATTGCATAATTAGTTAAAGTAGCGACTATAATTTAGTATTTAGTTATTTGACAGATTTCTAGAATTGTTTTGGCTATCAATAATAATGAAATCCCAAGACTTTTTGTCTGGAAAACAAAACATATGGCTACTATTTCTAAGAGGTATTATATAAATGATGATTTACCTATTTATCATCTGAACCACGCCGATCACTCCATTTTTGGCGTTGATTGGCATACAAAGTATGTTTCTTGTACGGTATCCGGTCTTTTTGTCTATCTCAGTATTAAATCTTTCATCTTGGTACGCGTCTTTTATATTTACTACCTACAAAACAATTTATGACAGCCTTAAACATAATTTAATAAATTATTTCAAACTGGCTACTTTACAAAAGTCATAGACATAAAAGCAATCATACAGTTACTTATACTTTTTCAGTAAACACTCGATCAGCGGTCAATAAAGTTAAAGACGTTTCCGAGATTAGTTCAGTTTTTTTTGTTTCAAATTTTTTATGGTTTTAAATCATAAATATGATGCTCAAATTAAGATTTATCAATATGTTAGGTTCCAAAAAGCATTTTTTATAAAGATATTACCGAATTTAACATTTCATGTAAATAAAGGGAAGTAATAACAAAATTATTTTCTATAGAGTTTAAGTCAAATTTTACACTAAGAAATGAATGCATATACTTAAATGATTACATACAAAAATATGCACAAATATTTGCAGTACATATTTTACATATTCTACGATGTTTGAAAATTGTTTTATTTGCATAATTATGTACACATATATATTTTCACTTAGTGTAGTTTACCACTTTGATCACAACTTACAGGATCTTTAAGAATAAAAAAATAAAAAGCTCTGAGAATTTTCTTAAACTTTACATAATTTTAACAAAGTGAAGAAAAAGAACTATTTTACTGATATTTTCACAAGATCATAAATACACCCGTTCCGCATACCCTTTACACCTATTATACATGTAAAATATTCCTGTTTTATATTAGTTTATGAACATTTTTGACAGGCTATATATGGCCCTATTTAACGTTTGTTTATATGACGGCGAGGGTTATATTGCATATAACCGTTTACATACGGACATATAACATGTCAAAAATCTTTATAGCGGATTTATAACACTATTAGAGAGAGAAAAATGAAATTAGCTCATAAATCAACTGCAGCGGTATAGATAGATAACATTAGCCAATGAAAAACGACGTTATACAGTATTATAAAATACACTTACCTCGCCTGTCTGAGCGACATACCCGGCTATTCCACGATTCTTTGGGAACCGGATTTGTGATTTTTTAGTAAACACGGAAAGTCCAGTCTCGCTCTTTTTGCCCTCGTCAAAGTAATCTGCAAACAGTTCCTGTCTTAACAAATAAAATTCATAACATAATGAGCCATGTGCATGTAGCTAATATAATTTGTATAGAAAGTTTGTTTTTATGGGGTGGTTGCCTTTAATCTTCTATTTTACACATGCTGAAAAATAAACGGCTACCAGTTTGTGTATTTAAACTTAAACTATGCTATCTTGTGCGAACCTAATCGTCTTGAAGCAATACTCTAAGAAAGGCAACAGGAGACGGGTTATCATAATTTATAGTTTTATGTCTGTATGTAAGTACAAATCAACTTAATACTAATTCAGATATAATATTACCTTTCTTCATCAACCAGGAACAAAGCACATCTGTCGGCAGTTACAAGGTCTTTGGTGAAGGTCATTATGTTAGTGACGAGTGTGTCTATATTTTCCATATCATCAAACATAACACGTGTCGTCTCTAACAGAAAGTTGTTTAATGCATCTTGTAGCTTGAGTAACTAAAATAATAAATAAATAAATTGTTGATGAAAAAATAACAAGATATTAGTAATGCATCTTCATATCGTCAACATGAAAGTGAGCAAAAACTGAATGATCACACATGGAAAGTAATGAAGAAGAACGGAATTACCCGAGTATGTTTCAGTTTTGACATGTTATACATGATTCAGAAGATTTGCAAAAGATTTGCACTTTTATAAATAGATGAGAAAAATCCACAGACTCTACAATACTGTTAAATATATAATATTTGGAGATAAATAAATAAATAAACAAACATATAAATTGATTAATTATTAATAAAACACTTTGACATTGAAAAATTTCTTTACAGATGCTTTATTCTTTTAGTGTGTTTTTTCTTTCTTATCTTTCATTGAGATTATTGAATGAATACCTTGTTTAATTTCATCTTTTGTAAGCAAGCCATCACCCATGTCATAATTGCATTGACGAGTTCAAAATGAAAAGTGCTGAACGGTGACGACCCTTGACTTCTGATGAATTCTACGACCACATAGGGAGTTCCACATTCAAGAAATAGCGGAATACTCATTATATGACATCTCTTGAAAATATCAACGCCAACACCATCTGGAAATCTGGGGTCATTACAAAGATCTTCTAAATTCAGCGGAACTTTTTCTGTGGCAACATACGATGCTACAATACGATTTTCGCCGATTTTTCCAAAACGTACACACCCCTTTTCCGGCTCAAACTTTGCTAGATTATTCTCAATATTTTCAACTGCAAGTAGATGAAAGTATTCCGCATCTATAGAAGTTTTAATCAGCATACACATTTCGTATATTCTTTCATATATCTCGTCATCTTTAATAGAACCAATTATTTTTCTGCTCATCGCCGTAATTCCGGTGTCTGTATAAACTGTTGTCTTCCGACGTTTGCTTTTACTCTCAAATTTTGCAGATGCTATGTAATTATCCCCTGCCTCCGCAAGCAATTTTTTCCGTAGGACATTTTCTATTAATGATTCTGAAGCGGAAGTCAAGAGATATTCCTCAACTACTCTTGGATGATTCTCAAGATATTCTTTGACTTCATTTTCTGTAATCTTCGCGCATATTTTACTCGAGCCAGGGCATGCCATTTTTTACCACAAAATCAATTCACAATTTTCTCCTTTTTTTTCGGTTACGTCTTTCCATTTTCAAAATAACGATGTTGACAGTCAGTTAATGACGTCACTTGCGGTCGGCGTTATCATTTCATTTGACGCCGTTTCTGAAACGTCAAATCCTGTTAGTCTATTATAATAATGATAAAAATGATAACATAACATAATATTTATTTAGCATTAAATGTTACAACATTCATAGCCATTTCAATCTATAATACAAAATAAGGGTATACATGGTTAACAGAGAATTCTACAAATGATTTATACAAATTAATCTTATTTCATTTAACAGAGTGAACAAAATTGATTTTTAAAGTCATTCCTTAACAATGTTTCTCATCATTATTATCATTTTTCTGTTGTGTTACTTCTAAAGTAAAACATATTACAAAGAATATTTTTCCTTTGTTACATATATGCAAGCAATTTTTGTGTTCATTGAATATATTTATGCAAAATAATTCAAATATGAGATCCACTTCATTGTGTTTACATTAACTTAAAATACTTACAAAAGATAAAAAAAGAAAACAAAACAGTGAAAACTTTATTTTGAGAAGGTGACATATTAAGAGTACATAATAAACATACAACTTATTTCCAATATGGCCTTTTATACATATATATATAAACAGAAAACAGAAACAACAATAAATAACAATATAATTACGACAAACACTGTTACAAAATATCAAGCATTTTCATGGAAATGAAATAATTTATAATAAAAATAAGTACGCAAATAAAATCATCCATCAATGTTAACAAACAAACAAACAAACAATAGATATATAAAACATCAGTTTAAAGTTTTAAGTGTTTCAGTTTATTCTGTAACATAATCCTTTAGTTTACGTTTAAATGTTGACAATTTATTCTGCAGTTTTATGTCAGCTGGAAATGTATTCCATAAATGTGTCACCTTGTATGTTTGTTTCATATAATTTGTCCGTGGCCTGAAGTAAGAAAGTATCATCTGTCAAAAAATATGAAATTCTTTTTAAAAGTGCAATTTTTGAATTGAGTTAGCTTTTAACATTATGAACTTGAGTATGCCCTGTTAAATTATTATCAACACATATCCTGAGATTTTTTTGACTTGATACGTTTTCTGTTATGGTGTCATTTATAGCCCGTTTAGTTTTGAATTTGGAACCTAATAGCATACACAGTTTTCCTTGGTGCTATTTATACACCATTTGTTGACCAAGTAAAGAGTTTTTTGGAGTTCTTTCTCAATGCCGAGAATATCTGTGTCGGATTTGTATAATGTGGAGTCATCGGCGTACATGTCGATGTTAATAAAATCTGAAATTAATGTCATATCATTTATAATATATATAAAAAAATAGCAAGGGCCCTAGTAGTGACCTTTGTGGAATTCCGGTTTTTTATAATCATTTTCTTTGAAAGCAAATTACTAGTTTTTACCAGTTGTGTTCTATTCGATAAATATAAAATATTTTGTGTTTGTTTAGTACTATTGTTGTTACTTCATATAAATAGATATCAATTGCTCGTATTTCTTAAAAATGCGATTTTTCTGTTATTTATTATGACCAAAATGGTTATTCATAGGAAATTTTATAGGCCTACAAATCATAAATTGTAGCAATTATTTCAATGAATTCATTGAGTAAGAATTTTAGACACATTGATCAGACGAACTATATATAGGGCTTTGCAGCACATTTAAAGACTAATGACGAAATTAATTAATGAAAAATCAACAATACACCACATATCCTGCTCACCAGTATTCTAGTTATTTTTACACTGAATTACAATATCTGCAAACATTGCGTTAACATGGAAGTGAACATAGCAGGATCATATTATAAGTAAACTGATGATACCTTACAATCACCAATTTTATAGTACCCAATGACAGGGCTGGTCAAAGAATTTGTCGCAAGTTTGGAGATATTCTGATATATTTGTTTCGAATATTATCCCTTCTCGCATCAAAATATAAACAGTGGAGATGTGTTAACATTGCCCACCACCTCCAATGACATATTGAAAATGAGAACTGTGATATGAGCGTGAAATCTGTTTGTGCGAACGTGTTGATGTTGTCACATAGTTTACGCATAGCGTCCCTAAATATTTAGGTTTTCCTGAGGCCATATTAATATCAAGAATTTTAATCATCTTTAAAAGAAATGTTGTTAATAGAAATATTCTTTGTTAATGAAAGTTTAGAGTAATAAAACGGACTGAATTCAGGTTCTAATATGCTTAAATATGTGATATATACCTTCACCTTTCTTCATCTCTCAAATATCTCTTGTTTCCATGTTCTATGCACGAAATATAACACCATCATGGTCGTGCATTTACATGTATATACCTCCTTTTTTGTTGTTGCTGGTGTTGTCTTTTAAAATCAGAATTTCAGGCATATCAGATTTACACATTTTCTTATCAACTTGATGTTCATGTTTGAACTTGTTTCTATCTGAGCAACTTATATCAGAAAATTAAGACAGTAAATGATTTATTTCATTACCTATTATTAAAAACTCCGAGAATAAAAAGTCAAACAATACCGGTACGGCATAAATTACTCAACAAAATTTATTATGATACATCCATTTCTTCCTAAAAAACATTCATTTTCATAACTTTAGTTTCTTTCCGAGCTTTCTTGTCTTTTTCTTGTCTCTCTTTAATAACTCTTTTCCAATTGTCCTCTGTTCGGTTGCAGCCCTTCAGTAATGGCTTGACCATAGGTAACAATTCGGACAATGTTGTATAACAAGGTTTACAAACGAAGTTGATAAAACCGATCTAAAATAACCAAAAAAAACAACATGAATATAGATAAAACTGAATTTAAAACACTTGTATAGACCATACTAAATGAGTGTATAAAGACATGCAACTTATCTAATTAAAAAGTGAAACGGTTGTCTATAAAGAAGTTAATTACTTGTTGATTTGGAATTTCAGATTTGTGTTGCCTGTCCATCATTGCAATTGGTTTCAACCCAAGCTTCTTCTCCTCGTCTCCCTAAAAGTCAGTAAATATTGTTTGTTATAGAGACAATAAATTAACAAAACTGAACTCTTGGAAATTATATGTAACAACAGTAAGAAGTGGCATGTAATTTTAGTTATTAATATTTGTTATTATATATTAGTTACATATTGCGATGAAATACATCAAATTATGTATAATCAGTTAAATTCTAAGGTATCTTCAATATGGATTGTAAGTTGTATAATTTGAGATAACTTTAGTATGGATTGTAAGTTGTATAATTTGAGATAACTTCAGTATGGATTGTAAATTGTATAAGTTTGAGATAAATTCAGTAGGATTGTAAGTTGTTATAATTTGAGATAACTTCAGTATGGGATTGTAAGATGTATAATTTGAGATAACTTCAGTATGGATTGTAAGTTGTACAGTTTGAGATAACTTTATTATGGATTTGTAAATTGTATAATTTGAGATAACTTCATTATGGATTGTAAGTTGTATAATTTGAGATAACTTTAGTATGGATTGTAAGATGTATAATTTGAGATAACTTCATTATGGATTGTAAGTTGTATAGTTTGAGATAACTTCAGTATGGATTGTAAGTTGTATAATTTGAGATAACTTCAGTATGGATTGTAAGTTGTATAGTTTGAGATAACTTCAGTATAGATTGTAAGTTGTATAATTTGAGATAACTTCAGTATGGATTGTAAGTTGTATAATTTGAGATAACTTCAGTATGGATTGTAAGTTGTATAGTTTGAGATAACTTCAGTATGGATTGTAAGTTGTATAGTTTGAGATAACCTCATTACTGGATTGTAAGTTGTATAATTTGAGATAAACTTCAGTATGGATTGTAAGTTGTATAGTTTGAGATAACTTCAGTATAGATTGTAAGTTGTATAATTTGAGATAACTTCAGTATGGATTGTAAGTTGTATAATTTGAGAGAACTTCAGTATGGATTGTAAGTTGTATAGTTTGAGATAACTTCAGTATGGATTTTAAGTTGTATAATTTGAGATAACTTTATTATGGATTGTAAGTTGTATAGTTTGAGATAACTTCAGTATGGATTTTAAGTTGTATAATTTGAGATAACCTCATTATGGATTGTAAGTTGTATAGTTTGAGATAACTTCAGTATGGATTTTAAGTTATATAATTTGAATAACCTCATTATGGATTGTAAGTTGCATAATTTGAGATAACTTCAGTATGGATTGTAAGTTGTATAATTTGAGATAACTTTATTATGGATTGTAAGTTGTATAATTTGAGATAACTTTATTATGGATTGTAAGTTGTATAGTTTGAGATAACTTCAGTATGGATTTTAAGTTGTATAATTTGAGATAACTTTATTATGGATTGTAAGTTGTATAGTTTGAGATAACTTCAGTATGGATTGTAAGTTGTATAGTTTGAGATAACCTCATTATGGATTGTAAGTTGCATAATTTGAGATAACTATAGTATGGATTGTAAGTTGTATAATTTGAGATAACTTTATTATGGATTGTAAATTGTATAGTTTGAGATAACTTCAGTATGGATTGTAAGTTGTATAATTTGAGATAACTTTATTATGGATTGTAAATTGTGTAGTTTGAGATAACTTCAGTATGGATTGTAAGTTGTGTAGTTTGAGATAACTTCAGTATGGATTGTAAGTTGTGTAATTTCAGATAGGTTCAGTATGAATTGTAAGTTGTATAAATCAGTTGATCCTGGTCTCAATTAATACCTTTGTGAGCTACAGATGAAAATTAATAGTTGTAATAATTTCTCTACATTTACAGATTTATATGACAGATAGTTTACCTGCATCCAGAATTCATCGTACAGGTAATCAATAGTTTTGTCCATTGTTCTCCACGGTTTTGGTACGGCACATAAATCAGCCCCTGTCATCATCATGGCGAAAAGCGCATCTCGATGCTCAGGATTGTCTATATTGAACTGATCTTTCTCGAGGAGACCGGAGACGAATTTCTGATTACCAAAATATAGCGCCAGGTCTGTAGCTAGGATGTTCTTCCTAAAAATAAAAGTTGCATTGTCGAGATCTACAGTATGTTTAACATAATATTATATGTTATTTTGGTTTTGGAGTGATATATGTGGATAAATTACCTGTTAAGATTTTATATCACCCGAGCCGTTAGGCGAGGGTGATATTTTATCTTGGTAGGTAATATATTCACTAGCTTAAGGTCTTCAGCGTACCCGTTTATATATATGACATGACATGCCGCATCTGATGAAAAACAAAAATGTTAAAAAGCGGCTTATAAAGTTTTGGAAGCCAGAACTATATATTCACATATATCACTCCAAAACCAAAATAATAATTTTATTACCCTTCCCCTGCCGAGTTTAGACGATTTTTCAAAAAATCATTGCTGTTTTAAATGAAACGTCGAAATAAGATTCCCTTTAGGGTACCTCTTCGTCACAACATGACGTCACATTAATACATGACATATTTTTCCCCAATCGCAACTACTCGGCCCTTTCCGTCAGTCTTCGGATAAGTCAATATTGTAGATAATGGCCGAGGCAGCTCCGAATGATTTTTCCCCAATGATTTTTCCCGTACCTAACGAATGTAAACAAGAGAAAAGGAGTAGTCTATTGAACGCACTTTTTTTGTAATTAATATCAAGCTTTCACAAGGTCATATTTGTTTTCAATACTGATGGTAATATGTATGATTCCTCTACTTTGGTAAATATTTATCATTTGACAGTTAAAATTTGCTTTATAATCGGAATTTACACCGCGTAAAATCGAACCGTACGCGCATGACCTTAGCGCATGTTGTTTACAACGTTGGGTACCCAACGGGGAAATTTAGTGTGTATATTACCCGTCTGGCTCGGTTATATCAATTTCTTTCAGATGATCAATATCCAATCAAAAAGGCGGAAAAAATCTGGAAGGGTAATAAAGCGTCATGTCTCTAGCCAGAATGTTCTTTCTTAAAATAAAATATTGAATAGTTTGTGTTTACTATCTATTGGTTACTTGTGTAGAAATTGATAATACAATGCTTTTTGCAATAACCATGGTAACCTGTATTTAGGCAACAAATAATCATTTACCAAACACACGGTGATGTCTCAACAAATTAATTGAAATTTTTCTATTGTGACGGCACTCTTTTTTAAATTCTCAGTACTTTTTACAAGAGATGCTAATATTAAATTAATTATCAATAAGTTCTTATTTAACTTCAGAAACAAGAACAAACATAACCTTTACTATCTGGTTTCTCATTAACATGGGAACATTTATGTTCTGGCATGTACTCACTTAATCTTATCAAACATGGCTTCTTGTTCCTCTTTTGTCAGGAAAGAAAATATTTCGTGTCCCTCCAAGGTAAGAATTTGTAACGTCTGGTGGTAATGGTGATATTCCATGCACGAGGACGAATATAAAGCAGCGATGGGGTGATCTTTTTTCTTGTAGAAGTCATTGTTAAAGCCGCGATGATCTAAATCATGACAAATCGCGCCAAAAATGAGCGCCATTTTCTCATGAAGTGTGAAGTTTATGTGATCACAAGTTTTTATCATCCGCCAGATGGCATGTGCAACATGGAAGCCATGTTCCCAATTATGATAGGTTACTGGACGATAGTTTTTACGAACTGCCAATGTAAATCTACACAGAGCTTCTAAATCAAACTGCCTGTCTCCAAACGTATCATGAACTATCCGGATGAACAACTTATGAAGAATTCGGACATGGTCGTAAGCACAGAAGTCGAACTTGTAGAAATCAACGGGGAGGGCAGTCTCTTCTATGTAATATTTTCCTGACAACGTTATAGCTTCGACTTCTTTTTCAGGTAAATGGAATTCCAAAACCTCTTGTGCAACCTATATAAATAATAAAAAGAGAAATATCGCTATAATAAGTAAAATCTATCTATTATTTCTATATACGTATTTGAATTGCAATTAAAATTTTAATAAATTTGTGAGAACAACTTTTTCTGCTACAACTGGCTTTATATACATGTATATGATAATTCCTCTATTATCACAGTTTACTTCGAAAGTGGAAAATGGGAAAAAGTTGTATTGATTTATTAAAAAGGATAAAAGACGGAGTATGCTTTTCGTATGTGATATAGGTGTTTTGCCTAATTATTATTTCACCTGTTAGCTCGGTAACCGAAAAAAAAAAAGATTCTAATAAATAGAATTGAGAACAGAAAAAGGTGTTTCATCAAAAGGGTAACGAACGCCTTAATTTATCAATGTCATAAAAGCTTATACAACCGTGTGCATGAGTTCCTCTTTAGTGAGGATATTGTACAGTTTGGAATAGTGTAAAGCAAGAGCACAGTAGACAGCAAACATTCCAAATGCCTCCTCGTCATCTCTCGTGAAACACTCGTCTCCTAACCTGGAATTCATAAATGTTAAACCTTTCATTCTCATGTGTGTCTGTCACTCGATCTACCTTAGCCATACGATTGTGCATGTTTTCAACGCTGTGTTGTGACATTGTGGAAATATGTGTAAGCTACTTATACCAAAACTAAAACATTTGATGGTTTTGTGTCATGTCCGTATAATAGTAATCAATTTGTTCTTTTAATAGTCTACTCAGTCCAGCCTGACTTGTTTCTCCAAAACCATAAAACAAAGACAATACTTTTAATCAATCATCCACCGGGATGTATAAGATAAAAAATAAATTCATGTATACTAGTATACACGGAATAATACTGAAAATCGTATTTTTGGCACGTCTTGTTTTTAAGTAATTTACAAAATAACTATTCAGAAAAAACAGAGAGAGCGAATTATATGAAATTTGCAACACAAGTTTTTGGTATGGACCAACACCAAACAAATAAAAACTCGAAAAGAAAATCCAGTCCCGTCATACTTAAAAATCAAATTGCAGTCCCTTTAAGCTTGCATCTTGTTATAATTTACATAAAGGTAATGTTTTTAATCAGCAGATTTTAGTAAATTACCGGTTTATCATTTGTACAACTCCGATTATTCCGTTCTTCCCAGAAATTGGCATACACAGAATATTTTTTGTATGATATCCGGTTTTCTTGTCTATCTCAGGATTGAAACGCTCGTCTTTGTAAGCGTCCTTGATATTCACGATCTGCAAATAATTAAAAATATATTTATTTCATCAGACATACATTACGAGTACTAGTTCTGCAGTTCATACTGCACGATTTATGATGAAAATATTAGCCCTGATTAAATCACTCTTAGTCCGTTTTCTGGACCAACATGGCTCCGTTTGTGTCGTGACCTTAGCTTTACTCGAACACATATGGTAGTAGGATTAACACTATATACTCCTTAACCGTCACGCCGTCATTTCCCTTACTTTGATAATATTTTTTATTGTCTAATTGTACATAAAAATGAAATGAGCATCATTATCATAAACCCATTATCGACTTTTCGCAACGAACTATTTGCCATTTACATTTTCCCAAAAAAGGGAGATAATACTAATTTTGACAAGCTACCAACCTTTCCTGTAAGAGCCACATGGCCAGCTATACCACGACCTTTTGGGAATCTGATCTCAGGTTTCTTGGTGAACACGGGAGTCCCGTCCTTTGATACTTCACCTTCATCAAATAGGTTTGCATACAGGTCTCCGCTAAAAATGTATTTAATATAATAGCCATAACATAAATTGTCCTTTTTTGGTACAAAAATATATATGATTCCATGACATAATGAGAAAATATTTTATATTTATCCTGTCACTTGTATCAATTTCGGCCCGATAACAAGGTGCCGTATATTTTTAGTGATCTACGGCACTTGATCACGTGGTATGCATGTTTGCCGGACTACTTTTCATGAAAAAATATAAAAACTGTCGTTAAATCTTCTGTGTGTAGAATAACGAATTTTGAAAACGTTGATAAAACTTTGTTTGTTTATTTTAATTCACTCTATAATTTTTTCTAGCGAAATAAAGAATATTAAAAGTGAAATAAATGTAAAACTTAACTCGTTCGCGACATTAAAATAGCGTACTTGATTTGATTGTTTTGCACGTGCTGTTTGGCGCTACATTGTGACGTCACGTAAACAATACTTTAAACGTCTGTACGGCGTTAACGACTGAATAAAAGATATTGGTGCTCGGATTCATTTTCTTAGTTAGACCATTTTCTTTCATTCTAGATAGTTTTGACAACAAAATTCGACAAAAAATTGTTTTTATTTATCAGATTTTTCAAACAAAATGGCGCCCTCAATGTGAAAATACACAGGGAGATAATCAAACTCCTCACAGTGATTACCTCCCTTGGCCGAAGAATTAAGGGGAGATCACTGTGTGGAGATTGGGAGATAATAAGAACGGCGAGTGCATTGTTGTAGAAAAATTAGGGCCTTCTTTGTTTATATAGAAACATTTCCGATAGTGTGATTACAGGTAGTTTGCCTAATAAAATTCTTTAAAAAAAACGGTGACAGGATAAATAGAATAACAGATTGGTGCCGTGGATGGAGAAAGTTTATCTGGCTCTGCTCTGGAATTTATTGGGTTCGCCTTCGGCTCACCCAATAAATTCCTCCGCCTCGCCAGATAAACTTTCTCCATCCACGGCACCAACCTATTATTCTCTATATTATCGTAACATTTGCATCTTTTACAATATACATTTACAAAAAGAAATAACACACAATATAAGTCACCTATAATGAGTAACATGTAGAAGGGAAAACAATAATAGAGAACACGAGATAATAGAAAACGTATTTTCATCGTGTGTTTACCATTATAAACTTTTTAAAGCATAACTTCATAACAAAAGTTAAATCATTTTAAGGTCCTAAAACACAATTCTAAATACTCAACGTGTATACTATCACATACAGAGGTAGGGTATAAAGTTAAATAACGTCAGAGTCAGCGATAAGATCAAATACATGGCAATTCGACAGCTTGGGGATTATAAAAACAGACTTTTCATGTCGGAAATAAAATGACAGATGATGTTAATAATATAATTTTTTACAAAATAAGCAAATAAATAAATTTATACTCCTGATTATCAACCAAAAAGACGGCACATCTATCGGCAGAGACCAGCTCCTTGGTAAAGATCATAATGTGGTCGACGAGGTGGTCAATATTATACACCTCATCAAATAATACCTTAGTCGCCCCCAATAAAAACTTGTTCAAAGATTTCTGTACACGTAATATCTGTAAATATTGTCAAAATGAGTGGATATAATTATGCTGCTAAAGATAAATAAACAAATAATTGGTCGTTAAATTCATATTATTATATGATCCCAGTTCGTTTAAGAATATTGAGTTGTGTATAAAATTGCCAACAGATTTGTTTAGAACTGGATAGATATTAACCTGGTGAATTTGCGAAGCTTGAAAATTTGGACATTCCATTCAAAGCCAAAGGGATTTCAATATAAAAGTAAAGAACATGTAGTTAAGTATACAGTCTGACAGACTACACGGACACGCCGGCTGGCCTGACTCTATTCATTGTGATATATGCTTATCACTTCCGGCGGGGTAATGGCGCTTTGAGCACCGGTGTTGCTTTGAAGTTTGTAACAACAGAGGCTAGCGAAAAATCATATTTCCTGCTCTGGCGCCATATGACCTATTTTGTGACGATGCGCCTTAATACCAAACAAACATCAATTGAAAATTAATCACGTCCGAAACGTGGACTTTTTGGACATGCAAAGCGTTCGATTTTTACATCTTAGCAAATAAAAAAATGTTACAGTTATATAATTATAATGTTTGCTTTAAAGTAGCACATATGAAAGATATAAAATATGCATTTTTCTATAACGACTTGATCTTACCCTGCTAATTTTCATCTTCTGAACACAAGCATTGACCCAACTAAACACCGCTACCGTAAATTCGAACTCCTCACTTGAGAATGGGTTACCACACCAACCACGAGTAAACTCCGACACCGCATAGCACCGCCCATCTTCATACAAAATTGGGATACTAATCACTTGATGGGTAGTGTCGTCTCCTAAACAGATTCCTGTGATATGACAAAATAAGCCTCGGTATATTATGTTCTTGTAACTATTTTTTCTCTTCTAATTAATTTAATTATCTCTATCACCTTCTTCAACTTATTTAGATCTTGCAACACTACATGTACTTGTATGTATTTCATTATCCTAATAACTTTTAACTTCTCATACGCTCATAATTATAAGCAGTTAAGCATTAAGATTGCGTTTATATAATTCCGTTTACCAGATCTTAAAATCAATTGCCTGAATGAGTTGAGGGCAATTGGTGTACATGTACTTACTTTTAAAGAATCGGACTCGAAATCATCGGAGATAGGTTCAAATCTCAACAACAAAATACACACCGGTTCGATTGTATAGCTTACGACAACCATGAATCATTCATAAGGCGTATTTTAAATTCTTAAAGGAGGCTGACATTAATGGAAAACTAAATAATAAACAAATGATTTATGCACATTAAACATTTGTCACTCATTTATATATTAGTGCTTAACTGTTTATAATTATGAGAGTATGGGAAGTTGAAAGTTATTAAACTAAACTCATTCAGGCAATTGATTTTAAGATCTTATAAACCAATCTTAATGTGTGTAGATACATCAAATAAAGTAATTACCTTTAGGAAATCTCGAATCCTGTTGCAGATCTGTAATATTTATCGCTTTCTTTTCGTAAGCAACATGTGCCGAGACTGTCATATTTTTGCCGACTGGACCTATGTTTCTAAATTCCTCTCCTGGCTTGTAAATCGATACTTTTATTCCGTCTCTTATAAAATACAAACTAAAACTGTCTGCTTTAATGTGGTACCCTATTATTTGACATATCTCATTGATAACCTCACATAGTTCATGATCCTTCGCGCTAGTCAGAATCTTTTCACAGAGGTTTCGAAAGTTCTTGTCAGATGAAGTGCTAGTTGCCTGAACGACCTCCTGTTGTGGATTTAATACCGGCTTCCTTAATTTCGGTTTATTCTTCACCTTCTCAAGAATGTCATTCAAAAACTCCATGCTGACATTTTCTAAAAGAAAGTATTCTAAGAGGTTAGGATACCTCGCCAAATATTCTTTGACCATATATTCTTGCATCTCTGTGTTTCCAACATTCTCTAGCCATCTATCCGATGCTCTAAATCGAGACACCGGTGTCTTTCGTTCCGAGGTCAGATTCCTCAATGGTGAACTCATTAAGTGGGTACTTTACTGACCCACATGTTTCATAAATTCATAAATTAATTTTCTTTTCTTGGAAAATGTAAACAAATTACGTTGTTAACGTCAAAGCGTTGCTATATAGTACGTCACTAACGTCAATGACGTCAACGACGTCATACATAAGAATAACAATGAGTGTCGCTCTTGGAAATTTGAAAATCTATTTCATATTTATAGAAGTCAAGTATCAGGTGAGTAATAATGGTTAATATACGTTGTGATCTTAACATTCCACCTGAATAGTAAATACGTATATATAGTTTTATCTTAACAAACCATTTCCTATGTGTTTAAATAAATAATACATTGTTCTGTAGTAAGCAAATAAAAAAGAAGACAAATGGAACGTTTACAGTTTTATAATGGATATATGATGTATAATTTTTTTATTATTTGTGTACTATTTGGAGCAAAATGACGATTATTTTTTTTATCATAACGCATATAAGACGCATTCGAAACTTTTCTTAGAATTCGAAGATTTATTATAATACAGTGTAGTTTTAGTGATTCGAAAGACTATCTTTAACACAGCAATGAAAGCACTGTAGGATTTGAGGTATCATTGGTCTCATGTGGGACAAATGCGACCGCATCGGTCTTAGTTAAGACAAGTGCTCCGAGACAATTGTGCTCTTCTACAAAGCACTAGATACGACAGGCGGAACTTATTCCTTAGGATAGCACATTATAACACCAATTTTACAGGTATGTTGATGTGGTTCACATCTTTTTAGTGTATTGTACATTTCTGTTTGTTTGTTGCTTTTTTTTCTTTTTTCTTTTTTTTTCTTTAAATTCCGGAAGAAAATGTCGATATTAATTTTAATGTTATAATGTTAGAACATACATCTGCTTTTTCAACCATAATTTTTGTTTTATGTGTATATGTAACACAAGTGTTCGACCTGCAAGTTTAGGAGAAAAAATCGGTAACGACAATTTGTCTATACTATATAAGAGATTCATAACTTTAGGTCATTTATACTTGCCATGTGAAAAAAAAACGTTATACCCATTATCAAGTGGTTTGACGGGAGATATAGCCGATACTAAATTTTGATCAGCTCATTCCATCATTAAACCAAGTTTGAGTTCCATCATCATACTATGTGTAACATGTGGGACTTACGATAACTTATTTTAAGTCCCATGGAATCATAAAGGTGTTTGGACTTACAGTAGGCCCATAGAGGCATATCGTGTAATTGTCGATATAAATAAGGTAATAAGTATAAAGATAAAAGTAACAAAGTTCATAATTTATTCACTGATTATTATGTTTTGGCGAACCAAAAGTACAAAATGTATAACTATCCGATATTTCGGATTTGGATAACAATTGTATGTCAGTCGATATTCTTTTTTAATTGACTATGATTATAATACATTTTTTTTATTAAAGTATTACCAAAATACACTCAATTTATATATCAATGTTAGATAGTCACTTTCGTTACTCATTTTAAAAGATAACAACAACCGTTATGCGTCGAAAGTCACTTGGCAGAACTACTTCCAATCCATAATACCTTTGATATGATTATCAACAATAGGTGAGGTGTTCCGGTTGTTAAAGCGTAGGTTACACGGAATTTAGCGTCTTTTCGGATGGTGTTATCATATTGTACAGTATCCCTGAAAACCCATTAGAAACTTACTTGTCTTTTAAGTTGATGCTTTCATGCAAAAAATACTCTAGTTGCGTAAAACAGATATAATATTAGCCCTAGGCTGTTTACAATATTACATAAAAGGAATAAAAAAGTCATTTTCCGGTTCGCAAATCTTTTTCTACTTTACATGAACATCGGGTTTAAACAACTAGACTGATTGCTGTTGCTACTTTTAGAGCTATCTGCAGCTGTCCCTAAGTGTAAGTATTTTCTAGAGGATATAATCGAAAAAGTAAGCAACAGATATCTTATAACATTTCGAATTATTATAAATTATCCCACTTTCATGCCTTATGCGAAGTTGTTTAAAATAAATCTTTCTGACATACGAGTACAGTTTGCTACGCCTTATTTAGTAAACAGTCTGTAGTTTTCTTCAATAAATGGACATAACTGGAAGAAAGCAACTATAGAACAAAATCTGTCATATAAAATTTAACAACTGATGTAAATCATTTCCTCTAAATTTTCAGGTCAAAAACGTATGCCTGTGCCTTGTGTTACATATGAACGCTATAGCATCTTCGTTGTGACATTTTATATATCATGATATTACTTTAGCGATGTTTAATACACCGACTATAAATGAAGGTTACAGGTTAAGCTGATCATGCCAGCCCGCATAGCTCAATCGGTTGGAGCGCGAGACATATAATATCGACATTGTGGGCTCAATTCCCGGGCTGGCCAACTAAAATTACTTATCAGTCTTTCGGATGAGACTTTAAATCTAGGTCCCGTGTATGAGTGCTTAAACATTTGGCACGTTAAAGTACCAGGGAAAGCTTCTGGAATTGGGGCATCTTTCTGTATCTGTATCTTGCACTATCCTCCAAAATATGAATTCTGGAGGACTCGTCCATATGGGAAATCGGTGGCGGGTATAAATAAACTCAAACACACACAAAAGCTGATAATTCCTGTGCGTGCTTTCAGCGCGTATAATGCTTCAAGTTAGATTACATACACACTGGCCTAAAATACTTGTTAATATGCTCTAGCTGTCTGATAATGAGATTTTTTGGTACATGTGTTGCGAGTCTTAAATCAAATTTCCGAAGCTAAAACTCGTTCTCAGGAAATATGTACAACAACATTTAAAAAGAGGATAACACCATCGGATATAGCTTAGAACTCCGCGTTACCCTGCGTTATACAGATAAGTTACCAGGCGATTCAATAAGCATATAAAATTCATACTTGGGAATCTTATTTATTAAGCTTGTAACAACCTAGCGCCTTCTTATGTATCTGAATTTTTGACTTATTCCAGCAATGAAATTAAAACTTTAATATCTGCTTCACATGATGGCTTATTTATACAAATTATGACATTAAGATTTTTACTACACTTCTACAAAGGTTCGGAATTCAATACCATATAATATCCGATCCATTAATTCACTGGCATCTTTAAAATATAAATACAGAAAGCATATATTGCAAATCAAATGATACTGTCTTTTGCATAAAACTCATCTTAATAAACTTTGTATTTATGATGATATAACATTTATATTCGTAATATATTCAGTTTTCAGTTATTGAAAATTATACAAATGATATATTTTTAAAAGAGTGTAAAATCAATCAAATCATGTTTGTTGTAATTCAAATTGACTCTATATATTAGTAGTTTTTTGTTTGTTTGTTTGTGTGTGTTTTGTTTTTCTTTTTTGAATAATAATGAATATTAAGATATGTTGTTTGTTGTGTTCATGTGACTTGACTTTTGACTTCTTGAAATAAAAATATTATTATAACATTTTCTATTTAAATCAAAATGGAAGCTATGCAACAAACAGACTTTTGAATTTTAAACATCTTATTTAAGCTAATTATCTCCTAAAATGCATTGTATTTCTGAAAGAACATTTTATCGGATGATCCTTATACAACATATACCACATTACAATTACATAGTTAGAACAAATAATTTGTAAAACAATAAAATAAGAAGGGGTTGAAAATTAACTTGCTTTTTCACACGTTTCTTTATATTTGCAATTAGAAACCAACCCATAAAACATTCTTTCAAGACTAGAAGATTGTTTTCGATAATAAAAATGAAAGTATTTATCTTCTTCTCGTATCATTCATTTCTATTTTTCTGCCATGAAAAAAAAAACGCATCTACACATTTCATTTGTTAATGTGGCATTGTTATAACTTGATAACGTGGTGACAAATTTTCTTCACTTTCTGTTTATTAACTGAATTGTAATGTAAAACATCTGATTCAACATGACATTTATTATAAACTTCATAGATAATATCACTTGGTCGTCAATATCTGTTGATACTGGTTACTATTTGTAATACAGCTAGAGGCCACACACCATATTGTCTGTGGTTCTGTGTCGGGATTAGACTGTTCTAGTGCTGAAATTACAAAAGTCATTGTGCTGATTATACTGATATACGTTATATGTCCTATAAAGCAAAAAAGTTAAGAACAAGTCAGTTGTTTGTCAAAAAGAAGTTTATACCAACAAAATGCTATCAATTATACAAGAAGTACCAATGCACCATAATCTCTGCTCTTTGGCGTCGTGATATGACGGTCTAAGTGCTGAAAATACATTGATCGATATAAAACGAGCGAGCAAGAATTTTCTTGTACGCTCTGATATAAAGAAAAGTCATCTCTTTCAAAGTAAAAGTTTATTGAAGATTTTGAAAACAAATCAATTATTCCTCAAAAGTTGTTGATACTGTTCCCTATCTGATGGACAATTAGATAACACACACCAAAAACTCAGTTCAGTACCAGTATTGGAAGAGTCGATGGCTGAAATTACAAAGACACTGTGCTGATGAGATATTATCCCAGCATTCGGGTTTATATTTACTTGGAAAAAACGTTGTCTTCCTTTTTTATTCCTCAAACATCTAGCTGGTTCTAATATTTAACCGCATTACATTTAATTTGAAAAATCATTATACCATGAGCATTGTTATTGCAAACAGAAATTCTTCGTCTGCAAAAACTTGTGAAAATTTTCCAATTCATATAAACGTACATGGTCCTTTTTTAACGCCAATATATATGAGAGCCGTAAAAGCGTATGCTAGTGTATCATATAGCGATATAGCAGTTGAAAGCTTCTTAACAGAATTTATTGAAAATTTCAATGATCTTAGAATATGATAACATAAGATCATGCACAATTTACATGAATACTATCATGCAGTTTTCATTCAGCTACATTACTTCATGGATCTCTTTAAAGAGATGTATACGTCTTTAAAGAATTTTCTTTCACTTTCACCAAAAATCTGTGAAATATATGATGTACATTGTTAAGAGCTGAATTTGATGTATAGTATCAGTCTGTTGTAATTATCAACTTTGACCATAGTCAATTTGTACGATAGTCATTGACTCGCTGCCATTCTCATTATGTCTGTATTGCCATTGCGCGTAAAAAATGTTCTTCAAAGAAGCAAAACAAACAAAATAATATTAAACTTAAATTTTACTGTTCAAATCACAATAATGATCCATCGTTGTCAATTATGGCATATATGTTATAAACTTCGCATAATTCGATAGACTACCTTATATAACTCTACAATTTCAATTTTTAGACCGGTTATGTTTTCTTTAAAAAAATGGAGTTTATAAACGTTTACTATAATCAGGGTCTTTCAAATAGATTTTCTATTTGAAAGACCCTGTTATAATACTGCACGTTTAAATTGTAACGTCGCTATTCATTGGATAACCGTGACGTTTATATCTAGAGGTTAATACTGTCTTGGTTGCTGCTCGCCATTATGCGATAATGGCCCGAAGATGTGAATAATGGTCTGAGGGCCGCAGGCCCGAAGGACATTATGAACTGGAGGGTCATTATCGCATAATGGCGAGCAGCAACCAAGTATTAACATCTAAATAATACCTATGTCCGAAATACGGCGTTTAGACATATCCGCTAATCTTGGTTGTCGCCCTTTCTAAGAAACGGACAGTTGTCAATGTAAACAAATATCTGTCATACCACAGGAGATTGACATGAAAGATATAAGCAAATAATTTTCGGCTCGACGTCGGCAAAATACCAGAGTATTCCCGACGGACACACCTTTACCCGCGGACACCTGGTCAGACCCCCTAACCATCCCACCATGTGCGGTTCTGCGTAATTGAGTCTGGTCCCCACAGGGGCCAGCCGATTTCGGACCCACAATGCACGACACATATATATTCTTCAATCTGCTGTCGGATTTTTTTTTCATCTTATGTAGCCTTGATTTCTGTTTTTCTTGCTAGCCGTAATAGCCGGAGATCGTTGTGATAAATAATTTGACAATTACATTATGGTATTAGCCAATGGAATTTTCACAGGTTTTACCCTATCATCTCTGGCCAGCCTGTATAGCCGGAAACGGATTCCGGACGAAAATGAGTTCTGGCTGTTCCGGCTGTCTGGCTAACTTCACGAACATGCAAATGTACCCCTCTGTGTTTATTTATAGTATAGAGGGGTACATTTGCCGTTATTTTTTTAATTATTTGCGTATATCTTTCAATTATTGATATCTAGCTAAGAATGTCAATCTCCTGTGGTCATACTCATGATACTGTACAATTTAACTCTCCAATTAACTTAGAAAACAAGACAACACAAAATAAATATAAGAAAATGTTGTTTTATTGTTGCTTTAATCGATTAATAGAGAATCCTACTCTACATTTTTGTGAGAATTACATTAAGTAACAAAATATAGGGTTCATAAAAAAGTAATATAGATATTGGCCCTGTTTTAAGGCAGGCCATCGTGTTATTGAACGTGGCAGGTACATTTTTTTACAGGACTGAATAACGTATAGTTATTTAATAAAGGGCCATATAACCTGTCAGCGATCTTTATTACTAATAATATATTCACCTCTTGCATTCCTGTGTAAAGGTGTCGCTGTCACGTAGTAAGTTGAATATGTCTTGCAGAAGGTGGCAATATTTGGTCCAGCAACAGTATTAATCTCGTCAAGTGTTAGTCGGGTAGAATTGATGTCCAGCAAATGGTCATAAACTTCGTGAGTTAATCCCTAAATAATGTAAATGTATGTCATAACTCATTACAGTAGCGCACGCATCATACCGACTGTATCATCGTCAGTCTAGTTATGTATATCGTTTGTGTTAAACATTTATATATATATAAAAAAGTGAATTTTAAAGCTGAAGAAAATTAAATTAATTTGACTTATTTCTTGACATTAAACAATGCAAGTGAAACTTAAGTTCCTACTGTACGTAGTATTAACACTCGTGCACAAATACAAAATTTTAATTGATTTCAAAGAAATTTTACTCTAACAGACAGAAAGTTGCTACAAAACGTGTTCCTTTTTGGAAATCTAATGTGGGTACTTTTTCAACAACTTACGACTCTGTATTTTTCAGGTGTTGCCTTTGGGAATGGTGCACGTCCTAGAAGACATATTCTGTCATTAATGTTCTTTAAAACTCCGTAACCCTGTAGATAAGTAAACAGTTAGTAATTGTAATATTTAGTAAACAAGCACATGAATTAAAGTGGTTGCACGTAATAGGTAGTAGTTTTATTCTTTGTTTAAAAATAACCTGACAAAGCTTTACATTATGTGAGCATAAAATATATGTAGTCATTTAGATAATTATTGTTCTTTATAATGCAAAAATGTAAGGTTCTATAGTAGTTCAATTTTTTTTTGAGATGGGTAAAGCTTTTGCGCATCTTCCTTACAGTATTATAATCGTGAAGATTCACAGTCTGGACACCCTGTTTGTACATGGACACATCCCCGATTACAACATGGACGGTGTTTTTGTCCGAGTCATATGTGACATCCATAGACACTTTACGGCCATCATTGTCAATTTGAATAAGGTGGTTAGTCTGAAATTATAAATTATCATAAATGTCCTGATCAAATTCAGGAACGTGATGATTTGATGGTATTCTTTTATTGTTTAAAGCTTATATATTTATATCTTCTTTTGGCATCGCGAAAAAGCAAATAGCAGAAAACACAAAAGCACAACAAAAGTTCTATGGGGATTGTATGACATATTTACGTGTCTTGTATTCGCTTTGTATGAAGCCCCATTCCATTACGACAAAACTTAATCATTCCAAAACTAAAGTTGTAATTTTTTCAAAAGGGAAATGTACAAATACACCTTTTTACTTTAACAATGCCATACTTGATATTGTGGAGGATTTTAGCTACTTAGGTGTTAGTTTAATTTTAATGGTAAGTTCAATAAAACTACTAAATACCTTTGTGACCAAGCTAGAAAAGCTGCGTTTGCTGTACTTAAAAATCAGTCTTGATACAGATAAACAATTACAACTTTTTGACTCTATGGTCACTCCTATTTTGTTACATAGTGTAGTAATGTGGGGTGTAGGTAACATTGATATTGTAAAACAGTTTCAGTTGATATATCTTAAACTCATAATGAAAGGGAAAAAGTCCACTCCTAGTGTTTGGGGAGCTTGGTACTTCTTCCAATTGATTGTGTCATGAAATGGAGAGTCCTAAATTTTGGTGCAAAACCATTAATTCAAAACCTGATAAAGTATATAATATTATGTACAAACTGTTGTTTGAATTGGACCGTCAAAAATGTACATCAATCCCCATGGATAGCTTATATTAAAAATCATTGCAAGAGCTTGGTTTTGCTGAATACTGGATAAACCAATCTGTGTTTTTTTAAAATATTGTCAAATGTAGCTTCAAATATGTTCAAATGGCATGAACAGGTGCTTAACTTTAGCAAATGTATCACTTACAGAATTTTTAAATCCTCATTTGAGTTAAAACCCTATTTCAAACTTTTACCAAGAAATCTAGCCTGTCGCTGTGTATGTTTAGATGTAGTATTGTCTGATTTTATTGGCCTGCCAATTATGAATACATTAGTACTCATTTAAATCTTCGACCCCACTTCGGTTTAGTCCGTGTAGTTTACGAGAATTAATATGGAGTATATTAGTCATATTTTGAAAGTCAGGCCAGCTTAATGTGAAGGTTTTCGTTAATTCACAATAGCGAATGCATGATAATTGAGAGGTTTGTGGTTCGATCCTTACTGATGACATTCTTTTAGGCTTTACTCTCTCTTTATTTTTGCAGTATATTTTAATGGAACCGATTTGTAGTATTGATTTTAATCCGTTTTAATTTTAAACATGAATTCTTAAAACATGTTATTTGAAAAGAGTATAGACTTTACAAAATTATGTAAAACATAATAAAACAAAACGAACAATAATCATATGTAGCTTTAATAATGAAAGTATTAATAAGGAAAAAACATGGACCAACGCGGTCTCGAACTTATAACATGTATGGCCCTTACATTATAAATTCGTGCGCTATAACGCTCAGTACACTTAGTTCATAGATACAAATTAAGTACAGCGAGCATTTTACGGAACTTTCCGAAAATCAACCGAAGTGTAATCAGTATGAATAAAACCAACTCCCTATTGAAAAGTTTGGATCAAAATCATCTCTGTCCAAATAATTCTTTTTTAGGTGATTAGTTCCATTATATTTTTCAGTGTCCTTATTATAAATTTAATGCCACATAGTTTTGATCTGTATCATATTGTTTCTAATATTTTAAAATCAACCTTCAAAACAGACGTATTAAATGAAATATTGTAAAATATAATCCTTTACCTCCAACACTGCGCTCGCCACCGGAACTAAAAGAAGTAAAACTGCTATATAAATCATCAACATGACTGGCACTTTACTGAAAAAATAGGTTTTTAGTTTTAGCGCAAATAAGTCTCAAAAATAATAAATATTTTTTCTGTTGATAGATAGATAATATATTTAATAACATATTTGTAAATAGAATAACAAATAAGTAAATTGTCAATTTGTATTTAATAGTAGGGACACGACAATTGATATTAAAATACAAATGTGAACCAAAATTGAAACCTTAAAGGTCGCCCAACACGACAAAAAAGGAAAATGTTGCAGCGTCGAATAAACTTGAAAGTGGCGATTAAACATCAAACTAAGGTCCTTATGTATAAAAAGCTAAATGGAACGATGAATATCTGATTTTGTTTTATGTTTGTTATTTGGTGTGGATGCAGAGTTACGAGATGTTGATACTATGAGTTTATTTCTAAGACTGTCTAACAATATGAAGTCAATTAGTCAGAACACTAAGTAGGCGGAGCCTAACAATCAAGTTTAAAGGTACTGCATGCAATATATATTTAATGTAGAATTAAATATGAAACAATATATTTAATGTAGAATTAAATATGAAACAGATTTAAAACCGAACATTAACACGTTTGTAGTAAAGAATATTTAAGATTTCAAAACAAGTAGTGGTAACTTACCTTGTTGATTCAATTTACGTTGGTGTTGTTTTAATCAATACAGGATGCCTTATATACTAGTAGTATCTGTTTTCATAATACTTTATGACAGATATCAGTCCTCCTGGGATCTTAACAAATGTTGTTTTTGTCATGATGTCAGGCTAAAAAGGTCTGCAAACCATTTACTGTTTTTGGACAAGGCCCAATGTTACATGATTTCGAAGATAAGCCACTTTGTTTTGAGTTTTAAGTCGTTATAATGGTCACGTAAGATTTTTTGATAATCATCTTTTAATGCCAGCAAAGGGCACATATAGTGTTATCACTGTCCGTCCGTTCCTGTGTGCGCTAGTGCGTCCGTGTGTTCAAAAACTTTGTCCGTTCCATATCTCTGTCATGAGTCAAGACATTTTGCAATAACCTGGCACACATTTAAGCACCATGATGAAACGATGTGCCATGCGTAAGTCCTAGATTCCTAGCTTCGAAGACTAAGAGATTAATACACGGCAGAGTAGGGCCGGAAGGTGATAATCGGCCCGCAAAATGAATAATGGCCCCGAGGGCTTTGAAGCCCGAGGGCATTATTATTCTTTTCAGGGCCGATTATCACCTTCTGGCACAACTAAGAAGTGTATTAATGTATTTAATACACTTAGTAGATCTAATACTATCATTTTTTTTTCTAAAAAAAATACTGTACTGTACTGGCATGCGAGCAGTTCCCGTACAAAAATCGTAGTTACTTAAACATTATTTTTTATTACGCTCACTCACCAAAATTTGAATGTTACACATCAATATTCGGCTCGTCACACAAATCATGGAAATTCCATCATGTTCTAAACATAGAATAACCCTTAGTAATGAGGCCTCATATGGGGTACAGAAATTATCCATTATTTTGTATGAAGAGAAGTAGTTCCCGTACATAAAATTTAACCCATTATAACTATACAATTTTATTATATCGGACATATTTTTCATTTATAATTGTTGAACAGACCATTTTCTAAGAGATAAATAGATGTAATTCAGGAAATAAAAAGTAGACTAAACGCGTGTATCTATTACCCGGTACCGTTACCCCCAACGCATTCACATGCGATGGCATGCTTGTATGCATGATATTTTACGCATCAAAGCCATAAAATTATTTTATATAGTAATATTGGTCAAAATTCTGATAATTAAACAAGTTTTCATCACATTGCCTTCTTATCTGTAAACAGGTGGTATTAGTGGAAAACCCTTTAACATGCCTCACGTGTAAGTATTTTTGCGCATGCGCGCAAGGACGGAATCCCCCAGATAAAACAAGGTCACGTTTTGACAACGCACAGGTGAAAGTGATTCAAAATGAGACTTTTTATACGTACTGCCGAACTGACACTTAGATTTTGTCTCGTTTATGTATCTGCTTGATTTAAAATGAATTTTTGAAGAATGCATGTAAAAATCAAGCGTTTAAATGAAAAATACGGGTACTGCTTCTGTACGGGAACTGCTCGCATGCCAGTACTGTACTGTACTGTACTGTACTGTACAGTACTTAGATCTACAGTAACTTCTACAGCGTTGTTTACTTTTTGTATGTTCAAACTGTAGAATCTAGAAGCAATTTTTTTTATTTTTTTTTTCGGAATGAATGTGTCGTATTATTTCTTTAAATTTCTATAGTAATAAAACTGTGTGTGTACGAAATACGATTCAGCTCTCATAATACAATCAAGCGATTCGTGCTTAAAACCTACTTTCACTTTAACAGTTAACTGTTTGATGACGTAAAATGTGACGTCATTGTTTCAGTTGTGCATGCACATGTTCAGCGAGCTGATAACTAGTTCTCGGCCCCGGGCCGCAAACTCATAATAGGGCACGTGACACTCATAATCAGTTGAACTCATAGGCGATTTTGTTACTATATATAGTAACAAGTGTATTTTAAGGTCAGCAATTAGAAAATCGCGTTTGGCCCAAAACTCTGCCAAGCTTCAAGGAATTTTGAAATACCTTGGCACAAATGTGAAACATGAAAAGATTTAGTCACCTAACTCAAAGGTCATGGTTGCACTTAGATGTCAAGGGTCAGAAGTTAGGCCTGTCATGCATCTAGGATTTTTAAAAACATTTTGGCACAAATCTGAGCATGATAAAACAGTGTGCCAGGCTCAAAATCTAGCCCCTCCCAAGGTGAAGGTCAGACTTACAGGGCAAAGGTCAGTTGTTGTATTTCCTCGTCCGGCCCATATACTCTGTCATTCATCAATAGATTTTGAAATAAATCAGCACATGAGACAGTTGAGTCTTGCACAAGACCCGTACCAATAGCTCCAAGGTCAATGTCAAACATAAAGGTCAAAGGTCAGACAATCTTGTTCGGCTCAAGGAATTTTAAAGTCACTTGGCAAAAGCAATTGTTATAATCAATAAAAGTAATTGTTAATATTTTATTTTTCCAGTTTTATATCAGGTATAGTACGGACTGTCACTCTAAAATTGAAGTTGATTAATATTTAAAAAAACTGTTTTATCAACAGCCATCTGTCTTCTTACTTTAAAAGGTATTTAATTTCAACTAGAACTGCCACTAACATAGCGTGAATACCCCCGCATACCACTTTGTAAGAATCAACAGTGGCCATTTAGAGCTCAAGGACAACCTCCCTGCCAAATCTGAGGTTACTAAGCCATTGCATTGCTAAGTTATGTATTCTACATTCTTCAAATGTGAATATGTCAAAATCAATACACTGCTGACAGGCATTCTTAAGCAATTGAGGGGGAAAAACTTTTTTTAAGTCAAGGTCCCTGTGAACTTGACCTTTGACACAGTGACCTCAAAACCAATAGGGGTCACCTTATGGTCATGATCAACCTCCATGCCAAATATGAAGACTGTGGGTCAAAGAAATCTTAAGTTATTGGGCGGACAAGCTTTTTATAGTCAAGGCCCCTGTGACCTTTGACTCAGTGACCTCAAAATCAATAGGGATCATCTACTTGTCATGACCAACCTCCATGCCAAATATGAAGAATGTGGGTCAAAGGAATCTTAAGTTATTGGGCGGACAAGCTTTTTATAGTCCAGGCCCCTGTGACCTTGACCTTTGACCCAGTGACCTCAAAATCAATAGGGGTCATCTACTTGTCATGACTAATCTCCATGCCATATATGAAGACTGTGGGTCAAAAGAATCTTAAGTTATTGAGCGGACAAGCTTTTTTATAGTCATGGCCCCTGTGACCTTGACCTTTGACCCAGTGACCTCAAAATCAATAGGGGTCATCTTATGGTCATGATCAACCTCCATGCCAAATATGAAGACTATGGGTCAAAGGAATCTTAAGTTATTGGGCGGACAAGCTTTTTATAGTCAAGACCCCTGTGACCTTGACCTTTGACCCAGTGACCTCAAAATCAATGGGGGTCACCTTATGGTCATGACTAACCTCCATGCCAAATATGAAGACTGTGTGTCAAAGGAAGTTATTGGGCGGACAAGCTTTTTATAGTCAAGGCCCCTGTGACCTTGACCTTTGACCCAGTGACCTCAAAATCAATAGGGGTCACCTTATGGTCATGATCAACCTCCTTGCCAAATATGAAGACTATGGGTCAAAGGAATCTTAAGTTATTGGGCGGACAAGCTTTTTATAGCCAAGGCCCCTGTGACCTTGACCTTTGACCCAGTGACCTCAAAATCAATAGGGGTCATCTACTTGTCAAGACTAACCTCCATGCCAAATATGAAGACTGTGGGTCAAAGGAATCTTAAGTTATTGGGCGGACAAGGAAAAACCGACGGACGGCCAGACGTCCGGACAGACGGACGTCCGGACGGACAAGCTGATTCCAGTATACCCCCCTTACAACTTCGTTGTGCGGGGGTATAAAAAGAAGTTAACGAAGTACAAACTATGCTGTCTTATCATAACATCTTTGTTCATACTATTCGTTGCCCTAACATGGTGGCATTCGTGTCTTTCAGATACACTTCTAGATGTTTTTTTCTCTCTTTTTTTACGTTTTTGGTTTTAAAACTTAATTAAGAAAATATTCTTTAAAATAAATACGCAATAAGGTACGCAATAAGCAGTTGTTACCCGTGAAGAAATACCAACAAGGAACTTGTTACAATACCTTGCGATGTGTGTGTGTGTGCGTGTGTGTGTGTTCGTGCGTGCGTGTAAGTGTTGCTGTGATTCACGATAGGCTACTTAATATTTTTACGCTTACACCGACAATTCTTATTTTACATTTAGTGAATTTTGCACCGTCCACACCGCTGACTTAATAAATTGCTTCTGGCATTAATAAGTTAAAATCCATTTCGTGTGGTAAGATTTGGAAAATGACTCTTATTTCACTTAAAACGGTCTTTATTTAGGGTATGTGATAAATAGAATATTAAATTCGTGTAAGTTCAATACTGTATTTATTGCACTCGTTGAATAAAATAATATTATGCTCGCCAGAGGCTCGCATAATATAATTTTATTCAACTCGTGCAATAAATTCAGTATTGAACTTACACTCATTCAATATCCTCTATTTACGTTGTTTCAGGTAATACCAGCGTGCACAGTAATAGGAACCAAGTTAATGACGTGACGTCGTAAATGACGTCACGTTGTATTATTAGTTGGCGCGCTTTTCATTCACTTTTAGGTTTAATGTCTTTTTAAAACGTTTCTTTGCATATAATAAAAAGAAAATTTGTTTAGTTTTGTGTAAGATCGAAATATATTTCACCTTGTGAACATTAAAAGTTCATATTTCAAAATATACCTTTTGGCGCTCACTCGGTGAATCTTACACTGACCTCTATATCTTTATCTTTAATGCTTTGTTGTGAACTTTATCGTAGCATCCAAAAACGGGAACTCTCTAATACATCTTGTTTTGTACAAAATATTACATAATTTTTGGCAGAAAAGAAGAACAATTTGATAACATAAAAAGAGCAAGCCTTTTGTTTATTAAATCATTTCTGTTCATCAAACCCTAGGTCACATAACATATTTTGCACAGGTAAGTCGATTTATGGAATTTTAAATAATTAAAGGCAGATTTTCATTTTCAACTTTTTACAAAAAAAGAAGAAAAAAAATGAAAAAATCCAACCCATTATTTGTTATTTTTTATCGGGTAGTAAAATAATTTGGGCTTTAACTTTTTTTTTTTTATGATAGTTTTTAGTATATGTCAACGTTTATGAAACTGATAGTAAAATTAGATGGAATACATGTATTAACAAAATAATAATTTTGTTTCTAAACAGAAATATGATGAGAAAGACGAGAGACTCTAGTGTAAGAACCGCTTATCATAATATGCCATAAAAGCAGTAGACTGCTTCAATAATGTCCGGAAACTTTTTTTATTTATGCCGTATTTTATAAGCGAGTGTTGTGCACAAAAACCTAAATGTGTTCTGTTTTTGCCTTACTGGGTATAAGTGTTTCTTGCAAGACGAGGCAAAAGATAAAAAAAATTGTCGGTTATCGTCTTTATTCTTTAGTCTTTTCACCCGGCAAACGACCTATAAGGCATGGCGCATAACATGATTAATACGTGGTCCATGCCTGTAAAAATACATGAAAATAGAAAATGACCAATTATTATACTATCAATATTTTGTTCAAATATTGATTATGTTACGAAATCAAATCGATTTTTTTTTTATTTCAGATTGACAAAATGGGAACACGTTTTATAACGGGGTTTAATAAGCAATACCCCAAGTCCATTTTTGAAAATAATTAAATTAATTTAGGGTTTTCAAATAAAAATTTACAACAAAAATTTGGGTTATATAGTTTTTTTAAATATATAACTCCCCATTTTCAAATATTTTATAAATTTAAAAGTTAAAATATTTTTTTATTAAAAATTTAATATATAATTTATATTAATTTCTATATATACATGTATTGATTTCTCGCTCTATGCCCTCATGAAACGTGTTGCTGTTGTTTAGGATGCTGTTAGCAACATTTGGACACAATTTGACAGAAGTGAACTTTGAGTTAAACAAAGAGTTTCACGACATTGATACAGACAAAAATAATTTTGTAAATCTTCAGGAGTTTGAAGCTAGAATAACCTCGTGGGATGCCAACAGTAATAAATTCATGCACTTTTTTAATCTTAATCATTTTCGTTACATTCTCTCAAAATAATTCATTTAACAGAGTTGTTACCACTAACCAATGGTGTAATGGAAACTATAAGCAAAATGTAAATATTTTGTTTAGAATATACTGTGATAGTAATAATTTCGAATAATTAACTTGAATTAACTTTACATATGTATTTTTATCTTTTCTTGAACAGTTAAACTGATATATCTTTTTCACATTTCTTATCATTTTCCTGATGGAAACAAAGGTGATTAATATTTGCCATTAGTATAGATCAATGTCACCATATCGTCAAGGCTCTATACTATTGGTAGCTTTATTTTAGATATTTAAATTCCGTATGTTTTATATTCAGAGCAGGCAAACCACTGTATAAATTCAGCAGATAGAAATTGTTAAACGGTTTAAGTTTCATGTTTCAGAGGATGGTTGCGTTACACAGGCCGAGTTTTTTTCATCGCATTCAAGTGATTCACTCAAATTCGAATGGGAATTATTTAACCACTTTGATCATAACAGTGATGGTTGTATCGAGGTGGAAGATGATATAGCTGAATTCCACGAGATTGACGTCAATCGTAAGTAAATAATGTTATTCAAAAGGTTAACATGAAATATGCTCTTTCTTATCAAATGTCACCGTCTTGCTTTTGTTGGGTACTTCCGGTTTATAAGTATTTCGGTTATATAGCAACGGACAGTTAAGGAGCGGTATTCATTAACAATGTATCTACAAATGCATGTCAACTACCTACATCGATCAAATGAAACAGTGGTGGAAGACAAACTGCATTACAGTATTGATATCGCAGAAAAAGAGCTGTTTCACTCAAGAATTCAATTTTGATACACAAAACAGTCTTTTAACTTTGCACGAAGTACTTTGTTAGGCAATAAATGTATTTTAGGAGTGTAGATGATTTACAATTTGTTCGCTTTGTATTTCAAACTGTCTGAAACTTCTTGGTCTAAATCACAACGGGTAATCAACCGCAATCTAACATGTTTTTATTCACATTACAGTGTTGTTTTAGGCGTCTTGAATTTAAATCCTTGTGAAAACTAAACACGTTCTGTGTCAGAAAACTTTAGTTTATCATTTTTCTATAATATTGTATTTGATGTCACTTAATAGCGCTGAAAGTTTCATTTGGTGTTAATTGAAAATCTCTTGCATTCGTGCTTTACAGCTAAAGACAACAAGATATCACTACAGGAATATGATGCGGAATACGACAAGGTCAGTCTTCTGGTGTCTTAGTATATTGTCCCGGCTTACTTTTATGACTAAATATTCTGACGATTTATTCTATGTACTGGGTTTACGCTGAAAATGTTGTTTATTGCGCAACATGGTAAACCGTGTATCATTTATTAAAACTTATTATAAACATCATAGGCGAATTAAAACATCAGATAACAAAGAACCAGTATAACACTTTTATTAACCTGTTATGACCATATAGATGACAATCTGCTGATATCTGTTATTATCTTTCTTTATTTTACAGGTGTTGGAGAGGATAGGATTTCTGAACATTAACCAACCTTGATTTACGGAAATGAATAAAATGGTTTCATCCTCATTAATTCAAATAAATATAAATCTGGTGTGTCAGTTTATCATTTTATTTAGGCATGCATATTTAAAATGTATTTGTTTAAATGGCTATTTACTTTTCTAAAATAAAGAAGTTAATGTTTTATTTTCAATGCCAAAGTCGGTAATGTCATTTTTTTTCCTCATTTTTTACCCAATGTACATAATTTTTGACTTATTTGTAGATGTCTGTTACAAATGCTTCATGGCAAATATTAAAGCTCTTGGCATTTTAACGTTCGTAAAGGACCACAAAATGATACTACATGCATAATACATAAGTTCCGAGCATTGTACTTTTCAGACATTTTATTCAGTACAAGTATATACATATAAACTAAGTGACACAAAAAAGTTTTCATTTTCGAACTCGGCACTTCTTATAAAACATTTGCAGAGGTCCACTAGGCAATGCCACGTGACAGACATCTTAGCTCTTGCATTGTAGTTTCACATGTAAATTCCTTTACAAGTCTATGTAAAGTATGTCACCTCAAGGGCGGGGCACATTTGGACCCATAGATGATTATAACTTCTGTAGAGGATCACAAGGTGATTCTACAAGTACCAGCTCTGAGCTTTGTACTTCCTCACAAAAAAAATTGTACACATTTTACTAAACAAGTCAACATAAACGAAGTGATTCTGAGGGCAAGATTTATGATCCCTGGGACATAATTTGTATAACTTTAATAGAAGAACACAAGATGATAATTCAAGCAAAATAAATTTTTGGCATGTTACTTTCAGAGAAAAATATTTCTATTAATAACACAGACAGTAAAACACATACTGTCCAAATGTGACTGCCCATATGAAGTGATGATGATATATTGTGTGATAATATGACCATACAAAAATCTTATTTGGTAGGCAGATTAAAACAACTCTTCATGAAGCACCACAAAAACTGCTGCTAATCTACATTAACTATAAGACTTAAGCACTTCAAACTTACGTTGTAAGCGCAAAGCGGAGTTATAACAGCACGATTTGACTACATTAAAGGAAGGGGAAGTACATGTGAAATACAATAATATAGAAGGTAGAATAATTAAGAAAGCTTCGCAAGCAGGACTTTTTATATTTGAGACACCAAAGTCTACCATTGAAAGAAATCGCAAATTACGTTATTAAGTTAATGGGACTCAATTGATGTGTTATGACATGAAGGAAATGAAAATATTTTTCAAGATTTTTGTATAACTAGATGTAGGTCTGGCCCAATAATGTGGTTTTAAAATTTCTGATCATTCGCTCATTCAATTTCCCGGAAATAATAAATTACATTGTGCAACTTGACACAAAAAAGCATTATCAGGTTTTTAACCCAATTGGCCACAATAGTTTAAAAACCAATTAACAATTAAATATGGAGTATATCAATACATACCCCACTTAAAGTAAACCTTTGAATCAATACCAAATATGAAGACAGTTGACCAAAGCATTTTTAAGCAATTGAGCGGACAAGCCTTTTGAACTAAAGGCCCCTATGACCTTGACCCAGTGACTTCAATAGGGGTCACCAAATGGACATGATCAACCTCCATGCCAAATATGAAGACTGGGTCAAAGGATTCTTGGGCGGACAAGTTTATAAAGTCAAGGTCCCTGTGACCTTGACCTTTGATCCAGTGACTGCAAAATCAATAGGGTTCATCTAATGGTCATGTCTAATCTCCATGCAAAATATAAAGACTGTGGGCCAAAGGATTCTTAAGTTACTGGACGGACAAGCATTTTTTAGTCAAGGCCTTTCTGACCCGACCTTTGACTTAGTGACCTCATAATCAATTGGGGTCATCTTCTAGTCATAACCAGTCTCAATACCAAAAAGGCACCTGTGACCTTGACCTCCGACTTAAAAAATCAATAGGGGTTGTCTACTAATGATGACCAATCTCAACACAAATATGAAGACTGTGCGCCAAAGGATTAATCATTATTAAGTCATTGGAAGACAAGGAAAATCTGATAGACAACCAGACGACAAGCTGACCCTTACAGCTTTGTTGCACAGTGGTATAACTATAGCTATAATGAGATGTGAATAACAGACTTTAAATGTTGCTGAAAATGGGATAATGTTTTGAGATACAATCACCCTGAGTTCCGGGGTTTTTCTCCCTTTATGAATGTTGTGTTTATCCACAATACCCTACCATTGTTGTTGTTACATATTTTTTATGTTTATGATTGAGATTATTATAATATGTACTATCAAAATATCTCAAAATAAAAGCAGTTTAATACAAATTTTATTTTTTCAAATTACAATTTCAAAATTGCACATTTCCCTTTCATTAAATATCTACAATCACATGACAATTATTGTAGATTAACTGTTATAATATTATATTCCACAATAAACTAAATATATGACATGAGAAATAAATGTAACAAATAAAGTATATTGAAAATAATACACTCATGCTTCCAAAGTATTGTTACTGATAAGTAATTTTATGTAAACATCTGGAATGTTGAATCTATGCAGAAGCTTTTTGCAAGAAAAAATAAGGTCCTCATTATTTTTCAGATCAGCAATACAGTAAAGGTGTGGATCCTTCATTTGTACAACACTCTTCTTAAAAATCCACCTTATTCCTTTCATTGTACATATTTTCTCCATAAAATAATTTCTGTTTCCAGTATTTTCAAATGCAAACTGTTTGTTTTTCTTCATAAAAAACATTCATTTTACATACAAGTTTCTGTCTTTATATCTATCAGCAAATTAAACATATTCACATGTAAGACAATATTACAGTGTAATTATCAAATATTTATCACAGATCTAGGTCTTAAACTTGATATTATATAATTCCTATTGGTTTCAGGATACATTAAAACTATCCAGTGAGGTATTTTTTACCATAAAGTTGAACTTTCTTCTCAAAAGCAGATGATGTAATAGGTTTATTGATCTCATAGAATGGATTCATGGCATGCTGAAAAAATAACAATTACTTCATTAAAACAAAACATTTATGACAAAGATTTTATTATCAACTCTGTAAATATTTTTTGTGATAATGATATGGTTATGCTAACAGTATAAAAACTTGAGGGCCATGATGGCCCTGAAATCGCTCACTTGTTTATAGGCCCCTGGGCCAAGGCCAAGGCCAATTTTAAACCAGGGGCTTTAATTTGAACCAACTTGGTAAACACCCATTAGAAGATGTTTCATGATAAATATCTAAGCTCTAGCTCTTTGGGGTTTTTATAAGAAGATTTTTTAAGATTTACTGTATACATATAGGGAAAAACAATGACCCCCCCTGGGAGGGGCCAATTTTGACCACATGGGTTTTATTTGAACAAACATGGTAGACACTCAATAAGATATGTCATGCTTAGTATCTAAACTCTAGCTCCTTGGGTTTTTTATAACAAGAGGGCCATGATGGCCCTAGATCGCTCACCTGACCCATAAAACTCATCTGAACAGTTACCTAGACAAGCATTCTGACCAAGTTTCATGACAGGTGAGTGAATAATGTGACCAAAAATGTGTTAACAAGGATTTTCCATATTCGAGCAGTGTGACCTAGTTTTTTTACCTAGGTGACCCATATTCGAACTTGACCTAGAAATCATCAAAACAAACTTTCAGACTAATTTCCAGGATACTTGGATCAAAACATTAGCCACTAGAGTTTTAACAAGATTTTTCTACTTTTAGCTCTGGTGACCTAGTTTTTCATGTGAGATGACCCATGTTCGGACTCATCCAAGCAATTACCTAGACAAGCATCCTGATCAAGTTTGATGATAATTGAGTCAAAAATGTGACTACTAGAGTGTTAACAAGGTTTTTCCATATTTTGGCAGTGTGACCTAGTTTTTCATCCGACATGACCCATGTTCGAACTAATCTGAGCAATTACCTAGACAAGCATGCTGACCATGTTTGATGACAATTGAGTCAAAAATGTGACTACCAGAGTGTTTACAAGATTTTTCTATTTTTAGCTCCGGTGACCTAGTTTTTGACCCATGTTCGAACTCATCCGAGCAATTACCTAGACAAGCATCCTGACTAAGTTTGATGACATTTCAGGTGAGCTAAAAAGATTTTTTAAGTTTTTACTTCACACATATACATGTAACGCAAATCATTGACCCCTGCGGCAGGGCCAATTTCGACCCAAGGGCCCTTATGGGTAGACACCCATTAGAAGATGTTTCATGCTAAATATCTTAGCTCTAGCTCTTTGGGGTTTTAAAAGAAGATTTTTTAAGTTTTTACTATATATACATAAAGGTGAAAACAATGACCCCCTGGGCGGGGCCAATTTACTAGATGATGACTCATGCAAAATATTAAAGCTCTAGCTCTTTCAGTTTTTTAACAGAAGTTTTTTCTTTCGGTTGTCATGGCAACCAGAGTTCTGCTTGGAATTAAATTCTTTGAACAATTATTTAAGTTGACTACCATAGGAACATTCCTGTGAAGCTTGGATAAAATTGGCTTAGCGGTTTATGAGGAGGAGATGTTGTTTAAAGTAAAAGTTTACTGATGGATGGACGGCGGACGAAAAGCGATCACAAAAGCTCGCAATGTCACTTTGTGACAGGTGACCTAACAATGCAAGCCTGCATGTCTGTACAGGCTGACCCAAATCTATACAAATGATTCCTTACTTAAGCATTTTGATACCAAAACTCTATAAAACATAAACTTTGAGAACATCCAAATTAAAACAGAAAAATCTTTTAAACATGTCAAGCATGTTAAAGATTAATATATACAAGATGCCCATGATGGCCCTGAGTCGCTCACCAGAAAAAAACTGCTTTTCAGTGTTGGAAATTATCCATTGTCAATATTTTCTAAAATCAAATTTGAGCATAGAATATGTTTAAAAAATAATTTGAAGAAATGCAATCACCTGGGACATTTAAGCTTTAGCGGCCCCTAAAATTGGCCAATCGAATTAATATGTGCAAACTTGATAAAAGACTACCTAAAAATGCTACAAAGTTTGGTGATCATCTATCAATTATTTTAGTAGGATATGATGTTCAAAGGTTTTTCTATTTTAAGCTTTAGTGGCCTCTAAAATGGGCCAATCAAATTAATATGAGCAAACTTGATAAAAGACTACCTAAGAATGCTACAGACAAAGTTTGGGGATCATCCATCAATTAGTTCTGTAGTAGAAGATGTTTAAAGGTTTTTCTATTTTTAGCTCTGTTGACCCCTAAAAGGGGCCAATTGAAATGACATAAGCAAATTCAAGTGTGACTGTCACAAGGATGCTACAGACCAAATTTGAAGTAAATCTGCCCAGCAGTTTTAGAGAAGAAGACAATTGTTGATGCATGACGACGGAGCATCCCCCTTTGATACTAATACCTCACCCTGAACCTTCAGTTCTGGTGAGCTAAAAACATGGAAAATGTTACAAGCAGCAAGCCTGTAGATTCATGCTTATTCTTGTGTAAACTAGACAATCTCTAAACTAAACAACTTTATGCAACATTAAAAACAAAGTTATCTTGTGTGACTTAAACTTTCATAACTAACATTAAATTAAACAAATCTAAAAGATAATTATCTCTTTAACAGATGTATATATGCTTACCTTGATATAAGTGTCATATACTTCAGTAAAGAAGTTTTTGATTCCATCTTCATTCTTAACTTCATGTAACATTATAAATCTCATACCTTTTTTAATCATTAAGGAGAATGAAATAAATAATCGTCTTATGGCTTAATCACTAATTTATATTAAAGTAATTGTGTCAATACTTTCATTAAAAGGTTTGATAAAGAACACTTAGTATTTCTGCATATAAGATAAAGTGTATTTCTTTGCATCGTTGCCAAAATATGCTGAAACGTTTTACAGTGATATGATATGACTATATACATGACATAACCTGTTTAATACGCAAGTATTTAAGGTGCCGGTCAATCCTGTAAAGTTCCATTTAAATTGCGTAAGTTGTATAACAAAGAAGTAGCATGGACAAAACTTTAAAACAAGAGGGCCATGATGGCCCTTATATTGCTCACCTGAATATTATTACTCTCAATGACATGAAACAAGTAATATTGTATTCTATAACAAATGCTGATATAAAATCTAAATCTTAATTAAACTGATATCTCATAGTTCTCTGTATCTGAAAAGGCGCATGTGTAAAACATTACTGGCTGCTATTGCTAAGAGAAAACAATAGTAACATAAGAAGTCACTGGTTGCTATACAAAATAAATGGTTTCCTTGGAAGTCAGTTCCTTACTATGGTTTACTTGTTGCTATGGACAGTTAATGTTTGCTATGGAAGTCAATGGTTGCTATGTAAAAGTCACTGTACTATGGAGACTAAGCTTTAGCTCTTGTAGATTTAGAGAAGAAACTTTTATTTCAAAGCTTTTCCTATATACATAAAACGAAAATCTATGTTCCCTTGGGTTGGGCCAATTTTGACCCAGAGGGCTATAATTTGAACAATTTTTGTAGTGGTCCACCAGACAATGTTTCATGCCACCTGTTTAAAGCCTTGATAGTATAATAGAAAAAGATTTTTTTTTTCTGTTTTTACTACATACATATAGTATATATAAAGATACTTATTGTATAAGAACAAGAGGGCCAAGATGGCCCTAGATCGCTCACCTGGCCCATCAAACTCATCCGAGCAATTACTAATTAGCAATTACCTAGTCAAGCATCCTGACCAAGTTTGATGATGATTGAGTCAAATATGTGACCACTAGAGTGTTAAGACCACAAGATTTTTCTTTTTTTAGCTCCTGTGACCTAGTTTTTCATCTGAAATGACCTATGTTTGAACTAATCCGAGCAATTACCTAGATAAGCAAATGATTGAGGCAAAAATGTGACCGTTAGAGTGTTAATGAACAAATATGGATCAACGACAGACGACGAACATTCAACAGTCTTAAAATCTCACCCTGAGCAAGGTCAGGTGAGTTAAAAATCTTATTAAATTTCTTGGTATGAATGCAAAACTTTACCTTACCTTATTAAAGGAAGGTTATTAAGCCAGAATTACTTGCTCAATAATGCATATACTGTATATATCTATAAAGTCTTTGTAAAATAAGTGACCCTAGAGCAGATTTAGACATTTACTTTTTATTTATATACATATTTTTTTGATAAATTAAGTCATCATAATTTCATAGATAATAATTAACCTTTTCCCTTATATAAGTGTGTTTCGACGGCTTTTTGCAACCCCCCCCCCCTTTTTTGAGGCCTCAAACAGTGAAAAAATGCCCTATTTAGACCCCAAACACTGTTTTCCGTTTGAGAAATGTTGTTAAAAAAAGTGACCACTTTTTCGGCGCCGTCCCCCATCTAAATGTAACATCAGGGGGTTGCCAGAAGGGGGATGTGCCCCCTTCTGTTTGGGGGTTTTTAAGGAGGGCGGAGTCCCCCTCATCGCCAAGAAAATTTTGGACATGTGACAGGCTAAAAATGGCCTCAGGTCGATCTTAGGGTAACTAGTAACCGACGCTGAAAAGCCTTTTACTCTATCTCAATTCATTGAGAAGTTGCAGCACTTTGAAATCAGTTTTGATGGAAAAAACAATGCAAAATAGTGATTTTTGGCAATTTTGAGATGTCCCCCCGTTGCCATGGTAACAGGAAATTTACCATTGAGCATGCTGTTACAAAGGCTATGGTGTATTCAACATTTGTGCCAAGTTTCATTAGTATTGAAGCATTTTTCATAGTTTCATAGCAGTTTGAACTTGTTACAGGAGGCTTTTCAATGAAAACGGCCATTTTAAGCATTATGCTCATGGGGTAAAAGGTTAAAAAATTACTTTCTTGGTATGAATGTAAAACTTTATCTTATTTATGGGAGATAATTAAGTTTGAATTAACTGCTCTGTAATACATACATGTATATAAGCCTTGAGTAAAATTAGTGACTCTAGGGCAGGGACATTTTTAATCCAAGGTTCATCAATTACATAACTTAAGAGGAGGATCCACTAGTCTATTCTACATGCCAAATATCATAACTGTGGACATTTTAGTTTTACAAAAGAAATGTTAAATGTATTTCTTATCTAAGTCTATGTAAACTAAATGACCCCTGGGGTGGAGCTAATTTTTAGCCAGAGGTTATAATTTGAACAAAATTGGTAGTCATAAGACAATGTATCTAAGCTAAAGTCTCTAAAGAATAATAGAAGATTTCTTTTTTTTTTACTAAATGCATTTAAGGAAAATCAATGATCCATGGGACACGGCCAATTTAGACCCTAAATGCTTTTATTTAAAAACATCTTGGTAGACACTCACTAGAAGATGTTTCATGCTAAATCTCTAAGCTCTAGCTCTTGGTTTTACAAGAAGTATTTTTTTTACTATATACATATAAGCACAAGGGCCATTAGTGATGACATGTGTCACCTCATGATAGACATAACTTGACAAACAAGAGGGCCATGATGGCCCTGAGGTTGCTCACCTATATATAGGCCTCCCCCATCCCCGGCAGGACCAATTTTAACCCAAGGGCTTTTAATTGAACAAACTTGGTAGACACCCATAAGAAGATGTTTCATGCTACATATCTAAGCTCTAGCTCATTGGGTTTTTTAAAAGAAGATTTTTAAAGTTTTTACTATACACATATAGTTAAAAACAATGACACCCCTGGGGCGGGGCCAGTTTTGACCCCAGGGCTTTTATTTGAACAACAGGGCCGGCAAAATCTCAGAAAATTGTACTTGTCCACGGACAAGTAACCTAAGAAATTTACTTGTCCGTACTCAATGTTCACTTGTCCGTATTTATATTTAATATTTACTGCAAATGTCAATAAAGAAGAGCAATATGATTATGAACTTTCTTTCAATTTTATTAAACATTCTATGCCATATGTTTAATAATATAATATATTATGATTATAATATAATATATTTAAAAAATGTTAACGGCAGTAGATTAAAGTAGAACGACAGTGATGGACAAATTGTGTATATTTTACTGGAAGGAGCATTGGTCTTTTGCCAGCACTTTTTCAGTTTTCCTTGCACCCAAATTGCTCTAAAATATTGTCTTCATTTTTTTGCACTCTGGTACCATTTCTTATTTATTCACTCCTTATTCTATTCATCTATATAATATTCATTTGAATCCTGTTAAAAAATCATATGTACTCTTGAGTTAGATTTGTCTAATTGATGACATCTGGCTTTTTTTAACGATATAATTATGATTGCCACAGAATGTAATATCATATACGTATTTACGCTTGGTTGCAGCAGATGAATTGTGAAAATTTTGACATTATTACCATCGGCGACGATGAAACTGACATGTATACATTAACACCAGTATTAGACATTCAAAAACAAAGGCATTTTCACAAGAAATCTTTACATAAAATAAATTATAAAATGACTTTGTCCACATAAATTCAAGCAGTCAAATTGTCGATATGAGCGTAAATATTCCCGAATGACCTGGAAAAGCTATACAATGTATTTAATTTTCATACAACACAGCGGTATTTCAAAGACAACTGTTGCAAGATTGATGCTGTGTCTGCTATCTAAACAATAAATGCGCTTGAAAAGACCACAGCTTCCAATTCAATTTTATGGCAGAACCCCGTTGCTACCGAAAATATTTTATTGCAGAGGCTAAGTCGGCAGTCATAAACCAAAACAAACATGTATACTCAATTGCCGCGCGCATGCAGTAACTGCATGACGTAAGGAAAACCTCAAGCCTGGTTGGTTGCTATTTATGTAAACACTTAAAATAGTAACACCCTAATATGCACGGAATGCCCTCATTAATGACACCACACTTCACACGCTAGTTTTCGTATTAAATGTGTGATTTTTCTTCTGATTTAGATCTATTAGAAAAGAACTAGATTTTTTTTCTTCAGAATTCCTCTTTTAACCACCGAAATTTACTTGTCCACGGACAAGTAAACTGCAAAATTTTACTTGCCAGGACCTACAATTTTACGACTCGGGCAACTCGGACAATTGATTTTGCCGGCCCTGAACAAACTTTGTAGACACTTACTAGAAGATGTTTCATGCCAAATATCTAAGCTCTAGCTCTTTGGGTTTTTTAAAAGAAGATATTTAAAGTTTTTTCTTCAACATGAAATTAAATTCTTTGAACAATTTTTAAAGTTGATCACCAAAGGAACATTCCTGTGAAGTTTGGATGAAATTGGCCTAGTGGTTTATGAGATGTCATTTAAAGTAAAAGTTTACAGACGCCGGATGGACGCCGGACGAAAAGCGATCACAAAAGCTCACCCTGTTACTTTGTTTCTGAGGAGTAGTCTGGACAAGTTTTGTGACAGACGGATACACAGAAGTGATCACTTAATGTCATTGCTACTCAGAAGCAGGTGACAAAAAAAGATCCCGTATATTATCCTGTATACATCATATTCATAATTTTATGTAACTGTCAAATCTTAAAAAGGATACGTCCTGCAGTAACGAAGGCAGACACAAACCACTCATTAAACTTGTCAACAATCTTGAGGTACATATTACTGGTGGACCACATCTGTTCATCTACCAGGTCAAGAGCCTCATGCGCCACAAACTGATTCAAGTGACGATGATCATCTTTCTACAATCAAGCAAAATTAAGTCTTTTCAATATTTGCATTTTTGAGGAACATAATAATGTAGTTATAACTTCTAAATTCAGCCAATACACAAAATTAAGGGGAAATCTTTCAAATTGTAATATCAAATAGAAAAATGTATATAATAAACAGAAAATTCAAGTTTTTTCTATAAATACAGGATTTATTCTCATCTTCTGTTATGAAAATTATCATGTTTTCTCTCATGGCTACCGCCAATCATGAAATATTAAATTTTATTTTCATACCACTCGATGAAAAAAAAATTCTGTATTTATAGAAAAAACTTGAATATCCTTTAAAAACTTCTACTACATTTTGACATTGATAATTTATTTACTTAATTTATTTAACAATGAGAGAAAATTTGCTTAGACATACAAATCAGAATTAAACTACAACAAACATGTATCCTAAATCAAATAAGGATGAAGTAGATACGATAGCATGTCATGTCAAACACTTGATTAAAGTGTGAAAAATAAAAAATGAGAAGTATATTGTGATGGGAAAAAAACAACAAAATACAGTTTATTAATAGCTGGTACAACATGAAATTACGCTTTTGTATCAACAAATTCAGTAATAGGTGATAAGTATATGTGTATGATATTCAACGTAGTTATAACTTTTTAAGTTCTATAGATTTTCCATTGTATGAATTTAAAAACATTCCTATATTTTTCATCATGTCTTAAACAATTGATGTTCGATATTAACTTAATGTTTCTACTTGTTCAAGTAATTCTGAACTTTTGAATTCCGGAAACTTCCAAAAACTTTTTGGCTAGTCCCACAGGTGTTGGGTTTTCAGAAGTTACACTGTACTTTTCCTTAGATTTACTTTTAGTAAGATCAGATCTATTTAATTGCTTTACAAATACCTTTGGATCATTTGTCCTGCTTGGTGGGAAAAATTCCATCTCAAATATAGGATTGTCATGATGACCAACCATCACAAAGTAATAGTTTCCAGCCATGTTGATTGCCAGACACCTGAATGAAATAAAATAGTTAAATAATTTATAAATTTTATATTTTGAGCTATATCTTCTTACTTATTTTTGAATATAAACTAGTATTGAAATCAGGAAAGTTTACATTTCAAATGTACATTTTGTAAAAGTATAAGAACCTATCACATACATTTACATGTATATAGGAAATTCACTTATAAAAATTTAAAACTGCCTCTAATACAATCACTCATGAAGTTGTGAGTTCAATCCTCTCATATCAAACAAGCTTGAAAAATAATCTAGTGTTTGTATTAGATGTAACCTAAAAGTGACACCATATACATTGTATAATTGTAAGTTAAAAATTGACCAGAGTGCTATTCATTAAAGTAATATTTTTGCCAAAATTTTAATTTCTTTCTACCAGTTCAAAAGATACAGAGCGTCATAAAATTTTGAAATTGATTCAAAATGACTTAGTATGACCTTGACCTGAGAAAGGTCAAACCTGCACTCTGCACATCATCTCATTATGGTTAACATTTCTGCCAAGTAGTTTCTACTGCCTTCCACCAGTTCAAAAGAAACAGACCGGACACAAAAACCTGCTGACAGACCGACAACCAGATGCAATATACTCTGAAATTCTTTTGGGCATATAGAAAACAACACAAGATTGCATTTGTGAAACAAGAGGGCCATGATGACCCTGAAATCACTCACCTGTATATAGGCCTCTGGGCCATGGCCAATTTTAAACCAGTGGCTTTAATTTGAACAAACTTGGTAGACACACATTAGAAGATGTTTCATGATAAATATTTAAGCTCTTACTCTTTGGGGTTTTTATAAGAATTTTTTTTTAAGTTCTTACTAAATACTTATAGGGAAAAACAACCCCTCCGTTGGAGAGACAATTTTGACTCCAGGGCTTTTATTTGAACAAATTTAGTAGATACTCACTAGAAGATATTTCATGCTTAGTATCTAATCTCTAGCTCTTTGAGTTTTTTTTATAAGATTTTTTAAGTTTTTACTATACACATATCAGGATAATCAAAGACCCCGGGGCAGGGCCAATTTTAACCAAAGGGCCCTGAACTTGAACAAACTTGGTAGACACCCATTAGAAGATGTTTCATGCTAAACAGTTAGCTCTAGCTCTTTGGGGTTTTTAAAAGAAGATTTTTTAAGTTTTTTCTATATACATAAAGGGAAAAACAATGCCCCCCTGAGACCAGGCCAATTTTTACCCAAGGGCATCTATTTTAACAAACTTGATAGACACCCACTAGAAGATTGTTTCATGCTTAATATCTAAGGGCTAACTATTTTGTTTTTTGTTTTTAAAAAAAAGAAGATTTTTTTTATGTTTTTAATATATACAAATAAGGAAAATCAATGAACCCCAACAAACTTTGTAAACACCCACTGAAGATGTTTCATGCTTAAAGGGACTCCACTGAGGTTTTTTGACTTTACGGGACTGGAAATAATTTTTGAGATTATTACTCCATTTGATGAAGATCTATACTAATAACATATGTGCAAAATTTCAATCATTAGATCCCTTCCGTTTTTCCAGAATAATTATTATAATAGTGAACAAGAGCCCGGTTTGAGCCGGGTGATGCTCCCCAAATAGATTTTGGACACAGGAAAGTACACCTATTGTAGTTTCAGAGTTATGTCCCTGGAAAAAGTTCAAAGTGCAATAATTCCAAAATTAGGCAAGGAAGAGTTACTGTTCTTTGCACTGCACTTTTAATCAATGTGATCTATCAACCTACAAAGTTTCTTGTTGATATCTCTTATGGTTTCCTAGTTATGTCCCTGACAACTTCAAAAAGTAAAAATAAACAAAGGGCAATAACTCCAGAATTAGGCAAGGCAGAGTTATGATTCTTGTGCACTGCACATCTACCCATTGAGATATATCTACCTACAAAGTTTCATGTTGATATCTCTTATAGTTTTACAGCTATGTCCTGGACAAGATTTTTCTAAAAGGGGAGATAATTAAAAAATGATTATGGTTCGTTTGCACTGCACTTCTACTCAATGAGATCTATCTACCTACAATGTTTCACCTTGATATCTCTTATAGTTTTAGAGTTATGTTCCGGACATAGTTCAAAGTGTTAAAATTAACAAAGGGCAATCACTCCAAAATTAGGACTAAAAGAGTTATTGTTCTTATGCACTGCACATCTTCCCATTGAGATCTATTCAGCTACAAAGTTTCATATTGATATCTCTTATAGTTTTAGAGTTATGTCCTGGACAAGATTTTTCTATAAGGGGAGATAATTCAAAAACCGCGCAAAATAGAGTTATGGTTCTTTGACACTGCACTCCCCCTCAATGCCCTCTACCACTGCATGAAGTTTAAACAAATTTTCTCCAAGGGTTTTCAAGTTATGCTCCGGACAAGACAACGGAAATTTCAGAAATTTTTCGGGGAGCATAAAAAATGACCCAAAATTGAAAAGCGTTTAAACGCTTTTCACTCAAATCAGACTGAGAATAGCACAAACATATGATTTTCAATGTATTTCTTGTATATTCCTTGGTTATATTTTATTTATATTTCTGTTTTAAGTGCTCATGTTTATTTATGTGAAAAATTAAAATTTTATGTTTTTAGGCTTATAAACCTCAGTGGAGTTCCTTTAATATCTAAGCTATAGCTATTTGGGTTTTTTAATAGAAGAATTTTTAAGTTTTTTTACTTTATACAAATAAGGAAAATCAATGACCCCCTGGGCGGGGCCAATTTTAATCCCAAGGCATTTATTTGAACAAACTTGGTAGACACTGACTAGATAATGTTTCATGCCAAATATTTAAGCTCTAGCTCTTTAGGTTTCCTAAAAGAAGCTATTCTAAGTTTTTTATTTTGGTTGCCATGGCAACCAGAGTTCTGCTTGGAATTAAATTCTTTGAACAATTTTTTATGTTGACTACCAAAGAAACATTCATGTGAAGTTTGGATGAAATTGGCTTAGAGGTTTATGAGAAGATGTCGTTTAAAGTAAAAGTTTATGGACGGACGACGAAAAGCGATCACAAAAGCTCACCATGTCATTTTGTGACAGATGTGCCAAAAATGCTATGCCACTACATTAATGCAACACTAAATACATATGGCAGGAATAGATCATTTTTTGTTTCTATACAATCCTGAATAGAACTTTGCCATAAAGCAGTAGTCTATTGAATTTGGGGGTCATTGTCATATTTTACCATGTCAAATGAAAGAATGTGCAGATGTGTCTAATGTTCATATACAAAGGCCATAGTATAATAAATGATTCAAAACAAAAGTACAGTTTTAAATCTTTTCAATATTTATAGAGATACAAAACTATAAACTCAAATTTACATGAACTTAGCTACTTTTTAGACGATAAATCTTTTATATCTTTTTAAATTTCATATTATTATTTATCAAAAAATAATTAAAATATAAAATATGTAAATTTTTTTCCAACGTATTTTAATCTAAACAACAAATTCATTGTGAGATATTAAGGTTATGGTGTGGTGATTGATTGATAGACATCTGTAATTATCAGAAGTTTAGTGATGTCTTAATCAACTCATGAAATAACTCATGGTTGTATATAATACTAATTGGTTTATACAGAATTTATTTTAGTTTGATTGTGTAGGAAGCTATAAGCTTATAGACACACTTTTGAATCTGTTCCTGGAACCAACTAGTACTGAGCTTCGAGTGTAAAGTTTCTTGCTCAAGGAAACATCGACTGGCCCCAACAGGGTTTGAACCCAAGTCTATGATTCCGGCCCAAAGTCAATCCGGCATCAAATAAGTCAAATGCTACAGATTTTTGCAACATGGAATAAAACTAGAAAATTGATGATGGGGGGGGGGGGGGAAGGAATTAGGCAAGGAAGAGTTACTGTTCTTTGCACTGCACTTCTAATCAATGTGATCTATCAACCTACAAAGTTTCTTGTTGATATCTCTTATGGTTTCTGAGTTATGTCCCGGACAACTTCAAAAAGTAAAAATAAACAAAGGGCAATAACTCCAGAATTAGGCAATGCAGAGTTATGATTCTTGTGCACGCACATCTACCCATTGAGATATATCTACCTACAAAGTTTCATGTTGATATCTCTTATAGTTTTACAGCTATGTCCTGGACAAGATTTTTCTAAAAGGGGAAATAATTCAAAAATGAGGCTTAACAGAGTTATGGTTCTTTTGCACTGCACTTCTACTCAATGAGATCTATCTACCTACAATGTTTCATTTTGATATCTCTTATAGTTTTAGAGTTATGTTCCGGACAAAGTTCAAAGTGTTAAAATTAACAAAGGGCAATAACTCCAAAATTAGGACAAAAAGAGTTATTGTTCTTATGCACTGCACATCTACCCATTGAGATCTATTCACCTACAAAGTTTCATGTTGATATCGCTTATAGTTTTAGAGTTATGTCCCAGACAAGATTTTTCAATAAGGGGATATAATTCAAAAATGAGGCTGAACAGAGTTATGGTTCTTTTGCACTGCATTTCTACTCAATGAGATCTATCTTCCTACAATGTTTCACCTTGATATCTCTTATAGTTTAGAGTTATGTTCCGGACAAAGTTCAAAGTGTTAAAATTAACAAAGGGTAATAACTCCAAAATTAGGATGAAAAGAGTTATTGTTCTTATGCACTGCACATCTACCCATTGAGATCTATTCACCTACAAAGTTTCATGTTGATATCTCTTATAGTTTTAGAGTTATGTCCTGGACAAGATTTTTCTATCAGGGGAGATAATTCAAAAACCGGGCAAAATAGAGTTATGGTTCTTTGACACTACACTCCCCCTCAATGCCCTCTACCACTGTATGAAGTTTAAACAAATTATCTCCAAGGGTTTTCAAGTTATGTTCCGGACAAGACAACGGACGGACGGACAGACGGACAAGGCGCCGACTATATGCTCCCCCGAAATTTTTCAAGGAGCATAAAAAGCTCTGCTAAAGAGACAAATTTTAGGATATCTATATCCTCGGGTGGCCATGATTCGTTACCCTAACCATTTTACAGCACTAGTTTGATAGTCATACACTATATTTCCTTATGATCGGAGCGTTCTATGATAAAGAAGTTTTGCAGATACATTAAGTTTACTTTGTTGTATAAAAATATACAACTGTTTTCTTTATTAACAGACATTTGTTGAGACTTTCTAACATACACAGTTAGGGTGTTGACTCTAGGACAGGGACGAATAAAGTTCACACGTCACTTATATATACCTGATAAAATTTTTTATTTCCTCATGACATAATCATTATTTTGAAAATCTAATTTGGGGCTGGATTTGATACATTTTTGTCCAACCGGAAATAATATGGTGACGAATTGACCAATTTTTGGGCCAGAGTTATCTGGCTTTATCTATGCCTAATTGATAATTTAACATTTTTTTAAAGAAATTTTCCCGTGTCAGTAGCCAGTGTAAGTCAATTCTAACTACCGTCTGGAAGTTAAGTAAAAAGAATGTTTTGTGGCCGTTTATGTAACAGAAAATTGTGGTCAACATAAACACACTAAAAAGTTTACCAAATCTAAAAATCTCATCACACTCTGCTTTCAAACAAACAAGAGGGCCATGATGGCCCTGAGGTCGCTCACCTGTATATAGCCCCCCCCCCCCCCCCCCCCCCCCATGGGCCAATTTTTACCCAAGGGCTTTTATTTGAACAGACTTGGTAGACACCCATAAGAAGATGTTTCATGCTAAACATCTAAGTTCTAGCTCATTGGGTTTTTTAAAAGAAGATTTTTTAAGTTTTTACTATACACATATAGTTAAAAACAATGACACCCCTGGGGCAGGGCCAGTTTTGACCCCCGGGCTTTTATTTGAACAAACTTTGTAGATATTTACTTAAAGATGTTTCATGCTTAATATCTAAACTCTAGCTATTTGGGTTTTTTCAAAGAAGATTTTTAAGTTTTTGCTATACACATATATGCCAAATATCTAAGCTCTAGCTCTTAGGGTTGTTTAAAAGAAGATATTTAAAGATTTTTCTTTCGGTTGCCATGGCAACCAGAGTTCTGCATGGAATTAAATTCTTTGAACAATTTTTAAAGGTGACCACCAAAGGAACATTCCTGTGAAGTTTGGATGAAATTGGCTCAGTGGTTTATGAGGAGATGTCATTTAAAGCAAAAGTTTACGGACGGACGCCGGACGAAAAGCGATCACAAAAGCTCACCCTGTCACTTTGTGACAGGTGAGCTAAAAATTAAACCAAGTGTCGAGGTTATCTATGTGTCAGAGTTATCTCTCTAACCAGTATTTATAAAAAGTGAACACACAAGGAAAAATGCGGGCACTTGGTTAAAATCCTCGTTTAAAGAAACAAAATAACATATGCATTTTCGACTTTCATATAATTTTGAAAAGTGCCGTACGGCTAGACAATACAGTGTGTCCTGGCAAGTCGTACGTGACTCACGTACGGCTAGAACTTTTGGCTAGTCGTACCTGGATTTTGAGTCATTTCGGCCCCAAATTACCCAAGACGTTTTGGCCCTTCACCAAATCAGCCCCATATTTAGTTAAGAATAAGTCTTACCTTAACTTGTTTTATACCAGAATTTAAATAGCATATAAATAAATGAAAAGATAAAAGGAATGAGAGAATTATTTGAATAATTAAATAATGATTTTTAATTGAATGAGGCTAAAATAGCAGCTAGTAATTAAACAAACAGAACATAAACTTTATTAAACAAAACATAGTACACGAACACTGAAACGTATTTTATCTGATCATAATGATTAATCAACAAGTTTTTTTTTCTTCAAATTTGAACGATTAAAAAGCAAGACACAGAACAATACAAACATTTATTATCAACAACTATTAAATTAATGGTAAGTGACAAGTTTTGGCAATACAATACAACACATAACAGTTAAAAAAAAAATTATTAGATAAAACAAACAATACTTTGTAAACAGACATTTTTACAATAAAAGTGATAGATTTTCAATCAGGGCATATATTATCAAGAAATTATATCAAATCATCAGTTAAAAAATCTTTGATATTACTAACGGCTGATTAGCAATACGCTTTAAATAATTAATTTGTTAAACCTTGAGAAAACATAAATCTAAAGTGTTAGCTAAATGATTAATAGAGATCAAAAGATAATGATTTTTAAAGTATATTTGTATTTAATTTTGTTTATCAAAAAGTTTTTGCATTTGTTAACTGTCTTAAAATTTAAAGATTAAGTGTCTTTTTTAGGTGTATTTATTGTTACACCTTGAAAAAACATTTATCTAAATAGCGATTGATAGATCTACAATGGATTATCAATTAAGGATTAAAATGTCATAATTGTTTGTGTGCCATCAATCAATCAATATACTACAATTTTAAGTATAAAAATACCTTTTATACTGTAATAAAACTGTAATAAAACAAGAGCGATCAGTGATCACATGCGTCGCCTCATGATGGCCAATTTCATGTTGGGACAAGTTTTGTGACAGACGGACGGACATTGCACAACTAGACTTGGTACTGATTATTCCTGTAAAGTTTGGATGAAATTGCACCAGTAGTTTATGAGGAGTAGTGGAGACAAGCTTTTGTGTATCTGGCAACACACAGAAAAAAACACCTTTTCATCAAAGGGCCATAACTCGGCCAAAAATCATTCAACCTGAAAACCTGTGCAATATGCGCAAGGACTTGAGCTACAGATCAATACTGTAAAGTTTCATTCAAATTGGATTAGTGGTATAAGAGAAGTAGTCCGGACAAACTTTAAAAATAAAAATTATTAATGGGCCATAACTCTGATAAAAATCATTGAACCGGAAAATTCTGACAATATGCATAACTAGACTTGGTACTGAACATTCCTGTAAAGTTTGGATGAAATTGAACCAGTAGTTTATGAGGAGTAGTCCGGACAAGCTTTTGTGTATCTGGCAACACACAGAAAAAAACACCTTTTTAATCAAAGGGCCATAACTCGGCCAAAAATCATTCAACCTGAAAACCTGTGCAATATGCGCAAGGACTTGAGCTGTACAGATCAATCCTGTAAAGTTTCATTGAAATTGCATTAGTGGTATAAGAGAAGTAGTCCGGACAAACTTTAAAAATAAAAATTATTAAAGGGCCATAACTCTGACAAAAATCATTGAACCGTAAAATGCTGACAATATGCACAACTAGACTTGGTACTGATCATTCCTGTAAAGTTTGGATGAAATTGCACCAGTAGATTATGAGGAGTAGTCTGGACAAGTTTTGTGACGGACAGACGGACGGACAGACAGACGACGCAGAAGTGATCACTATATGTCGCCATTACTCGTAGAGGCGACACAAAAAGGCCGAAACGTCTTGCGGAAAAGGGCCGAAACGTCTAGGGGCCAATTTTTGCACAGGGGCCGATTTTGTTTGGGGCCGAAACGTCCTGTTTGCCCCACAGACACTTGGAGTATGGACCCTGCCCTTCTCCGCCCCTCAATATAAAAATCTAAAAGTATTATCTATTACAAGAATTAGTTTTAAATTTTTGCTTATATTAGTATGAAACGGTTAAATGTCTAACACATGAACAAGTTTGAATAGAATTTCATCAAGTTTTAAAAAAGTCAATTTTCTACCAACGCTTCAATTTCCTGAAGATACCAAGCTTAGAAATGTAAATACAACTGACCCTTCATATATTTCAAGTATTTATGTTATTGCATGCCATTAATGTCTGGTGTAAATCAGTCGATGCATATATTCTTTTAATAAATAAATGCATGTTATTATCCGATCGTACCTTTCTTCCAAGCTTTGTACATTTAATTACATTTTCCTAACCGTGTCACATGCTTCTTTACGAATTCATGACAACTGGAATGTTTCCCGTAAATTACAGCGGAAAAAGAAATTCAATCGCAACTACTAGGCCCTTTCCGTCAGTCTTCTTGATTTGGTTTTTTACTGATTAGGGGAAGTTACCGCTGCGGGAATTTGGTTCTCGGCATAAATGAAAGCACAAATAAGTGCCGAAACTCATTCCAGTCGTCTGACATCAAATGAAAGCGTACGTTGTTATCTTTATGAAATAATGATATTTTAGGGACTTTTTTAAACGTTGTTAAAATAGCGGAAAACAAGTTTTATGTCCAGGTCGTAATAATATGCAAAAATACTTTGACGTACGGTTTGCACCATAAAAATAGATATATGGTGTATACAAGTGCGGATCAAGAAGGGGAGCCAAGCACACAACCCAATGTGTCTGTGGTTTTCCCATACGGCTAGCCACTTCCTTTTTTTTTTGATTGCGAAAACTAATGACAAAGTAGTTGTTACAATCAAATACATTTTCTTTATTCACCAGTAGACGTTTAAGTAAAAAAATGTTAAAATGATAGAAAAAAATCATTTGATAATTGATCAAGTTATCTATAAACTCTAAAATGTTTAAATTACCAAGTTAAGTTTAGACCGAGCAACGCATTTCACCGGAACTATAAAATTTTTCACAAAATAGTTCGTGCATAATTTTAACGAATGTCTGAATGAGAACCTGGTAAATGCTTATTTTAATAATGATACAATTACTTGTGCAAAATATAACATCAAAATTGAAATTATATTGCTTGACATGCATAGTTGTTGTTTTTTCTGTAATCACCACTATCAATATTCCTCCACAGCGTCAAAATGGCCGCCAGATTCCTGTTTGGATTTGTCAGCCAAACGACAGAATAAATCCGTGTTTTCATTTTGTTTGTAAGTTGTTCATTAATGTCAGTCAAAAATATAGGTGATATTTTAATTGTTTCATCTAATAGAACTATTTAAACTGAGAAAGCTGGTATGTTATTGTTATTTTGTTGATTTGAAATTAAGTTGAATTCTGTTAAACAGTGAAACAGTGCATTTGAGCATGACAAATACCATGTGCAGATCAGATAGCCATTAGATCTATTACTAATACTTTGTGTTTTTAACTGTCATTGCTATATTCTGGAATACACCCCGGGGTCTAGAACAGGACACTTCACCCCAGAAACTTCACCCCTCAAATTTAGAAAAACACAAAGTAAAAAAAAAATATCTTAAAGATAGATAAATAAGTCATGATTAAAGTGGTTCCATATAAAAATTAATTACATTTTAATTGCCATTTATATCGGAATTTTCCTGAAAATTTAGACTGGTATTTTCAGACTTCCTGAAATATGTCGGTGCGACAGACGTGTCCGATAAATTTTGATTATGTCCGCAGTTTTTTATTCCAGATCGGTCCCACTGCCCGGCTTTTATCCAAGTTGCATGTATTTAAATTGGCGTCGCTTAAGATGCCATATCTGGGAAAAAAACGAAAATCTACGTCAGACTAAGTAAGCTTTGCTTATAGGTAAAGGAAAACAGTTGAGCGTTGCCCAGCCCAAGAGTGGCTCCGTTGAAGTTGTTACATTTTGTCTGGGACATAACAGATATACCAGCAAGCAACTACTTTTCTTTGTTTAAAACACAGGAACTTGAAATTCTATCAATATTAATGATAATATCCAAAATATACCCCCTTATACAGTATAAATAAACACAAGGAATGAAACGCCTTTTCCCCACCCCAACATAACTTACGCCGAACAAATCAACAAAACAGCGGATCAAAATAATCTATCGGGCCATTTCGATAAACAATACATAAATGCATCAAATACCACCGGTAACTTTTTTTTAGTCGCGTAGCTTTGTAGGAATAATTCAACATTTTCTGATTATTTCCCACGATCCGAGTTTGTCGCCGACTCCATTTCGTGACGTCACTGGATGGTGATTCGAGGAGAATAATAGTTATTAAAATTATTTTTAACAAGTTCCCAAAAATAACACGTTTGCAAGTAAAATACTGTCAAACTAGAACAAATGACTAATTTCTTTCTTACGACATGGCTGAATTTATTTGCTGGGCCATATCAAATAGAGTACTCAAATATTTTTTTTAAAACGAAAGTACTAGATTCTATTTCCAAGATTTACCGTTCTTGTTTGGGGTTTCCCTTTCAAATTTATTTATAAAAGTAATTTGTTAAAAAGGTTTTAGATAAAGATGTTTAAATCTTTTACATAGAATAATTTTTATAATAGTTAAATACATACCTGTTACTTTTTGGAACTTATAAAAAATAATTTTAATAAATATTATTCTCCTCGAATCAAAATCCAGTGACGTCACGGAATGGAGTCGGCGACAAACTCAAATCGCGGGAAATAATCAGAAAATGTTGAATTATTCCTATACAGCTACGCGATTTTAAAAAGTTATCGGTGGTATTTGATGCATTTATGTATTGTTTATCGAAATGGCCCGATAGATTATTTTGATACGCTGTTTTGTTGATTTGTTCGGCGTAAATTATGTTGGGGTGGGGAAAAGGCGTTTCATTCCTTGTGTTTATTTATACTGTATAGGGGGTATATTTAAGATATTATCGTTAATATTGATAGAATTTCAAATTCCTGTGGTTTAAAACCTATTTGGAGAGAATCACCCGGTTCGACTGGCTCTTGTTTTTATTTCCATGTTACTAGAACGCTATGGGCTTTATCACAAAATGATACATTAGGTATCAGAAACATCTGTCAACATAGAGGTTGATCAAGTAGAAATGTGATGTTGAGAATGTGGAATTAGAAAAAAAGCATTGTAATGGAATATTGACTTTCTTTTAATCTTCCAGGTTCCTGTTATTGAAATATAGAAATGGCGTCTGGAGGTCAGAATCAAAGGAACCCGAAGTCATCGACTTCAGAACCTCGACAGAGAACAAGCTGGCAAAGAACTACTAGTATGTCTGATAAAGATGACAATGTTAGTCTCAACAGTTTTCCAAATGACTTGCGGCCAAATAATTGGGTAAGATAATGTTTTATAAGATTTAAACTTTCTATATTATCAGACAATGATTCTTGTTTTTGATACTTGTAAGCATTTTAAGAATATTATTAAAAGTGCTCCAAGTCATATGAAGGCTCTGATACTGATAGGACAATTTTGCTGATGTTTTTAACTTGTTTTGTGAAGGATGATTACTAGGTAACTTAAATTTACTTATATATGAAGCATAATTAACTAACATTAATTTGTAGCATTTTTTAAAACTTTGTTTGCAAGTTAAAGAAATGTAAACTTTGAAAGTTCTGAAACTACATGTATGTGTGCAGAGCAAGTTCAGGAAATGTATTTTTTTCAAATATAATTATTATCCTTAGTTTGCTGTGATTAACATTTTATTTATTCCCCTAATTTTTAACATTAATGTTATGGTAAACTCTCCTGTATTATGTCATAACGAAACTTGCTAGGTGTGTTTTGTTAATTTGCCAAACACTATATTACATTTTATTTCTTACATTTTATATTTTATACTGATTTACTTGGTGATCTATCTCTTTTCTTTAGTAAATAGCCAACAATTTGTTTCCTTAGAATAATTTATTTACTTAGATCTATGACAGGGATCAGATATTATATTTGATAAAATGTATTTTTTTATGCCCCCGGGCATATAGTAATTGAACCGTCCGTCCGAGCAAACATTTTGGGTTTAGGGGCTATGTAACAGTAAAGAGAACAAAAGAGAACAATAGGTTCATTCCGTGATCAAAGGGTTTATGGGCTAGTAGCCCTTAAGATAACAAAGAAAATAACAAAGAAAATAGCCCCTAAACTCAAAATGTTGGAACGACCGTCCGTCCGTCCGAACCTAGAACGGCAAGTTGGAATTTTCTTAAGTTCTACCTGTACCAATGGCTTCTAAGTTTACACACTTACTAATCAATACAAAGTACATGATCTTGGCAAGTTACATAACTCTGGCTTTCGTATTTACCAAGTTATTGCCCTTTTCAGCACTTAGAAAATGAATAATGGTTAACCTAAAACGGCAAGTTGGAAATATCTTAAGTTCTATTTATACTAATGGCTTTATAATTTCCACACTTACTTATCAGTACAAAGTACATGATATTGTTAAGTTATATAACTGTGTCATCCATATTTCCCAGTTATTTCCCTTTTTTCACTTTGAAAATAGGGCCTTGTCTGGTTAACCTATTTCAACAAGTTGGATTTATCTTAAATTTCTCCTAATTGCTTAATTAACCAGGTTTTCAATGAAAACCGGGTTATTGTAATGCCAAAGTTGGCGGGTGGGCAGGCGGGCTGGTGTCACTGTTACTAAAAATAGAAATTCAGTTTCCGCTCAATAACTTTAGTTTGCTTTGGCTTATTGACACCAAACTTGGTGTATGGATAGGTTATATCAAGAGACAGCTTGGGATTGCTACCCAGGTGTCTGTGATCAAGGTCAAGGTCACTGTTACTAAAAATAGAAATTCAGTTTCCGCTCCATAACTTGAGTTTGCTTTGGCCTATTCACACCAAACTTGGTGTATGGATAGGTTATATCAAGAGACAGCTTGGGATTGCTACCCAGGTGTCTGTGATCAAGGTCAAGGTCACTGTTACTAAAAATAGAAATTCAGTTTCCGCTCCATAACTTGAGTTTGCTTTGGCCTATTCACACCAAACTTGGTGTATGGATAGGTTATATCAAGAGACAGCTTGGGATTGCTACCCAGGTGTCTGTGATCAAGGTCAAGGTCACTGTTACTAAAAATAGAAATTCAGTTTCCGCTCAATAACTTGAGTTTGCTTTGGCTTATTGACAAAAAACTTGGTGTATGGATAGGTTATATCAAGAGGCAGCTTGGGATTGCTACCCAGGTGTCTGTGATCAAGGTCAAGGTCACTGTTACTAAAACTAGAAATTCAGTTTCTGCTGAATAACTTGAGTTTGCTTTGGCCTATTGACACCAAACTTGATGAATGGGTAGCTTATATCAAGAGACAGCTTGGGATTGCTACCCAGGTGTCTGTGATCAAGGTTAATGTATTTAGTTTTCATGTTATAACTTTAGTTTGCTTTGACCTTTTGACACCAAACTTGCTGAGTGGCAGCTTTGGATTGCCACTTAGATATCTGGGAGCAAGGTCTAGGTAATTTGCTTACAATAGAATTTTCAGCTTCTACTCAATAACTTTAGTGCACTTTGACCTATTGATTGCTGTCACATCAAAACTTGGTCGTTGAAAACCTGGTTTTCGTCGCATTGCGGCGCTTCTTGTTTCTTTAATGATATCTTTCATATTTAGTAGGTGGATACCTTTGATGTTCCTCTAATTTTTTGTGGAGTAAGCGGTCTCTAGGGTCAAGGTCAAGGTCACTGGTTTAAAAAATAAATATAAACATTTTTGCTCATACAGCCTTTATTTTTTAGTTGATGTCTTAGTTTAATACAAACATGCCAAGGGAGGTCCTCCTTCTTTGGGTGTAGTAAGGGGTCATTTGGGTCAAGGTCAATGTTACCAATGTAAAGGTCACCAATGTTAAAAATAGATTTTTACATTTTTACAGGTGTATTGACCTTATTTTATAGACAGAGGTTATTTATAATTGATAGAAACATAAACTTTGATGGAGTTAGTGGTCAGTTGGGTAGATTTTTACACATTTGGTCATACAGCCTTTATTAGGTGACAGATATATTTTATATTTGGTAGGAAGATAACTTGCATGGTATTCATCCTTTTGATTGGGGTAGGGATCAGTGGGTCAAGGTCACTTGTGCTAAAAATAGATTTTTACACTTTTGCCCATACAGCTTTTATTTATTGACAGATGTATTTCATATTTGGTAGGAAGATAACTTGCATGGTATTCTTCCTTTGGATGGAGTAAGGGGTCAGTTGGGTCAAGGTCACCAGTGCTAAAAATAGATTTTTACACTTTTGCCCATACAGCCTTTATTTATTGACAGATGTATTTCATATTTGGTAGGAAGATGACTTACATGGTATTCTTCTTTTGGATAGAGTTAGGGGTCAGTTTGGTCAAGGTCACCAGTGCTCAAAATAGATTTTTACACTTTTGCCCATACAGCCTTTTTTAATGACAGATGTATTTCATATTTGGTAGGAAGATAACTTGCATGAAGTTGAATATTTTTCAACTTCACAAGTCAGAGCAATGACTTGGCAACTTATATTTTTCACAATTACAAAATGCCATGACTTTGTCAAGCTATATAACTTGTGTTTACAATTTTTTGGCAATTTTTCTGTCCATAACTGAGTGAATGGGTAAACATTTTTTTGAAATATTGCTACTGACAAGAATAGGAGCCGGGGGCATTTGTGTTTAACAAACACGTTCTTGTTTTACTCTGTATTTGCTAATTTTCATTTTTTTGCTGTCTAGAAAACATTTAGAATTATTAATGAAAATAAATCTACATTTTTAGCTTGACTAGTCGAAGAATAAGTAAAGCTTTAGATCCTAGTATCCCGAGTGTCAGTGTAACCACTTATGTTAAAGTTTGCATACCACCTTAGATATTTTCTTATTCCATTGACATCTGGTTTGAAACAAGTTGAAACTTTATACATTTCTTTGAGAGTATAATAGGACTCTCTCCAAGGCCTGTAACTGTAACATGCAGTGTTCGAAATTAGCAGTAATCCGATAGCCCCTGACTACTAAATTTCTCCTTGGGCTACCAACTTTTTACAGTAACAAGCCCGACCAACTGTTTTGAACAAATGAATCGTGCTAGTGAAATGTCTTTTGGGCTAGTGAATATTCCAATCTGGTAGTCTGACCGGCCTAGTGGATTCAAATCCGAATTTCTTTCACTGAACATGGATTTAAAGAAAAATGTGTCCCTTTTGTTAGCTTAGAAAATTTTACATTATCAAGGCTCTTTTACTATCAAGCACTAAGAATAGTCGAGCGTGCTGTTGTACCGACAGCTCTTGTTCAACTTAGAATTTACGTTAAAGTTTTTGTAACACCTTAAATATTTACAAAGTTCATGGACATATGGTTTTGAAACTTTTCACACTTGTTCACCATCATGCCCCCAATTTGAAGACAAGAGGAGGTAACTCTGTCAAGCATTTTGACATTTCGACATAGAAATTTACGCATACCACCACAGATATCTTCATATCCCTATGACATCTGGCTTTGAAACAAGTTGAAATTTTATACACTTCTTTGAGAGCATAATAGGACTCTCTCCAAGGCCTATAAAAAATTTGGCCTTTTTGTTAACTTAGAAAATTTTACTATCAAGCACTTAGATTAGTATATTATTATAACAACACAAGTTATGTTCGATTTTCATTGCTATCAACTCATAATTGCAAGAGTAATGCCCCTTTTTAGCTCACCTGAGCTTGCTCAGGGTGAGCTTTTAGGATTGTTGAATGTCCGTCGTCCGGATGAGTTCGAACATGGGTCATCTCGGATGAAAAACTAGGTCACCGGAGCTAAAAATAGAAAAACCTTGTTAACACTCTAGCGGTCACATTTTTGCCTCAATCATCAACAAACTTGGTCAGGATGCTTATCTAGTTGATAGCTCTAATGAGTTCAAACATGGGTCATCTCGAATGAAAAACTAGGTCACCGGAGCTAAAAATAGAAAAACTTTGTTAACACTCTAGCAGTCACATTTTTGACTCAATTATCATGAAACTTGGTCAGGATGCTTGTCTAGGTGATAGCTCAAATGAGTACGAACATGGGTCATCTCGGATGCAAAACTAGGTCACAGGAGCTAAAAATAAAAAAACCTTGTTAACACTCTAGCGGTCACATTTTTGACTCAAGTGTCATCAAACTGGGTCAGGATGCTTGTCTTGGTAAATGCACGGATGAGTTTGAACATGGGTCATCTCGTATGAAATACTAGGTCACAGGAGGTTAAAAATAGAAAAATCTTGTTAACACTCTAGTGGTCACATTTTTGACTTAATTGTCATCAAACTTGGTCAGGATGCTTGTCTAGGTAATTGCTCGAATAAGTTGGAACATGGGTCATCTCGGATGAAAACTAGGTCACCAGAGCTAAAAATAGAAAAATCATGTTAACACTCTAGTGGCTACTGTTTTGATCCAAGTATCCTGGAAATTGGTATGAAAGTTTGTTTTGATGATTTCTAGGTCAAGTTTGAATATGGGTCACACTGCTCAAATATGGATAATCCTTGTTAACACTCTAGTGGTCAAATTTTTGACTTGCCTATCATGAAACTTGATCAGAATGTTTGTCTAGGTAATTGTTCGGATGAGTTTGATGGGTCAGGTGAGCGATCTAGGGCCATCATGGCCCTCTTGTTTAACAAATTTTCTTTGAATTATTTGTTTCCATAGAATAAAGATAAATTTCATCGAATGTGTTAATATTTGCCATGCAAGTCAAATTTATTTTTTTCGCTATTAGCTTATTGCAACAGTTTCTTTTAATCAAATTGAATGTTCAGTTATCTTGTATAACTGATATGTTAATAACTTGTTACTTAGTACATGTAAAAACTTAGACTGTATTTTTTTTTTTTTTACATTTGTTGGCATTGTCATAATTTGAGCCACTTAAAATAATAAATTTTCCATTTTTCTTGGTAAATCTTTGTCCATGATACTTTCTTGTAAATTAACTAAATTTGCCATCAGGTGTATATTGCCCAGCTTCAGTAGAGCTCTTGTTGAAATTTAAGCAATGTACACGTGTATGTTTTTCATCATTTTTTTTTAAACCATGTACAATGAAGGTTTGATGATAACTGCTTTAAAAAAAGAATAGATAAACAATAGCACTGAAAGTTTTTCTTGGTACATATACATGTATAACATATTGGCATGACAATCAAGGATGGCCCGAACTCTTCCTTTCATATCACTATTCATAACATTTAGAACACTACCAATTTCTTTAGGATTTTTCTGACTGGAGGCCTACTGGCAGTAAAGATCAGACAAAGAGACGTAAGAAAGGTAACCCAGAGTGGGAACGTGAACAGTCTCTTACACAGGACTCTCCACCTCCGTCAGAAAGACAACATGGCACCCCGCGCACCTTTCCTAGGACTAAATTAACCCCTAGCACTCCCACTTCTCAAAGAGTAGCTCTAGAAAATCTGCGACAAGCTATGACTTTTAGTGATCAAGAAGATGTAAGAAATATTTCTAACAATTAAAATCTGTTGTGCTTTAATTGAGACAAATTACAGTTTGCTGTTCTCTGGCAGCCAATTGGATACAAATTGCTGTAGAATTTTTTACAACCATGTTTGTAGTAGCTTTCTTATCTTAAGGAATTTCTAAGTAAAAACTGTCAATTAACAAACATGATTGCTTTTTATACACAATAAATGTATTGTCTCAATTAAGCTACATCCAAGTAATTAAGTTTTTCTTTTCTTTAACCAAATAATATTGTTCTCAAATAGGAAAGCTACATGTATGCTTTTTCCTATCATATAACTAATAATTTTGTACTGAACATAACTTGTTTGTTTTTAGCTCACCTGACCACGAAGTGGTCAAGGTGAGGTATAGTGATGGGACTATGTCCGGCGTCCGTAGTCGTGCGTAGTGCGTCGTTCCTCGTCAACAATTGGGTTGTTAACAGTCTAGCAGTCACAGTTTTGATTGGATCATTGTCAAACTTTGTCAGAATGTTTGTCTCAATGAAATACAGATCGAGTTCGAAGATGGGTTATCTTGAGTCAAAAACTAGGTCACAGGAGCTAAAAATAGAAAAAGCTTGTTAACACTCTAGTGGCTGCAGTTTTGATCCAAATATTCTTGAAATTTGTCAGGAAGGTTGTTTTGATGATTTCTAGGTCAAGTTCAAAGATGGAGCATCTCCGGTCAAAAACTAGGTCACAGGAGCTAAAAATAGAAAAAGCTTGTTAACACTATTGGCTGCAGTTTTGATCCAAATATTCTGGAAATTTGTCAGGAAGGTTGTTTTGATGATTTCTAGGTCAAGTTTGAAGATGGGTCATCTCCGGTTAAAAACTAGGTCACAGGAGCTAAAAATAGAAAAAGCTTGTTAACACTCTAGTGGCTGCAGTTTTGATACAAATATTCTGGAAATTTGTCAGGAAGGTTGTTTTGATGATTTCTAAGTCAAGTTTGAAGATGGAGCATCTCCGGTCAAAAACTAGGTCACAGGAGCTAAAAATAGAAAAAGCTTGTTAACACTCTATTGGCTGCAGTTTTGATTCAAATATTCTGGAAATTTGTCAGGAAGGTTGTTTTGATGATTTTTATGTCAAGATCAAAGATGGGTCATCTCCGGTCAAAAACTAGGTCACAGGAGCTAAAAATAGAAAAAGCTTGTTAACACTCTAGTGGCTGCAGTTTTGATCCAAATATTCTGGAAATTTGTCAGGAAGGTTGTTTTGATGATTTCTAGGTCAAGTTCGAAGATGGGTCATCTCCGGTCAAAAACTAGGTCACAGAAGCTAAAAATAGAAAAATCTTTTTAACACTCTAGTGGCTGCAGTTTTGATCCAAATATCCTGGAAATTTGTCAGGAAGGTTGTTTTGATGATTTCTAGGTCAAGTTTGAATATGGGTCGTCTCCAGTCAAAAATTAGGTCACATTGCCCAAATATGGAAAACCTTTTTAACACAATAGAGGTCACATTTTTGACTCAATTGTCATCAAACTTGGCCAGGATGCTTGTCTAAGACATTGCTTGGATGCGGTTGATGGGTCAGGGGAGCGATCCAGGGCCATCATGGCCCTCTTGTTTTGTATTGTTCCCAATTTTCCTTTTTCTAGAAGCAATATAAGTTTGTAGAAATTTTAACAGTGTTACTGGTCGGGGACCATCAACCGGACACTTTTTGAACATTTTTCCATACAGATTTCATAATTTCCAACTCAGAGACCTAAAAATTTGACACAGTACAGCTAGGTTCTTCTCCTAACTAACAAACTAGTTTGTTTATTTCTGATTGTATTGACACTTATTTCTGAGGCTCGTCAAGGAGGGTATCAAAATTACCTAAATTGTCTACACTACAGTACCATGTGTCCGGACAGATATGTATATGGCGTGATTAAATTCAGATAAAAGCTTGTGTGTTTCCATTTTTGAATTTTAACATGGTATACAATATTTCAGCAACAAATGCTGAAGTTTTGGATATTCTATTATTCACTCTGCAAATGATTAAAGCTGGTGTATGAGGTCAGACATGGCTTTCTTGACGCCCAAATTTCAACGTCAACATTCTTGAAATAGACATTAAAATATTATCATTTACGGAGGTTGAAATAAATTCATTTACTAAATATAGAATAAACATGCATTTATTGTTGATAAAAAAAGTGACTGACAACCACTAAACAAAGAAAATACTAAATTAAGCATTTTCAGGGCCGTCCGGGTTTGGTGGTTGTCTGGTTTTGGTGGTCCCATACCAGTACTGGTACTAATTTTTTGTCAGTTTTCTGTCTTCTTTTGTGGATATGCATAGAGATGATGTAACTCAATAGCAAGACATTTCGTTTATCTATATATTGCCATTTTATAGCCAATATACATGTAAGTGGTAGTCTCAACTGATTGAAAAATGGTCTTCATATAGTTTCTTCATAACACATGAAGTTACTTTATACATTAAGAAATATACATGTTAAACTTGTTCTTGGTCAGATACTTGGATAGTTACCAAAATGTAAGACAGGTAAGTCCAATAAGAAATTCAGCAGGTTAAGTGTTTAAAGATATGATTTATCTGAGCAGACAGATGTCTTTCAATTTTTATACTTTTACCATAAAAGACTTATAATTACCACACTGTACAGCTGAGGTCAAAACATGAGTGAATTTGTTCCACTTTCTGCTCACAATTAGTTAACATTGTGTCTGATGACTGACACAGGACAATCAGATTAGCTCGCTTTGAGAGTATTTCTAAAACATAACATACAAATAAATTATATTATATTATAGAATAATATTCCAGTTGATATTTGTTATTAACAAAAATTATGCCAATTTAGCTACAAATTTAATTGGTATAAAGTATATTTAGTTATTAAGTTATTTAATACTGCTATGTAACACATACAGGCCTTTGATTACTGATTCAGAGATTAGGGTTCATAACAGCTTGGACATGCTCTTGATACTAAGACAATTTCAGCTTTTCAGATCATTCTAGCATACTTGTAATAAGTGTCTTCTTTATGCCCCCGAAGGGAGGCATTATATAAACGCACCGTCTGTCCATCTGTCCCACTTCATTCGTGTCCAGACTGTAACTTTGTCATACATTTAGGGATTAAGACAATGTGTTGCGTCCAAGAACCACGTCCCTAATTCAAAGGTCAAGGTCACACTATCATTTTGAAGTTTCTCATTATGGCTATTAGAGTAAATAGGTACACACATTCGTGTCCGGACTGTAACTTTGTCATACATTTAGGGATTAAGACGATGTGTTGCGTCCAAAAACCACGTCCCTACATCAAAGGTCAAGGTCACACTATCATTTTGAAGTTTCTCATTATGGCTATTAGAGTAAATAGGTACACACATACTTGTCCGGACTGTAACTTTGTCATGCATCGAATGATTTTAAAATAAATTGGCACAAATGTCTACCACATCAAGACAATGTGTCGCGGCTAAGGGTCATGTCCATCTTTCCCCATTTACACAAAAATCATGTCCAGACTGTAACTTTGTCATGCATTTAGGGATTTTGAAATAATTTGGCATAAATGTCTATCTCATAACAACATTTTGTCGCGTCCAGGAACCAGGTCCCTTCTTCAAAGGTCAAGGTCACACTTATATTTTGAAGGTTCATGCTATCACAATTAGAGATTACAGGTACAATTATACAAAGAACAATATTCAGCAATTAGTTACTTTCATTCTCTATTTTTTTTCATAATACCTGCATGCTTAAGAAACCTTTTTCGGGGGCATTTGTCACTTGGGTGACAGCTCTTGTATGGGATTTATTTAATACAGTAAGAAATTTGTCCATTTAAACACTCAAAGCTTTGTGCAAAATTTCTAAAAAAAGGATAACAAACTGGCACCTTTAACCCATTACTTCATGAGCATTTTCTTCAAAGTTCTAATTGCTATAAAACTATAAAAACTGCTTCAATACTTATCAAACCTGGCACAAATATTGACTGGACCATTGCCTTTGTAACAACATGCTCAGGCTTAAATTTCTTGTTACATGGCAAAGAGGGGACATCTCAAAATTGCCAAAAAATCACTATTTTGCGTTGATCTTTTCCATCAAAATTGATTTCAAAGTCACAGCTACTTTTTTTATCAACCTTTCTCAAACGAAAACATGTGTTTGGGGCCCAAACAGTACTTTGTTCACTATTTGAGGCCTAAAGAGGGGGAAGGGGTTTCGAAAGTGTGTTGTTTTGCGTATATATGAGGTAAAGGGTTAATATTTTGAGAGAACAAATCTGGTTCCTGTTGGAACAAATCTGGTTCATATAACTACCTTTTGATAAACCATTAAGTTGTGCTGAATTCTTCACAAAAGATAGCTAACTGCTTTTTTAATGAGCAAATCAGTAATTGACATTGCATTTTTCTATCTTTTTTGGTAGATATGATTTATTTAACTCAAATTTAGTTACTTTATTCGACAATATGTATTGAATTGCTTTTAAATGACAAGTAAAAAAAATAAACACCAGCATAATTATTTAATATATTCACAGGATTTTTACTGGTTCAAATACAATTTGCTATTTGGGGAAAAAATAAAATATTGCTATTTTTCTCAGTAGACAAATATCACTACATAACCCAAACCAGTTCTGTATGTAAGTCATGGTGAAGTAAGAACAAATTGTGTGCAAAAATGAGAATGAATCAACTTACTGTGTGACCTCGTATGTACCATGTGTACCTTTATGGAAAAAGTCTTCTTTTTTCCAAATTTTTCAATACAACTTTTGTCAAACATTACTTTCTTGTTAATACATTTAGTGAGTACAGGTTTGTTACTTTACAGGGTGTAAGTAATGACGGGGAAAGGAACAATGAAAGAAATTTGTTAAGAAGGCGAGAAAATTTGCCGAGTTATGGCAGACAGGAAAGTGGTGGAAACATGGAAACACAGCTTTCCAGACCTGTCCCAAATCAACGAGAAGATAGAAATAATAGAAATAATAACAAACAGAATCACAATGAAGCTCGGGCTGCAGCTGGAGGAAAAGTAACTTTTCTTTTATATCCTTGAAGTTTCTATTGATTCTTGTCAGAGCTTAAAAATTTATCTTTTAATTCATCAACCAGGTTTAATTTTGAAAAAACTGGTTATAAGATTTGTGTAATGGGGTTTGTGGCAGGTGGGCGGGCTGGTGTTCAGAGGTCAAACAAGATGGTTTCTTGTCGATTAAACTGAAGTTCTGATTGACTTATCTTAATCAAGTTTGGTATATACAAAGCTTATGCAAAGGCCTTACTTGGGATTGCGATTCGACCCCATAGGGTCAAGGTCAATGTTACTAAAAATTAGAGCTGTCATAGTTATAGGCAATATTAATGTATCATTGATATTTTTCTCTCGATCAATAATCAATACACATTTGAAAAAATCGATAATTTTGATTGATTATTTTAAGGTAGTACACCCCTAATGCACTGTCTTCACTTAGAAGAGTATTCAAATAGGCTAAAATCACTGTAAAGTGTATTGAAACTGAGGGGGCGTTGGTTCAAACCCCAGAAGGGGCAATTTTTTTTCTTTCTTTTTTTTCTTTTTAACATTTTTTATTAATCTCTCAGACCCCCTATGGAAGAAAAAAGTGTTTATTTTAATTATATAATTATTGTAGGTATTTATTTACTAAATAATGCCAAATTTAATCACAGGGGGCCCACACAGTGTTTGGATGGTATATACTGCTTGATAATGACCTTAAAATGAGTTTTTAGTCATAACCTTATAATATGTCTATATTTATATACATATTATAAGGTTATGACTAAAAACTCATTTTAAGGTCATTATCAAGCAGTATATACCATCCAAACACTGTGTGGGCCCCCTGTGAATTTAATAGCAAATATGATACCAGATATTTTCAAAGTTTAATAAAATAAAAACTAAACGATAAAAGTATTTTATATTTTGCAAGACCAACCAATATACATTAAAGAAAATTTAGGCAAACTTTGAAAATAGCCCCTCATTTTGGAAAATTTTAGGGATATTTTAAATAAGGCTTTTTACATAGGGAAATGGTCAAATTAGTGTTAAAAGTGGGTGGGGTAGGGTTACATTTTTATACATATTAAAAACATTTCGTTTAAAAACAATCATTTTGCTTGTTTAATTTGTTGTCTAAATGTCATTATTTATTTCTTAACAATGAGCAAAAGGAAAACATTTTTCATAATGATGATATTATAGATTATTTAGAGTTTCCTCATTTCTGAAAAAATCTCTTATAATGGCAAAGTTATAGTTCATAAAAATGTCCATAACTCATAAACCACACGGTAAATTTTGTTTAAATTTTGCATACAGGTGACATTTAAGGCATATAACTGTCCTATGTTGTCAAATTTACAATTCCTTATAGTGCCCATTAGGGGTGTACTACCTTAATGTCTATGACCCAAAATGTATACAAAAGCAGGTGCCCAATTCTAACACTATGCTGTTGTTACCTAATGGACACATTTCATAGCAGTGATGACAAAAAATAGTTGCAAAGGACTTTTATAAACAGGACAAAACATATTTGTATGAACAGAACATATTTTTATTATGCCCCCGCCATATAATTGGGCATATAGTGTTACCCTGTTCCGTCATTCCTTCCGTCCGTTCCCTTTTTATGTCGCACGTAGCTCAAAAAGTAATTGACCTAGAGTCATGAAACCTTACTAGAATGTTAATCAGCATGTGAAGTTGTGCACCTGGGTATTTTCGTGTGGATATATTTAGTATTTTTAGAGTTATTGCCCTTGACTTAGTAAAAATTTGCAATTTTCAACTTGTGTCGCACGTAACTCAAAAGATATTTGACCTTGAGTCATGAAACCTAACTAGAATGTTAATCAGCATGTGTAGTTGTGCACCTAGGTATTTTCGTGTGGATATTTTTAGAGTTATTGCCCTTGACTTAGTAAAAATTTCCAATTTTCAACTTGTGTCGCACGTAACTAAAAAATTATTTGACCTAGAGTCAAGAAAACTTACGAGAATTCTGCTCAGCATGTGTAGTTGTGCACCTGGATATTTTCATGTGGATATTTTTAGGGCAATATTTTAGTATTTTTAGAGTTATTGCCCTTGACTTAGTAAAAATTTCCAATTTTCAACTTGTGTTACACGTAACTCAAAAAATATTTGACTTAAAGTCATGAAACCTTACAGGAATGTTGCTCAGCATGTGTAGTTGTGCACCTAGGTATTTTCGTGTGGATATTTTTAGAGTTATTGCCCTTGACTTAGTAAAAATTTGCAATTTTCAACTTGTGTCGCACGTAACTCAAAAAGTATTTGACCCAGAGTCATGAAACCTTACAAGAATGTTGCTTAGCATGTGTAGTTGTGCACCTGGGTATTTTCGTGTGGATATTTTTAGTATTTTTAGAGTTATTGCCCTTGACTTAGTAAAAATTTGCAATTTTCAACTTGTGTCACATGTAACTCAAAAAATATTTGACCTAGAGTCATGAAACTTTACAGGAATGTTGCTCAGCATGTGTTGTTGTGCACCTGGGTATTTTAGTGTGGATATTTTTAGAATTTTTAGAGTTATTGCCCTTGACTTAGTAAAAATTTACAATATTAAACTTGTGTTGCACGTAACTCAAAAAGTGTATGACCTGTAGGCCTGAAAGTTTCCAAGAATGTTGCTCAGCATGTGTACTTATGCACCTTGGGGTTCTCTTGTGGATTTATTCAATATTTGTAGTATTTGACCGGTACTTAATACAAGATTTTTAGTTTTCAACTTGGGCAGATGTAGCCAAAAAAAAAATTTGACCTAGAGACATAAGATTGACAAATCACTGGAGTGTGGGGGCACCCATGTCCTATGGACACATTTCTAGTTTTTTTCAAAGTGGGCCGAGTTGACCTGTGCAGAGTTGACCCGTGCCGAGTTGGTATAGGGCCAAGTTGACTCTTTACCGATATATTCAAACCGAAATTTGAACTTCTAAAAAAATCTCAATTTGATTTGCCAATTTTTTAAGTGCAGTTTAATCGGGTAAATGCTCTTGATGTCCCCAAAACCAGGGACTCACTGAGTTTCAAACTCTGAAATGGCTGAGCTATTATCATAAAGTTACTATTGATAGTTTTAAAGTAAATTTACAAGAAAATCTCCGAACAAGAAAGTATTTAAATGTTATTAAATGATATTGGAAAATTGTCATCAAGCTGGTCAAATTACTAGAATATATTCTGTTTAAGTTGACATTCCAAACAAGCGCTACACAAATAAAATGTTTACATGTATACTGTAAGCTTTTAACGGTAAAAACAATGCAAAATATGAACAAAAAACATTAACTGTCATAAGATTGACATAACTTTTACACAATTTGGTATTTACATACCAAATTCCTACCAGACAGGACTTCCTACTCAGAAAATGCATGCGTCCAAAAGATGCACATTATTTGAAACTTTGCGTCCGCAGCAAATTCATTGCGTTCTGGACGCAGAGGTAAAAAAATCACTGGGTCAAGGTCTCTGTTACTGAAAATAGAAAAATGGATTCCAGACAATAACTAGAGTTACAAATGAGATTATATGTGATCAAACTTGATATATAGCAAGCTTATATGAAGACCCAGGTTGGTATTGCATTTGGACACCCTGGGGTCAAGTTCAAGGTTATTGTTACTACAAATTGAGAAATTGTTTCCTGACAATAACTAGATTTAGGAATGAGATATTGTACCGGTAATCATATTTGGTATTTAGCAAGCTTATATGAAGACCAGAGTGGCTTGGTATTGCATTCGGACCTGTCAACCCCTGAGGTCAAGGTCAAGGTCACTGTCATTAAAAATAGAAAAATGGTTTTCAGACAATAACTAGAGTTAAGAATGAGATATTGTAATCAAACTCTGTATATAGTAAGATTATATGAAGACCCATGTTTTTTTTGCTTTTGGACCCCCTTGGGTGTAGGTTACTTAGAATAAAAAAAATAGCTTTCTGGACTATACAGTTAGGCATAAAATATTGCAATCAAAAGCTTATATGAAGACCCCTGATTCGGTTTGTTTCTGTAGCCCCTGGGATGAAGGGCCACTGTTACTAAAAATAAAAATATTTGTGCAAAAAAGAAAACATTTAATCTGCTATGGATTACTCAGGTGACCTTTCAGGCCCATGGGCCTCTTGTTTTTTTCCAGCCTGACAGTAGTCAGATTGTTGGGCGACTGATGCAGATACGTGACTACATCAAACAAGCAAGCTCCATGATGGATTCGCTTAGAAAATCTGGTGATCCGGTATGTCTTTAAACATCTTTATGTAAAGCTTTGGAGTTTGACTGTCTATAGTGAGAGCAATTTGTTTTCAAGTCAGCATATCACACCTTGGTTCAGGTTATAACCCCCACTTTTTCATTGATCCCTTTCAGGCATTAATTTGAATTCTTTATTATGGTCTTCACATCAAATTTTCTGTCAACTTTGCTGTGGAATTTCATACATGTACCACTTTATTTTTTCTCTGAACATCTTGGGATATTGTTTTTGAAGACAATTCTGGGAGTGCTGCAATTTTTACTTAAGCAGAGAATGAACATCAAAACTTATGCAGAGACAACCTAACATTTTCATGTTTAAAGTAAATCTTAATTAAAACAAAGTATTAGAGGTGTCATCGATAAGGATTTTTGTATCAATATATCGGTAATGAATTATCGGCAATACAGGGATATAACAATTGCAAGGCTAAATTTTAGCTTTCAAGTCTGTTAAAATGTTTCCTAAGGACACTGACAAAGCAGTTACTAGTATATTTAGACAAATGCAAAAAAGATAAACTATGAAAACTGAACAATTTGTTTCTTTTTTTATCATATAGCTATAAATGAAAACTAATGACTAATTATAGTGAACTATAAAGTTTAAAGCCTTTTCCATTTTACTTTAGTTGTTGTTGTTGCTATTACGTAGTTACTGATCATGCTAAATCCCGTCCTTGCCGTTCCAATTAAGCTGGGTTTAATTGGCAAATTATAGTGTATAGAACCTGAATAATTATTAAAGTTTAACATTTTGTAATCATAATTTTTAGCTCACCTGTCACAAAGTGACAGGGTGAGCTTTTGTGATCGCTTTTCGTCCGGCGTCCGTCCATCCGGCGTCCGTCCGTCCTTCGTCCGTAAACTTTTACTTTAAATGACGTCTCCTCATAATCCACTAAGCCAATTTCATCCAAACTTCACAGGAATGTTCCTTTGGTGGTCACCTTTAAAAATTGTTCAAAGAATTTAATTCCATGCAGAACTCTGGTTGCCATGGCAACCGAAAGAAAAAACTTTAAATATCTTCTTTTAAAAAACCCTAAGAGCTAGAGCTTAGATATTTGGCATGAAACATCTTCTATTGAGTGTCTACCAAGTTTGTTCAAATAAAAGTGATAGTGCAATAGTGATTTTTAGGCAATTTTGAGACGTCCCCCCGTTGCCATGGTAACAGGAAATTTACCATTGAGCATGCTGTTACAGAGGCTATGGTGTAGTCAACATTTGTGCCAAGTTTCATTAGTATTGAAGCATTTTTCATAGTTTCATAGCAGTTTGAACTTGTTACAGGAGGCTTTTCAATGAAAACGGCCATTTTTCGCAATATGCTCATGGGGTAAAAGGTTAAAGTGGGGTTATACATGCCAAAACAATCATAAAGACTAAAGTACATCATAACTTTGCTATCATGCCTTTTCATTGGTTTTATCTTCCATTATTGACACTGATTGACAGGTATATTGTAAAAGTATGTTACATGCTTGGATAGATATAAATGGTAAGGCTTATATTGTGTGTTTGTTTGATAATCAACGGAAGATGAAATTATACCTCAATAACTGACAGTATGTCACACACAGCATGCAATAATAGGCTAGCTAGAACCCTGTTAGTACTTGTACAGAATATTCATATTGTTACTGTACTTGTACAGAATATTCATATTGTTACTGTACTTGTACAGAATATTCATACTGTTACTGTACTTGTACAGAATATTCATATTGTTACTGTACTTGTACAGAATATTCATACTGTTACTGTACTTGTACAGAATATTCATACTGTTACTGTCCCAGCCATATATGACTGAAATTTTAAACTAAAATAAAACAAGAAAAAGTTGTAAACAATTACAACTGAGAAAATAATAATCATTTCATTGCTTTTTGTTTAAAGTCTGACCAGCAAAGATGCTTTCAATTAAGTAAATTACTGTATAACATGAGAGATAGAGAAGCGGAGGTATTACAGAATCTTACCAAATTATGGGTAATCACAACAGTTCATTGTTATATAACAGTGAAATCTCAGATATACATATGTTTCTATCAAAGAAGTATATGGTTCATGGAAAATTCTGAGGATTGTGAAGGGAAATGATTGGAGAACAGGTTATTCAGAATAATGTTGAAGTAGTGTATATATATGTATATATAATGATTCACATAATGATTATAAAAAGTAAGGTAGGATGGTAAACATATATTGTCTGAGGTTTGATTGGTTTGTTGAGCACTATGTTACTCTTGTTATGTTCAATGTTTGGTGTTTTATTTGTTAAGCCTGGATACAGAGATGAGATGGATCGTTTACAAAAACTGATGGACCATTTAAAAGAACAAGAAAGAGGTTATACTGGCCTTTTACAAACATTGCTTGTAAGTTTTTATATATTTCTGTGTCAGTTCTATGTTATATGTGTCTGATATTTATTTAAGCAGCACTTTTTTAATTGAAGTATATTTATGACCTCCTTCAAAGATAGACATATTTTTTTGCAGCATGTCCGTTGGTTTGTCCATCCTACATTGTTTCTGCCCAAACCTTGAGAACGAATGAACCCATTACCCTGAAACTTCAAAGCTGCATTGGTCTTGGCCTTTAGATGACCCTATAGATTTTGGGATCAGAGCCACATTGACGTTATATGTCAAATAGTTTCTTACCAATAACTTTACAACCTATTGGTCCTTGACGTTCAAACCATATAGGTGCATTGGTCTTGGCCAGTTTATTGCTTTTGGGATCAAGGGGTCAGATGTCAATGTTATGATTAACTTAAAACAGTTTCCGACCATTTACTTGTCAACCCATGGACCCTTGGCTGTCAAACTTCATAGGTGCAAAGGTCTTGCCCAATGAATGACCCTTATTAATTTTGGGGTCAAGGGTTCAAAGATCAAGGTCTTATTTACCTTGTATGTCGAAACAGTGTTCGACCAATAACTAGACAACCCTCGACCCTCAAACTTCTCAGGTGCATTGGTCTCTGAAAGTAGATGACTCCTCTTGAATTTTGGGTTAAGGGCTCAAATGTCAAATGGTCGCATTGACCTTGCATGCCAAATTGGTTTCCAAGCAATATTGCATGCAACTTCCAACAAGCTAACAAGGGGACAAGCTTGTTTTACACTCTTGTAAAAACAAAAATAAACAGAAACTTAATACTTTATGTAACATTAGTTTGGCTCTTTGAAATCAGTAGAATTTTAGCTTGTATTGTGATAAAAGATGAATATAGAGTGATACAAAATATAAAGTTGAATTAAAGCAAAAACTGAAAGGCCAATGGCAATTGCTTATACATAAAGGATATTTGTTTTGTGAATTTGATGAATATCACACTGAGAAATGAGAGTAAATGTGATTATTTTAAGACTGAATTAATACAAAACAATTAAAACAAAAAACCTTAACTTTTGATGCATTTTATTCATCCATTATATCTTGTACTCTATAATCCATATCAAGTCAAAATTAACATTTTAGGAATGGATTATTTTGACCGCACTGATAAACCAAATATTAATTCCACTGGTAATCAACAAGTGCATATGGAATTTGATACCCTACGCTGACAATCGAATGGTGCACCTTTAAAAAATTTTAAAATATGGTATTTATTATGACTTTCAGTTTCAGTCCAAAATATTCCAGTAATAGATAATAAAAATTCCATTTCCATGATATCCAAAAATCCATTTCCATGATATCCAAAATCCATTTTCCATAATATCAGATATTTTCCATTCCATGATATTCCATTTCCATAATATCAAAAATTAAAAATATGCTACTTAAATTGATAAATACTAAAGAAACTATTATATATCTCCGCAATAAGCCCACCTGTTCCGAGCAGACTTAAAGCATGCTAATTAAAAATAAAAGAAATTATAGGATATTGTCCTCCAAAATTGGTTTTCTGAACAATAATGTCAGCCATATTCTGAAGAGAGTAAATCCATACTTAGTTTTAATATTTAAAACATATTAATTCTTTAAATTATTTCTAAAAATAGAGTTGCACCATTCGATTGTCAGCGGCCTACAAATTTTCGGACAAATTCAGTGCAGCACCTAAATGCAGATTTTTTTTTTTTTTTTTTTTTTTTTTTTTTTTTTTTTTTTTTATTTTAAATGTCACATGCTCTCTAAAATTGTCCTGAGCTAGTTTACATATACAAATGTCAGCACAAATATCATTTCAACATTTTGCTCAATCCACAAAGTTCATATTGTCACACTTTTGTAGTTTACTGTAAACATAGAATGATGACTGGATTTAGGAATTTCTTGCACCAAGATACCATTGACTTTTTGTGTTGTCTTCTGTATGATAGTAAACAGTTACATGGCTTCATCAATCTATTCTGAAAATATACAACTCGAAGAGCAGAAAACAAGCCTGGTTCAAATTCTATCAATGTTTATTGTACATTCATGCCTTAATTTTGGGTGAGGTGGGTGGGTGAATTTGAAAATTTTCTCTAGGTCTTTCCAGTGTGGAAGCTGAGGTTAAAAGGAAGAGTATTTGAACCTAAACAGGAGTGACCTTTAGCATTCCATCTATTTTCAGAAAAATTATCAAGGGAAATTACTCAAAATTAAAAGTATGAAAACATCCTGTAGCAGTTACATCCCTTATATAGTTATATCCAGTATTTGCTAAAATAATAAAGGCCTTATTGACTTAAACAATAAGACACATTATTTTAAGACTGAATTAATACAAAACAATTAAAACAAAAAACCTTAACTTTTGATGCATTTTATTCATCCATTATATCTTGTACTCTATAATCCATATCAAGTCAAAATTAAACATTTTAGGAATGGCATTATTTTGACCGCACTGATAAACCAAATATTAATTCCACTGGTAATTAACAAGTGCCATATGGAATTTGATACCCTACGCTGACAATCGAATGGTGCCACCTTTAAAAATTTAAAGATATGGTATTTATTATGACTTTTAGTTTCAGTTCAAATATTCCAGTAATAGATAATAAAAATTCCATTTCCATGATATCCAAAAATCCATTTTCATGATATTCAAAATTCATTTTCCTAATATTAGATATTTTCCATTCCATGATATTCCATTTCCATAATATCAAAAATTAAAATAATGCTACTTAAATTGATAAATACTAAAGAAACATATTATATATCTCCGCAATAAGCCCACCTGTTCGAGCAGACTTAAAGCATGCTAATTAAAAATAAAAGAAATTATAGGATATTGTCCCTCCAAAATTGGTTTTCTGAACAATAATGTCAGCCATATTCTGAAGAGAGTAAATCCATACCTTAGTTTAATATTTAAAACATATTAATTCTTTAAATTATTTCTAAAAAATAGAGTTGCACCATTCGATTGTCAGCGGCCTACAAATTTTCCGCCACAACAAATATCTGGGCGGTCCAAAGCTGATTTTAGGTTTTTTGCATTAGTCGCTATACGAGGGCCTTCATATTGCAAAGCAAACCCGTACCGAAAACCATTAAATAAAAAATTTGACTCTTCATGATCATAGTTTGATTTTAAGAGTTCATGCTTTAACTTAATAATATTCACAGGTGAAGGAGCAAGATCAAGTTGAACAAGACACAAAGAAGAATTTTTAATGACGACCCCTGGTTTGCCCTCTGGTATAATTTCCCCTGGTGGGTGGGGCTGCTCTGTATGAGCCGCGAAAGGGAAAATTAGATCTGCCCACTTGAAATTGGTCAGCATGTCCAGGTTGACTACGACATGCCACCTTCCCATGGTTTGCTTTAAAACAAATTGAACAGATATGAGGATATCTGCAGTTGGGATACCTGCAATACCCATTATTAAAATCTAGGCATGGCGGGGCTTGATTATTCTGTTGCTTAAAACTTGGATGTAAAGTGCCAGAAAAACAACGCAACCAAAGATCAGAGTTGATACTTGACCAAGACATAAATTGATCAGCCTGACGTAAACGAAATTGTTCGTCATAATTACGCCACATAAGGCCACCATGCTTGGCAGCAGCCTCCCTAATAACAAACATATATTGAATCAAGTCTTGAGCTTGTTCTGGGAAGGCTTGGAGATAAACACTGGAAAATATCAGAAAAGAATCTGTCCATTTATCAATGGAATAAATTTTTTCCATGGAGGTTCGTGGCTTGGCTACTATCTGGCCATTTTCATCAACACCAAGAAGAGCTCCCTGTGGGGTTTCTTTCAAATCTGTTGCAGTTCCCTTCAACAAAATAGCCAGATTTATGTATTCGTTTTGCTGAATTTTTAACTTTATTTGATTGGGCACATGTAGTCCCAAGTTTTCCCCACCACACCTCATTAATTTTGGTTGCTCAGAAATTTCAAGCATGGAACTATTAGAAATTGGTTGAGTCACACCAGAAGATTTATTTGGTAAGTTTAAAGACTCAGAAATAATTGTTTCAAAATCTATTATTTTCTTACTATTTGATGCAGAGTTGCTGTCTTCCAGCAAAGTTAATCTTTCTGGTTCCTCCTCCCTTGTAGCCTTCCTCTTTGTCCCTCTACCTCTTCCAGGCATTGTTGTTTTTAATTAAACTTATTTAAAATAAACCAAAATATTTAGATTGCTTAGATTTTTTAAAGATTGGAATTTGAAAATTTTCTCTAGTCTTTCCAGTGTGGAAGCTGAGGTTAAAAGGAAGAGTATTTGAACCTAAACAGGAAGTGACCTTTAGCATTCCATCTATTTTCAGAAAATTATCAAAGGGAAATTACTCAAAATTAAAGTATGAAAACATCCTGTAGCAGTTACATCCCTTATATAGTTATATCCAGTATTCTGCTAAAATAATAAGGCCTTATTGACTTAAACAATAAGACACAATATTTTTCACCATGATGTGAGATATATACAGCATATTCACTCAAAACAAACAATTTTTCTGTTTAGCTCCACTTTTGGAAGAAAAAAAAAGGTGGAGGTATTGTCATAACCCACTTGAAAATATTTTTCATTATAGTCAGTGAGAGAGGAACCAGATGTAAATGATGCTAGTCGTGAAATGACACCAAACACTGAACCACTTGATGATACAAGATCTGTTGATCTTGATATACAGTCAGAAGTTTCAGACAGGGAGGTAAATTGTGTTTACCTGCTACTATCTTCTTTATTTCTTTGCACATATTTTATGGCTATATTTGTAGTGATTCTTTAAACAGCATTTGCTTTCGACAATATGAGTAAATACATGGGGAAAAAACTTTGATATTTTCATTTTTTATTTTTTCATTAAAAATCTAGGACTGTTTTATTTAAGCAAGTCAGTCAGAAATGTAGAAGTGTTATACATGTCAGTTCATTGCAATAAAGTTTTGATTGAATGATTATTGTTTAATCTCTGATAATAAAATGTCTGCCGAAAAATGAAAGATTGTTAAACTTTAGAAAACACATGCTGTTTGTCTGTTATCAGTGTGCTGGAATATATATATAGAGCACTGTTTCTCCTTGCATGTAATCACATCCATACAAGATTTCCAACAGTGGTAACTTGTCAAGAAACATTTGACTTATATTTTCAAGAATTATGTTTTTGTAAAATAATGAAATTATGGGTGCATCACAGTAACCACAATTTACCATGTTATACTTTTATCCTTGTATAAACAGAGCACAGTTTGTTGATTTGAACACATTTTCATACTTTTGTGGCAAGCATTTTGTAAAATGTTATTGTCAGTTCATCCAGCTAAACAAATATAGAAAGAAGGAGAATTATACCTTATATTATAATCAACATTGTATAGGTTTGGATATTTCTTTCTCTTTATAGATAAGAATAACAAGCTTGTACCATAAGCCAAATGAGTTGAAAACTTACATAAAATGATATTATTACATAATAGTTCTCAGCTTACTGGAACAGTGTACATAGTGTTTTGAATACAAGGACAACATTACTACTACCTGTAAATGGTAAATTTAATTACATGAGAATAAATGTATTTGTAATTTAGAGGAAATGAAAGCAATGTTTAAAAAAAATATAACCATTTTAAAGGAGAGGTCAGTGAGTGCATCATCTAGGCCAAGAATTGAAGATAATCTTGGCTTGACTTCTGATAATGATGATGAAGTAGAAGAAGAAGGTGTCCCCTCAGAAACATCTGATAATTCTAGCACTATGGATGATACTGTGATATCTGCTAGGAAAAAAGAGCTGGATTTTGAATTGGGAGAATCTGAGGTTTGTTGTATCTCTTTTCATATTGAAGTTAAAGGGCCTGCCAAGTAATATAAGCAAGTTAAATTGAATCAAAGGAATAAGTCAGCAAAATTCCTTGTAAAATGCTGAAGGAAAAATTTAATCAATTGATTGATTTAAAAATATAATTGTACCAGCTATAAGTTTATTGCCAAAACATATTTGTCTTTTTGCTTTTGTGCCAATTGTGTTTTTTTGAGGTCGAATTCTGTTTTTTTAGAAAGGGTTTTGTCGAGCCTGCATGCAGAGAGCTTGACAAAGTTGTCAAAATGGCGCTTCGGTGTATGTCATTGTGCGTAAGTGTGTCCGGATTATGCTTGTTCAGGGCATAATTTCAAATAACAAAACACAAATATTACACCATAATGAGATGGTGTGTCATGCGCAAGAACTGTGTGGCTAGGTCAAAGATCAAGGTCATACTGTAAAGTCAAATTTTGAAGATTTGTTCAATGATTTTGGCAGAGTTATGCCCCTTTCACTTTGAAAAAAAAAGAAGAAATTTTCAATTTCCATTCATAATCTCCCCAACAGTTGACATATTCAACTCAAATATATCGATATGTCATAAGAATACACTGGTCAATTTCGAATTTGGTGATGGTTTGATAATTACTGACAGAGTTATCCCTCTTGAACTTTGTAAAAAAGTAAGAAATTTTTAGTTTCCGTTTAGTATTTCCCCAATGGTTGTACACATTCAACTCAAATTTGACATATACTACATGTTTGGAATAAGCAGGTCAAGTTTGAATTTAGTTGTGGTTCAATGATTTTGGACAAAGTTATCTTTCTTGGATGTTGGAATTTTTTTTGAAATTTTCAATTTCAGCACTCATACTTTTGTGGAAATGTATGTAGGCATTATCTAGGCTACAAATATACAATATGCAATTTACAAAAGATTAACACAGAATAGTTTCAGTGCCTTTAACTTTGTATAAAAATAGTTTGTGTTAACATTGAATAGTTTTAAGGGCTTTGAACTTACAATGAAAAAAATAGTTTGTGCAAACAAATCATTATTATAACATTTGAAATTTTGGCTGCATGCGGGGGCATCCATGGCGTGGCAACACATTTCTAGTTACTTGTATACATTAATAACAATATCAAAATAGCAGTAGGACTTACACATGTCAACTTTAGGTCATTTTTAGCTCACCAGAACCAAAGTCTTTTATCAAGTTTGCTCATATTTTGATTGGCCCTTGCTAAAGTTTAAAATAGTTAAACCTTTGAAAATTATCTCCTATTGAAATAATTGATGGATAATCACCAAACTTTGTCTGTAGCATTCTCAGGTAGTCTTATCAAGTTGGCACTTATTAATTTGATTGGCCCCTTTAAGGGGCCTCTAAAGCTAAAAATAGAAAATTCTTTAAAAGGATTTCCTACCATAATAATTGATGGATGATCACCAAACTTTGTCTGTAGCATTCTTAGATAGTCTTTTTATCAAGTTTGCTCATATTAATTTGATTGGCCCCTTGTAGGGGGCGCTAAAGCTAAAAATAGATAAACCTTTGAATATCATCTCCTACTGATAATTGATGGATGATCACCAAACTTTGTCTGTAGCATTCTCAGGTAGTCTTTTATCAAGTTTGCACTTGATTGGCCTCGTTAAAGCCTAAATGCCCCAGGTCATGGCAGATATTTTTAACAAAGCCTTTCCAATATGTTAGGGCAAAATATTTCAATTTATGTAGTGAATAATGAAATGATGGGTTAGATAAGTGATCTAGGGCCATCTTAGTGGCCCAATTGTTTATGATGAAGAAAAAAAATGAGGCCATCCTAAATAATATATATTTTGCTATTGCCGACAGTGGGTCGGTAGGTAGACTTTTTTTTTTTGATATATGATTTTTACGGAACGTAAGTTAATACGCTTAGTACGTTGTAGCAGATTGTGGAAAGTTGGACTACACTATTATCATCGGCGATGACAAAACTGACATGTAAAAGACAGTCAAAAACAATCAAAAACATGTTCACTAGTAATCATAACATGAAATAAAGTGTGACTATGTGGACATAAATTCAAGCATGGTCAAATTACCGATGTGATAAACTAACCCTGCGTAAATATTCCCGTACGACCTGGAAAAATTATAGTGGATCACCGGGACATTTCGTTCTCTCGGGTGATCATCACTCAATTTATTACACGTCTGTAAAAGATAACATAAGCAATATTTGTCTCCTATAATTTCTGAATGGCGGATATTTGCACCCCTGTTTTAAAAATGTTAAGATATTAAATTGTTAGTTACCGAAAATTATCGCAGATTGTTGAAATTCCATAGCGCTAAAAGACACAAAAACACTCTCGCATCCATAAATAAAAGGAATATAATGTTTCCATTGTTAAATAATAAATACAAAATTTACACACAAAATGACCTCTTACAACTGACTGGTCGGCTCTTCTGAAGAATCTGTGAATCTTTGATGTTTACACACCTGTAGTTGTTGCCGAATCATCAAAGAAGTGCCGACACTCAATTGACTTCCACCTCTTTTTTATATATCAGAAAAAAACTGTCATTTCTTTTTGTCAAGGAATGATAACACATTATTGCTCAAGTAAAAAAAAAATGTTTGATATTTATTGTGTCGATTATTGACATATTATTAATCGTAAGTGCATTTTGACATGGAGTTTAATTAGACATATGTAAATCTGTAATTTTGATTGTGATATTTTATTTACATTTTTATGTTCTTGAAGATATTGTGCAATACTTGTGTCTGCTATCAAAACAATCATGCATATAAAAAGACCACTGAGCTTCCAAAAATTTATTTTTTCGGTCAATTTTATGACAGAATCCCGCTGCTACCAGAAATGTTTTATTGCATGGGCTAAGTATTTATTCTGTGTTGGCAGTCATAAACAAACGAACATGTACCCCAAAGCACAAAAATTACCATATGAATGCTTTACAAATATTCTTTAATTGAACAAAAAATATTTTTAATACCGTTTCCACACCTTAATTTGATACGTTCTATTATTAGTTAATTCAACTTAATTGCTGCACGCATGCACTGCGTGACGTAAGGAAAATATCCTTACCTGGTTGGTCGCTATTTATGTAAATACTTTAAATAGTCACAGAATGCCCTCATGAATGATCACTCGTTACTTTACATATTAAATGTGTGATTTTTCCTCCGATTTTTTCGAGGAATTTTTTTTGGTCGAATGCCCTGGCTGATTTGGCGGAAATAAAAAAAATCTAATTTTTTTTTAAGCTGATAAAAACTTTTGAGTCGGGGCATTTTCGCCGGGTCGGCCGGCAAAGCAAAAGACAGATAATTTTTTAAGAGTGCCTGGTGTTTGTAAAGTATATTACTAGAGGGGCAATTAAAGTTGAGTTGAACTTTCCAAAGGAATGGATTGCCTTTAGCAGGAAATTAATTTTCCAACACTGAAAAGCTTTGTTTATGGTGAGTGACTTAGGGCAATGATGGCCCTATTGGGTCTTGATGTGTCGTAGTAGAAAAAGAAGTCCCAATTTCCGCTTACTTCATAACGCCTTTATTGGTTCAAACTTTTTTATGTGTTGAAGTTTTGGACATAGTCGTATAAAGTACATTTTATTAATTAAGGAACCCTTTTGTTTATTTTGACACCTGTTTTCGAGCATATTTTCACATTTTCTGTAGAGTGTGTTGATTGATATTGTTGGGAAATAGATCCTTTGTTGAAAATTTTTATGACTGATTTCATCACTGACAAGAAATACCCGTGTTTGATAGTAACAAGATAAATGTGTTGTAATTGGTTATGTTCTTTGTCATGGTTTATTGCACCCACGGCATTTGTGGGTGCGGGGATATACCGATTCACCTCTCTGTGTGTGTGTTTGTCAGTTATATGGATTAAATCACATACATCCTTTATAATACTACGGACACCCTGCTGTCACAATCTTTATTTCTCTTCTGAAGAGAACTTGAATATTACTCTCTGTTTACAATAACTGATTTTACACTTGGCATCACATAGTCACTTATGTGTGCGACCAGAACTAATAACAGATAAACAACATAATAATTTGACAATTATACTTTTAATTAAGGTACTTCATAACCGTTGTGGCGGAAATTTTGGCTGCAGACGGGCAAAACCCATAAATTTTATCCAGTCCCGGGGGAGACTACTAACTGCCTTGTTACACTGGCAAGTCAGTGACCCAGGTTTACAACCTGGTGTCAGTCCAAAAGTTGAACACGCTTAAGTGGACAGGTTGTTAGCGGGCTGCCAAGATTACATCTGACTCCTGAGCAACGAGGGTCCCGGACGTAGCCCTGCCCTGGGCCTCCCTCCATACGTAGAGGTGGAGGGGGGTGCCAACGTAACCCTGGAGTGCACCCCACCATAATACATAAAACTAATACATACAATGAACCTGCATGCTTTCAAGCAAGTCAGGCCAGGAGAAAGAGCCAGACAGTACCCGTAACCCCTTTTTTCGTCTCCCGGGCCGCTCCCCCAGATCGAAAAATTGTACCCTTCTCTGCGCCTGTGATTTAACTGCAAAAAAACTGCAAAGAAATTTATTTATAGTAGTCCTAATAAATTTCCTATACTGTTAATAACTTTGACATATATCGCTGTCTGTTTTTTTTTTTTTTTTTTTTTTTTTTTTAAAGGCAACATTAATGAAACACGTAGATGTAGAGCGTTAATGTAACCACTGTAAAGATGAAGTTCAATTCCTGAGTTCCAAGGGAGTAATTTGACTTTTACTCTGAAACTTGAATGTTAACTCCAGCCTTATTTAAAAACTGGAATTGTATGACAAAATTTGAGTTTGAAAAAACCCCTTCCATATTTTTTTAAAAAAATTACATATTTTTAAATTTAAATTTTGGGGTTTTATTGTTCCCCAAAAGTCTTTTTATTGAGCACACGGGTTTATTTTAACAAGACCCTTTTTTGTAAAAAACGGGTTTCATTGCACAAAAAAAATCCTGTTTGGCAAAAACTCCAAAAAACCGGGGTTTTCAAAACCCAATTTTCCAAAAAT